TTACATGATAATTCCATCGCTGTTCTAACGTTGTGATATGAAGATTTAGTGCCGATTTGCAAAACGCTTAATTTGTCTGTGAAAAGATCGGTTAATTTTTAAAGTTTGACGTCTGAAACGGGCTTTATAAAGGTCCTTGGGTCGAAACGTTGGGGGAAGTGTTTTCAGTGGTCTATTTTAGGCAGTTGTTATATATGAGAAGACGCTGCCAAGTTACTACTTAGTCATATTAGAACCCATTCACTTAAATATGTAGGTATAATTTTAAGAAAAAATATATAAATCCGATATTCACGATAAAAAATATATAAATCGATGTTCACATTCCGCATTATAAATGTAGAGTTTATTGTTTTTATGTATGGTTACCTCACATTACGATCTTTCTCGGCCACTGTCACTTTCCTTATCCTTTATACATACAACTGCTAAACTACCAGAAGTAAATTGGCTTAAGAAAATTGGATTAATCTTTATTTTAAAAAACGCGTAAATCTATTGCGAGTATTTATTTCATTACCAGTTGCAAAATTACAATGTAAACTGCTTTTATTTACACATTTAAACCTTGCATAATAGGTGCATGCATGGATATTAAATTTGACACATTTAATTGATTATATTAAACTCGTGCAGTTGAATTATTAAGTTTTAACTTTTTTAAATTATTAAAATGCAAAAAAAACGTTAAATCATGTTTAAATAATGATGTATATTTCCCCCCAATAGCATGAGATAGAAATGTTTTGATACTATGGCGCTATACGGGCGTCAGTAGAAACTCCCATTTTTTAGGGCGACTCTCCATTACCGTCCGCTTCCCCCGCGCGGGTGAAGCGTCTTTTGAAAATCTGTCCATGGGACCATGACGGGTCTGAAAAACAAAGCGCGCTTCGCCCGCGCGGGGGAGTGGATGTAATGGAGAATCGCCTTTATGCTGCATGATGCTTCGAGCTAGATTAGGTACGCCCTGGGAAATGTGTGAAACTGAGATTGCTGAAATGACATTTCCAACATTCTGAGTACACATTTTTAAAATGTTACGTTCGCAATAGGAAATTCAGCAATTTCTCTAAAACAAAGAATTTTTAGAACTATACATTCTGGAAATGGCGGACATGGTCGTATAGAATGAACCCTTACACTATATATTATAAGTGAATATATGATAAGTAAATATTTAACGGTTATATCATTTCATTTTTATTTCTTAATCGAAGATACTTTCATCCCCTAAAAATAAATTTATAATTTAATGTAAGTTTAATGTATAAATTTACCTCTTAGAATTTTAGTGTATTATTTCAATTTATTTGACTAATTTGAGTTTAATATAGATCTGGACGATCGAGGAAATTAAAGTGCAGGGACTAAAAATAACTCAGACTCAAATTCTGTTGTGCTGCTGCAGAAATAATAATGGAATTACTTTTCATCATAAAAAAGAACAAATTACCTGCTTTATGTCGTGGTAGAGGAAGCGTTGACGTTGTAACCCATTTTCCGACCAACTGCCACCCGAAGCTGTAAGAGAATGAAAAAATGTCTGTGCGGATCAAACAAAATATTCAATAAACATTTTCATTGTGGTCAAGAGAGAATTGAGTGTGTTGTCTTTATATAACAAAGTTACTCTGTGTCCAGTGGCTGCAAATTCCACCATGTGTGTCGAAATTCCATTTCCCATATTTTGAGTTGATGATACATACACTAGAGGTGGGTGCTACACCCACAGATTACGCACCTCTCTGTTGCAAACTCCGTAGACTAGAAAGATGAGAAATCCCTATAATGAAAAGTAAGATGAATGTCAAAACTGAATGTTAAAACGTAATTTGATGTGTTTTATACAGGTCTGATGAAGAAACAGAATTCCGTTAGCTTGCCCCTATATGTGTGGGATAAAGAGCTAAAACTGCAGTGGTTATATACTTTAACGAAACTTATCCTAAAGACGGGACCAAACAGAAAATCTTTAAAGTATGAAGGCCATTATGTTGTCAGAGAATCGCCCCCTCCCTCCCCCCGCGTAAGATGCAGGATTGGGGTTCCGTCCTTTCTCAAATTAAAAGCCATGCAGTATTATCGGCAAAAACCAGGAATAATATTCTCGTGTCTTTACCTGCAGCGATGAAAATATTGCGAAGAGATATTGCCATACTACGAGATTACTGTAGAATGCGATGACGAAGAAACCCCAGGAAAGACCAATAGTTGGGAATAATATCATAACACCGCGTGCTGCAGAGCTATAGAAAAATATAAATATAAATATAAAAATATTTTTGCACTTTGAATAACGACACATCTCTTTAAACATTAAGCAGCTGCGGGGAGCTTTAGCAGTTACTACACAAGTACAAGAACTCGTATATTGTTTGCTTACGCCATCAGCCAAAACTCGTACAGTGAGTTTTTTAGTGCGAGTTTGTTGATTAATCTCGTATTCAAAAGCTGAACGTAGTGAACGACCACGGGTTTCGTCAGATGGCGTAAGCAAAAGCAAAGAGTTAGGCGCGAAAATAACGAATCTTGTTCTTGGGGGCACTGCTAATTAAAGCTCCTTAACATCACAAAGGTGTTTTACGAATATTATACGTGTGACTTATAGCTATACATTATCCTTTTCATGTTATCGGTGCATATCGACTTCGAAAGACGAAATACTACACGAGCCACAGCAATAACAACCACCAGGGTTACCTGTAATGAATTGAAGTTGCTTTGTCAATATTGGCATATATTCCATGAAGGAGTTCCAATTTAAATAAATCGAACATCGTATGAAATTGCATTGAAACTTAGTAGTCTTTCGATTTAATAGTGAAGTACGAATACACTTAATTACCGATACAACTAGCATTATCGGTGCAAAGACAACCCAGAAAAAGTCTTCTTCATCAGAAATCCAACACCTAGGAAAGAATAATGCTGGCCCATTATAATTGAGGGTCTTTATTTGACAAACTTATAAATCCAAAAAATAAACAAGGTAAGAATTCATTTACCATTTCTTTGTACCATATTGGTCATTTTCTATTCCAGCGATTAAACCAACAAATATTAAAGGAATTCCTGTGAAATGAATTGAAATCATAGCTAAATAATATTCTTGCATGTTTGCATGGTGACATCAAATAGGTAAATTAGTTTGTAGGTAATGTAACGTTATTTACGTGGTGTACCTATAAGCTAATTTTCTTAATTATAATAGCTAAATAAAGTTACATAAGTTGACACTTTGAATAAACTATCAACAAAAACCCATTCGCAATGCATGCATTCAAAAAAAATTAATATATTTAGTAAAAAATCTTCCTCCGAAGTGAAAAAATCCCTACATTTCACTCGATAAATATTACAAAGTTTTGCCATGCAAAAGTAAAATATCGTTACTTAAACGTTTAATATTAAGGTTACTACAATTATCTTGCATGCATCTGCAACGTTCGCGATAATAATGGACAAAAAATGGTCGAGATAGCGACGAGATCAACGCTAAAGTGATTAATCGGTAGTGAAGTTATACGTGGCACTCACCCCAACCAAATATCATGAAATTTTTCATGCTCACAAACTCTCCATTGTACACAGAAATTAACTTTAAATAAAGCATCAGAGCTTCAAGAAGCATCCATACAAAAGAACTCAGGGAAAAATAATGAACCAAGATGGCCACAACCTTGCAAGCGACCTATAAAAATTATAAAAAAAAGATAACCTATAACTTATACACGCTTGCTCAATATACATAAAAAGGACCACACGAAGTGGCCATATTGGTAAAAAAGTATATTCACTACAGTGAACTGAAATAACACTGGAAAACTACCTCTGCGAAAAAATTGAAGCCAAGATGGCGGAATATGAGTTCTTTCTCGAAGAAAATTTCCACGCGGAAATTTCGTAGGTAAAATGGCGGCAATTGCGATTTTACCTTTGAAATTTCCGCGCCAGAGGCCTGGATCATACCTACAAGAAAGGCTTCATGTTCTGCCATCTTGGTTTCACTCATTAATGAGGGTTATTTCAGTTCTGTGGTGTACTATAAATCAATGCCTTACCTTATCATCTGTGGCAACCATCCCCACTAGAAAAACAATCTGTGTCAATCCCAATGCAATCTGCAAGTTGAAATGTACCAAGTGACGACTGGTCGTCAAAATCTTGAGATCCTTGCTGAAATTAGAAAATACAACAAAATTAACTTATCGATAGTTTTTAAACCGATGTCATCAAGTTTTTACTAATTATCATCTTTTAATTTCCATGCAGTTAAAGAGCCAATCCTTACTCACTGGAAGTTGATGTAAAAGTGGCCATGTACAAGTTGGGCATTAGTTGGCTGCACTTAACATGAAGTGTCAGTCGATTAGTTGAAAAAAAAAGATTGTATGTATATACTCACAACAGAACAGCATAAATAATGCATGAGATCAATAGGCCAGCCAGTGAAAGTCCAGTTCCGATATAACAGATGATTCCCATTGCCTCTTTATTTCAACCGCTGATCTAAATGAAAAATATTGCAGCGAAAAAAGAGAACGTGTTATGTGTGCTATTAAAATGTATATGTTAAAGTCGTTTTACCTCGTCGGTTTTGGGGAGAATAACCATTGTAAAGCTAGATAAATGATTTGTCAAACACGTAATATCATCTTTATTGACTGAACCAACATTCATATTTTTATCGCTCCATTCATCTCCATCCAAAAACAAGCATTTCACCTAAAAGGTTGAAACAATAAACAAAAATATTGATTCTATAAGTTCTATAGTAATTTTGAAAGATGGAGATGTTCAGCAATAATAATCTCGGAAATAATTAATCTCAAGCCAATAAGAACCTAGTACTTTAACGTGTCTAACACCCAACCTTGGTCCTGATTTTATGTCAAATGTTTTTAATCTCAATCTAATTTATTTTAATCTCAGTCAAGTTTTTTAACTTTGTACCTGCTCTCTTAAAACATTTTTCAGCTTGTTGGAAAAACTCAAAGATATTGTTTCTTCTAGTGTTGATAAGAGTTCCCCATTGGCAATATAATCCAACGTTATGATTTCAGATGGGGCAATTGGAGAGCGATCCCTATAGACAAGTCAAGTTATAACCGTTAACATATATTAAACAAAGTGGAACATTAATAATTCGAATAAGAAGTGGAAATAAAAAGACTGGATTTATGTTTACAGGACTTCGTGGTGTATATATAGGACCTCCATAGAGGGTAGGGGTTGTTAATAGCCATATAGGCATAGACTACGAACACGGGGGGGGGGGAAATAAAAAGACTGGATTTATGTTTACAGGACTTCGTGGTGTATATATAGGACCTCCATAGAGGGTAGGGGTTGTTAATAGCCATATAGCCATAGACTACGAACACGGGGGGGGGGTGCAGCTGGTATAGAATTAACATGAATTTAAATCATAAACACAATACAAAGACTCATGCGTGTTATTCCGCGATGTTATTTACGAGAGGAGAGATTTTTGCCCCCAAGTTTTTCATCAACGAGAGAATTACGCTAGAATCGCATATATATGTACACAGATTCGATTCTACCGAAAGACATGATTCGCAGATTTTCGGCAGTTTCCGTTTTGGTTTGCGTAATGTCCGTAATATAGCGTGATATTCTACAAAAACGTCTTTCTGTCTTACACATGCACGCATTAAAAAACTAATATAAAAGCTACATACCACAGGTGGCTGGTGTTCACTGTGACGTCCTCCAAACGCATGAAAATCCTTCTCACAGAACCTGTGCAATGTCCAAAATACATCTGCTAGTAGAGAACTCAGTTATCTTAATGTTTTTTTGTAAATCTTTTTAACCGGTCAGGGAGGGCAATTCTTTTAGGAATGCCTTCCCGCTGGGAGAAGGAAAAAAATATTATACTAACGAAGACGTTGAAAACCAAGGTGGTAGTACGTGTAAAGGCCGATGTAGAAAATATGTCGTGAAGAAAACAAATTTTTGGCGAATTGTAAAGTCAAAAGACACGGCGACTAGAAACTGGATTACGTATAATTCTACACCGTTTTGCAACATGCATGTAATATTTGTATGACGATGCCTCGTGCAGTGGTCTGGGACAGACTAATTACCGAATGTAAAACGAGAAATTTGGAAATTTATTGCTATCAAGTGGTACGTTGTTCATCGATATAACTCACAATTTGCCCGTCTTTTACATAGCTTCCTAAGAGATTTGAACGGTATTGTTCTATTTTGAAGAAACTGCGTGAAATTCCCAACGAAGACTTCCAGCTCTGAAAAGAAAAGCCAGTTAGTGACGTACGTAAAGAACGATTCATCCTTCACGACAAGTTATCAAGCCACCAGGTGTTTGCAAAATTAAACGAAAATCACTGTCAGGGCCGTATAGCTTAATTGGGTGCGTGTGTTTGTATTCTTATATTCATGTTTATATACGGTAAGAGCAACAGCGTACAAAAGAAATCAGTCGGGCATAAGACGAATATATGAATATACACCCCCCCCAAATTAAGCTTCTATAGCTTTACGGCCCGGAATTCACTGTTTATGCATGCAGATGTCATGCATCACCAATTCATAATTAATCTAAAAGAGTCGACCAGTATAAGAGATCTAATCTTTAGCCTTACGATATCGCAAAAAAACGTAAGAAAGATTTTTTTCTAAAAGTATAAAAAATACTATATGATTCCAGTGGTTAGCTTAATCGTGGGTTAAAACAAATCTTGAAACCAAATTAAAGTTGAATATTTTTATTCATAAATATTTTCTGGACCGACTGAATATATATATTTAGAAAATGATGATTACATATATCTGATTGATAGAAGGACAAGAATTAGTGACATACTCGAAGTGCCATTTTGTAGTCTCCATGAATTGGAAAAGACACGAAGGCGGACAAGTTTAATCATTCCTTTAATAAATTTGCGTAGTGCTTTCCTGCGACTCTGTTAAGAATAACGAAGATGATGTAGATAATTAATTTGCGACACCAAATAAACTTCAATCCTATATATATCCTTATAGCTCCACGCTAGCTAGCGCTGCCGGCCGGAGCAAAAACGTATGCGTTAAAGACTTTGCATGGCCGGAACACGTCAGGTTTTGAAGTTAATAAAAGACAGTGGAGATTATTAATGTCCGAAACCTGAAAAAAATTGTATCAAATCTTTCAAATTAATAAACATTTGCTAAAAATCGTTGCTTCATAACGACAAACGAAGATGTCGTGATGAGCGGAGCTCTATATTATATAACAATTAAACAAAAGCAAGAGAGTGACCATAAAACATAACTGTATAAACAAATTCAGTTGCTGCATGTACACGAGTTAACTCACGAAATGACATTTCCCGGGTTTTCTGCTCTTCTCAATCCACTTTCTCCCAAAACATCTATGAAATTCCGACAACAACCTTTCCTGAAAAAAAATTTTGCCTTTGACGTGGATAGTTTTAATTCCAATTGGTGGGCGTCTTCCATGCATGCCTTTGAGATCTTTTTAAGCTGGCCAGAAGAACAATATAGTCAGACCCGTTCTCCTTCAGCCCAGTTCGTTCGAGCTGAAAAGAGCGTAGTAGATAGTAGAAATGCAAAATGTTGCGAAACGTTTGGTTGCGAAATGTTGTAAAATACAAAAAATATTGCCTTGCATGCAAGGTTTGCAAATTTGTATACTTTTTTCCACCGCATTTTACAACATCTCGTAAACAAGATTGCATTTCTATACTAATTTTAATGCGCTCTTTTCATGCAGTTGTGGTGATTAGATTGCACTTCCTTGCATATAGATAAAATATGCAAAAGGTTGACTGAAAAATCAAGAGAAAATAGCATTCGTTTGAAAAATTTAACCTATAGTGTGGTGGAAAACCGTCTTGAACCTTGTTTCAAAATTTTGAGCGCAGAGTGCAATTAAGTATGGCTTAATGCCAATGCATTTTTATCCCGAAAACTCGCTGAAAATCGGCAAGGGGAATTGAATTGAATTTTTCACGAATGACTTCTCTGTTACAGCTGTCAATAAACCAGCTATATTCTTCAGGGGTGACACGTAAGTCTTAATTGTAAACTAGGTCTTAAATCCAATAAAATATTTTAGCTCTCATGGGTATTTCAAAAGCTAAAAATTTTTTGGGAAAAAAGATACACACAATGCAAAAAAGTAAAAATTATACGTTGCATGATTGCCTTCATATAATAATTTCATATTTCTCTGTTTTGCTGTGGAAAATCACGTGAGTGTTTAAAAATCATTACCTGGCGCCTTATTAGTTCGCACACCGATGCAGCAACTTTCTTACAATCTGTGCCTGAAATTAAAGCATGTTGACAGGCAAAAGAATAGAAAAGAAAACGGGAACATCAGGAACACGACAAACGTACACCATGCATCTTGAAACCTTTTAAACTTGCACCATACAGCGCAGATATTTGTATATTTACTAATCTCAGATCTAACATATCTGTGCATGCATGGAAAGATATAGCCTATAAAGCCCGTTTCCCACTTTAGGAGAATTAATTCGCGTGACCCAAAGATCGCGATATCCAAAATCCGGTGATGTGATTGGTTTGGGAAAGAATTCGCCGCGAAAAAGTAAAGTTGTTTCCAACTTTTTATCATTTCGCGCGAATAAATTCGCCTATAGTGGAAAAAGGCTTAACACACGAATAATTATAATCTTACCTGTAAGATTAAAGGTTTTAAATTGTTTCTTATTGGCATACTCACACCAACGAACATCACAATAAGTGATACTCATATTTCTTAATTGCAATGCACTCTTCAATTTAGTGTTTGTGTATGTCTCGCTTTTGTTACACACCAAGATCCACGTGGCTGGAACGATTTGTTTGGTGGAATTCCATTTCTTTATTCTAATAGAGTAAGGAAAATTTTCTTCGCCATCATCGCTAGAAACCAAGATTCGTTTGATTCGTTTGATTTGTTTGATTCCTTTGGTTCTATTGATGCACTCTTTTACTTTTTTGAATTTTTTACCGAACTTGTTCACTTCAATAAGTTCAATTGCTAAGAAACAGAGTTAGTTACAGTTAACTTCCCATCCATAAAGGCCGACACAGACTGGACGCGAAGCGGCAACGCGGCGCGAATTTTCAGTTTTCAGAAGCATATAAATTAAATTCTGGGATCAAAATTTGGAATCTATGGACGCTAGACCAATCAAAATTTATTATTTTAATGCAATCTACAAGAAAATTTTGATAAGTTAAAATCTATTTGCTTTTGAAAAATATAAAACGTTGAAAATTCGCGCCGCGTTGCCAATTCGCGTCCTGTCTGTGTCGACCTTAATGCCAAAATACCATTTATATAAATTGATTTGTAAATTGATTTGTTCCGATTTCAATTATCGACACTCGTGTTTTTGCACAAAAACATATTACACCATTGCAGCTGCTCAATATGCATGTGTATACACCTATTTCAATTATAAGGTGGTCTGAGATAAAGACTATACCACTATTCTACGGCCTTTCTCATATCATTAAAGCAGAAAATAAAAGATCTTTCTTAATTCGTTAAGACAAAATTTGATACACCACACTTACAAAGATACGACTCTTATTTGGGTATAATATAGATGCAAAACCAACGACATTAATAAATACCTAATAAACCAGTCTCTGTCGTATAAACTTGTAAATATTGGTAAGTTTCACGTATTGTTTTCATTGTGATTTGTGTGGGGGTCAACCTTAATTGCTTCGATCCTTGCTGAACAGGAGTGCCATGAGCAAATAATAATTGGGCATATTTGCTACGAAGCACAAAGCCAACACATACATTGAACAATTAACTCACTCAAATTTACTTTGTCCGATTTCGAGATGACCCCCACTAGAATTATGACGGCCCAGGAAACCCAAGAATAGAGAAGACTCCATAAAATTCTTTGATAGCAATTTTGTTTCCATTTCAAAACCATTTTTCGTCTTACAAAAATGAAACGGCGAATTTTTTCCTAAGAATTTTTGCTAAAAGTATTTCCCAGAGAGTGATAGAAGTAAATACAAAAACAGATGGCCATATCAGTGAAGGATCTAGGGGTGTAGGGAAATCCTAAATTTAAAACACCTTAATAACAACCCTATTGGTTATAGATTAGAAAAGAATATTTTTACATTGAAATTTGCCAATGCGATCCCGATTTTAAGTCGTAGTAATTTATTCTGCACATGCCTAGACCCGCCACTGAGCTATATATATCTAAACTATAGCATTCATATTGTAAATTGAAAAGGTATAAAATGAATTTATTTTATTTGAATCGACTATCGTAGATACTACAAACCTTTTTTGCATGTGTTGTTTAGATCTTGGGTTTGATTTTTGAACTGTAAAAATATTAGATGAAAGATTAGTTTTCCTGACGTATCACAGGTACTTTGAAGGCGTAAGTTAGGCTTTTAAATGCAATGCTTTTTTACAATAGCTAGCTATATTTTTCTGCGTCCATTAGAGTACGCTCTGATATGGTATATTGACCTCAGTAAGTTGAAGATTTTACAGCACAGCATTTATTTTTATGTTTTTCCCAACTTTGTACCTGCGTGATGTTATCTCACATTGAAAACGAGAATCGACTAACGCATTCTCTAGTAAAATTCAATATATCTTCAAATTTTTACAAGCTTCCCTTCTCTATAAGTTTACACTTGCTTCAGTCTATATTTTACTGAATATTTCTACCTATTAGTGCAAGCACAAGGCAAGAACTCAAGAACTCCCGACATGGAAATTGAGCAGGGATGAAGGAAAAAAACATTGTGGCGCTGCCTGTCGACACAAACCGCTCTGTTTCGGTAAATGCATTGGATACGACCAGATCATATCTTGTAAACTATACATATATACACTATAAATGTAGCAAAAAATTTCCCGCGACATTGTGTCATCGATCGGCATCCACGGCATGCATCGATCAATATTTCGTGTCTTCCGTTTACTTCATTCGAAAGAATACGTGGACATTTCCTGAGCAAAATAATTGTTTAGGACTTCCCGGCTTATTTAAACTATGATAAACTGATTAAAGCGAATTTAAAAAGAGACACCATGCATAGGTCTATACCTAAAAGTGTAAACATACAGGTCTACATCAGCCTATACGCATGGCGCTTTACTCAACTGACATAATAAATACTTTATATACCAAGACTTTGTATCATATATAATCGTATTCAGTATGATTTTTCTGTGCATGCAGCAGTTGAAATTCACTACATAGAAGAATCGCTGTCTTTTATCTGTTGTCTTATATCTAATACTCAAATTTATCGCATATTGAATAAAGGCCGGTAAACACTAGGCGACAACACGTCGTAGCGGCAAATTTCATCGTCTGAGCATGGAAATTTGAGCGACAATTTTAACTCCGGTGCAAATTTGTCAGTCAAGTCAAGCTGATTTTGTGGGACATGTCGCAGTGGCAAGACTAGGTAATTATCGCGCTCTTGTTGCCTATAATGATATTGATTATCATGCGTTGCCGTCCAAATGTACACACGAAACAATATTATATTTGTTGCAGCAACATATTGCAGCGATTGTCGCCTAGTCGGTACCGTGGTCTTAACGAACATGAAATCAATAGCTACATATGATGTTGCTTCATGCCAAATTCTGAACTTAAATAATTATATTTAACTGCATAGACTTAAATAATCCAAACTCTAAACGCGGGGTCTCACGTCAGCGGCTTTATTTGGACACGAAGAAGCATCGTATAATAGTAATCCACGTCGTCTTGGACATTCATTAGTCAACTTTTTTAAATATATGATTCCTGTAATAGACCATAATTCATTCAAAAATTTGAGCGCCCTGATAAATGTTTTGGAAAGACAACCTTAATAAATTTTCTAAAAATTAGTCAATATATACTTGCATGTATTGCTATATTGATTATACAAGTAAGTTATATTTGGTAAGCCCGTTTCACCGTTGATATATTTAAACAGTAACTATTAAAAAAAATACATATATTCATACCGTAGAATTAGCAAAACTGTAGATAAACCACGAAGCGATAAAGTAATGTAAAATTTTTTCGCAAACCAACATATTGTTTGTCTTTCAGAAGACGGTATAAGTCAAGTGTTTAAATTAAAACCCCGCAAAAAACAGTTGTAGAAAATGAGATGACAACTCCACTTGTGTCGACCAACCAATGGAGAGGTATTAATATAAAGAGAGGCTCGCACTGAATCCAGATGGCGTCTTTATATTCACATAATTGAAGTCTTGTTAATGTCGATAATTTTATATTTTTTTAAGCAAATTTTGTTAGGTTTCTAATATACAAAAAATTCAATTGAGTTGGCGTACTTGACTCAAATTCTAAACGCGAAAGGAATGACACGAGGGGAATTTTGCTCAACAGGATAAATAATATTTATACAGTACTTGTTTTTCCCAATAGTAATGTGTGTTGTTTAGGTTGCTCTGGCAACGTCATGCAAGTTTCCAAATTTACAATTCCTAAAAGGCAGTAAGGCCTAGGTTAAACGTCGCATTTTGGTCACGTCGTATGCAATTCACACAATAGATGAGATGATAATCAGTGAAGCATAATGAGGTGTATCATCTCAATATCTATGGTTTGAACTGCTTTCGACGTGACCAAAATGAGACGTATAACCTAGGCCTAATTCAACCTACTCTGAACGCACGGAATTATAATCTAAAGCCTAATGTTTCTAAACACATATAGTACAATACAGACAACGCGTATCAAATGCCTGCTTCTCATACGTCACCGACGGTCGGCGATGGCTATTGTCGATGATCATATCATGCATTGTCAGCGTTGATGAATGAAGTGCGTTGTTCTTTTGATTAATTTTTCTTCCTTACCGGTCACAAATAATACGTGGCCGCGACTGTACGCGCATGGCATATGAGAACCGGTCTTTAGGGCGATACGCAGTTTAATTGTGGTTCAATTGAATGCATAGTCACTAAATAATAAAAATATACAGTATACAACTCCCTACTCCAGACGGTATTTTGAAACGGTGCATAAGGGATATGATAGAATTAAAATTCCCACTTATGCAAAGCCAATAGAGAAGCAGAGTGAAAGTGGAGCCGGGAACTATAGGTGCACGGTGTGCACATTTCGTCATCGTCGCCATGTTGGATGATTTTAAAACGGATTTTCCTCTTTTGCAATTTAAATTTCATCCACCATGGCGAAAATGTCTTTGGCTTTACTCCCACGAGAATAATTGCACAACATGCACTTATAGTTATATAGTGAGTTCTCTGCGTAAAAACAATTGAAAAATTTGCTAATATTTCACACTTCAAAGAATCTTTAATCGCGCGCTTTTCTTAATTGTCACAAAATTCCCGCGTGCTTGGGGATCAAGTCATCGAAACACGAATTAAACCAAACCACTAAAGGAATACGGCAATATAACAATGATCTTTTTCCATTTTAAAAGAACGTCGTGAGTATGTACAAAATTCGTTTATGGATTTTTGTTAACTTCATTACTTCTCAAGATATTTTTGAATGAAATTATCTTTCATCCGCCATTTTTGAAATGCATATTCTTGCTCCGATATGCGTTACCTCATAAGCTGGGGGAAAATAATTTGTTTTGTAACTTCAAATTAACGATCCGGCGAAGTGAAGCTTCATGGTATTACAATCGCACGTATCTCAAATTATAACGTTCGAATTGTAAGAGCTCTGAACTAAACCGTAAACATGTAGTTGTTACTTTTTAAGCGTTAACCCTGCTTTTGACGTCACGTAATTAGATCTCATTATAAAACAAGATGGCGGATATATCTCGATAGTCGATGTTTTTGATCGCCAATATCTTGCGAAGTAAGGAAGATAAATAAAGTTTGTAAAAAGGCTGTATACGAAGTGCAAATTTTCGTTTCAGAAAAACAGAAATAATTATTATTGCCATATCCCTTTAAGAGATGTGCACACAAGCGTCGTTTTCGAGCGTTTTCAAATTCATTTTTATCTATAGATTGTCACTTTGAAGCCTTGTCCACACAATCCCAGGGAAAATATGCTCAATATCTTAAATTAGCTGCAACTATTATTGTAAATTGACGGCGTTTGAAACCGTTTTGGCATGAAATCGCTGGAAACCTGACCGTGTTGACATAGTCTAAGTAATTGTGTATAGGTTATTTGTAAACTTTGGACGTCAGAAGTGGAATTGCATGCATTGCAAGTTGCAAGGAAAGTGGCATAGTGTAACACCGCCTTTATTGAGTCCTACCTTAAGTCGATCATAAACACACGCATGCATTTGAAGTCATAGCTACTAAGGATGTACCACTTGAAGTGAAGGCCAGATTCATCTAAGTTATGTTGGTACTAATCTTGTCGTGTTGAAATAGACCGTTATTGTCTGGCAGCTATGCATGTGACACACTATTACATGTCGGCTCTACATTATTCAGATAATCGTCAGTATGAAGTAAACATACCACAGAATGATGACTTACTTTCGCGTTGAAGTACTTTAATTCTAGATGTTCGTTTAATTTTGCACTCCTACTAACAATAACAACAAATTCCTCTTCAGAATGATGTTCGTCCGAAGGGATTGTATGCCGACTTCTCACGTATTTACTTGTTAAGACTTTTACATGCGTAGTGATCAATGCCTTTCATGTATGCCTCGATAAAATGTACGTCTTATTCGTCTGGCCGTTTACCATGGAATATCCGAGTATTAATTGTTACCAAAATGCTGGTTGCTCGTTGTTTTAACTTTTGGTGGCAAGTTTCATGAACATGCATGCCCGTCAACCACATTGACGTGCACGCAGGAATTGAGTTGAGACTATGCACTTACATCATTAAATACGCATAACATATTAGGAAAAAACAATATAAGGGTTATAATACATGGTGTAAAAGTCATTAGAAATCATCTTTTCGTCTTGTCGAATGCAATTCAAGCAATATATGATGAGGTTAATCATTCATTATCCATTGTTTGAATAGCATTCAACGCGACCAAAAATGTGATGTACAGAATAACCCAGAGCTAAACGACATTTAGGGGCTGTTTACATGAGCCCGGTTATCCGAGATTCAACGAAGCGTGAGATGATTTTGAGCTATTTTATAAGTCTTTATGACACCAAAGAAGCACATGCTATTATTGTGGTGATTATACGACTGCCAGGATTATGTTATCTGCTCATTTCAATACCTCAAAATCATCTCACGCTTCGTTGAATCTTGGGTAACTGGGCAAGAGAATTTAAGCTCCGTTTACACTATACACTCCATTTCTGCCACACCGTACCAAAAAATCGAGTGTAGTGTAAACGAGGCTGAAAAAACGAGAGTAGTGTAACGCGTTTACTCGCGAGGCTGAACTGGGGCTTTAATTGAAATTACGCTTGTGAATATCTTCTTTTCAAGAGAACATTTGTTATTTCTATACAAATCACAAAATTATGTCGCAATTGATAGCTATTTGCACAAAGTTACGTATATATAATAAGGTAGCCACAATTCAATAAATGTATTACGGGCATTTATTTCATATAATGCAGCTGTGCATAATTTACAAGATTATCTCAACACTATGGAGAACTATTATTATTAGCTGATTGAGCATTTACTGTTCACAAAACACTCAAATCACACTCCAATAGAAGCAAAAATTAATTTTGCCCGGTGCGAACTACATATGGTTGTGGTGAGCAGCCTAGTCGGCAAACATAAATAATGGCTCAGCGAAATTTCACTTACACCCTGCTATAACTACCGAGTGCTCCTGTTTCTTTTTATTGCTTTTTTATTTCTATTATTGTTTTGCGCAAGGTTTTTCCGCAGAAAACCTGCTTGCATGCTAACAATCATTAGGACGGCTTCGATCATTAATACAGGAAAAATCTCACGTGCCGGAACTTGTCCGAACACCCTGAAACGTCAGTGCCAGGGATGCAACTTTTAATTTTAAATGAATACTTTGTGTATTTCATTTGGAATGAATGATTATATAGACTGGATCGAGCTTGACAAAAAAGCCATCTTTATCTTCAAACCATTTTTTTAGAGACAAGCTCCTTATAAATTCTATATTGCTTATAAATTATAAGTTATCTTATAAATTCTATATTGCTTATAAATTATAAATTATAAATTATAAATTATCTTATAAATTCTATATTCCTACGTGTTCGGTTTTTCTTACCACTTCTAGTTTGATAGCCTATACGATTCTGAGGAGGTAATACGTTATAACCCACTTATTTCTTGGGCGACGAGTTTTAAGCCCCGTTTATGCTACGCGCGATATTTGGTACGGCACGGATAAAACTGGCACCCGTACCATTTTTATCCGTGCTTGCATGGACTACCACTTGTAAAAGTGGCACGGCCGAAACTTTTACCCGTGCCGTACCAATAAATATCGCGTACGTATTCGGTGCTTTAGGCTCATACCAATTTCAAAAGTTAGCCTATACACGGGCATTCATGACAAACAAATGACATGACATACGAACATACGACTACGTAATCTTATTAGATTACATAGGAGTACATAAATTTATATCGTAGATTACATGTAGTAACTAGGAGCTCAGTTGAGCTGTGAGTTTGAAATATATCATTATAACAAATAAATGCAATTATTCCTACCCATTGCTGGAATCCTCTGGAAGAACAACAGCGGATAAAAGAACCATAAATGAAGAAATAAAAAAGTTTTTCGTAGACGAGCATTGTAAATTGTCTTTAATTAAGCAGACGGTATGTTAAGGCTGAGGTGTTTAAAATGCGGCCGTTATGGAGTTATGATATTAAGCACTTTAACTTTCCACTTGTGCTTGACCAATAATAGGAAAGCTGAGTTCATTTAATTTCCAGATGGCATCGCGGTTTTTTTCGCAAAGCAATCACATCACTGGGTTTCAAAAATCGCTTCGCGTCGCGCGCGAATAAATTCGCCCAGTGGAAAACGGGCTTTTAGCGGCCGCGGAATATTCATATACTCACTTTCAGCATTATAAAACCAGCAGAAGTACTGCATGCCCTAGAAAATTGGCTTTAATTATTTAAAAAGACGATTACTATCACGATCTATTACGAGCACTTACTTGATTAACAGTTAATATCATGATATTGATATTGCATTGATAATGCATGCATGCATGGCTATCATAAATTTGACACATTTAATTGATTTCAATAAACTCATTCAGTTGAATGATTAAGTTTCAACTTTTATAAATTTTCAAAATGCAAAAAAGTTAAATCATGTTTAAATAATATTGCCTTTTTCCTAGGAAGCATGCATGGAATCGAAAGTTCGATATTTTCTGCTATATGACGCTATACGGGCGTCATCCCAAGAAAAATGAGAACTAGGTGTTATCCATTTTAGAAATGGGAGACCATGCTTATATATATACAGACGATATAAAATAGCTAAAATAAACTTGGTTCACTTTACATGATTTTATTCACTACAAATTTGTTTCGTATAACAAGCACTTGCCACACTCATCAGGAGAATTTAAATGTCGGGCTATATAGTTGTCATGGTTATATATATATATATACTATTTACATGTTTGACGAAAAACGAATTGCATATATACATATACGTATTGTATTAGGTTACATTACTGAAGAAAAATTTATTCTCTTTGTCTCATTTCGATAAAAGTTCGCTTCTATACTTTGGTATATCGAGCACACATGCATAAATACATATTTGGCACATGCAATATATATATATATATATATATATATATATATATATATATATATATATATATATATATATATATATATATATATGTATATATATGTGTGTATAATTCCACTCGAAATTAAGACCCTTTCAACCTCTAGAAGTTAGCTACGTCGAGTGAAATATCAAAAAACATAATTGATTTACCCTCTTCTATTCAAGGCATTACCAAGATATACACATTAAACCTCTCTCTCTATTTATGCATATATATAAATGCTAGGTAAATATTTAATGGTTATATCATTTTAGTTTTGTTTCTTAATCGAAGATAAGAAATTCATCCCCTAAAAAAATTTATATAGTTTAATTTTAGTTTAATGTTAACTTTGGCTCTTTTAGAATTTTAGTGTATTATTTGAGTTAAAGATCTGGACGGGAACAATGGGAAAAGATGACATTTCAAAGACTGACGGGAAAATTAAAGTGCAGGGAATGTAAAGAACTCAGCATTAATTGAGAGGGGGCACGGGGTGGTCTTGTCACGAAATCATGAAGGTCTTTTTCAGATTTCAAGAATCACGAAGTTTTTAACTTTTTTTTGCTAAAACACACCGGCTCAAAGAAGACATTACAAATCCACGAAGATGTGATGACAGTGTATGAAGGCCCACGAAAATCTACGACTAGTTGACTTTGCAGCGGAAAAACTGTGAGATGAAGTAGAAATCAAATGTTTTGATTTTTTGACCTTTAGTTTTAATTTCATGGGGTAAAAATTTATAAATAGTGGCAAAATATTGGTGAAATTACGATGCCTTAGCTAGCCAGCTTTTTAGGTCATCACGATTCACGGAATGGCATTTTCCTAAATCACGAATCATGATGCACAAATAACAATGATCACAGGTCACGAAAATAGCCTTGACAGCACTTACAACAAATTGAACAAGCAATGACCAAATTCTGTTTTGCACCGACAGAAATAATAATAATAATAATGAAAGTACAAATTACCTGCCTTATGTCGTGGTAGAGGAAGCGTTGACGTTGAAACCCATTTTCCGACCAATTGCCACCCGAAGCTGTAAAAGAATGAAGAAATACCTGAGCAGATCGAGCAAAATATTCAATAAATTTTTCAATTGTGGTCAAGAGTGAATTCAGTGTGTTGTCTTAATATAGCAAAGTTACTCTGTTCTCGGTGGCTACAAATTCCACCATGTGTGTTGAAATCGTGCAACAATCCCATATTTTTGGGATCATTGCAGGATTTCGAGTTTGGGATACATATGGGAATTGATGATACATACACTAGAGATGGGTACTACACCCACAGATTACGCACCTCTGTGTTGCAAACTCCGTAGAATAGAAAGATGAGAAATCCCTAATCAAAAGTAAGATGAATGTCAAAACAAATGTTAAAACGTCATTTGATGTGTTTTATACAGGTCTGATAAAGAAACAGAATATTCATAGCTTGCGTCTATATGTGAAGGATAAAGAGCTAAAATTGTAGTGGTTATATTTTAACGAAATTTATCTTAAAGACGGGACCAAACAGAAAATCTTTAATCGTATTAAATCCATTATATGGTTGGAAAAATCGTCCCCTCCCCCTCCCCCCGCGTAAGATACAGGATTGAGGTTCGGTCCTTTCTCAAATTAAAAGCCATCCAGTATTATCGGCAAAAACCAGGAATAATATTCTTGTGTGTTTACCTGCAGCGATGAAAAAATTGCGAAGAGATATTGCCATACTATGAAATCACTGTAGAGTGCAATGACACAGAAAGCCCAGGAAAGACCAAGAGTTGGGAATAATATCATAACACCGCGTGCTGCAGAGCTGTAGAAAAAATTGCAAAAACATATTTTTGGCAATTTGAATAACGACACATCTCTTCAAACATTGAGCAGCCGCGGGGAGCTTTAGCAGTGCATATGACTACGAGTACGACCACAAGTACAAGATTCGTATATGTTATTTGCTTACGCCACCAGCCAAAACTCGTACAGTGAGTTTTTAAGTACGAGTTTGTTGATTAATTTCTTATTCAAAAGCTGAACGACCACGAGTTTCGTCAGATGGCGTAGGAAAAAGGAAAGAGTTAGGCGCGAAACTGACGAATCTTGTTCTTGTGTGCACTGCTAAAGCTCCTTAACATCACAAAGTCGTTTTACGAATATGCATTATAATTATGGGTGACTTATAGCTATACATTATCCTTTTCATGTTATCGGTGCATGTCGACTTCGAAAGAAGAAACACTACACGAGCCACAGCAATAACAACCACCAGAGTTACCTGTAATGAATTGAAGTTGCTTTGTCAATATTGGCATTTACTTTTTAACTCTGTAAATGAAGCAATCTGATTGGCTGAGAAGCGTTTCACAGCGGGCCGGAATTTTGCATCCGGCCCGCTGCAAAATGCATCCGGCCCGCTGTGAAAAATGCAAGCAAAACGACAAGACCAAAGCAACGTACGGCTAAAATGTGTGAAAACCTTTCTGGGAAAGGCTAAATGAATGTTAAAAATAAAAAACATACCCGAAAAACTTCTTTTTTTTGGATTTTTTACGCCTTTTTTCGCTTGTCAATACGTTGTTTTTTTAATCGATTTGCCGTGATTTAGTTGCTATGGTAACAATATTTGCCATTTCATTGGCTGTTTCCCGACTAGGATATCCTTATAAGGAGTTGTTGACGTATTAAAATTCTAAAATGGCTTGCAGAATTTAAAATTTTTATAGTTTATTCTTTAAATTTGTTGTATTTTTTGTGTTTTATAAAGTCAAAAAAGTCAAGGTTAAAAAATAAACACGTTATTTACCGGCAGCTTCGGTCCGGATGCAAAAAACTGTGCCCTCGGTCTCAAAAACATCCCTCGGCCTACGGCCTCGGGCCGTTTTCGAGACCTCCGGCACAGTTTTTTGCATTCGGACCTCGCAGCCGGTGAATGACATATATATAGTCCATGAAGGAGTTCCAATTTAAATAAATCGAACATCGTATGAAATTACATATCGATACGTTTTTACTCTCTTGAGCACATTAGCTATAATTTTCTTTGGAACTTAGTAATATTTCGAATTAATAGTGAAGAACGAAAACACTTAATTACCGATACAACCAGCATTATCGGCGCAAAGACAACCCAGAATAAGTCTTCTTCATGAGACATCCAACACCTGTAGGAAAGAATGATTCTGGCCATTATAATTCAGGAACTTTTATGACAAACTTAAATCCAAAACATAAAAAAGGAAGTAAAATTTTATTTACCATTGTTTTGTACCATATTTGTCATTTTTTATTCCAGCAACTAAGCCGACAAATAGTAAAGGAAATCCTGTGAAGTGGATTGAAATAAAAGCTAAATAATATTCTTGTATATTTACATCAAATAAGTAAATTAGCTTGTAGGTATTGTAACGTTACTTACGTGGTGTTCCTATGCATGAGCTAATTTTCTTAATCAAAAGCTAAATAAAGTTACCTATGTTGACACTTTGAATGCATGCATTCAAAAAATGTGCAGATCGATGCCCAGAAAAGCAAATATACTTATCAAAAAATCCCGAAGTGAAGAAATCCGGACATTTCACTTTGTAAATATTACAAAGTTTTTCCATGCAAAAGTAAAATATCGTTACCTAAACGTTTGATATTAAAGTTACTATAATTATCTTGCATATCTGTAACATTGACAATAATAATTGAACAAAAATAGTCGAGATAACGACGAGATGTACGTTAAAGTGATTAATCAGTTGTGGAGTTATATGTGACACTTACCCCAACCAAATACCATGAAATTTTTAATTCTTACACACTCTCCACTGTACACAGAGATTAGCTTTAAATAAAGCATCACAGCTTCAAGAAGCATCCATACAAAAGAAGCCAAGGAAAAATAATGAACCAAGATGGCCACAACCTTGCAAGCGACCTAAACAAAAAAAGATAACCTATAGTTTATACACACTTGCTCAATATACATTGAAAACTGATTTGAAGCCAAGATGTCGGAATGTGAAGCCTTTCTCGTAGGTATGATCCAGGCCTCCACTCCGAAATATCGTATGTAAAATGGCGGCAATTATGATTTTACCTTTGAAATTTCCGCGCCTGAGGCTGGATCATACCTACAAGAAAGGCTTCATGTTTCGCCATCTTGGCTTTACTGATTAATGAGCGAAAGACAGAGGGCTAGCGTTCCAGACTTATCTCAGTTCACTGGTGCACTATATAAATCCATGCCTTACCTTATCATCTGTGGCAACCATCCCCACTAGAAAAACAATCTGTGTCAATCCCAATGCAATCTGCAAGTTGAAATGTACCAAGTGACGACTAGTCGTCAGAATCTTGAGATCCTTGCTGAAATTTGAAAATACAACAAAATTAAATTATCGACAGTTTTTAAACTGATAATCATCAAGTTCTTAGAAATTATCATCTTTTAATTTCCAGTTAAAGAGCCAATCCTTACTCACTGGAAGTTGATTTTAAAGTGGCACGTACAAATTGAGCATTAGTTGGCTGCACTTAACATGAAGTTTCAGTCGATTAATATATTAGTTGAAGAAATAAGACTGTATGTATACTCACAACAAAACAGCATAAATAATGCATGAGATCAATAGGCCAGCCAGTGATAGTCCAGTTCCGATATAATAGATGATCTCTATTGCCTTTTTATTGGAAGCGCTCATCTAAATTAAATATATAGCAGCGAAAAAAGAGAACGTGTTACGTGTGCTATTAAAATGTATATGTTAGAGTCGTTTTACCTCGTCGGTTTTTGGAAGAATAACCATTGTAAAGCTTGATAAATGATTTGTCAAACATGTAATATCATCTTCATTGACTGAATCAACACTCATATTCTTATCGCTCCATTCCTCTCCGTCCAAAAACAAGCATTTCACCTGAAAGGTTGAAACAATAACGACAAAAATGGACTTTATAGTAATTTTGAAAGATAGAGATGTTCAGCAATAATAATCTCGGATAGAATTAAGATTAAACCAATAAGAACCTAGTACTTTTACGCCTCTGACACCCATGCATGATCCTGATTTTATATGAAAAGTTTTGAAATGTTTTTTAATCTCAATCTAATTTATTTTAATCTCAGTCAAGTTTTTTAACTTCGTACCTGCTCTTTTAAAACTCTTTTCAGCCTGTTGGAAAAATTCAAAGATATTGTTTCTTCTAGCGTTGATAAGAGTTTCCCATTGACAATATAATCCAACGTTATGATTTCAGATTGGGCAATGGGAGAGCGATCCCTATAGACAAATCAAGTTATAGCCGTTAACATATATTAAACAAAGCTGAACATTGGTAATTCGAATAAGAATTCGAAATAAAAAGACTGGATTAATGCTTCAATTAAGGACTCCGTGGTATATAAATATATAGGACGTCTCCATAGAGGGTAGGGTAGGGTAGGTGTTGTTAATAGCCATATAGCCCATAGACTACGGACACGGGGGAGGGGTGCAGCTGCTATAAAACTAACATGAATTTGATTTTACACACAATACAAAGATTCATTCGTGTTATTCCGCGCTGTTATTTACGAGAGGAGAGATTTTTGTCTCCCAATTCTTTCATCAATGATAGGGAATTATGCCAGGATCACGTAGGTATATACACAGATTCGATTCTACCGAAAGACACGGTTCGCCGATTTTCGGCAGTTTCCGTTTTGGTCTGCGTTTAATATCCGTAATATAGCGTAATATTCTAAAAAACCTCTTTCTGTCTTACACATGCACGCACAAAAAGACTAATATAATAGCTACATACCACAGATGGCTGGTGTTCACTGTGACATTATCCAAACGCATGAAAATCCTTTTCACAGAACCTGTGCAATGTCCAAAATACATTTACTAGCAGATAACTCAGTTATCAGGGAGGGTAATTCTTTTAGGAATGCCTTCCCGCTGGGAGAAGGAAAAAATATTAGACTAACGAGGACGCTGAAAACCAAGGTGGTACTACGTGTAGAGGCCAATGTAGAAAATATGTCGTGAAGAAAACAAATCTAAATTTTTCGGGGATTGTAAAGTTAAAACACACCGCGGTCAATTATTTTGCAACTGAGAAATAAGCTATGGGAAATTAATTATATGCTACCAGGACTATGACATAATCATACAAGCGCTTCAATTGTGCTAAGAACCTCTGATGGCTAGCTGATATTGTAGTTTCATAGCAGCTATCAAAAAGCTACCACGTTGCTTTCATGTCATCGAGAAGCCGTGAAAATGCCTCATTTGCATGAAGGCGTCGCAAGAATGACAACGCCTGTCGTGGGGACACAACGTCTCGCGTTTGATGTTTCTTTGTTGTGCAAACGCCTCGTCGAGCTGACCGCGTCGTGAATCGTAAACTCCCCAATATTTGCATGACGATGCATCGTGCAATGTGACGGACCATTTGGCGAATGTAAAACGAGAAATTTGGAAATTCATTGCTATGAAGTGGTTTTTCTTCGATATAACTCACAATTTGCCCGGCTTTGGCATAGCTTCCTAAGAGATTTGTACGGTGTTGTCTTATTTTGAATGAAGTGCGTGAAATTCCCAACGAAGATTTCCAGCTCTGAAAAGAAAAGCCAGTTAGCGACGTAAAGAACGGTCATCCTTCACGACAAGTTACCATGCATGCAACCAGGTGCATGTTTGCAAATTTAAACGAAAACATGCATGCAGATGTCATGCATCACAAATTCAAAGTTAATCTAAAAGAGTCAACCAGTATAAGAGATCTAATCTTTAGCCTTATTATATCGCAAAAAACGTAAGAAAGATCCTTTTTTTATAAGTATAAAAAACACTATATGATTCCAGGGGCCGATTGTTCAACGGCCGGTTAGCTTAATCGTGGGTTAAAACAAATCTTGAAACCGAATTAAAGTTGAATATCTTTATTCATAAATATTTTCTGGACCGACCGAAGTAATATTTTTTTAAAGCACAGGATTAAATTTAACCCAGGGTTAGCGCTAAGCTAATACCTTAATTTGAACAAGTGCCCCCAGAAGAGAAATTGGTGGCTATACATGTACAAAATCCTGATCGAAAAGAACAGCTAAAAATGAGACTTGTCATGTTCGTCGCTCAATTCTACATAATCAGTGATAATTTATGCAATTTAGAAAATGATGATTATGTATCTGATTGATAGAAGGACAAGGAGTTAGTGAAAATTACATACTCGAAGTGCCGTTTTCTAGTCTCCATGAATTGGAAAAGGAAGGAGGGCGTACATGTTTAATAATTTCTTCATTAAATTGGTGTAGTGCTTTCCTGCGACTCTGTTAACAATAACGAAGATAAAGATAATTAATTTGCGACACCAAATAAACTTCAGTCCTGTTTTATAGCTCCACGCTAGCTAGCGCTGTTGACCGGAGCAAAAACGTATGCGTTAAAGACTTTGCATGGCCCCGTTCACACGGTGCCGGATTGCTATCGAAACAGGTCAAGTTTTGAAGTTAATAAAAGACATTGGAGATTATAAATCTCCGAAACTTGAAGAAATATACCAAATCTTTCAAATTAATAAACATTTCCTAATAGTCGTTGCTTCATAACGACAAACGAAGATTTCATGACGAGCGGAGCTATATATATTATATAACAATTAAACAAAAGCAAGAGTAACAATTAAACAAAAGCAAGAGAGTGACCACAACTGTATAAACAAATTCAGTTGCTGCATGTGTGGAATTAAATTGCCCTTAGTAAAAAAAAACACATGTACGAAATGACATTTTATTGAGTTTTCTGACCTTATTTAACCTCTGTAACTTTCTGAATTTTTGAAATTCCGACGACATAATTTCCTGCAAAACAAATATCATTTGGCCTTTGACGTGGATTATTTTTAATTCCAATTGGAGAACATTTCCCATGCATGCCTTTGAAACGTTTTTTAAAGATGAGGTAAAGTCTATTCCGCATATATTCCGCGCAGCAACACATTCCATCAATAGGGGAGCAAATTTTTTGATATTAGCGCGATATTAGCGCGTTGTATTACAAACGGACAGTTCGGGAGCACAATTATTTTATTTTATGTCGCAAGGCGAAGAGCCTCGAATTGCGAGTGATGAAGATAAGGCTGCTAGAAAAAAGCAATATTATGCATAGAGGAATGCTTCAAAAATTTATTTGTCAAATGAGGACCCGAGATGGCGAGGCTATTTATCGTCGCTACAGACGCTACTTTCTCGCTTGTTCTACAATTACAAATATATAAAGGTTTAAGTAACGGTTTATTTACAAGCTTCGCTTTATATCTTCTTCAAAATATAATAATATTTTCTTTGAAAATATAATATAAAATAAGCATATTCATAACAGCTGGTTGAGCGAGAACGAGAAGAAACTAAGAAGATTAATACGACTCGTACGTCATTTAAAGATTATATAACCAATGTAAACAAGCATTGTAATGCGCGGAATATATGCGCAGAACGGACTTTACATCATCTTTAAGCTGGCTAAGCCTCCAGCCGAGTTCGTTCGAGCTGAAAAGAGCGTAGTAGATTAGTAGAAATGCAAAATGTTGCGAAATGTTTGGTTCCGAAATGTTGTAATTTGTAGCCTTACAAAGTTTGCAAATTTATATCCTTTTTTCTACGGAGGCCAAAAATGGTAACAATTTCCGATTGTAGTAAAAAAGTATACTAATTTCCAAAAAATGCAAAAGGTTCATTGAGAAAAAAATCAAGCTCGCTCGATCGTCCTCAATATATATGCCCGATGAAAGCCGACAGCCTCAAAACACGATACAGTTTCGTCTATCGCCGTCATCGACCGGAGAGAAATTCAGCCTATATAGTGTGGTGGAAAAACACCTTGAAATTTGTTTCAGAATTTTGCGCGTGGAGTTTATACCTATATGCAAATGCATATTTATCCCGAAAACTCGCTGAAAACCGGTAATTATTGAATTAATTGAATTAATTTTTTCACTAGTGACTTCACTATCAGAGCTGTTAATAAGCTATTCTGGAAAAAAAAAGTATTGTTCGCTAAAAATATAATTATTATATTTCGCTGTTTTGCTATGAAAATTACATGAATATATTTAAAAATGATTACCTGGCCCCTTATTAGTTCGCAAACGGATTCAGCAACATTCTTACACATTGTGTCTGAAATTAAAGCATGCTGACAAGCAAAAGAATAGGAAAAAACCGAGAACAACAGGAACACGACGAAATGTACACCATACACTTGCACCATATAGCGCAGATATTTGTAAATTTACTAATATGAATTCGAAGATGTAACATCTTCGAAGAGATATAGCCTATAGAGTCCGTTGTCCGCTATAGGCAAATTCATTCGCGCGACACAATGCGATATTTGAAATCCAGTGATGTGATTGGTTTGCGAAAAAATTCGCCGCGAAAAAGTAGAATCGTTTCCAACTTTTTATAAGTTGGGACGAATAAATTCGCCTATAGTGGATAACTGGCTTAACACACGTATAATTATAATCTTACCTGAAAGCTTAAATTTTGAAATTTCGTTCTTTCTGGCATATTCACACCAACAAGCATTTGAATAATTGGTACTCATATTTCCTAGTACAGTCATTAATTTAGTGCCCTGTAATTTCTCGTTTTTGTTACACTGTAAGATCCATAAGATTTCGGTGGAGCTCTTTGTTTTGATGGCACAAGGAAAATCTTTTGCGCCATCATCGCAACTAACGAAGGTTTCTTTGGATCTTTTTAGGCATTCCTTGGCCTTTTTGAATTGTTCACTGAATTGTTTCACTTCAGTTGCTAAGAAAAAGAGTTAGTTACAGTTAATTTCACATCCATAATGCCAAAATACCATTTATATAATCGTTGTAAATTGATTTGTTCCGATTTCAATTTGTTCCGATATTCGTGATTTTACATGAAACATATTCGATTACAGCTATTTCAATTATAAGGTGGTCTCAGATAAAGACTATACCACTATACTACGGCCTTTCTCATATCATTAAAGCAGAAAATAAAATATCTTAATTCGCTAACATTTGATACACACTTACAAGGATATGACTACATATGACCACAGTGAAAACACTTACATATAAATATGAATATACACTAATACACATACAAAGATTTGACCCTTATTTGGGTAAAATATAGGGTTTGTGTGAGACATAATATAGATGCAAAACCAACAACATTAATAAATACCTAATACACCAGTCTTTGTCGTATAAACTTGTAAATATTGGTGAGTTTCACGTATTGTTTTCACAGTGATTTGAAATGATATGAAATTGCGTATATTTGCCACAAAGCACATGAAAAGCTAACACATACAATCAAAAATTAACTCGAGATGACTCCCACTGGAATCATGACGTCACATTAAAACCCAAGAATAGAGAAGACTCCATAAAATTATTTTTATAGCAATTTTGTTTCCATTTCAAAACCATTTTTTCATTTTACAATGGCGAAATTTTTCCCAAGCCCATCAGAAGTTTGTCCGAGACAATAATTATTTTACCTAATTTTTGCTAAGAGTGATAGAAGTAAATACAAAAACAGATAGGCATATATGTAAGCAATAGCACTCATATTGTAAATTGAGAAGGTATAAATTGAATTTATCTTATTTGAATCCACTATCGTAGATACTACAAACCTTTTTTGCAGGTGTTGTTTAGATCTCGGGTCTTATTTTTGACCTGTGAAAATATATGATGAAAGATTAGTTTTCCTGATGGTCCACAGGTACTTTGAAGGCGTAAGTTAGGGCTGCTTTCCAGTTACGGGTTTTTTTCTACGCACGTACGCGCACGGAAATTTGAAATGCGGGTAAATTTATTTATATATATATATATATATATATATATATATATATATATATATATATATATAAATATATATATATACTCTAATGTGGTCTATCGGCTTCAGTGCGTTAAATATTTTTAACATATCCACGTGTTTTAAATGATCGAATATAATATTGAATAAAATAAGCGACAGCACTGTACAGTTTCTGTTTTTCCATGCTTTATGTTTCTCACATTGAAAACGAGAATCGACTTCTAACGCGCTCCTTTCGAGAAGTTTCCCTTCTCTAAGACTAACACTTGCTTCATTCTATATTTTGCTAATTATTTCTAACTATTAGTACAAGCACGAAGCAAGAACTCGCAAACTCCCAACATGGAAATCGAGCAGGGATGAAAGGAAAATTGCGGCGCCGTCTGTCTTAGTCCTTCCCTAGCTCTCAGTGATCAAGCGCTGCGGGAATCTTTTTTCCGGTATCAAATTTGTCTCCGAGGGCTATGATTCATAGGACACTTTAGCTCATTTGAAATGTTTAAACCTACTGAATGTTTAAGAAAAAAGTTTAATCATTTTCGCTTAGCATTTGTGACATTCGACTCTTAATTAACACGGAGTTTAAATACTTTCACCTGTTGTTGACATCGCTTAATTCAGTTTAGTATTCATATTACTTGCTTTTTCCCAACCAAATTGTTACCATTATATATAAACAATTTAGGGTTTCGCTATTACCTATAGCAAACTTTACTTTTTCGCGGGTAAATAACGGCCAGTATATAAAAAAGAATTACATAGTGCAAACATACATGCAGGTGTACGGCAACCGATATATGCTTGGCACTTTTCCCAGCATAACAAACGATTATAAAATAAGCATAACAAACAAATTTAATTTAAGAGAAGTCGAAGTAGAGTTTAGTCAAGGGCTGCGTGTGCGGCAGATATTTAAATTAACGAAGTTAACAGCGGTACTTTTCTGGAAGGTAAAGTAGTATATAATAGATGAGTCAAAATGATGTTCTCGATCTGTTTTGGTAAATGCATTGGATACCACCAGACCATATCTTGTAAACCATACATATATACACTCTACAGTTTTGAAATATAGCAAGAAATTTTCCCGCCATTTTACATGGCTTTCGTGATCATTGAGCATGCATCAATATTCCGCTTCTTCCGTTTGCTTCATTCGAAAGAAAATACGTTGACTTTTTCTGAACAAAATAATTGTTAAGGACTTCCCAGCTTATTTAAACTATGATCAACTTGTTTAGTGTATTATAGCGAATTTAAAAAGAGACACAATAGATCTACACTTAGTAGTTTAACCCAAAAGGAAAAGTTTAAACCTGTATACGTGTCTACATGCAGCAGACTATAGCACTTTACTAAATATAACAAATATTTTATACCAATACTTTATTATATATATTATCATATATATCATACATTGTATTCATTTGCGATTTTTCTGTGCATGCAATCAGTTGAAATTCAGTACGAATCGCTCTCTTATATATAGTCAAATTTTTCGCATAATCCGGCAATATAAAGGCCGGTAAACGCTAGGCGAGAAATCGCTGCAACACGTCGTAGCGGCAATTTTGATCGTCTGAACAGGGAAATTTGAGCAAAAAATTTTTCCGCTTCGGTGCAAATTTGTCGATGCAACACGTCGGACAAAATCAAGCTAGTTTGATATTTTGCGACATGTCACAGCGACAAGGCTAGGTAATTATCGCTATATATATGATCAGATCCATGTCATTGCGAATCAAGAACTATTTACTTTGAGTATCACTTCGCCTGTATCATATTTCTACTTTCTATATTTCACAATGTAAATAGCTAATTCATTCGCACTGAAGATGGCTTATATAGTTAAGTCGAAACATGTTTGCTTTTAAAAATTCGTTTCAGTATTTTAAATGCTTAATTATCGCTCTTGTTGAGTACAATGTTTCTATCATGTATTGCCGTCCAAATGTGCACACAAAACAATTATATTTATTGCAGCCACGTATTGCAGCGATTTGTCAGAATTACAATAATTATTTGAACATATTGTATACTAAATGTTTTGGAAAGACAACCCTAATAAATTTTCTAAAAATTAGCCAATATATACTTGCATGCATCGCTATATTGATTATACAAATAAGTTATATTTGGTAATCCCATTTAACCGTATGTTCAATTTAATAGAAAAATTTTAAAAAAACAACGCAGTAACTATATTAAAAAACCCGTATTCATACCGTAGAATTAGCAAAACCGCAGATGAACCACGAAGCGATAAAGCAATATAAAATTTTTTCGCAAACCAACATATTGCTTGTCTTTCAGAAGACGGTATGAGTCAAGTGTTTAAGTTAAAAGGTCGCAGATGACGGTTGTAGAAAATGAGATGACAATTCCACTTGTGTCGACCAGCCAATGGGGAGGTATTAATATATAAAGAAATTCACACTGAATCCAGATGGCGTCTTCATATTCACATAATTGAAGTCTTGTTAATGTCGATAATTCATAATTTTATATTTTTTAAGCATATTTTGTGAGATTTCAGTTCTAAGACAGAAAATTCAATTGAATTGGCGTACTTGAACTCGAATTCTACTAAATGCGAAAGGGATTATACGAGTCGAATTTTGCCAGAATAAATAATATTTATACAGTACTTGTTTTTCTCAATAGTAATGTGTGAAGCATAATGAGGTGTATCATCTCAATATCTATGGTTTGAACTGCATCCGACGTGGCCAGAATGAGACTTATAACCTAGGCCTAATTAAGTTATTACTGTTATAATCTAAAGCCTAATGTTTCTAGACACATATATGGTACAATACAAACAACGCGTATATCATAAGCCTGCTTCCCATACGGCTCCGATGGCTATTGTCGCCGATTGCTATTGTCGATGATCATGCATTGTCAGCATTGATGAATGAAGTGCGTTGTTCTTTTGATTAATTTTTATTCCTTACCGGTCACAAAGAATACATCGCCAGGACTGTACGCGCATGGCATATCAGAACCGGTCTTCAGGGCGATACACAGTAATTGTCGATTCAATTAAATGTATTGTCTCTAAAATAAGAAGTCACTATAATAAAAAAAAACAGTATACAACTCCTTACTTTTGGGTAGACGGTATTTTAAAATGGTGTATAAGGGATATGATAAAATTAAAATTCCAACTTATGCATAGCCAATAGAGAAGCAGAGTGAAAGTGGAGCCGGGAACTATAGGTGATGTGAACGTTTTGTCATCGTCGCCATGTTGAATGATTTTAACAAAGGATTTTCTTCTTTTACAATTCAAATTTCATCCAACATGGGAAAATGTCTTTGTCTTTACTCCCACGAGAATAGTTGCACATGCACCACCTACATTTAACACTTTTTGATAAGTGCATACATGCAACGATTTCTCTGCGTAAAAACAATTGAAAAATTTGCTAATTTTTCAAACTTCAAAGAAGCTTTAATCGCGCGCTTTTCTTAACTGTCGCAACATTCCCGCGTGTTTGGGGATCAAGCCATCCAAACACAAAACCATTAGAGGAATACGGCAATAAACATTTATCTTTGTCTATTTTAAAAGAAAGTCATGATTATGTGAAAAATTCGTTTGTGAATTTTTGTTAACTTTATTACTTCTCAAGATATTTTTGAATGAAATTATCTTTCATCCGCCATTTTTGAAATGCATATTCTTGCTCTGATATGCCTTACTTCATAAGCTGGGTGAAAATTCGTTTTGTAACTTCAAATTAACGATTGCAAGGAAATTGGCATAGTGTAACACCACCTTTATTGAGTCCTACCTTAAGTCGACCATAAACACACGCATGCACTTGAAGTCATAGCTACTAAGGATGTACCACTTGAAGTGAAGGCCAGATGCATCTAAGTTATATTGGTACTAATCTTGTCGTGTTGAAATAGACCATTATTGTCCGGCAGCTATATGCATGTGACACACTATTACCTGTCGCCTCTATATCATTCAGATAATCGCCAGTATGAAGTGAACATACCACAGAATGATGACTTAATTTCGTTTTGGAGTACTTTAATTCTAGATGTTCGCTTGATTTGGCAGTCCTACTTACAATAACAACAAACTCCTCTTCAGAATGATACTTGTCCGCATGGATTATATACTGACATCTCACGTATTTACTTGTTAAGACTTTTACATGCGTAGTGATCCATGTCTCTCATGTATGCCTCGATAAAATATACGTCGTATTCGTCTGGTCGTTCACCATGTAATATCCGAGCATCAATTGTTACCAAAATGCTGGTTGCTTGTTGTTTTAACTTTTGGTGGCAAGTTTCATGAACATGCATGCCCGTCAACCACACTCGTGTGAACGCAGGAAATTGAATAACGACTATACACCAGCTTACATCATTAAAATACGCATAACATATTAGGAGAAAACAATACAAGGGTTATACAGGGTGTCTCCAGAAAAACGCAACCACTTAAATATGCAAGATGATTAATATTGTTCTGGTTTGCACCACAGTTCAGCTAAAATGACTTTTAGCATTTATATGAAGGATTAAGAGCCATTTTCAATTCGCAGAGGTGCTTATCTATTGTGTTTTAGGCCTGTGTTAGACGTCGCATTTTAGTCGCGTCGAATGCAATTCAAACAATAGATAATGAGATGATAAACCTCACTAAACTTCATTATCATCTCATTATCTATTGTTTGAAAATGCGACATCTAACACAGGCCTTAGGCCAAAACAAAGTCGAGCACTGATGAAATGGCCACTGGTACCCATTTTAGCCGTGCCGTAACAAAAAATCAAGTGTAGTATAAACGGGGCTGAAATAGGGCTTTAATTGAAATTACGCTTGTGAATATCTTCTTTTCAAAAGAACATTTGGTCTTTGAATGGAAATCACAAAATTATGTTGCAGTTGATGGGTATTTGCACAAAGGTAGCCACAATTCAATAATATAATGTATTACGGGCATTTATTTCATATATATAATGCAGCCGTACATATAATTTACAAGATTATCTCAACACTTTGGAGAACTATAGACCAATTGCGAAACTTAGTGACCGCGCCTTCGCTCAACACGGAAACGAGGCTTATTATGCAAAAAACAATATTTGTATTTTTTGCTGTACAAAGCTATTCGCCGAGTTATATGCCGTTTTTCGCCTTTGTTTTACATATTTTTCGATACCTTTCAGCTTGGTTTCATCGTTGTTATCATAGTTTTCAGGTTAGGAAGTTTAGCCTTTCAATTGAGGCGTTTTTGTGGTATTTTCATTAATCTTTTCGGCTGCTTTCGTCGGGGAAGTATGGAAAAGGCCGACACAAACTCAGGTAAAAGTTTAGTTTTTCCAAACTATTTCGTCTCAAGTTTTGAAAATATATTTCATTTTTCTCCCTCTTATTTGTGCAAAATTTGGCGACATATATTTGGTGCAAAATCTATGTTTTTATGTCAAAAATTATTGAAAAGTCACGATCGAACAAACCACCATGTTCACATTTCTCATCTAAAATTTTTTTATGCCAATTTTATCGATCGATAAGATGTAATTTGACAGCAATTTTTCAGCTCAGCAAAAAAAATAGTAGAATTCTTTTGACAAAAACTATAAGAGATAAAATAAGCAACGGAGTTTTATGTTTATTTTCCCTGTGTATATAGACTACAGAGTACAGTACATGTGATGTGATGCCGACTGAAAAGCAAAACAACTCTTCAACTTGGCACACATGCATGACATGGATAGTAAAATACTTATAACCAAAACATAATATCATTGTCTATTTTGAATTGTCATTTGAATATTCCTTTTCCGGCAATAACATACTATAAAGCCACAATGCGAGCTGCAGCGTTTTTTAAGATACACCTTTACATGATGGCAAAGCCGAAAGCGAAAAATATTTAAACCGGAGTTCGCAAGTGTTTTTCCGTTTAGGATGGTGAACGGGATCCATTCCTTTTCAGGTATTCCTGGTTAACCCTTATTAAACATCTATTGCATGGTAGTAGATAGAAAGAATAGTGTTTTGTACTAACAAAAATGCAGAATTCAGATGCAAACTCAGATGCATTCGAATTCGACTTTTATAAAATTCGACCTTCAGGCCGGCATGCAAGCTATGCATCGTCTCTACTTTATTAAAACGAATATAAACAAAAACATTTCAGTCAGTTACTTTTGACCATCTTAACAGTATTACTGTGGTATAAAGAAAAAAAATACAGTGATATTTGTGAATAAATTTGAATAAATGAAGCCATTTCAGTCATCAGGTTTGAAAATTATATAATCTGACTGTCACTTTTCAATAATTTTTGACATAAAAACATAGATTTTGCAGCGAACATATGTCGCCAAATTTTGCACAAATAAGAGGGAGAAAAATGAAATATATTTTCAAAACTTGAGACGAAATAGTTTGGAAAAACTAAACTTTTACCTGAGTTTGTGTCGGCCTTTTCCATACTTCCCCGACGAAAGCAGCCGAAAAGATTAATGAAAATACCACAAAAACGCCTCAATTGAAAGGCTAAACTTCCTAACCTGAAAACTATGATAACAACGATGAAACCAAGCTGAAAGGTATCGAAAAATATGTAAAACAAAGGCGAAAAACGGCATATAACTCGGGGAATAGCTTTGTACTACAAAAAATACAAATATTGTTTTTTGCATAATAAGCCTCGTTTCCATGTTGAGCGAAGGCGCGGTCACTAAATTTCGCAATTGGTCTATTATTATTATTATTATTACTTTAGCTGATTGAACACTTACTGTTCACAAAACACTGAATAGAAGCAAAAATTATTCTTGCCTGGTGCCAACTATGATTGAGGTGAGCAGAAGGCCCTGTTTCTTTTATTGCTTTAAAAAATCTTTTGTTTCTCATCAAATATACTATACTGCCCGCGTTTATACTACATATACTATGCCAAGTTTTAATTTCCTGCATATTTCACATTAGGTTTGGTATATACAAATAAAAATGACATCATTTGGACTAAATTTGGAGATTTGTTCCAAATTTCATCCGTACCAAACCTAAAATCATGCGTAGTTTAAATGGGGCTTATGTTTCTTTCTGTAATTTTATGACACAAAGCAAGAATGTAGAACTGAACAGCGTCGCATTTAAAAGAGTGCTTTAGTGTTAACTACCATCAACATAGATTTGAATAATGTTTCATACGTACTATATGATATATATGAATCATACTGAATAGATAAAATGTTAAATGCTTATAGGTTTTAATATTTTAACATGCATTGTTATATTTAGTTCAAGATACTTTCATCCCCTAAAATAAATTTAGTTTTCAGTATTAATAATTATTACAATTTTGTTATTCCAAAGTTTGGTCATTTAAACAAACAAACAAACAAAACAAACAAAGTGACAAATTAACAAATACTATATAAAACATTGCAATCCTACATATAATTGACACTGAACTCCTTGCAATGAATTTTGCTCAAGATTAAAATGATGTACATCATAAATATGTCATATCTTCCTACTTTATTTCCAAGCCTGAGGTAGGGTTGACTTCGTAGCCCATTTTCCGACCAACTGCTACACGAATCTGCAGAAAAGAAAGTTACGTCGTAACGATTTCTTCGTCTCATCGATGTTCGATTTCGAATTGACTCGCTTTCAGACGGAAATGGAATTCTTATAATAATTATGTGGACCCAGCATAAAACGTTTAAGATTGCCATAAGAACATTTAACAATATCATATCTCAACTGTAAATCATCCAATCAGAAAGCTCGATTTGTACCACGTGATCAGTAAATTAATCATGGAGTTCCATCGAATTTTTTCACAATATGCTATAAAAGTATAGTACCCCGCTGCAGCGGGGTATTCGAGTTTGCGTGTACCACGCGTGGATGCCTCGCACACGACTCGAGGTTGTCAACAATTTCAAACGGGAAGCAAAAGAAGCCATTTCACCCAGCTTTTGCGCTGCCTACACGTTGTTTCGATATAATATATAATTCATGGACCTTCCGCTCGGGGAATTCGACGAAATATTACCCCTTCGGGAAGATATATCTTCCCTTGGGGGTAATATTTCGTCGAATTCCCCGAGCGGAAGGTCTATAAATGATAATTATTTTTGTGCCTCAACCCAGCACAATAGTATATCGTGTTTACCCAAACACATGCAACTGAGTTTATCCATGCACCTGATACTAATCATAACTTAATTAGGAAACTATTACGAACCTCTCTGTTGCAAACTCCATAGATGAGAAAGATGAGAAATCCCTGTTAAAAAGTGTTTCATCGAGTGTTGAAATATCATCCATAAGTTTCATAGTTCATACAATACATGCATATCGTGCATATCTGTTGAACCATAAATTCATTTCAAAATTTTCCGGTTCAAGTGCTACCGACAACACTGATATCGCCGGGTAAGCAGCGTCATAAGTGAACCAGGCTTTATGTAGTATAAGAAAGATCTAACCTGCCCAAACCTCTCGGAACACCCTGAAACGTCAGTGCCATGCAGGTATGCGATTTTTAATTTCAAATGAATACTTTGTGTATTTGATTTGGAATGAAGGACTATGAGGACTGGATCGGGCTTGACAAAAAAGGTGTCTTTATACTGAAACCATTATTTTAGAGACAAAGGTATAGCATTCCTGCCCTATGCGGACTTTAGGTAGATTGTGTTTCGTGAGGAATACTAGAATGTATTGCTATATATGCAAACAGAATTTAGCATCGGCATACAGCAGGGATGGCATCCCCCTACAATTGTAACCCTTGTTACCTGCATCGATGTAAATATTGCGAACAGATATAGCCATACCACCACCTCAGTATTATATCTTGCAATGACACCGAACGCCCAGGAAAGACCAAGAGTTGGAAATAATATGATAATACCTCGAGCCGCAGAGCTGTAGAAAAGATTAATATTAAAGTGAAAATTATATTGTGAGGTCCTGAGATAAAAATTCTACCCAAATTTTGCATGTTTCGAATTTCTCTCGTAAAGGACACTAGTTCGTATTCATTTATTAAAAGGTACAGGTACCTAAATGTTCTTAGATATTAAGACAACACAGCGTATTAGTATAGAACTATAGAAGTTCAAAATTTAGGCAAATCGTTTGTTGACACAAGGACTTGACACTTTGAATTTTCGACACCTACCGCCCGTAGTTTAGAGTAGAGTGTTGACGCTCAATATCGCAATGCCGTTTCACGAGTATGCGTGAATAGCGTAATATATAACTTACATGATATTTTTCTTGGTATCGTGACCTTGGGCGTTTGAAAGACGAAACACTAGACGAGCCACAGCAATAACAACCACAATAGTTACCTGTAATTAATGCGATTGCTTTGTCAATGTTAAACTGTAAGTAGTTGATTCAGGCATTGAGAATCGCTTCTAATGTTGACCTTCGGGGGCTTCGTATGTTGTTGAAAGGTCCGCGCGTCATTAGAGGGTAAGAATATCGGGTTTTACATCATCGGTATAAGATATGGATTTAGCCATATTCGAGCCATCCTCGTTCCCAGGGTTTTCGCGTACAGCTACGAAAAACCTAGGAACGAGGTTGTATTCGAGCACCCGACTACGACTCATATCTTACTAGTATTATAAAGTGTAACGTAAGTATGAACTTGCCGATAATGTTATGACCACTGGCGCAAAGAAAACCCAGGAAAAGCCTTTTTCATAAGATATCCAACACCTGAAAGAGTGTATAACGCGGTAGTCAGATGAAACTACGTTTTGAATTACTGAAAATATTCGCAGTTCACGATGACGACAAAAGTTAAAGGTATATTTTTCTTTAAAATGTACTGCAATTGCAACTGATTTAACTCCGCTGTTGTCATATTCACTCAATTCCATTGATGCTTTTCTTCCTCTCTGTTCCGAGATGCTTTTGCGTGAGATATTCACATCATCTTTTTCGTGATTGTGAATCACAAATATTCTCGCTAATTAACGCCTGCATGAATATCTTCAGTGTTGCAAAAAATCGAATCAAGAATGGTTTATTTATCGATAGGAAGAAATTAAAAATATGTTTTACCATTGTTTTGTACCATATTTGTCAGTTTGTAGTCCCGCAATGAAACCAACATACACGAAAGGAAATCCTGAAAATTATATATCGATGTTATTATGATATGTATTACTAAACTTCTATAAACTGCACCTAAAATCTATTTTATCTAGCTACTAAGATGTTCTTTTAGTTTCTTCTTAAAAGACTTGAGTTCTGAATTTTTTTTCAGTTTATCATCAATGTCGTTCCATATCCTATATACAACAATTCCATGTGTGTGTATATTGCCTTGAATATAAATTACACATTACTTCATGGTTGGCGAGTGCGTATATGTATTTCCTGCACGAGTTGCGAAGAATCGCAAAAGCAATGAACGAGCGAGTTTGCAATCCTTTACAGCGCAATTTGCTCATTAGCTAGATATGCATGTATAGAGATCAATTTGACAACGAAACGCTTTCTAAATACAAAAATACAGTGAGCAACAAAAGTCTAAATTTTGTGAATCAAAACAGATATTTATATTACGTGACACTTACCCCAACCAAATATCATGAATTTCTTTATTCTCACAAACTCTCCACTGTACACAGAAATTAGCTTTAAATAAAGCATCACAGCTTCAAGAAGCATCCATACAAAAGAAGCCAGGGAAAAATAATGAACCAAGATGGCCACAAGCGTGCAAGCAACCTGTCAGAATAGATAACAGTTCGGCCTAAACATATTTTAATTAATCCACAACTATGCACTATTCACGTCTTACCTTATTTTGTGTGGCGACCCCACCGGCGAGAAAGATCATTTGTGTCAATCCTAATGCAATCTGCAAGTTGAAATGCACCAAGTGCCGACTGGTCGTCAGAATCTTGAGATCTTTGCTAAAATTTGAAAACACAACGAAATCTATTTATGAAGTGATTTAACTGGGAAGGATCACCATGCAAGCCTATACGGGCTGATTTCCAGTGTTGCGTTCTTCCTAGCCTTCGGAGAATAATTGATAAACAATGATTATACTTACTAAAGAACAACGTAGACAACACACGAGAACATTAGACCAGCCAACGACAGTCCAGATCCGATATAATAGATAACATCTATTGCTTTTCTGTCTGAATCGCTCACCTGGATTAAATATTTGGTACCGCGAATGAACATATGAAATACAACATGATATCTGAAAATCGTTGGTACACGTTATTACCTCGTCTGGTTTGGAAAGAATAACCATTGTAAAGCTTGTTAAGTGATTTGTCAAACACGTAATATTGTCTTTATTAACTGAACCAACACTCATATTTTCATCGCTCCATTCATCTACATCCAAAAACAAGCATTTCACCTGAAAGGTTGAAACAATAACAAAAAATATTGACTCTATAGTAATTTTGAAAGATAGAGATGTTCGGCAATAATAATCTCGGAAACCAATAAGAACCTAGTGTTTTAACGCCTCTAACACCCATGCATAAAAGTTCTGAAATATTTTTTAATCTCAATCTAATTGATTTTAATGTCAACTTCATACCTGCTCTTTTAAAACATTTTTCCGCAGCTTGTTGGAAAAACTCAAAGATATTGTTTCTTCTAGCGTTGATAAGAGTTTCCCATTGACAATATAATCCAACGTTATGATTTCAGATGGGGCAATAGAAGAGTGGTCCCTATAGACAAATCAAGTTATAGCCGTTAACATATATTAAAGTGCCTGTATCAACCTCAGGGAAATAACCTACTTAGATAGATTAGACGATTTTAAGAACATTTGCAATATATTATTTGATAAGTCGAAAATTTGATCTTCATGTACTTTTCGGGCCTCAAAGTTGGCTTTTTTCGTGTTTGACCGTGAGGTGCTGTGAGTGGGAACTAGTTGCCCTTTTTCACCGGAAGTGACGTACATTGGAGAACACGCTAATTTTGTAAACAAGAAACACGCTTTAAAATATAGAAATATTGCGGCAGTAAAGTACGAAATCTTGTAGTATATAAACGTTTTGGTTCGTTTTTCGCTAAAATGACGTCGTCAAGTATTTCCGACAACTTAGACAGCCAACTTGATTCGGATATTTAATTCATCCCGTATTATGTATCGCCAATATTGGAAGTTAAAGACGATGCGATACTGTTGCTTCAAGAGACAGTACGCCTACACATGACGGTTTATATGAACCTTACCAAGACAAACCGATTGCTGACCGTGCCGAGTATAATGAAGACTAAAAGAGGGACGTGTACATGAAGAAAGAAGGCAGCTTCTTTTATTCGCAAAACGGCCGGACTATCCCAGTGTCAGATTGGTAAGTGAAATATATAAAGGCACTATATCATTACATATAAAGCACTACATATACTGACATTTCACCCTACTGTTTCACAATCAATATAAATATATGTTTCTGTGCAAATGTAAAAATTGCAAGATCGATCTCTTGGTAAATGAAAAACAGGAGCGTTGAAGCGTTGATTGGAGAACTTGTCTATTGAAAAGGTCTATTGGTTTATAGCTACTTGGGAAAGAGAAGAATACCTTTGTCAGCATGTGCTTATGATTTCATTCCAGACAAAGTTTTGGAGGAAAGATCTTTAAAACCTTCAAACCTTTGTCTTATGGAATCATAAGCATATGCAATATATAGATCAATGTGAAGTATTGAGAACCTATTCTAAATTATCATGTTTGAATTGAAATGGATAAAGGACATGCATATTAGCCACTAGTTATTGTTGAATACTTGCCTGTTTTAATCACCTTGCACATTTATACTTCCTTCCATCTATGTTATGAGACAGACGCAACGACCTGGGCGCATTGTTATGCAGTGTGGGACTTCTCCAACTTCTTGTAAGACAAGTTCTCCAATCAACGCTTCAACGCTCCTGTTTTTCATTTACCAAGAGATCGATCTTGCAATTTTTACATTTGCACAGAAACATATATTTATATTGATTGTGAAACAGTAGGGCGAAATGTCAGTATATGTAGTGCTTTGTATGTAATGATATAGTGCCTTTATATATTTCACTTACCAATCTGACACTGGGATAGTCCGGCCGTTTTGCGAATAAAAGAAGCTGCCTTCTTTCTTCATGTACACGTCCCTCTTTTAGTCTTCATTATACTCGGCACGGTCAGCAATCGGTTTGTCTTGGTAAGGTTCATATAAACCATCATGTGTAGGCGTACTGTCTCTTGAAGCAACAGTATCGCATCGTCTTTAACTTCCAATATTGGCAATACATAATACGGGATGAATTAAATATCCGAATCAAGTTGGCTGTCTAAGTTGTCGGAAATACTTGACGACGTCATTTTAGCGAAAAACGAACCAAAACGTTTATATACTACAAGATTTCGTACTATACTGCCGCAATATTTCTATATTTTAAAGCGTGTTTCTTGTTTACAAAATTAGCGTGTTCTCCAATGTACGTCACTTCCGGTGAAAAAGGACAACTAGTTCCCACTCACAGCACCTCACGGTCAAACACGAAAAAAGCCAACTTTGTGGCCCGAAAAGTACATAAAGATCAAATTTTCGACTTATCAAATATGTTGCAAATGTTCTTAAAATCGTCTAATCTATCTAAGTAGGTTATTTCCCTGAGGTTGATACAGGCACTTTAAACAAAGTTGAACATTAATAATTCGAATAAGAATTCGAAATATAAAAAAAAACTGGATTAATGTTTCAAGACTCCGCGGTAAATATATAGGACCTCTATAGAGGGTAGGGTAGGGGTTGTTAATAGCCATATAGTCCCTGGACTACGGACACTTGGTGAAGAGGGGTGCAGCTGCTATAAAATTAACATGCATTTAAATCATACACACAATACAAAGACTCCTTCGTGTTATTCCGCGATGTTATTTACGAGAGCATAGATTTTTGTCTCCCAATTCTTTCTTTTTGTATCCCAAAGCCGATTTTCGGCAGTTTCCGTTTTGGTCTGCGTAATATCCGTAATATAGCGTGATATTCTACAAAAACCTCTTTCTGTCTTACACACACGCATGAAAAAACTGATATAATAGCTACATACCAAAGGTGGCTGGTGTTCACTGTGACATTATCCAAACGCACGAAAATCCTTTTCACAGAACCTGTGCAATGTCCAAAATACATCTGCTAGCAGATAACTCAGTTATCTTAATGTTTTTTTTAAAGCTTTTTAACCGGTCAGGGAGGGCAACTCTTTTAGGAATGCCTTCCCGCTGGGAGAAGGAAAAAAATATTAGACTAACGAGGACGATGAAAACCAAGGCGGTAGTACGTGTAGAGGTCAATGTAGAAAATATGTCGTGAAGAAAACAAATTTTTGGGGGATATTGAAGTCAAAAGACACCGCGAGTAGAAACTGGATTACGTATAATTTTACACAGTTTTGCAACATGCTATTGGGAGTTTACAATCCATGACCTCGCTAGCTCAATGTCGCTGGTCAATTATTTTGCAACTAAGAAATAAGCTGCAGGAAATTAATTATATGCTGCCAGGACTATGACATAATCATACAAACGCTTCAATTGTGCTAAGAACCTCCGATGTCTAGCTAATATTGTAGTTTCATATAAGCTATATCAAACAGCTATCACTTTGCTTTCATGTCATCGAGAAGCCGCGGTGAAAATGCCTCATTTGAAGGCGTCGAAAGAATGACAACGCCTGTCGTTGGGCCACAAATTATGCATGCCTATTGTCTCGCGTTTGATCTTTCTTTGCTTTGCAAGCGCTCCGTTGACCGCGTCGTGAATCGTAAACTCCCTAATATTTGCATGACGATGCATCGTGCAATGTGACAGATCATTTGGCGAATGTAAAACGAAAAATTTGGAAATTTATTGCTATCAAATGGTTGTTCATCGATATAACTCACAATTCGCCCGTCTTTGACATAGCTTCCTAAGAGAATTGAACGGTGTTGTCATATTTTGAATGAAGTGCATGAAATTCCCAACGAACACTTCCATTTCTGAAAAGAAAAGCCAGTTAGCGCTAACCTACAGCTTAATTAACTTGAACAACTGGCCCAGGAGAGAATTTGGTGGCTATGTATATAATCCCGATCGAAAAGAACAGCTAAAAATGTTCGTCGCTCAATTATAATCATTAATAATTAATGCAATTTAGAAAATGATGATCATGTACCCGATTGATAGAAGTATTAGTGAAAATTACATACTTGAGGTGCCGTTTTCTAGTCTCCATGAATTGCAAAAGGAAGGAAGGCTGACACGTTTAATAATTTCTTTAAAAAATTTGCGTAGTGCTTTCCTGCGTCTCTGTTAACAATAACGAAGATGATGTAGATAATATATGCATGATTTGCGACACCAAATAAACTTCAATCCTATTTTATAGCTCCACGCTAGCTAGCGCTGTCGGCCGGAACAAAAACGTATGCGTTAAAGACTTTGCATGGCCCCGTTCACACGGTATGGGATTGCTTTAAATTGAAATTCATTGATTGAAATATTGCTTTCGGAACAGGTCAAGTTTCGAAGTTAATAAAAGACGTTGGAGATTATAAAAGTCCGAAACTTGAAGAAATATACCAAATCTTTAAAATTAATAAACATTTCGTAATAATCGTTACTTCTTAACGACAAACGAAGATGTCGTGACGAGCGGAGCTATATATTATTTAACAATAAAACAAAAGCAAGAGAGTGACCATTAAACATAACTGTATAAACAAATTCAATTGCTGCATGTATATTCAATTGCCCTGAGTAAAAAAACATACACGAAATGACATTTCACGAGTTTTAATTCCGACCTTATTAAACCTCTTTAACTTTCTGACTTTACGAAATCCCGACGACATCATTCCCTGCAAAACAAATAATTGTCTATCGCCGTCATCGACCGGAGAGAAATTCAGCCTATATAGTGTAGTGGAAAAACGCCTTGAGCCTTGTTTCAGAATTTTGCCCGGAGAGTGCAATTATACGTATAGCCTAATGCCAATGCATATATATTTATCCCGAAAACTCGCTCAAGACCGGTAAGAGAATTGAATTAAATTTTTCACTAGTGACTTCACTGTCAAAGCTGTTAATAAGCTATAATGGAAAAACAAAAATATATTGTTCGCAAAAAATATTTGCTGTTTTTCTTCAGGGGTCAAAACTTAAGTCTTAATTTTGTAAACTATAGTTTTTAAATATTTTAGCTCTGACCTGTATTTCACAAGCTAAAAAAAAATTTGGAAAAAAGTATAAAGCTATATACGTTGCATGATTACCTTCATATAATAATTATTATATTTTGCTGTTTTGGTATCAAATCACATTAATATATTTAAAAATGATTACCTGACCCCTTATTAGTTCGCAAACGCATTCAGCATCTTTCTTACACTCTGTGCCTGAAATTAAAGCATGCTGACAAGCTAAAGAATGGAAAAAACCCAGGAACATCAGGAACACGACGAAACGTACAGCTTGAACCTTTTTAAACTTGCACTATACAGCGCAGATATTTGCACATTAATTTACCAATCTGCAAGACCGAACCACTGTGGATAGATATTGCCTATATATATAGAGCCCATTGTCCAGTATAGGTTTGCGAAAGAATTCGCCGCGAAAAAGTAGAATCGTTTCCAACTTTTTATCAGTTCGCGCGAATAAATTCGCCCAATATATTTCTATAGAAAACGGGCTTAACACGCGTATAATTATAATCTTACCTGAAAGCTTAAATTTTGAAATGTTGTTCCTACTGGCATAATCACACCAACGAACATTAGAATAACTGGTACTCATTTTTCTTAGTACTCTTATTAATCTAGTGCCTGTATATGTCTCGTTTTTGTTGCACTGTAAGATCCACATGACTCCTTTGGTGGAACTATTTGTTCTGATGACACAAGGAAAATCTTTTGCGCCATCATCGCTATTAACAAAGGTTCCATTGGATGCTTTGAGGCATTCTTTGGTTTTTGCAAATATTTCATTGAAGCGACTCACTTTAATTGCTAAGAAAAAGAGTTAAATACAGTTAATTATAATTTCCCATCCATAATGCCAAAATACCATTTATATAATCGTTGTAAATTGATTTGTTCCGATTTCAATCATCGATATTCGGGAATTTACACGAAAACACATTATACCATTGCAGCTGCTTAATATAATAATTATAAGTATAAACTATTCGATTACAGCTATTTCAATTAAGGTGGCCTGCAATAAAGACTATATAGCTACCACTATATATACTATACGGCCTTTCTCATATCATTAAAGCAGAAAATAAAATAAAAGATCTTTCTTCATTCGCTACCACAAAATTTGATAAACACTTTCAAAGATATGACTACTGTGAAACACTTATAAAGATATGCCACTATACACTAATACACATGCAAAGATATGACTCTTATTTGGGTAAAATATAGGGTTTGTGTGAGACATAATAGCGAGTTTCCGAAAGCACAACGGCGACGGCGATGGCAACGCAAGAACGATATTTTAATAAAACTGCGCATGCGCCGGTCAGAGGAAACCCCAAATCGACGTTTTCGCTTCACGCGACCGACGTGAAATAAACAAACCTCACGTCGCAGCTAAAACGCGAGATCAAAGAGACAAAACTCACAAAACATGGCTGCATGAGATACGACTCTTATATGGGTAAAATAAAGGCCGGTTTGTTCGAGACATAATATAGGTGCAAAAACCAACGACAATAAATACCTAATAAACCAGTCTCTTTCGTATAAACTTGTAAATATTGGTGAGTTTCGCGTATTTCTTTCTTAGTGATTCGAAATGATACGAAATTGCGTATATTTGCTACGAAGCACAAAGCCAACACATACAGTGAACAAATAAATGACACAAATTTACTGTGTCTCGATTTCAAGATGACTCCCACTGGAATTGACGTCACATGAAATCCAAGAATAGAGTAGACTCCATAAAATTATTTTGATAGCAATCTTGTTTCCATTTCAAAACCATTTTTTTGTTTTACAAAAATGAAAATAACGACGAATTTTTTCCTAAGACCAGCGGAAGTTTGTTCGAGACAATAAGCACACCATGTAGTAGCCTTGTGGCAATAAATTTGTGAATGAACAGTTTGCAATGCCAGTTATCCAACTAGTTTCCATAAACCAATTTTTGCTAAAGTATTTCCACGAGAGTGATAGAAGTAAATACAAAAACAGATAGCAATATCAGTGGCGGACCTAGGGGTGTGCAGATTAAAATGCAAAGCTCAATTTTAAATTAAGAATACCTTAATAACAACCCTATTAGTTATATAGATTAGAAAATATAATATTTTTATATTAAAATCTGCCAATGCGATTCCGATTTCAAGCTGTAGTAATTTATTCTGCACACCTCTATAGGTCCGCCACTGATCTATATCTAAACTATAGCATTCATATTATAAATTGTTGAGAAGTTATAAAAAGAATTTATTTTATTTGAATCCACTATCGTAGATACTACAAACCTTTTTTACATGTGGCGTTTAGATCTTGGGTGTGATTTTCGACCTGTGAAAATATTAGACGAAAGGGGTGAGCAGATTGAATCAGCTTTTAACACATATACGACTCGATTTCGCAGAATAACTGTTAATTATATTTCGCTGTTTTGCTATTGAAAATCACGTGAATATTTAAAAAATATTACCTCGCCCCTTATTCGTTCGCAAACTGATTTAGCATCTTTCATACACTTTGTTCCTGAAATTAAAGCATGCTGACAAGCAAATGAATAGGAGGAAAACCGGGAACATCAGGAACACGACGAAACGTACATTTTGAACCTTTTTAAACTTGCACTATACAGCGCGGATATTTGTATATTTACTAATCTGCAGACCTAACATCTTTGGAAAGATATAGCCTATATGGCCGTTTTCCACTAAAATAATTACGCGCGATGCGAAGCGATAACTGAAATCCGGTGATGTGATTGGTTTGCGAAAGAATTCGCCGCGAAAAAGCAGAGTGGTTTCCAACTTTTTATATCAGTTCACGCGAATAAATTCGCCTAGTGGAAAACAGGCTTAACACACGAATAATTATAATCTTACCTGAAAGCTTAAACTTTAAAGTGTTGTTCTTTCTGTAATATTCACACCAACGAACATTTGAATAACTGGTATTCATTTTTCTTAGTACACTCATTAATTTAGTGCCTGTATATGTCTCGTTTTTGTTACACTGTAAGATCCATAAGATTCTGGTGGAGCTCTTTGTTCTGATGGCACAAGGAAAATCTTTTGCGCCATCATTGCAACATCCTTTATGTTCTTTTAGGCATTTTTTGACACTTTTGATTTTTTTACTGAAGCATTTCACTTCAGTTGCTAAGAAAAAGAGTTAGTTGCAGTTAATTTCACATCCATAATGCCAAAATACCATTTATATAATCGTTGTAAATTGATTTGTTCCGATATTCTTGATTTTACACTAAAACATATTCGATTACAGCTATTTCAGTTATAAGGTGGTCTCAGATAAAGACTATACCACTATACTACGGCCTTTCTCATATCATTAAAGCAGAAAATAAAATATCGCTAACATTTGATACACACTTACAAAGATATGACTACATATGACCACTGAGAAAACACTTACATAGATATGACTATACACTAATACACATACAAAGATTTGACTCTTATTTGGGTAAAATATAGGTTTTGTGTGAGACATAATATAGATGCAAAACCAACGACATTAATAAATACCTAATAAACCAGTCTCTGTCGTATAAACTTGTAAATATTGGTAAGTTTCACGTATTGTTCTCATAGTGATTTGATACGAAATTGCGTATATTTGCTACGAAGCACAAAGCCAACACATACAACCCATACAGTGAACAATTGACTCACACAAAATTACTGTGTCTCGATTTCGAGATGACCCCCACTGGGATTATGACGTCACATGAAACCCAAGAATAGAGAAGACTCTATAAAATTATTTTTATAGCAATTTTGTTTCCATTTCAAAACCATCTTTTCGTTTCACAATGGCAAAATGTTTCCCAAGACCACCAGAAGTTTCTCCCAGACAATAATTATATTAATTAATAATTATTCCTAATTTTTGCTAAGAGTGATAGAAGTAAATACAAAAACAGATAGGCATATATCTAAATAATAGCACTCGCATTCTAAATTGAGAAGGTATAAATTGAATTTATTTTATTTGAATCCACTATCGTAGATACTACAAACCTTTTTTGCATATGTTGTTTCGATCATGGGTCTGATTTTCGAGCTGTGAAAATATAGGATGAAAGATTATTTTTTCTGACGTATCACTGGTACTTTGAAGGCGTAAGTTAGGGCTGCTTTTCAGTTACGGATTTTTTCTACGCACGTACACGCACAGAAAATTTGAAATGCTTTTAAATTTTTATTATATAACATCCAGATATACAAGTGCGTACTAAAATATGCGAAAAACTAAATTCTTTCGATTTCTTCACTTCGTTTTTTCAAAGATAACATATATAAAGATATAGACTTTTACGTGCGTTTACGTGCGCAAGAAAAACGCGTAACTGCAAAGCAGCCTTTAGGCTTTTAAATGCTAGTCTTTTTACAATAGCTAGCTAATTTTTTTTGCATGCATTAGAGTGTACTCTAATATGGTATATCGGCCTCAGTGAGTTAAATATTTTTAACATATCCACGTGTTTCAAATGATGGAATATAATATTGAAAAATAAGCGCTGTACAGTTTCTGTTTTTTCCATGCGTCATGTTTCTCACATTGAAAACAAGAATCGACTTCTAACGCGTTCCCTAGTCAAATTTAATATATCTTCAAATTTTCACGGCAAGTTTCCCTTCTTTAAGACTAACACTTGCTTCAGTTTATATTTTATTCATTAATTCTAACTATTAGTACAAGCACGAAGCAAGAACTCGCGAACTCCCAACATGGGAATCAAGCAGGGATGAAAGAAAAATTGCGCCGCCGTCTGTCTTAGTCCTTCCCTAGCTCTCAGTGATCAAGCGCTGCGGGAATCTTTTTTCCGGTATTAAATTTGTCTCCGAGGGCTATGATTCATAGGATATTTTAGCTCATTTGAAATGTTTAAACCTACTGAACTGTTTAAGAAAAAGTTTCATCATTTTGGCATAGCATTTGCATGTGACATTCGACCCATTTTTAACACGGAGTTTAAATACTTTCACCTGTTGTTGACGTCACTTAATTCAGTTTGTTAATCATATTACTTGCTTTTTCCCAAGCAAATTGTTACCATCATATATAAACAATTTACGGTTTCGCTATTACCTTTAGCAATCTTTACTTTTTCGCGGGTAAATAACGGCCAGGATATATATGAAAAAAATTACATAGTGCAAACATACAGGTGTACGGCAGCCGATATATGCTTGGCGCCGCTTTTCTCGGCATAACAAACGATTATAAGATAAGCATAACAAACGACTTCAATTTAAGAGCAGTCGAAGTAGAGTTTAGTCAGGGGCTGCGTGTCGGGCAGATATTCAAATTAACGAAATTAACAGCGGTAATTTTGTGGAAGGTTAAGTAGTATATGATAGATGAGTCAAAATGATGTTCTCGATCTGTTCTGGTAAATGCATTGTATACCACCAGACCATATCTTGTAAACTATACATATATACACTATACAGTTGTGAAATATAGCAAGAAATTTTCCCGCCATTTAACATGGCTTTCGTGATCATTGCAGCATGCATCAATATTCCGCGCAGTCTTCCGTTTACTTCATTCGAAAGAATATACGTGGACTTTTTCTGAGCGAAATAATTGTTAAGGACTTCCCAGCTTATTTAAACTATGATCAACTTGTTTGGTGTATTATAGCGAATTTAAAAAGACACAATAGATCTATACCTAATAGTTTAACCCAAAGGGAAAAATTTAAACCTGTATACGTGTCTATAGCAGACTATAGCACTTTACTAAATATAACAAATATTTTATACCAATACTTTATATCATACATTGTATTCATTTTTGATGTTTCTGTGCATGCAATCAGTTGAAATTCAGTAAGAATCGCTGTCTTATATCTGTTGTTCTCTCTAGTCAAATTCATATCGCATAATCCGCCAGTAAAGGTTAGTAAACGCTAAGCGACAAATCGCTGCAACATGTCGTATAGCGGCAATTTTGATCGTCTGAACAGGAAAATTTTAGCAATAAATCTTTCCGCTCCGGTGCAAATTTGTCGGTGCCACACGTCGCACAAATTCAAGCCATTTTGATATTTTCTGACATGTCACAGCGACAAGGCTAGGTAATTATAGCTATATATATGATCTGATCAATTTCATTGCGAATCAATTAGTTATTTACATTGAGTATCACATCGCCTGTATCATATTTCTATTTTCTATATTTCACAATGTAAATAATCTATTCATTCGCACTGAAGATGGCTTATAGTTAAGTCAAAACATGTTTGCTTTTAAAAATACGTTAATTTCAAATGCTTAATTATCGCTCTTGTTGCATATACAATATTTCTATCATGCGTTGCCTTCCAAATGAGCACACGAAACAATTATATTTGTCGGCAGCCACGTATTGCAGCGATTTGTCAGAATTACAATAATTATATAAACATATTGAACTATATAGTATACTGAATGTTTTGGAAAGACAAACTTAATAAATTTTCTTAAACTTAGCCAATGTATACTTGCATGCATCGCTATATTGATTATACAAATAAGTTATATTTGGTAATCCCGTTTAACCGTATATTTAATTTAATAGAAAAAATTAAAGAAAAACGTAGAAACTATTAAAAAACCCGTATTCATACCGTAGAATTAGCAAAACCGCAGATGAACCACGAAGCGATAAAGTAATGTAAAATTTTTTCGCAAACCAACATATTGCTTGTCTTTCAGAAGACGGTATAAGTCAAGTGTTTAAGTTAAAAGGTCGCACAAGACGGTTGTAGAAAATGAGAAGACAATTCCACTTGTGTCGACCAACCAATGGAGAGGTATTAATTCAAAGAGAGGCTCACACTGAATCCAGATGGCGTCTTCATATATTCACTTAATTGAAGTCTTGTTAATGTCGATAATTTTATATTTTTAAGCATATTTTGTTAGGTTTCTAAGACAGAAAATTCAAACTTGAACTCAAATTCTAAAGTTTTTATCTAGTTTACCACTTTGAAGCCTTGTCCACACGATCCAAGGGAAAATATGCTAAATATGTTAAATTATAGTTTCAACTTCTATTGTAAATTGACGGCGTTTGAAACCGTTTTGGCATGAAAACGAAATGAATACGCTGGAAAACGTTACTGTGTGGACATTGTGTGATTGTGTATAGTATGTGTATAGTCAACTTTGGACGTAGAAATGGAATTGCATTGCAAGTCGCAAGGAAAGTTGCATAGTGTGACACCGCCTTTATTGAGTCCTACCGTAAGTCGATCATAAACACATGCACTTGAAGCCATAGCTACAAAGGATGTGCATCTTGAAGTGTAGACCACATGCATCTAAGTTATATTGGTACTAACTTGTCGTGTTGAAATAGACCGTTATTGTCTGGCAGCTATATGCATGTGACACACTATTACTTGTCGCCTCTATATTATTCAGATAATCGCCAGTATGAAGTAAACATACCACAGAATGATGACTTACTTTCGCTTTTAAGTACTTGAATTCTAGATGTTCGCTTGATTTCGCACTCCTACTTACAATAACAAAAATTCCTCTTCAGAATGATGTTCGTCCGAAAGGATTAAATACCGACTTTTCACGTATTTACTTGTTAAGCTGTTCGGACTTTTATACATGCGTACTGATGCATGCCTTTCATGTATGCCTCGATAAAATATACGTCGTATTCGTCTGCATGGTCGTTTACCATGGAATATCCGAGTGTTAATTGTTACCAAAATGCTGGTTGTTTGTTGTTTTAACTTTTGGTGCATGAGCATGCATGCCCGTCAACCACTGTTGTGCATGCAGGAAATTGAAAGCGAGTATGCACTAGCTTACATCATTAAAATTTACGCATAACATATTAGGAAAAACAATACAAGGGTTATATGTACATGGTGTAAAAGTCATTAGAAATCATGTTTTCGTCGTGTCGAATGCATGCAATTCAAACAATACAGGGTGTCCCAAAAAAAACGAAAACTATTGAAATCACTCATTGTTAAAATTTGAATGCCGTGTTCACGAATTATAGCCCGTGGGGATTTAATGCAACTTATAAAATGCTAAATGCTTTGTGTTGCTAGAGAAAGGGGACATGTCGAAGGTCATGGTCCTTGAGATGCACATTTAAATAATGTTATCCATATTTGTAAATTGTAAATATTGTTGATAAATATCATTTTGCGAACAAGCAAATTTTACTGCATCATATGCATGCATAAAAATGACTACATGGCAAACATTTATACACCTATGGGACCCAACAGAGTGCTTAGGCATTCAAACTCTAACAATTGCATTGTTATGGGTGATTTCAATAGTTTTCGTTTTTTTTGGGACACCCTGTAGATGATGAGGTTAATCATGATTCATTATCCATTGTTTGAGTTGCACAATTAATGTGCTTGTTTGGTGTCATAAAGGCTTATTTCAATACCTCAAAGTCCTCTCCCACTTCGTTGAATCTCGGGTAACCGGGCTCATGTAAACAGCCCCTAAATACGCTTGTACAAGAGAATTTTTAAGCCCTGTTTACACTACACACTCGATTTATTAGTTAACATGCACCGAAGACCGTAAGCGACGTTATATTCAGTTATGCAAATGTACGAACGTAAAAGTTCTAATTGTGATTGGCTAGATGTATAATAATTGCAAATGAGACGACGTATGCATGTAAGCATGTTGATGTCCGTTAAAAGTAAATAGTCGATTGCAATGTTTTCAAAATTCGTTATATTTTCGGTATTTTCCATAAATTTTGTAGCATAGGATTGTGGAAAAAGCATCCCATATACCTGCACCTGACACTATTAATTTTTATATGATGATCGCGAAACAAGCACAACATTGTGAAATGTTAGAAAACAATTATTACTCGCATGCAATGCCGGTGTAAATTTTCATGTCATAAGATAGATCAAGACTATTAGTCCTTTGGGACATGCTCTCTCAGCACAATAAATATGGAAATATAAAGCAGTCTTTTACAAACAAACATTTATTTAGTTGAAATTACCAAGCTGCGAGAAAAGATGAACTTCTAGTATAGAACTAAAAGTTTTACTGCCTTCAATGAGAGGACGCAGAGTAATCCATGAAGTCGAGCGAATTTTAGAGTCTACATAATGTCAAATGAACTTGAATGTACATGCATAAGCTATATATGATGATCGATCAGTGTAAGGCCTGGATCACACTGGCTCCTAAGAATCGGGGATCCATTGTATTACTTTCCGATAATCTCAGAAAAGCATTTTGCACACCAGCGGTCAACTTTGTCTGAGGACAAAGCCCAAAGGGAATCCCAGACAAGTGTAAACTAGGCTTAAAGGCGTTTTAAGATTAGAATATATTTTAAGCATTCAACTTGCGCTGAAAGAACTTATGCAAAACAGAACTGCAAACTTATTTTCGATTATGAATATATCATACCTGACACTAAACGTTCAACCAATGAGGGCCTGGCATTTTACGGTAACGAACGAATTTGGCAGTCCCAGCCAATAGGGAACAATGATCTTAACGTAAGTTTCGTTCGTTAATGAGGTTATAAGTCCTTCGGTGCATGTTACCTATTTACACGGCACGGCTAAAACGGGTACCCGTAGCCAATTTTTTTAGTGTTCAGGCTACCAAAACAAAGGTCAAGCACAAATGAATTGGGCACAGGTACCTATTTTAGCCGCACCGTACCAAAAAATCGAGTGTTGTGTAAACGGGGCTGAAATTACGCTTGTGAATATCTTCTTTTCAAGAGAACATTTGGTCTTTGGATGGAAATCACAAAATCATGTTGCAATTGATGGGTATTTGCACAAAGGTAGCCACAATCAATAAAATAATGTACTACGGGCATTTACGTCATATAACTTAAAATGCTGCCGTACATAATTTACAAGATTATCTCAACACTTTGGAGACTATTATTATTATTATTATTATTATTATTATTATTATTATTATTATTATTATTATTATTATTATTATTATTATTACTTTAGCTGATTGAACATCTACTGTTCACAAAACACTGAATAGAAGCAAAAATTATTCTTGCCTGGTGCCAACTATGATTGTGGTGAGCAGCCTAGTCGGCAAACCTAAATAATTGCTCAGCAAAATTTCACTTACACCCTGCTAATTACAGAGGACCCCTGTTTCTTTTATTGCTTTAAAAAATCTTTTGTTTCTCATCAAATATACTATACTGCCCGCGTTTAACCTATGCCAAGTTTTAATTTTCTGCATATTTCAATTTAGGTTTGGTACAGATAAAAATGACATTATTTGGACTAAATTTGGAGATTTGTTCTAAATTTCATCCGTACCAAACCTAAAATCGTGCGTAGTTTAAATAGCTAGGGCTTATGTCTCTTTTTGTAATTTTATGACACAAAGCAAGAATGTAGAAACAGAAGAGTGCTTCAGTGTTAATTACCATCAACATAGATTTGAATAATGTTTATACATGCTATATGATATATATATATATATATATATACTGAATAGATGAAATGTTAAATGTTTATAAGTTCTAATATTTTAACATGCATTGTTATTTTTAATTGAAGATACTTTCATCCCCTAAAATAAATTTAGTTTTCAGTATTAATATTACAATTTTGTTATTCCAAAGTTTGGTCGTTCGAAACAAACAAACAAAAACAAAGTGACAAATTAACAAATACTATATAAAACATTGCAATCCTACATATAATTGACACTGAACCCCTTGCAATGAATTTTGCTCGAGATTAAAGGGATGTACACCATGAATATGTTATATATATATCTACCTTATTTCCAAGCCAGAGGTAGGGTTGACTTCGTAGCCCATTTTTCGACCAACTGCTTTACGAATCTGCAGAAAAGTATAAGTTACGTCGTAACGGTTTCTTCGTCTCATCGATGTTCGATTTCGAATTGACTCGCTTTCAGGTGGAAAACGAATTCTTATAATAATTATGTGGACCCAGCATAAAACTTTAAAGATTGCCATAGAAACATTTAACATTACTTTTGTGCCGCACACAAAAATATATCGTGTTTACCCAAATCCAAGTGAGTTTATCCATGCACCTGATACTATTCATAACTTAATTAAGAAACTATTACGAACCTCTCTGTTGCAAACTCCATAGATGAGAAAGATGAGAAATCCCTGTTAAAAAGTGTTTCACCGAGTGTTGAAATATAATTGATGAGTTTCATAGTTTATATAACTGAGGCATACATGCATATCGTGTGATCCATGAAATCGTTTCAAAATTTTCCGGTTCAAGCGCTATCGACAATCTGATGTCTTCGGGTAACCAGCGTCATACGTGAACCGGGCTTTATGTAGTATAGGAAAAACCTAACGTGCCCGAGCCTGACGAAACACCCTGAAACGTCAGTGCCAGGCATGCGACTTATAATTTAAATGAATACTTTGAGTATTTGATTTGGAACGAAGGATTATATGGATTGGATCGGGCTTGACAAAAAAGCCGTCTTTATACTCAAACCATTGTTTTAGAGACAAAGGTATAGCATCCCTGCCCTATCCTGAATTTAAGTAGAGTTTGCCTTGTGAGAAATACAAGAATTTGTTGCATTATGCAAACAGAATTAAGCATTGACATACAGCAACAATGGCATCCCATGTTACCTGCATCGATGTAAATATTGCGAACAGATATTGCCATACAACCACGTCAGTGCTATATCTTGCAATGACACCGAACGCCCAGGAAAGACCAAGAGTTGGAAATAATATGATAATACCTCGAGCCGCAGAGCTGTAGAAAAGATTAATATTAAAGTGGCAAACGAGTCCGTTCTGCGCATCGGTTCGGCTCATAATAATGTGAGGTCCTGAGATAAAAATTCTGCCCAAATTTTGCATGTTTCGAATTTCTCTCGTCAAAAACACTAGTTCGTATTCATTCATTAAAAGGTACAGGTACCTAAATGTTCTTAGATATTAAGAAAACACAGCGTATTAGTATAGAAGTATAGAAGTTCAAAACGTAGGCAAACTCTCTCTTTACATAAGGACTTGACGCTTTGAATTTTCGACACCTACCGGCCGTAGCTTAGAGTAGAGTGTTGACGCTCAATATCGCAATGCCGTTTCAGGATTGTGCGCAATATATAACTTACATGATCTTTTTCTTGGTATCGTGACCTTCGGTGTTTGAATGATGAAACACTACACGAGCCACAGCAATAACAACCACTATGGTTACCTGTAATTAATGCGATTGCTTTGTGAATGTTAAACTGTAAGTTTATAGTTGATTCATGCATTGAGAAATGGGAATCGCTGAATGTTGACCTGCGGAGGCGTCGTATGTTGTTGAAAGGTCTGTGCGTCATTAGAAGGTAAGAATATCGGGTTTTACACCATCGGTATAAGATATGGATTTCGCCATATTCGAGCCATCCTCGTTACCAGGGTTTTCGCGTACTACGGCGAAAAACCTAGGGACGAGGATGTATTCGGGCACCAGACTACCACTCTATCATATAGGTTATTAGTATGTGTAATGTAAGTATGAACTTGCCGATAATGTTATGACCACTGGCGCAAAGAAAACCCAGGACAGGCCTTCTTCGTAAGATATCCAACACCTGAAAGAGTGTATAACGCGGTAGTCAGATGAAAATACGTTTTAAATTACTGAAAATATTCGCAGTTCACGATGACGAGAAAAATTGAAGGTATATTTTTCTTTACAATGTACTGAAATTGCAACTGATTTAATTCCGCTGTTGTCATATTCACTGACTTCACTCAATTCCATTGATGCTTTTCTTCCTCTTTGTTCCGAGATGCGTGAGATATTCACATCATCTTTTTCGTGATTGTGGATCACAAATATTCTCGCTAATTAACGCCTGCATGAATATCATTAGTGTTGCAAAAATTAAGAAAGGTTTATTTATCGATAGGAGAAAATTAAAAATATGTTTACCATTGTTTTATTGTACCATATTTGTTAGTTTGTAGTCCCGCAATGCAACCAACATACACGAAAGGAAATCCTGAAAATTATATATCGATGTTATTATTATATATTACTAAACTTCTATAAACTGCACCTAAAATCTATTTTATCTAGCTACTAAGATGTTCTTTTAGTTTCTTCTTAAAAGACTTTTGTTCTGAAATCTTTTTCAGTTTATCATCAATGTCGTTCCATGTCCTATATACAACAATTGCATGTGTGTGTATATTACCTTGAATATAAATTACACAGTACTTCATGGTTGGCGAGTGCGTATGTATTTCCTGCACGAGTTGCAAAGAATCGCAAAAGCAATGAACGAGTGAGTTTGCAATCCTTTACAGCGCAATTTGCTCATCAGCTAAATGTGCATGTATAGGGGTCAATTTGACAACGAAATGCTTTCTAAATACGAAAATACGGCGAGCAACAAAAGTCAAAATTTTGTGCATCAAAACAGATACTTATAACGTGACACTTACCCCAACCAAATATCATGAATTTCTTTATTCTCACAAACTCTCCACTGTACACAGAGATTAGCTTTAAATAAAGCATCGCAGCTTCAAGAAGTATCCACACAAAAGAAGCCAAGGAAAAATAATGAACCAAGATGGCCACAACCTTGCAAACAACCTGTAAAAATAGATAAAAATTCGGCTTAAACATCTTTAAAATAATCCACAACTATATGCACTATTCATGTCTTGCCTTATTTTGTGTGGCGACCCCACCGGCGAGAAAGATCATTTGTGTCAATCCCAATGCAATCTGCAAGTTGAAATGCACCAAGTGCCGACTGGTCGTCAGCATCTTGAGATCTTTGCTAAAATTTGAAAACACGACGAAATCTATTTATGAAGTACGATTTAACTTTGAGGGAGCACCATGGATGACAGCCTACGGGCTGATTTCCACTGTCGCGTTCTTCCTCGTCTTCGGAGAATAATTGTTAACCATTGATTATACTTACTAAAGAACAATGTAGACAACACACGAGAACATTAGACCAGCCAACGACAGTCCAGATCCGATATAACTGATAACAGCTATTGCTTTTCTGTCTGAATCGCTCACCTGGATTAAATATTTTGTACCGAATGAACATATGAAATACAACATGATATCTGAAAATCGTTGGTACACGTTATTACCCCGTCTGCTTTGGAAAGAATAACCATTGTAAAGCTTGTTAAGTGATCCGTCAAACAAGTAATATTATCTTCATTAACTGAACCAACACTCATATTCTCATCCTTCCATTTTTCTCCGTCCAAAAACATGCACTTCACCTAAAATGTTAAAACAAGAAAAAGCAACTTTAAAGTGGAAGTGAACATATTTCAAAAGTTCTAGTACGTTGGAAATATTTCAAAGGTACAAGTTCTTTTGAAATGATTAATGGAAGCAACCCGACTTAAGGGCGGTTAACATCCTGATTAGCAGAGATTCAATGAAGCATTAGATGACTGTGAGGTATTGAAGTTACTTTCTCAAACTTATTGAAAACTCATGAAGAAAATACCAAGGAAATCCACATGTAATTAGTACTTTGATACTCGTGGAAGAGATATCGCGGCAGCGTTTTATTAACTATCACTTATTTCATCGGCAATGTGCATGTGATATGCGTGTGAAATGTTTGCTAAAACAATTCTGAAACACTTTCTACGTACAGTTCATGCAGGTAGACGCACTACCTGTTTTCTTGCAACATTCTTCTTAAGCTTGTTAGGAAAACTCAAAGATATTGTTTCATTTTCTAGTGTTGATAAAAGTTGCCCGTTTGCAATATAATCCAAAGATATGACGTCAGAAAAGGCCAGCGGTAGCGATTTCCTAAGCGAAAGCAGTTAAACATTACATTCTGTACTATATAGCTAAATGCTTCGATCAAGTGTTGGTTTGTATTTCACATACCGTTTTATTACACATTCAAAATTATATTCTTGCCCGTTTTACATGATGTTCATTTTTTTTTCAAACTGATTGTTTTTATGGTTGATATACAAGAAGATATGGAGTCCAAGGGGTTATCCAGCTTTTTAAGAATATTTTTTTATGTCATAAAGGCTATTAATAACTAATTAATCATGGGTTAAAAATTATATTAAAATTATGTAAAAAAACCTTATTCTTTTATTGTTGCATGTTGATACACGCATCTCAAGATAGCAAAACTTATAAAAATGACTAAAATTTTCATCGCTTTGCAGTTAATCGGACAAATTTGATTTCGAATGCGAATTTTTATTTTAAAAAATTTCGATCAATTCTTGCCGTTAAATAAATTAAAGATTGGTCTCATTGGGATGATGAAAAACTGCTCTTTCTTACGGCATAAAGATTAAATCAATAAATTAAGTGTAGTCCTGCTAAGATGTCTGCTAATTTTCATTTTCGTTATTTTATGAGATACCCATGTGGTTTGAATGCATGATAACAAGGCGGAATTTCTTTTTAGACCAATCAGCGAGTTTTTTTACATTTTCAGTAACCCAATCAGAATGCATAAATTTTGACTACTTCTGGTAAAAAGGTACATTATTTACCATTTTATATGAAGTATTAGAAATTTAGGCATTCTAATTGGGGTTTGCCTACAAAATGTAAACAAATATATACCACAGATAGCTAGTGTCTACGGTGACGTTCTTCATTCGAATGGTCATAATTTTCACTGTACCTACAAAATGGTCAAAGCACTTTCAGCAGAGATTTACATATAAGTTATCGAAGGTTTTTTACAACAGCCTGGCACGTAACCGTATTTTCTTACATTTTGACTGATTTCGACATAACTTCAAAAGAGATTTGCGCGGTAATAGGCCATTCTGATTTTCCAAAGAACTCAACACGACAACATCCATTTCTGAAATAAAGAAAATGGTGGATGCAAATATGATAACAGCTATCGTACCAATATGCATTTATAATATGTATACTGAGGCTACGTTTACACGGACCGGACGAATTCTGAACCGTGTTCAAATTCGTTCGGTGTGCCGAGGTGTTAACACGGTAAAAATGGATAAAACCTGACCGATTTTACGTGTTCACATGGGAAAAAAGGAAGGATTCGAATTCTATCTATTGCATGGGTGACTTCATACATCGAAATTAGAAGAGAGTCGAACAAAGAAGACAAATTACGTGATAAAAAGTCTCATATAACTTACAATTAAAATATATTTCCTAGCGAATTTTAGAACGTTCGAAAGTATAAATTTTATTTAGTGCAACTAAAGGCGCGGCCAGGTCGTTTCCCGGTGATTTTGGCTCACACGAGAGTTCAAGTTGATACGAGTGCAAGTTGCAAGAGGCGCTCATCTTCTTTACCCTTCTTCTATCTGATCGAAAAATTTAGCCTAGTGAAAAACCGCCATATGGGCAGCTAAACATGATTCCATGATTCAATGAATATAGATATATCTTTAAGACTAACATACCACAACTGCCGTTTTTTACTTTGAATGACTCGTCATCGCAAGTTGAGTTAACAAGTTGAACCATTTCTTTAATACGTTTACGAAAACTATATGCTTTTGGGAAGACTTGCGGTTGCTGCTTCAGAAATTCAGGAATTACAAGGATGGAATGAAAAAAATAAACAATATATATATATACAAGGATGAGAACAATCTGTAGCTTGGGCAGCTTGCATATTTTGACTTAATATCCACAAAAAGAGAATTGTTTTCATGCACATTCAATGAACAACAAAACACGGCTGACTGATTTGTCAAGCCTGGCTTTGCTACCGAACACAATAACAGTAAATACACTAATGATAAGATAGAAACAGAGGAGTAAAAGATATAAAACATAACAACGTTACTTAATTAAAGTTCAATAAAACACGAATTACATTTCTAAACTTCGAATTTTTCTCCCCAAATGCCTTGCCAAAGTTTCTATGGAATCCTGCTGATATTATTTCCTGAAAAACAAACAATTTTGTCATATTGACGTGAAGCAATGGTCCATTTAGTTTGCAATTGATAACCATTTTTACTTAGATTTTTCTGAAGAATATGAAATATTAAATCAACTTGACGTCTCACAGGGGTATAGCAAACGAGTAAAGATTAAGGGGGGGCTCACAGAATATTCCAAATTTAATTCCCTTCACATTCAGCGAGGAAATAAAACCTGGGGACAATTAGAAAAATCATGATTCTAAAGACACATATTGAAGCCAATTGATTCTAAAGACACATATTGCGCGTTTGCTTGTGGAAAACTATATGAATTCAATTGCAAGATCATACAATTACCTTGTTTTTTCGAGACCTCGTAATGTTGTAAAAACACCGGATAATCTCACGACAACTTTCAGAAATCTCTCCTGAAATTGAGGAGCATTATATGTACTTTAATCAAATTACATACAACAGGCAGACTAAAACCAGAACAAAAATGAAATGGACTCTTTAACTGAGATGAAATGATCTAATCTCAAAGGAGAAGCAAAAGCCGTTCTTCCTTTCCAACAATTACAATTTTTTAAAGTGCTTATACCATAGTTGCAGATTTTGAATATAGCTATCAAAAGTTCAATACATTGTGTTACTGAACAGATTTATTAGCCTTTAAAGTCACCGGACACGACCGTCAAATCGGGAAATGCAAATCAGTCAAAAATGCTCTCATATATCTTGTGAATGGCTGGCAAAATATTGTTCCTTTCTCATCACATGTCTATTGTATTTTGCACAGATAAACTAATAGCAATCTTTTGATTAACATATTTTTCAAGTCAAGATTGATGAGCTTAGCAAGACGAATGCCATTGGTACAAAAATGCAATAAACACGTGACGAGAAAGGAACCATTTTTTGCATCAACCCGGACAAGCCATAGTTAATTAAGGCCTAAGGATTAAGCCCCGTTTACACTACACTCAATTTATTGGCACGGCACCGTTAAAATGGGTACCCGTGCGCAATATTACTAGTTCTCAGACTACCAAAACAAAGGCCGGGTATGGATGAAATAGGCACGGGTACCCATTCTGGGTTATTGCGAACAAACCACGATTATTGCGAATAAATTATGATTCCCAAGATTTGTCACCAGGAAAGCAAGAAACCGCAAGAAAACACGCAAGAAACCACGTGATTGATTTTGACCAATCGCGTGAGCAGATTCAGGCCTTGTCTCCAAACCATATATTCTATTAACTGTGATCTAATTGAATATAGATACATCTTTTTTCTACATCTTCCATGAACAAGTTTTTTGTATTTTTATCACGACCGGAAAGTACAACAGACGAATCTTTGCAATCCTACCTGCTGTAATATTGCCTGCCGTGGTTGTCTGCTGTTCGAACGATGGCGATAATTTCAGAGTTTCATACCAACCGATCATCAAATCAGCACATTTAGATTTGGAATTCCTCGTTGGTTTAGAGCTTGGATGTGAATCATCAATTTCCTCACACATTTTTTTTTGAAGTTCCTTTACTTTCATGTCTTTTATTACTGATAACTGTTCCTTACTAACACATTGCTTCTTAATCTCTTGATTCTTTTCGGACAATTTGTGATTTTTTTCATATCCTAGATATACAATTTCAGTTTCACAGCCTAGATATTCAATTTCAGTTTCACAGCCTAGATATGCAAAGAAAAAGTTAAAGTCAATTTCACAATAATAGCGGAATTCGTATTAGGAACGTCGGGAATCTCATCTAAAGCAGGAAAGTTGATAGTAAAAGCCTTTCTATTGAGGCAATATATAGCTATATATAATAGGATAGATAATAAAATAGGGTACCGTAATTATTACAATAATAATTTTGTTTATTTTCTCTTCGTCTGACTTATCCGTCTAAATGCGAACTCAACACGAGTTTGAAGTTTCTCGTCCAGAAGGGATTCCCGTCCAACTTGTCATAGACGGGAAAGTTTTACATAGGGCTGTTTTTCACTTTGGCGTTTTTCGCAGGTATTCATACACTACAGTAAAAGCTTAGAACCTTCTGAGATGTTGTATAAATAATTTTATGCCATATAACCCTATACATATATTCAATCGTTAACTCAGGAGTATGATTTAAAAGATTTTTATATAAACTTTTACGTGCGTATACTTACGTACAAAAACGCGGCAGTGGAAAACAGCCCTTAAGGTTAGTTTCCACTCAAGAAAAATCTCCTTAGGATCGGAACGGACAGGAAAATTTCCTTTGTCGGTGAGTTCTCAGGCGGCGTTTATACAAAGGAAACTTTCCTGTCCTGTCCGATCCAAAGGAGAATTTTCCTGAGTGGAAACTAGCCTTTAGACTGTAGAATCCGGACGAGAAACCGTCTGTGACCGGATTCACAACAGACGAGTTTCCCAGATTTGTTTCCAATCTCTAATATGATTTCGGCTAATATCATTAAGATAGGGTATGTGAAATATTTCGGATGATAAAAGTCTCGTTTACTATAAATATAAAGTTCTTTACCAACCTCTTTTGCATCCTCCGGCGCATTGGTCTTCGCTTTCTGACTGTTAAAATAATTATTACGTGTAAGGTTAATTTCATGTATTGCAGGGATGAATCCGAAGCGGTTTCGTAAGGGGGGGAGGCTGTTGTGCAGACCATTTGCACGACATGGAAACGCCAGAGATATTAGAATGTTTGTTTGTTCGAAAATTATAAAGATGAGACCATAAGGTAGACCCTGGTTAACTCACCGATGGATCGCGAGAGTTTTAACGGGAAAGTACAGCCTTCTATATTTATACTTGGTTTCATGCGCTATGGTTCTAAAGGTTCACGAGTTATGCTTTTGTTCTTCACCTGCTCATCCTGAACATCTGCTCTTCAAAGAATTTATATATATCGAAACCTACGACACCGTAGATATTTGTTTTTTCCTTAACGCCAGCCCTTTAGATTCGCGAGAGAATTCAGGATTTATACACATGACCTAAACTACCATTATAAATTGTATGACAAAGCTATTTCGACTGCAGCAATGATCCTGACTTCCAATATGGCGCCAACAGATCACTGAAAACTTGCAAGTTTGAACTTTGCTTGTTCATATAATAAATTTTGTAAAGATCATAAGTTCTTTCATCGATATACATCTGCACTATTATCCAAAAAGAAACAGTCTTAAAACAGGAATATAAAATGGGCGTTGTTTTCACTTAGCGTACATCCCGTTAATGACATGCAATTGCCTTAAATAAACACGGAGCGTATAAATGAATTATACTTGCGCCTTCGTCGAATAAAAAAGCTAATTATTGACTTTTCCAGCATCTCTATGATAGATGTGTTTACGTGAATACTCGCTGATCTTCGAGAAATTTGTCAATGTAATAAAATACAATGTCAATGATCGCTTAATTGATAACATGGATGCAAGCAATAAGATATATATAGCAACCAGTGTATACATCTTCAGACAAATAGGTTTATATAAAATGCATTTCAAATTTAAAAGCATGGCATGGGTAAAGAAAGGCACGAGTAAAATATATCGACGTCTCAACCAAAGGATCTTCTGATGTCTCCTATTTGGGTCAAAACATCAAATATAGAGTTTTCTTGTATAACAATTAACCGGCTTGTATTGCTAATTGATCGATTTGTCGATCTACGTGCTCAGAAAATGCTGTAATAAGTAGTATATTTCACTTTTTAGAAGCCATTCTATAACATGCATACATATAACAATATATAGGTCATAAAAGAAATATCTATTAATATTATACCCAACGCAAATTAGGCCGAGTCCGTTATAATGTTAAACAGTAACTTTAAAAGGTCAATATATAGTAAGAAAAATACAATTAAATATATTATTATATCTATATCCTTACCACTTTCTTAGCTAGACTGCAGAGAAAAAAACTAGCGATTAAGAAGACTTGTTTTTCGACTAGAAACATTGCTTGCCGTTGAATTTAAATATAGACGGTAGATAGGTTCAGTGTTTAAAGTCATATGGATCGATTGCATTTGTGAAAATTAACTTAAGACACTTAATTTCTCACCTGTGCTTAACCAATAAGGAAGAAAGGATTGATGGACGTAATTGTACTCCAGATGGCACAGGTCTGATAACTTATGATATATATATTTTAAGAAAGCCTGCGTGCCAATCAGCATTTAACGCGACTGCTATAGTAAAATTTACCAAAGAGCAACAAAAAGCTTCGTTATGCTTTGTTAAAGTTGAGCAAAATTGTGTTAGATTATGCTTGAATTCATATGAATTCTGGCTAATGTCTTTTGAAAACAATTTCAATTTCAATAGAAATCAGGCTGATTTCTATTGAAAGCGAAATATACATTATATGAATATGGCCCCCCTCGATTAATGTTCGATGGACGCCACTATCTCCCAGAATAGTTCTTAAATACGAGAGCCTGTCGATGAATACATAAAATTACTTTAGTTTGTGGTTAAATTCAAGCTTAATTTTGTAAGAATTTCGTATATTGGTTCATATGCACGCGTACACGCACGTAAGACAATAGCATGAGCTGCGAGTTTGCCAATCCAAGAATCATATTTGTGTAAACGCGTGCAATATACAGACGATATATACAAATTGTTCTTACACATGTCAGTTCTAAAAATCACATACGTACATAGGCATGGATGGAGGCTACTTGCGTCGTAAACTACGCGTATATTTACGCACGAAAAGTTTAAATCGTTTAAATCTCACACTATACTATAATCGGAATATAATATATATACACTATACTAGGAATCTAAATTCTGTCATTTTTCAACCATATAATCTATCAATAAATGAGTAAAGAGATCACCGACAATGACACGTTTTGTGAAGGAAATTTTCTTTTGCTTTTTAAAATAACAAAACTTTAGTGATCTTCTGTAGTGATCACCGACATCAAAGGGAGACGAGAATAAGGCTGTAGTCTTGTAAAATTAATGTAAATTTTAATTTCACAAAATACATTTTACATAGCAATGTCTATAATAATAAGCCGGAGTTCGTAAGTGACCTCAAAACCGTGGACTGAGAATTTCTAAATACTTGTAATCAGTTTCCATTCGTTTACCTTTCTTAAGCAAAAATCTGAAGGGCCAACGGTAGAGCACGTCACCGTTGGGCGACGTATCATGCCAACCCATTCTCTCTGCAACAAATTTGCCAACTATTTTATACATTGTTGGTTCAGCAGTGAGCGCTTGCTGCAAAAGCAACATGATTTCAAAACAGGAACAGGTTCGAGTACAGGCGTGTGCTTTTGCTACATTTCTCCACAGCTTTTTTTCCAGAATAGCAATTGAACTGAATTGATAGCACCTGAAATGGAACATTTTGAGCAAATGAAACCTCAATTCAGCCATAAGAGCTAAAATGTCAACAAATCTGTCCGTGAATGGATTTGAGATGTTGTTTTGAGTCCTCAGGTAAGGAAAAATCAATGAAAAATCACAACGAGCTTCAAATGCAAGCTGCCAACACCTTGTGACACATCCTTTTAGTTGCATTGAATCCTCGATTACATTTCTATAGGGAAGTAATTCGTTTATTCCAGGGCATTTGAATAACCCTTCATCGCTAAGCGAGCTCCTCATATCTACTTTCGGTGTGCGGTAAAACTGGTTGTAAATCAAATGATACTCTGCCTCACGATCGGGACATTTGGAGGGTGGTCTTTCGGGTGAAAGACCTAAATCGTGGAATGCTTGCTTGTCTTTCAACGATAGGTAGGGATTTGTCGCGTGGAAGAGATAGGCCAGGTATATAGGCTGAATCCCGTCACTGTTAGTGCAAATAAGTGGAAATTCTGGCATCCTTAGGCGAAAAGTGTTCAGTATTCCCATCCCCCTACTCCCAGCCACGTGAAGCGGTGACAAGTCTATAAGGTCGGCGTTGCAACGAAATTTCGCAGGCTCTTCCTCTTCGATTTTTCTGAGAAATATCTCAAAAATACGTTTTCGGTGATTTTCTAGTGGAACAAAAGATGAAGAATCGGGATAGTTGAATGTGGCAAGGGAAAGGGCGGTCAAACCAGATTTAGTTTTCCTACAAACATCAACACCAATTTCAATGAACCACAAGACTGCGTCCAAGTTTGTTCCCTGAACTGCTCGGTGAAACGGCAAAAACCCTTCCCTGTCGTAACACTGATTTAAGATATCAACTCCTTTCGAATCATTTTCAATAAATCTTTGAAGAGGAAAGGAATTCCCATTTATCGACTTCTGGAAAAGATTTCCAACTTGCAACGAGGGTGTTCCCAAATACGCCATGAGATGAACTTCAGATTCACTAAATGAAGCGTCACAGACCACCTTGACATCAATTAAAAAATTCTTATAAACTTCTAGAACCTCGTCATATCTTCTACTCCAATCGACGGAAATTGACGCGTTAAGGTACCTCGTAAATTCTTCACGTGCGCAGTTAACGCTTAGTCCTGATTCAAACAATTTGTTCAAGCAGCGAGGCATTCTGTGGGCTAGCAATGCACTCAATAACCACTTGGTCCTCGAGTCGCATTTCATTACGGTCATGTTTTGCAACAAAAACATTGCTAATTCATCCAATGGTTGGTTTTTCGGAATATCAGACGGTTCTCTTTCTCGTAGTGCGTATTCTAATGCCGTATCACCCACGTCATCCTCTGTCCTCCAATCAGCTCCTGCATTTACTAAAGCTTTGGTCACGTCCGTTGACACGTGCACAGCTGCATAATGGAGAGGGGTTCGTCCATGGTTATCACGCTTATTTATGACTGATGTGAGAACTCCAGCGAGTAACTCTACGGTTTCCAAACGTTTTTCACCAACAATATCCTTACGCGTTCTGTTTGGACAGACGCATAAAGTTGATGCGCACGATTGTGTCACATAAGGTTCTGTCCGACGCTTCGACGACCCCAAGGTGGCAAAATGAAGTAGAGTTTTTCCATCCTCATGAAAACTCGTGAATATGGTGTAATTTCCTGTGCTCAAAATATGCTTAAGAATCTCCACTGAATGACAAACAGCGATATAGCGCAACAATGTCTTCATATGGGGAATAGTGTTAATTTCAGAGCCATACATGGCATTGATATAATCAATTTTATCATGAATGCCCACAGCAATTATGGTGCTAACATTATCAGATACCTTGCCTTTACTCTTTGACAGGTAAGGGAGATTCATACTCCACGCACCAAGTGCTGATAAAAAGTCTGCCATGCGGCCTCCATGGCTGCAAACAGGTTGGTTACAATGTCGATTGTATAGCCACTCGTCTTCTTCGTAGGCCTTGAAGCTGCATTCGTTGAACAAGTTTGAATTCGAGCTTTGGCATTCTGCATCGACGTCTGCGCCGGCGCTCACGAGAAGGTCCACCATCCGACTGTTCTTTCGCCACATCGCCTCCATCAGGGGCGTCCATCCAGACCCATGCACACAATTTACGGATGCGTTACCATATGTTAAAATTATACTCGCCATCTCTACGTTATCCCTAGACACGGCTGCATGAAGGGCTGTTTCGCAAAGGCAATGATGGAAACGACGTAGGTTATGCCGACACCACGAGATTTTTCCCGACTTGCAAGGCAAGCAGGTATCGCGCACTCCTGTATTTAAAAGGAACCTCGCAATTTTCGTGTGATTTCGCGCGGCTGCGTGATGAAGAGAAATGAGATCGGCCTGAGCCTCGTTATTAATATAAAGTTCAACTATTTTATAATGGCCCATCACAGCTGCGGCATACAGAGGCTTCCACCCACAACCGTCCGTTTCTTCTAGGTTTCCACCACTTGCAACCACCGTCCTAATCACAAGATTCGCAATTTCTTCGTATCCCCTATATGCCGCTATAAAACTCATGCTGGCGTTTTTTTCATAAGAATCACGAAGAACCATGAAATCCCAGAAGAAACAAAATGTACGTTTAACTACATGATTGACAGTTGCTCCATTCTCGATGAATAATTTTACGTTTTCATGATTGCCGGACGCTACAGCATGCATTGCAGGGGTCCAATCGTCATCGTCCAGAATGTCGACATGGTCGAACTGTTTTACGAAAACACTAATAATCGCAGTAGCGTCTCGTTTTGATGCTAGATCATGGAGTATACATCTCGACCAGGAATCTCGAACTCCAGACACATTTAATAAAGCAAGTCTGTTGAGATTCGATTCGGTTGCCTTTTCTCCGTTTAAGACATGCACACATAATTGGGATATCTCTTCAAACCTAACGCCAGTGTGTCTTTCGTCATAAAAATGAAATAGATAATCGGCTATATATTGGTGACCTCTCGACTTCTGAATAACAATTCCGTCAACGTTAGAGGTTTGGTTCTTAAGCCATTCTGCAAAAAACTGATGATGAAATTCAATGGGTCCATGGTCTGACTTTAAATATTCGGAAAGTTTGTCAACAATTACACGGGTATTGTAATTTTCGTAGCGGTAGTTTATTATTTTGTTAAGCTCGAAAAACGTTGGGGGTGAACTCGCTGCAAGAAGCACCTCAAAAAATGGTTCAAAGAGACGGAAATCGGCCTCGTTGAATCGTTTCGAAAAAACTTCAGTGAAAACCTTTCCTAAATCCTCTGGACGGGACTGCGAGTCAATTTCGCTTGGATATTTCTTCCAGAACTCAAGAATTGTTTGAAGAAACAGAAAATTGAATTTAGAAGACTTCAGAGCGAGGTCAATCATGTCATCCAAAGATAATTTTTCCTTCGTTTGCGGAATTTCGGTGAAAAAATGATGAAGTGTTTGATTTGCGTACATACGAAGATCTCGTTCATGGCGATCGTCTTCTACTTCTACTTTCCAAATCGAAAACCCAATCTTCGACATTTTACCAATGCTCTGTGGTTGGTTTCTGGACGTTGCAATAATTTTTACCCAACGTGGCAGTTTGGGAAAGCCACGGTGTAAAATATCTAGAATTACAGATTGGTGGCGCTGCTCTATCTCCAAGCACTCGTCTAATGCGTCAATAACTATAAACGATATATTTCTATCAATATCGCTTAGTTTTTGAAGAGGATTAACTATTGCACTCTCGAAGCATTCCACAGGCTGTCTTTCACATCGACTAATTGCAGATTGTATCAACTGGTCGTTTCCAACTATTTCAGCGTATTCCTTATTTTTTTCTGAAATTAATCGAGCTAAATCTCTCACGAATTGCTTACCATTACGTCGCGTTGTTTTGCTGTTATACCTGCAGAAGTGGTAACCAATAATGTTATTATGAATAACAGCACTTGACATGGGCGAGTCTATCAACCGTTTCATGGTGGCCGATTTGCCCCACCCTAGTTCGCACACAAGTAGGACTCCACGTACGCTGCTTTGGTTCAAAATTTCCTCAAACTTTTGGAAGACCCATTTTCGGCCAACAAAATGAGGATTGGAAAGATTAAGGGGTACATTAAGGTAAGAGTAGCCTCTCGGTATGGGCTCGTTCTGTGGGGAAACATAATAAAGATACAACAAGCACAATAGGAAAAGAAACCCAATAATAATTGCTTTGGACTGAGCTACTTGTACGGATTTCAAGTGTTCCAAAGTTTCTCCAATAATTTTAGTTCGATTCAAGTTTTCACGCCCGAGATTTTCATACAGCATCACTTTCTCTCCAGTCTCTTTCGCTTCTTTTAAATTTTCATTCAAGAGGACTTCATACTTGCTCGCAATTTCTCCAACTTTTTTAGTTTCATCCAGCACATTGAGCACAAGTGCTTCTACCTGTTTATCGCTTTCAAACCACTCATTTAGTAAGCCAATGTTGTAATCTTCATCAAGCCAAGCCGTCTTAATATATGCAATATTGCCTCGGGGATCAACACCTATACCAGGCTTACGGCAGAGCCTAGTCAAAGCACTTGAAATGTCATTCCAGTAAGTATCGAAATCAGCATCGCTGACCTCAGTGTCCTCCATGTGGTATAATAAGTTTCTATAATACTTAACTCGAACCAAGTCAGCTTCAGGATTTAGGTCGTGGGGCGGAGGATTTGCATCCCATGATCCAGTCGTAATAGGAGCTGCGAGACCGCAAATGTTGCGGAGCAAAATGAACAATAGAGTGATATCATAATCATTAGACGTTGTCGTCGGCAATGAAGGAAGCACTCCACTGGGAGGATACAATTTCTTCATTTGTTCTGCATTTGTAACCCGCAGTCCGTTCAATAAGGAGTAGTAAGAGTTCAAGACGCCAGGTAAAGTGGCGGGAGGATGAATAGAATCGAGATACAGTCGTAACGTGACAGTTCCTTGGTCAATAATCAAACGACAAAGCTTCGCTTTATTGTTTTTGAGATGACTAGATGGCATGATGGACTAAAATACAAAGACGATACAAGAAAGTAAATCGTTGCGTAAAAATGTTTAATATTGTGCGTTCATGCACGTAATCGTTCCAGATAAAGAGAAATCATCGATTTACCTAATTTGAAATTATTTGAGATGGTATATGATTTTTAAAATTAACATGCACTAAACAAAATGTAGCTACTTGCAGAAAAGTTGTAAAACCCGATATAACTGCGAACTAACATATAAATACTTCATGTTATATCACATCAAAGGTAACGTTTTCCACTTATGTTTCCGCAATATTACGTTAGCTAACTGAATTTTATAGTGAGTTTAGTAACCTATTATGCGACAGATTACTCGACGGGCTTTATAGCGACATTTAAATCGGAGTTTGCACTCCATTTTGCAGCATCCGGCAACAATTGTGAAGCAATGTTTCGTCAAACCTTAACTATACAGGAAGTGTTGTCATTTGAATTATTATTATTATTATTACATTTCCTTTACGTTCATCGCCAACTAAATACTTAATTTCACGCCAAACCGCAAAGAATGGCTTGCTCGCTAGAGTATAGACATTTCGCTTGATAGTTTTGTTTACGACGTTTATCTACAAACTGGTATTCGAGTTCTCACACAAGACAGCCCAAATATACAGTATAAATGTATTATGAACAGAATCAGCTTACCTTGAAGTTTATATAGCGATAAGCCGTGTGTATTCAAAGCGAAAGTCTGATGATAAATCTCTTCTCTTTAGTCGAAGCAAGGCAAAGAGAAAGCACAAATGCACACGCTATTCACCCGGTGTTGCAAAGTGGCAAATTATCCGAGACATGACGAATTTAGATTTAATAACAAAGTAAAATAAGCGAAACCGCTTAGTTTGCAATAAAGACAATAAAGCTTCGCAATTCAAATGTGAATAGCAATACTTCCGGTTTAAACCCAACAGTCCATGACCAGTTCCGGGAACCGTGTTGCAATTTAATACGAATGGGACAATGTTCATTTTAACACCTGCAAATTTAAAAATCAAGAAAAATGACACGAAATCAAATTATAAACCAATATTAAAAAACTGCTTCTTAAGAAGAATAGTGAAGAATAAAGAATTATCATTCTTAAAAACCGCTACAGAAATAAAGAATATCATTTTATCGATTTGTATATCATGTAATCACTAATTTAGGGGAATTGCTGGAAAAGGAAAAAAGGTCCTACTTTGACAGGAAGATATAGTAAATTAACCATCACTGTTATGCATGTAAACTAATGTTCTTCTTACATGTAACTATTATGCATGTAAACTAATGTCCTTGCATGAACTATTATGCATGTAAACTAATGTCCTTGCATGTAACTATTATGCATGTAAACTAATGTCCTTGCAGGACCAATGAGGCAGATAATCTCACAACCATGTTTTTGAAGTTCTTATGCGCCGCCAGTGTTCTGGGAATTGAACCCAGAAGCCACACACGCATTTTTATCACTATCAAGGAATATGTTTTGGTTTGGCCCCAGACATGGACACTGTTTTTAAAGCCAAACGAAAAGGAGGGAAACCGGAGTGCCCGGAGAAAAACCCTCCAAAGGTAACCTGAATCTCAGGTTGCCTGACCGGCGGTCCGAATTTGGTATTTTCATTGGAAATCGCCCGCAATGACATGCGGTTCAGTTTTTATCTATAGTTCACCGTTTCAGTTTCGCTCATCCGAACCGACTCTAAGAAATTGCCATGCAATTCTTTAGTTTTATAAATTCGATCCTGCTGGTGGTCTAACGCACGCAGCGCGCATATTGTCCTTTGCGAAACACCATGCAGGCTCTTAGCAATCAAACTGCGCTTTGTCCGAACAATGGCAACAAAAATTATTCCAAATACTTCAACGAATCTGGCATTGTGGAAAGAAATTCACGACATGCATGCTTTTTCATCTCAAACCGATGTAGACAACAACACTCTTCTATTATAAGACATGCACCTCATGCAACGTTTTTTATCTTCTTTTACTTTCAATTATGGTTGACCGAAAATGGAGCGGAAATAAACGTAATCGAGCTTACCATGCAACTTACTCAATATATGCTATACTACAAGAATTAATAATGTCTCTTACCTTTCGCACCGTATGATTACCGTTGGTAGACAATGTCCCTCATATTTCATTGCTTTATTTCAACTTTCTTCTTTAACAAAATCTCGACGTTGGGGCGTGCAAGGAATTAAAAAACATAGTAAGTGTGTCAAAATACAAAGGGATTCTTTAAAGGGTTAGCTTTTCAGACAGGAGGCTATACAATATGTAAACAGTATACACCCAGATACCCTAATCATACAAGTCCAGTTATCGTGCAATGAAATAATATATCATGTAATATAGGAGGTATATTTTCCTTTTTATATTACAACTTCATCATGCCAGTCAAAATCATTAGATTACGTTTATTTCCTTCATGCTAGAGATTAACCAGATTTTGAGAACTTAAAATGCAATCCGAGAAATTAATACCAACAAGGGAGACGGAAGAGTGGTATTGTCTACACATCAAACTGTCATATTTCTTTTCTTCATTTCAAAACTTCAATAATTTCAAAAGTATAATTTTTGTTGCCACCGACGGACGGTCCGTCGAAACGATCGCATTATAGCTGGCTGAACAGAGAACTTATATAATCATATAAGTACTCGCGATTACCTTCGTATTAATCTAATGTTAGACCAATACGAATTCAATATTATTTTAGCTGCGCGCGCGCCGACCATTGCTACATTTAAATTGCATCATCATTTCAACGCTTTCATGCCATCATGCATATCTTCCGTAGATGGTCTTATACAAATATTACAATTTGATCACTTTTTCTAAAATATTTCTCAATCGAGAAAGATTCACTGAACTGTTATATTTATTACGGTTTTTGTATAAGACCACCGTAAGTCGCTAAATTCACACAAAAGTGACAAGGCTGTGATTGTTTCACAGAGAAACCTAGCAAACACCCGTGAGAATTTTCTATGTATTGTAAAAAAGGGTGAAATGTCACTTGGTGTGTGAATATACTACGTTAGACCACCAGAAGGAATCAATCCGAAGATAAAGCATGCATCATACATTAATCATGCATTACTCTGATTAGTATACCTATAGTATGTACCTTCAACTAGCTTCCACTTGCATACCCGTCTCGTCGTCCATCATCTGATCCTGCGACGATCCTTCAACATCTGTCTTTAAGTTGTTCAACATCTGTCTTCGGGTGCATGGACATCTCTGTCTTTTTGTATAAAGTGAACAATTAAAGTGAACAATTATACATCCAGTTCCTTGCATTTCTGAACCGGCAACGATCCTTCAACATCTGCATTCGTATCCTTCAGCATTCGAAATGATTGTAAAATGGAAAAATCATATATACCTTCAGGTCCTTCGAAATCTGATCCTGCGAAGATCCTTCGACAGCTGATCCTGCGACGATCATTCGACAGCTGATCCTGCGACGATCCTAGATACAGAAATATGATACCATTAACTTCCAAGAGAGAAACGCAACTTGATCTATTAAAGCATTTAGGATAAAACGATAAAACAAAAAACCCGAGGTATATGCACCTTCGACATCTCCTTCGCCACTTGTCCAAAGCCTTCGCATTGCGCACGCGAATACAAAATGTAAAGCACGTTTTGTACGAAATATTCATCATTTTCTTCATGGTCCTGAGGAAACTGAAACACTCGACTATTATCTCCTTCTAGAAATACAATTTCTCATGCATTTTTAATGTTTTAGGTGCTCTGTGAGCGGAATTTTTTGTCCGGACTATTGTCGTTCAAGATGGAGAAAATACAAGTGATGGGGCCCCAGAATCACTTGTGTTTCCTCCGCATGCGCTTGACACGACCATGTTAAATCATGCAAAAACCGCAAGCCGAAAAGTTGAAAATCTAGGAGGTAAACAGAAGAGTGTTCAGCATAACTCAGCCAAAAAAGCCAAATCCCATGCAATTTTATCATGCATGTTTTCACCGAAATCAAATTTAGATTTGTATTTGCGTGCCTAAATGTCCCAAGGCGGCTTTGACATCTCTTGACTCCGACGACGATTTATTCATTCTAAAAAGAGAAAAAATTGATTAAAACAAAACAATTCACGGCCATATGAAGCGTAGTTAAAGCGACTTGCTTTCCGATTTGTGGCGAAACTAAGTTGACCTGGGAAGCAAAGAAATCCATAGAGCACAGCACGATAAGATACTTTGCAAGTAGAAAACTACAATAGACAAGCTGAGATAACTCAGCACATGTCAAGTCTAGCATAAAGTACATAGAGATACCAATACAACGGTCTTTCCCTGTACAAAACTGACACGAAGCGCCAACAATCGTGTTCGAACAGCGCATTACAAGCCGGGAAAGTTTCAGCCATTTCTTGGGAAAATATTCGATTTAATGTTTCGCAAAAAGTTCGATTAAACTATATTCTATTTTCGCCCACCATATACAACGTGTCAAGTCACAAATGCAAAATACACATAAATTAAAAGAATAATACCTCAAAATTCGCTGCGAGCAAGTGCTTGTGCATGTTTCGCCTTCCCCAACTTTCGGCGCCGTTGTTCGTTCTGAAATGAAATAAGCAAGAAAAAACATTTAACAGGTGACTTGCATTTCACATTTTCAAGCGAAATATAACAAGATATAGCAGCGAAAATCAGCAAGATATGCCTCCAGTCGCTAATGTCCTCTGGCTATTCAAATCAACACGACGATGAATTAATTTGCAAAGCCAAAGATCAAGCCAACAGATTCTTTAAACTAACCATAAGGCCATGTACCTGAGCAAGATTCTTCCAACTTTTCCCTATACTTCTTCAAATGATCGTTCCTTCTTCGAGAAGGCTACCAAGTTTGACTTCCTTCTCGAATTCAACCAGCTTTTATCACCTGAAAAACATTCCAAAGAACAATGTACTTTATGCATCCATGACATTAATACTTAACAGTAAGGCCTGTTTCAAACGTAGGGCTTCTCATGTACCGAACGCATAAACAACAATAGATAATGAGGCATCCCCATTGATTAAGTATTGTTTTAAATGCGTTTAAATGCACTTAAAACTTAAGGTGGAAAAAATAAGGGCTTGGCATTCAGATTACTTTAAAACATACACATTGGCTGATTCGCCTGGAACATACCTGGAAGAAATTAACTTTTTACTTCATTGTAGAACTTTGACTCAGATCATTTTCGGCATTATTGACTTTCAGCGATGCGATACACGCGGGTACCGACATGCGAATGTGAGAATTATCATATAGCTCAGTGGGTCCAAGTAATTAATAGGCATAGCCTCCAGTTTCGGAAGTCTCTTAAAGGCTGGGATTTCAACATAACAATCGATTTTTACCCTCATGGGACGAAATATTAAAGTTTAAAATAATGCTAGATCGTTAATTCATCATTTACGCACACATTGGTAAATTTATTGTTTGACTTTATTTTAACGTATACGTATGTCATTTTGTACACAATTAAGTTTATCACAAATTTCTACATTTAAAGAGCATTCATATATACTGGGCTTACACCCTATGTAGTCTATTCTAGTTTTTAAAGACTATTTATAACCACGAGCTGGAGTCCTATGTCAGCTATATACGATGAGAGGGGTGGTATAATTGTCTTATATCATAGCTATATACATTAAAGTTTTGGTGCAATAAATACCATTTTTATGAGCGAAATAAATTTAATTTAAAATTCCTTTGGCATGAACAAAAAGCTGCTTTTTGTCAGTTCTATACTTACCCCCTGAATATTATCTATTTTGGGAGCTGAACTTTCAAAAAGTGTTTCAGTTTCCCGTTTAGCAAAACTGCATGTCGGCCGTAGTTTTCTTTGCTATTCAGTATATTTATATACAATTGTGGTAATCTGATAAGGGTATATTTCTTGAATATCAAGTATGGTTGAATATCTCACGAAGAGCTAGTAAGTATACAATTTTACAAAAAGTTAACATAGTATATTTTTAATCGTTTTCCAACGCAATTGATATTTAGTCGTTATCACAAGGTAAACAAAAAAAAGGACCCAGGAACACTAACACAGCGTGAGCCAATTGCGTTAGTGATCTGTTACAATATTTAAGAAATATATTTATCAAGAAATATACGAGGGGCTGAATAGTACATCACCGTAACAAGATTTGAACACGAACAGTACAATCAATAATTATTAACATGAACGTTAGAATTACAAAGTGCAATAAACGCGAAATAAAATTGCAAAATATGCGTCCAATATCAGTCTGACGCGTAAGAAGTGGAGATGTATCGAAAATGGTAGAATAAATGAAAGGTAGAAATGTAACAAATGAAGTAAAATTGTTTAAATTTTATGGTTGAAATTCTTCACTCGTCTTGAGCTAGAATGAACTAGTATATTGCAATTTCAACTGGTCCTAAAAACAGAATTTCTTAGTTACACCGCGTAAGCTGTCTTTCATATACATATATACATTTTTGAAAGACAATTCTTATTTAAGATAATTAATATAGTTTATAATAATTACTTAGATAATTGTAAGTTAGGTGCGCTGATTACGTGCATACTACATGTTGAACTGCTGATATATATGCTTCTCTGCCAAAACATTGGTTCAAGACCTATAAAAATGATTTACTTTATCAGTCATTGTCAAGTTTAAAGCGTAATTTATTATATCATAGTTTAAATACGTGACAGACGACTTTACCGGTGGACTTCGCCGGGGAAATTATACTTATCAAATTCAAAACAGCGAAGACACCTTCAAAATATAATAATATATATCATATGTGTCATTTCAAAGCCGTATATAACTTTAAAAACTTGTACTGAATGCATGCATGTATGCATCGATTTCAAAGTTCTAAGACTCATCTTTGGATTTCAGAGCCAACATAAATAAACATTTTTCATCAATTTGAAATCTTTTACAAAAGCTGTTCTATTATAGCTTTTTATATATTGAGCGGTTATGCACAGTTCTCACAAACCTGGGAGATCAGGAACTGCCTATAGGTATAGTTAAATACTTTAAACCGGCATTATTCATTTATAATAATATAATGCCAGCCAGAAGAAGTGTAAAACGTAGCAAACCCACTTTACCACTTATATAGTTATCAAAGTAACCAAGCATCATAATTATGATATGTGTAATTAGAAATTCGAAAGCCTGATTTCAGCAAAGTAAGTAAACATTTGTGCTGAAATTCATTCTTGCAGGACTCACTGTTCGTTCAAAATTAAAAAGCCAAATTTAAAAACGTTTTGTAAAATAAACGGTCCTTATATTCGAGAATAGTATATACATTAGGACCAGCAATGAACATTTTTACTATACGTTACAACACTATGTATTTATATTTTTCTGAGTGTTATACCTGCGTTCCGACATGGAGGTAGCTGGATGGACATCAAATCCCATTTTTCGAGCAATTGCGCTTCGGATCTAAATAAAGTTCAAATATTATTTCAGGACAGTTTTTGACGAGATTTTATTTTTCAACAATATCAACAGCGTTTCTTTTCTATCTCAATATTTGAAGACCATTGTTTAGCGTTTATGCAACTTTAAACTCTAATTCGGCGAATATTGCTTTACTTTTGAAATTGTCGGCTGTCTTGGTTTTTTGAGCGGCACGGATTATATATAAGGTCTGTTTTTAACTATATATGACTGGCGGGCGAAGGTCCCCCGCTCCCTCCCTTCTGACGGCTGTACCCCCCCCCTGAAAGTCTCGCCAGTGCAGGTCATTTTTAGAATGTAAAAATATTAGCAAAATATAGTAATGATATTCTCTCAACAAACCTACAGCATTCTTGGGGGAGGTCCCCCACACTTTCTAGAACTATACCCTAATTCCAGTTACGACCACTTTGTTCACAAGAAACATCCCCCCCCCCTAACAATTTCTCAGAGTCACTCACCTCTGTGTTGCAAACTCCATAAATCATAAAAATTAGAAACCCCTATAATGATATAAAAATTGGATGTGGAATGTTTTAAACAGAAAAATAAGAATATTACGAGACATCTAAGAAATTGCATATGCGTTGCAAATATAGGTTATCGCTACTTGCCCCAAAGGATAATTCCGGTAATTTTACCTGAATGGAAGAGGAAATTGCAAAAAGATATTTCCAGACCAAGGCATCGTGGTTGACGCCGATAATGCCGAATACCCAACAAAGACCAAGAGTTGGAAACAATACGAGAACGCCTCGGGCGGCAGAACTAAATCAAGGGAGCAGATTAAATGAGCCTAGAATATATAACCAGGGAGCAGCGTGGAAGCGTCCTCAAACAACTTAGCATCATATGTGGTATAACAACTGCCTAAAATAGACAAAACACTTCTCCACTTTTCGACCTGAGGTTCTTCGTCAGGAGAGTTAGTATCATACTGACTCTCCTGACGAAGGCCCTCAGGTCGAAACGTCGAGAAGTGTTTTTTCTATTTTAGGCAGTTGTTACACCACTTTTGATGCGCATGCTAAGCCTAGAATATGTCGGATTTTGACGGGGTATACGTGGGTTCCATGCTAGATTTTCATGTGTTATAGGCCCTACTGTCACTCAGAAAATCTTTGCTTGATGACATGAATTGATGCTTGCTTGGTGACATGAATACATATACTGAATAAATAGCTAATATAGGCCCTATACTGACCATACGGAACGTATTTTAAGTACAATTGTAACTGGTGTAATCACGGACATATCAAACGCTTTGATTAATCGAAAATTAATTACGATAATTACATTATTCTTCGCATATTATCGGCTCCTTCGGACTTCGAGACAACGAGCAGCACACGAGCAACGCCAACGACGGCTAGAAATGTTATCTGCAGAAAGAAAGAATGTGGAAAAAATTATAATCTCTAAATCTTTGTTTTGGTTAAATTTGCAATCGGTTTTGCAAATGGAAAGTTTGAAACTCGACTAAGAATCCTGAATTTGTGGGTTATAATTACTGGGTAACTGCATGGCACATCTAACGTATACAAGAGTTAATGATATTATTACGGACCTTTAGCTCAACCAATAGAACGGCAAACGGCTATCTATATTGCAATGTTATAAATTTATATTTTCTTACTGATGTCATAATTATCACGGGCGCGAAGATCAACCACTTAAATCCATCCTCGTAAGAGATCCAACACCTACAATTAATCATGAACATAATGTACTCAATATACGATCTTTTCTATTCTCTATTATTATTTAATATTTAACAATTACAAATACCATGTATCATTTCCATAAACATCATAGTTCAGTCCAGCAGATAAGCCAACAAATATCAAAGGAAATCCTGTGTTTTTTTGAAAAACATTCACAGCAAAATTAATATGGATACATGCGAGTAACATCAAAGTACGTTTCACTAATAATATAGTTGCACTGTTTATCTGGCATATTTCTCCTCTGCATTATTAGACATGTAGACATTTATTAAGAATTTGTCACCAAGAATTACATATAATACAATACAATACAATAGAATGTGATGAAAAAATATATAAAGGTGACCAGCTAACTGTAATAACCATAAAGGGCTAAACTGGACAGTTAGCAAGTCAGAAAAATGCATCCAAGTAATAGTGATTTCTAACGATTCAAAAGACTGCTTGTATACATAATTTTCCATCTTACTGATATTAGTGCATACGATTCGAGAGAAAAATATGATAAAACTTGCAGAAAGAAAAATTATTTAAGAATACAAAATCTACAAAGGATATACAAAACTATTTGTATTCTGTCAAGTGCCTAAGATATATGAGATGTGGAGGACATGATAATTCTGTTTCGTCAAAGATCTAGGGCTTCTAATAGATTGATTTTTGTTTGGCAGATTAACTGGTGGGACTGCTCTGCTATATTATTCTAGGCAAATGCAAATGGGTCCCATATGGAAGAATACGTTATAAACAAGATTCATAACTTTATAATTATATAAATACAACGGTATGACCTACCCCAGCCGAACAAATAGAAATACTTCATCCTGACAAACTCTCCACTGTACACAGAGATTAGTTTCAAATAGAGCAATGTAACTTCCAGCAGGATCCAGGTAAATCCAGCAAACGTGAAATAGTGCAAAAAAATTGCCACAATCTTACAAGGAACCTGCAAATTGAAAGATTTGCAACCCACTATCAATAAAATTTCCACGAATACAAAATTTATTTTGAAAGAAATATAATCTATTTCCGAGGTATTCGTTTGTCCTGCAGTGAGCCTGGATATAGTGTAATCTGTACGAACAACCACATACACATGCGAATTACACCCACGCTAAATTTTCAGATCATGATTTTAAGCTAGACTGAAATACTACACTGAAAAAGGCGAATTGCCATTATTTGTAAACACTGGTGCACAGATTGCTTCGCCTGTAGAAAAATTATTACATAAATCCTCGATTTTTATAGGGAAGTATATTTACTGTGATATGGTTCACTGTCTCCTCAACTTATTATAGCGACCTGTAGTATTGCAGCAATTTCGCGGACCGCACTGTGAATCAAATGTTGAAAGTTCTGGCAATGATTTTATGTCAAGAATCCCCGAATATAATCCTCGATTCTAATTCTTCCGTATCAGGGTTGGGGTCAGGTTAGGCTGGATTATATTCGTGGATTCTGGACATGAGATTATTACCAAAGTTCTAATTTGCATACACGCAATTACCCCATCTGTTGTGGTGCGTCCTCCAGCAAGAAAACCAATCTGCGTCAATCCTAGGGCAATCAGTAAGTTGAAATGTACCAAAAGACGAGTGGTCGTTAAAATCTTGAGATCTTTGCTGAAATAAAAAATGAAGAAATTATCGGTTTTTCCGATATATGATGCTACAACGTCATGGTTTCAAAATATGGTTTAATATAATACCATTTGCTTTTTAGAGAATTAAAGCAAGGGAAAAAATGTCAACTACTACGTCAACTACTTTGTTACTTTTAGGGTTAAGAAAACATTTTATGCTCACGAAGATCATTATATCAAAATAATTACCGTAGCAAAATATACACAACACACGAGAAAACAAGACCAGTCAATGACAATGTACATCCGATGTAAAAGATGCTTAGCAAGGCACGAGAATTAGTATCGTCTACCTATAAATCAGTGAAAGGGTTTCGAAATTCAATTTACAAAATTATATTCCAATGCACTAATTCAAAACGGAAGCATTTAGCCGTTTCTATATTCAGTAAACAACTCCGGGTGACGTCAAAACGAGGTAAGAACAAAAAATGTGGTCACGTGCCAAATCTAAAGAAAATTAAATGCTGATACTGAAGAAAAAAATCAGTAATTTATGGAAAATTTCGTGAGTCCACCTTTATATTGATGACGTATGCTAACGAAATTTGTGCATTGGCTTATTAAAACCACGTCAATCCAATATTGGGACATGTCGCAGTTCTCGGAAGCTTTCGTCCAATTGGATAATGCTTTTCTATGCTTTCTAAAGAACGAAGCTATGCTATTGGTTGAGACAGAAATGTATTGTAAATTTCAACCAATTAAAATCATTCTTGCAAGGAGCTGCGACACTACCCCGATTATTATACAATAAAAAATATTATATTTTAGCTAATCATGTATACGCCTTGTTTTTAGAAGTACTGGATGACTTATTAATTCTCTTTAAGAAGTGTTTTTTTACTAACTAATTCTCCTTAAGAAGTGTTTCTTTCTATTTTAGACAGTTGTTATACTACATTTAATGCAATGCACTTATCTTGTTAAATAATTATAGTCTCGGGACAAATCCTGTTTTTCAAAAGCTAATAAGAAAATTACAAATTTGACACTGATGTGTTTCAAACCTCAGCTCCTAGAACAATCATTGTAAAACTTGAGAGATGATCCGCTTGACAATGAACATTATTTTCGTCTACTGAGTGCAATTTCATTCCTTTTTTACTCCATTGAACTTTATCCAGATATGCGCATTCGACCTGAAACATTGAATTTAGCTAATCAAAATTGGGACCCCACGAACTCATCCTCCTAAATCGTTTAGGTTTTAACCCCAAATAGTTTAAAAATTGTTTGGCCCAGTATTTTAGTCTATATTTATTTTAAACTTAAAAAAATAATTAAAGTGTGAATTTAAGTTGATAAAAATGATTTGAAACATTGAAAGATGATATAAAGTCTGTTGTGAGCATGTTTTCTGCTGATAAATTAAAAGACTTTTCTGGTGGCGCGACATGAGAGTTGGAATATTAATAGAAGTTTTGTCCTGTTTTGGGGGGTAATTTAATGAATATTCAACATGTGGAGGTGCCATTTTTGAATGTTGCTTAATTTGTTATGAGCGGAGAATAGCGAACATGCGCAGAACAGATCCTTAAATTGCCATTAACTTTCTTACATCTTTTTTTAAAACAGTGCTTCGCTTTTCTCTGAAATTTAGGGACACTGTTTCATTGGGTTCCAGCTCGGATATGACATTTGCCCTCACAATGTAATCAAGCATGGATATATTGGAAAATTCCTGGAGAGAATTATTCCTAAACAAAGCGGAAAGCAAGAATTGTTCACAATATTAGCAGTAGCGTAGCCAGCCTGTCGATTTCTTCCGCTATGCTAATATTTTTGTCTTCACTGACTGTGAAAACAATAGATTGCTAAAGACATGATTAATCATAATAACTCGAAATTTACATAGCGGGACAAAATCGTCAGGCTGGCTACGCCACTGAATATTAGTGTTATATACAATACAGCCATGCATCATGCATGTGAAAACGTATTTAAAGGGAACAAATTATCTATTTGCTTCAGTAGAAAATTAAGGGGGCAATGTAGTGAATGGAGAGAAATTCAAAAGGTTTACTATTTTATGCCTGAAAAACTCGTGAAAATTCGTCAAAATGAAAAAGGTTTTGTCGCTATTCACTATGTCTTTTAGAAATGATAGATAGCGTGTAGCTACGCGTAGCTAATCAAAATACAGCATTTGCAATAGTACTTGTTTAAGTTTTGAGTAATAACATGATTTTTATACATACGATAAGTGACTGCTGTTCACCACGACACCATTGAATTGAATTTCAATTATTTTGATCGTACCTAAAAAAATCACAATTTAATTTGAAACTGTTCGCCTTTTTAAAACTCATGGGTTTGCCACGGTCGAAGATTTTCTGTTGTAATATTACGAAGTTGCTTTCCTAAAAATATAAAATAGTTTTATAATATGAAATTGATAGTACGTGAGTGCTGATTGGTCGAGAAGCGTGTTTCTGTAAGTGTATACAAACACGGGAATTTTCCCGCCGAACTTGATAAGCGAAGTAATGTGATGAAAATTTGTAATTGAATCGAATTATAATATTTGTACTAAATCTTTTTAGAAATGGAAAAAAAATTTTTCTGTGTTTCTATACAGTTGTAGAAACGCTTGTGGGAGTTTGGGAGAACTCGAAATAACGTGGTTTTCAAATCAAAACGGTGTAGTTATTTCTAACAATATTACAGGTATTTTTGTTTTTATAAAGCTGGTCGCTTTTTTCAATGCCTTTCAAAACCTGCTCAAGCTTCGTTCAATCTCGGGTAACCGGGCTCATGTGAAAAGTCCCTAAATGAGAATTCAAGTCATGTATACAAAAGTAGCCTAAAATTTAAATCTTGTACAAAAAAAGCCGCCTCAAAATTCTTGATTTATATTCATTGAGAAAGCATATTGCATGAATTATTGACTTTGGTGCTGGTTGTAGATCCCCACCAAATTACTGACGCTCTTGTCCACAGTGTAAATGCTATATGTACTTGCGAGATAGCGAAATTTTAACGAATGAGATTTCAATGGAATAGACAAATTCGCGACATTGTTTCAAAGGTTCTAATGACAAAATCACAACAATGCCAGTGTTTACAGACACGCTAATAGTTATTACGTATGGTTACAATATTAAAAGGGATATCATCGACTGAGCATTGATATAAATATGTTCAGAAAAGCTATCAAACAGTTTTAAAAGTACTTTCATTCAAGACAATATATTATATATATAGGATCTTGGGGTTACCGAATTCTCTCCCATTACTTACAATTTGATTGTTTTGAACAATTTTCCTCAATTGTAAGTATCGGCATTGTGATATTGTTTCTTTGGCGTAGTTCTTTGAGACTTTTTGTGGACACTTTTACTTCTGAAATGTACAAATTAAACGACGTGTAAACGGTATGATTGTACTGAGAATTCAAACTTCTACACGGACCATTTTAGCGAAAATACACCTTTAAAACGCAAATTTCATTTAACAAGTCATGTAAACGTATTTCATATCACTTCAAGAAAACAAAAAATGAGTCATTTTAGCTGATTACCCGTTGTTATGAATAAGTGCAAAACAAAATCTTTAACTGGCCAATCTTGTATACATGCACGCGTATACAGTGTACAATAGACCTTTCTTATAATGACGTCAAACGCGGAAAGTCTGATGATACACGGAATTTGATTGGCTCCACAAAACTATCGAGCTAATCAAACTTCGTGTAAGATCAGACTTTTAAGATCAGACGTCATTATGAAAAAGGTCTATTTTCTAGTTCCTAATCTTTTGAATGACAATCACCCTATATCAACATGTTAAGCACTAATACTGGGTATGCGAAACACAACTTTGTTGTTTCAAAAATAGAGAGAGCTCAAGTTCTAATAGTCGTTACATTTTAATACCTAAAACGTTTTCTTCAATTGTAGCATTAAAATTTAGGTTGAAGCTTGAGTTGACAATTCCAATGACTTCTGTGTTTACATCAGCTAGTTTTTCTTCAAGATTCGGATTCTTAGGCACTTCCTGAAATATTAAGATAATATTTGATAAGATCATATTCATCGGGTTAAAGTGATTAAGAAGCAACAAACAATAGATAACAAGGAATTCACATTCGCTGTAATCCAATTAGAATGCAAATGTTGACTACCTCCAGTGAAAAGGTACATTATTTGTCATTTTAAATGAAGTATTGGAAAGGTATGCATTCCTATTGGCTTAGCCAGAAAATTGTAGTTATTGTACACATGCAAATTTGCCGATTACTTTAAATTTTAAAACGAAATTCTTTCTTGTTACAATGAAAACAATATATCACTATATAAAAAGAAGCTTCCATTGAGAAGACATTAATATTGAACGATGGAAAAGCACAAAAGATTAACAACACGGACAATAATGATATCGTTCAACAATACTTTATAACGTACATCCGTATCCGCGAATGAAACTTGCCAAGTTGAACTATGTGCTTACTTTCATGGCATCTTTTATCTCTGAAGTGTTAGGCTTAAAACGGAGAAGTTCCTTGACAACTGCAATAATTTTCCCCTAAAAAACCCGAAAAAACAAATATTAGTTTATTTTTTAATCATGCACCAGGGATTGTTTGCACAGTTTTAATTTTATTTTCTATATTTATAAGCTGAGCTTTTAGCATTAGAAGTTAAATGTTAAACTATATTGAATATTTTGATCACTTGAAGTGAGACAAAAATATTTTCATCAAAAATTATGCGATTTATTTATTGATTTTTGGTGCCCCAATTCTTAAACTTTGCTTTTTTGATAACTTGCATTATAAGTAGCTGTAGTTCCTTTATGCCAAGAGAGGGTTTCAGAAAACATCGCAAGTCCCGAATATTTATTTATATAAACTAAGATCTATATCGGTGAAACCGCGTCTATATGATGATCTATCATCACACTAATGATTACTCTCTACCTGTGCGGTTGAATTTCCACCGGAAATTTCTTTGCCAACTGAGCTTACACTTGTATAGCTTGACTCGAAATTTCTAGTTGCACTTGGGTTGATACCTTTCGAGTTTTCACCTGTACCTGGTACAATAACTTTCGAATTGTTTTTGCAGATGAAGGACTGTTTAGTGAGACAAGAGTGATCTTGCCACATCGTGCCATTATTGCTGACGTGAAGTACGGCACATCTTCTATTATCGCCAGTGTATTTCAGCCTCCCAGTATAAAGTCCTCTTCTGTTACTGTCATTGAATTGTTCACCGTCAATCCATCGCCAGCCATCTAATGGATCACGTGAGGAGTAGCACTGAATACTTGCGTTATTTATCCAGTATCGTTTACCGTAATCCAAATATTGAGATGCATTAATGCGTTTGATATCACTAAGATTTGCAAGATGGCTACCATGCCGCGAACGGCAAAAGGCATTAGCATACTTCCACTTGGTCCTAACATTGTTGAAAGCTCGGATACAAGATCCATTTTGGTTTCTCCAGTCGTTAGGACATCCAGATAATTGAGCTGAAAATGTATAATTGCAATCGATAAACATTGCAGATTTATATCTCCATGGTTTCTATAGATGATTCCAGCTTAATTTAGAGCTTAAGTTTTCATGCTGGACCGCTCAATTGGAGGGCAGAGGTGGTAGTATATATTGTTATTTATGTTTACAAATCGGAAGAAAAATCTGGTTCAAAAGAGATCAATCAGGCATAGAACGTCTCAGACGAATATGTGAATTTGCACCTCCTCTAAATTACACTACAGCCCCGTTTTGATGTAAATTTTGAAGAATAAAGTTTTGAGGAAGAAATAAAACATGGAAACATCATAAAGCATAACTTATTGATCATGTTCGAAATCGGAGTTTTGTAGTCAACTGCTTGACGATAAACATTGTAAAATATTATCCTAATTTCTTCTCCTAATGTTTTTTTAATTTTAGGGATTATATTCTATCCAATAAGTAGAAGTGCAACCATCAAGCCTCATGAATGGCACACTTGTCAGGCGAAATAAAAAGCTACAAAAGTCGCGAAAAGCATAAAACTCATTGCGGAAACATACCAGAAACTCTGTTTAACTGTTGTTTTCTGTTATATAAAGCTATTATTACCTGATTTCTTGCAGATATAATTCTCGAAATGGGAAGAGCAACGAGAATTTTGCCGTTCATATTTCGGTTCATTTGACTTATTGTAATAATGCGGGCTATCGTCATATATCCAAGTCCAAATTGATTTCACACGACGAAGCCCAATCCAAAACTTCTTTTCCATGCTCTAAATGTAACGATAATAAGTGTTTATACATCCTGTATATATATAGCAGAGAGCAATCAGTTCAATAGTTCTATAATTCATTGATTGCCTACCACGATACACGTAGATATATTCTTTCCCAGGTCATTTTCATCATCAATTTTGAGCAATTTTCCACCCAATTTTTGGCATTCCGTTTTCGCTCCACTCCACGTCTTCTGCACAACTGACAAATTATAGCAAGACTTCCCAAAACGTCTCCATGTCGCATTATAATTATCCTGACAGGCTGTACCTGAGTAAAACGTAAAATCAATTTATGCATGACGATACATACAGAAACAACCCACCCCCAAAAATTTCTTGGATACCTTGGTTAGTAATGGAGCTAGGTTTATTTTGTGCTTATAACCATGGTTTTGGTTGAGAACACATGGATAACTGACTGGAAACCAGAAAATAGCGGTCCGGTTAAGAAACTTCGTGCAGTTTATTGTATTGACTGTTCGATAAAAAGAATATATTCAAAAAGACAAGGCTTGCGTGTTCTTGCACAAGCCATAAGCCCGGTTAGCGAGATTTAACGAAGCGTAAAATGGGACTTTGAGGTATTGAAATAAGTCTTTTTGAAACAAAACAATCATATGTTATTGTTAGAATGATAACACGACTACCAGGGTTATGTTATTTACTTCTTTTAATACCTCAAAGTCTATTTTACCTATACGCTTCGTTAAATCTCGTCAACTTGGCTCATGTGAACAAGGCTCGTTCACAAAAGTGATAAACTAAAGTTTTGGGGTAACTAAAATTCAATCCGCCTTCGCCCCAAATGTTCCTGAGGAAATATTGTATGTGACTAGGTTACGAAAAACTCTGGATCCGACCCTGAATAAACCGTACCTTCTTTTTCACATATATAGAAATGATTTGATAAACAAGCTTCATTTTCCCATTCCGTCGCTCCCTCAACAAAATAAACACAGTCTTTAGTGCTATTGTTTTCTGGCTGCCCTGAGTCCCAATTTGTATAATTCGCAGTTGTATTATCGGACACCCATCGCCAAATGTTACACGGAAGCCCAATCCAGGATGAGTTCTAAAAGAAAAACACGAAAATATTATCTTATCAATAGTTAGAGCGATATTATTTGTTGAAAGAAAAGGATATAACACTAGTAAATTGTGCCTAAGTTCAGAATTCATAGTCAAAACGACTTGTGCATTCACAGAAATTTGGGGTTGCGCACCGATTCTGCGCATAACAATGTGGGGCCCGTACCCAGGGCCTTCTCATAGGGGGAGGAGAAGGCTGCCCACGTGACTCCAATTTTTTAGAGTATTTGGGTACTAGGTTGACCAAATACTCCAAAAAATTTGGAGTCACGTGGAAAGACTTTTCCAGAGTCTTCTACTCCCCCCCCCCCAACTAGAAGGCCCTGGGTACGAGGTTGCATACTTACCATCCTAGAATTATTCACCAGCCCGGAAATAAACCGCCGCTCATCATCGTCGTCTATCCTCAACAAGCGAGACCCAAATCGGCCACACGTTCTCTCAGCTTCTCTCCATGTCAAATTTTGACTTCGCCTGACTTTATAGCAATGCTCGTTATATTTCTTCCACCCTGGATCGCATCGAGCTAAAATTTAAACACATACACAGGCTGGTTCAAAAAAGCATAATCTTTAAAGAAGTCCTCTACAGTATGACGCGCGTGAAACTAGCGAAAACTTCTTGCCATAGCTTGTTCAGCCCCAAATGCAGCAAACAGTAAAAGTTAGTTTGTCAGTTACTTTGTAGGAAAAGATGTTTAAAAAAAACCATAAAGGACTATGCTGTAATGAAAGTTTGAAAAAAGTCGGTGCACGTTCAGCCGGGCAACAGACAAACTATTTATTCATAGTGTACTTGCCTCATGTATCGAGATATTTAAGACCGTAATAATAATATAAGATAATACAAGAAATAATAAAAGAAGTAATACATCTCATTTAACTTTTCTTATAGGCTCACGGAACCTAAATTTTCCGGGGGGGATATCCTGCCCGACCAAAACGTACCACGTCTTGATAGTGCATGAAATTCAACCGTAGTTTCACCAACAACATGTTATTATATGAATAGTACACCTTCTTCCCACGCCTTACCTGACTTAACGCAAATTACATGATTTTTGTTATCGCAATCTGCATTGGATGTCTTGTCAGAATTTCGAGAAACATACGAGCAAGTTATCAGTTTCAACTCATCAGTTTCATTCTGCAGGTTCTTTACCAAGCGAGAAGAGCACGTGTTCTTGCTATAAATTCCCAACCAGTACGACGACACATTCTCCTGCACGATGCTCTCGTTAGGGTAGATACGGAGTAAACACGAAGCATTGACGCTTTTCCGAGACAATGGCGGGTTATTTGAGGTTAGATTTGCTAAAGAATGAAGGAAAGTAACGTGGTTTAAGAACTACACTGAGCCCTTGCAGCTGACGTCAAGGTTAATATTTATAATTCTCCGCTATTTTAGGTAGCCGACTAAAAACATTTTAAACAGGTAAATTTATCGTCGTACATTAAAGAATTTCATATCGACGAGGCATCTTTATGGTAAAAATTTTTAATGAAAACAAAGTGGGTGTCACCGAACCATTTGCGATAGAAATCGATTTTCGGGACGCCCGTAAGGAATTTATTTTCTCACTTCACCGTTGATAATTTTCGTCTCTTACTGACTGCACAACTTACCACGCGAATCGTTTCTACACAAATAGGAAAAGTTTTGAGAGCAATTAGGAGTTATAAGGTAAACAACTCCATTTTCCCAGAAACCACAAACACCGCAGCGCATGTCAGGAATTCTCCATTTATTCTGTTTGTAAGAACGTCCACCAACCAACTTCCATTGAATGCTTTCATTCATGTTGATCTTGTAGAGATTTCGTGTCCAAAAATACTTTTCGAGTGACGCATTACATAATATATCTTTGGAAGCATTGCCTTCATAAAGTGTGCTGTTCAGTCTTCGGCAGTGAGCTAACGCACCATACCATGTCATTAGGTCATACACAGGCAGATAACAATGGCTGCCATTTCGCTTCCAGCCATTATCACACTTGTCTAAACGACGCAAATTTGAGGGAATTTTAACTTCAATATCTAGACATCATTACTTAAAGAGGAAAAAGAAGCTATCGACGGTAAAGTATGTATTTTCTAGAAAATACTTTTCTTGATCAGTTACTAGAAACAAATTGAAGCTCTTTAGACATCATTCCTAATACCAAATTAGAATTTTGTGGGGCCCAAAACATGCGTTATTCATTTATCGAATGAGCCACAGTGCATAAAGAAACTTTGTACAGATTGGTTATTGATAAGATTTCTCTTTCAACTAATCGCCTAATGTTTTGCATTTTTTTTAAGCTAATCAGAACGCCCTACTTGATCACCTTTTATAATGATCACCTTTTTTACAATGTAGTCAACACTAAATGCAATATGATTGCATGGGTTATCGGAAATGTAATTAAATTTTCTGATATGTATAAATTGAAAATCCTCCTTGTTAATTAAGCGACATTGCCTTCGCCACACTGACCTTGTTTTTTCGAACAAATTGATGGAAATGCGTCCCCAGTGCACGAGGAATTCTTCAAATGCCCACTGATATTTGCACATTCACACAGCCCGATTTCAAACGAGTAATAATTAATCCTCTTTTTAGCTACTGATGCATTCGTTTTCGTCAGTCCTATCCAGATGTTTTTATCCGAAGAATTTGTTTTGTCGACACATGATAAATCTTGCTCATCACTGAAGTCAACTAATGTTCCGTTACGTTTGGAGCAAATTTCTTTTGCTTCTTCCCAAGTCGATTCGTTATAAAAGAATTCATACCTGTCCTGTGCATTGCACGACGACCCTGAAAGTTAAATAAGGCAAAAAAAAAAAAAAAAAAAATAAAAAAGTTGTTTCTTCTCTATTTTTGGCAAAACGCTAATCGTTAGCATTCTTTTTCTTAATTCATGTAGAATAAGATTTTTAAAATTAATCACTATATTAATTACTAGGAATGAAATCCATTTTTATGATTCATTTATCAATCATGAAATTCACATATCGATTTCAAAAAATTTGTAGCTTTTGTTCCAATCCCTATAATTCTGTGTTGCATGCGAATTTCTTTTGTCTTCATTAGAGCACCCGCTTTCGAACGTATCGCAGGCTCGTTGCCCAAAATATCAGGCACCTAAGCATGTAGAACGGAAACACGAGGATGGCGGCTGTCGTTTCATTGAAAAGAAATTAATAATTAAAGACCAATAGAAGTTTTTAGACATCGGCTATTTCGAATTAGGCTCTATACAATGGACCATTCCCGTATTAAGGTAAATCCTGAAATAGGAAAATTCGTCGGTTCTGAGGCAGTGGCGTAGCCAACCTGACGATTTTGTCATGCTATGCAAATTTTATGTTATTAACATTATCCATTTCTTTACAAATTCATTGTTTTCACAGTCAATGAACACTAAAATATTAGCATAGCATGACTAAATTGTCGGGCTGGCTACGCCACTGTTCTGCAGGGCCGGTTGTATCAAGCCCGTTTAGCTTAAACGGTGGATAAGTTCAAAATAGAACGCAAGTCTGCCGTTTTATTCAACAAGCGAACTAAATGTTTTTTACCTTAATACAAAGATACTGTTTACAACTACATATTCGGTGCATAATATTCAAGTTGACTCATTCAAGAGAGATGTAAGAGTGTTATTCAATTTTGACTTAACCACCGTTTAAGCTAAACGGGCTTGATACAACCAGCCCCTGAGCTATACAGCTGGGGCAGGTTGTATCAAGCCTGCTTAGCTTAAGCGGTGGATAAGTCGATAAGTCAAAATTAAATAACACTCTTACATCTCTCTTGAATGAGTGAACTTGAATATTGTGCACTGAATATGTAGATGTAAACAGTATCTTTGTTTTAAGGTTAGAAACATATAAAACGATAGACTTGCTTTCTATTTTGAACTTAACCACCGTTTAAGCTAAACGGGCTTGATACAACCGACCCCTGGAAAGAGCATCCAAAAATTAGTACAATTGGGGAGTTTGGTGGCGAAATATTCAAAAGTGTGAAGAATATCAGCTTGCGAAGTATCACGTTCGAACAGCGTTGCCACAAGTGGTAACGCTTTTTCAAACGTAATAATAATATTAAATAAAATGTACTAACTTCGCACGGCGAATTTTTTCTCTATTTTTCAACACTTCGCAAGCAAACTTTCCCATTTTACTAATTATGGGATGCTCATTCCAGCTGTACACCTCACAACCGACGAATTTTCCTAGTTCAGGATTTAGTTTAATATGGAAATGGTCCCAATTGTTCGATGGTGCAAGGTTTTCAACATCTTATACCACATTAAATTGATACGATTACTATAGCATTCTAAAGGAACGCTTAGGCGGCCTTGTCGTCTTGTTGCCGTCAAACATACTTAAGGTCCCTAACATTACTTTCGGCGGAAGACATCTGGCGCACTGTCGGCGTGGCATCCTTATTTTATGGCGATGATTTCTAAACCTATTGACGCATTTCTCAGGACATCAGTGAGTAGTAGTACAAAGGAATATTTCATGTAGATAACCAAAGGAAATATCCGATAGCGTCAAGTTTTGAGAGTTATAAAAAAAAATTGAAACATATTTACATGCCCCATAAACCACCGGCTGGGAAAATATGACTTATAATCAAGTGCTAAAATTATTCAATTTTCTTTTCACAAAACGCGTAAAAACAATGATCACGAGGTTGGAGTTATATTTCCTTTACACAATCAAAAAGCTGGGAGTATTTTGCCAATGAGAAGAATAATTCTATGAAAAAAACCTCTAGTATTAGAGGAAATATTCCAGTCAATGGACTTGATCAAGTTTGCTTGGAAATTAACAACCGTAAATAATGATTATGATGTACTGTACTGTACGGCTACAATTTTTGTTATGTTGAACTAAATTTAAGACTGTATTCCCTAAATTGTGTATGGTTTAGAATAACACAAACTGTATTTGAAATAACATTTTCAGAATAACACTTATAACAGTGGCAGCCGGTGCACTCTACTATACTCAGACGCTAGCTCGCATCACGAAACACCTGCTTTTTAATACTAAACTGACCCGGCCTGCATATCCTGTTATGCAGTGTTAATTTTGCTCGATAAGTACAGGTAATACATCGAATTGCCAGACAATATGCCAGTGTTTTATCGTCATGGCAAATTTTCTCATCGACATAAGTAATTGTTCTCGTATGAACTATTGAAAACACAAATTAAAGACGAAGGCGTTGTGAAAGAAGAAGTAGTTAAGTATACAAGACACGAATGACAAACAGACCGTGCACGATTGCGACTAAAATTATCATAAAACGTGCACATTTTTACAATTCGTGGTCTTGCGGATGTCGTATTTACCTTTGTTCTCTTCCGGGCAAACGTATTTAGCCGAGCATTTCACCTATAAATATAGAGGGAAAAAAAGCAGTTGACACTACACACACAAGGACAAATAACAGATGAGTCTCTTGATAATCAAGCCTAGTTAGTCGTATATCACCGAAAGTACAGTAGTCAGTACATTTCTTGTCGATGCATGGCAGGTGAAGACGAATATACATTCAAAATAGGGAATTCGTAGGTCAAGATGATCTAATTGACCACCACCAGTGTCATCAGTAATGCTTGAAATATATACGAAGAGTATATATATAATATTAAAGTCACGTTCTTAAATACAGTTGACACGTTGCACGAAATTCGCTTTTATTGAGCATTTTACCATTATATTACGTTATTTACTCCCGCGTCAGCGTCGTTGTTGAAAATTCGCCCCTGCTTTTGTTTTTTTTTGTTATTTTTCGCCGTCGCAAGTGTGTTTTGGAGCGATATATACTAGTATTTGAAATTTGAAAAGTGTATTTGACCATATTTATCTGCACAGCTTGAAATCTAATTTGGCCAATTTTCCTATGCGATTTGATATCGCTCGCATGATGCGGCAAATCCTCCGCGAGGAACAAATAAATCGTTCTTTTGATGCTGTTTGATTAGGCTTAGATTTAATTGGGCGAAGGTTACATTTTATACATGTAGATTCTGCTTCTATTTTAATAATATCGCTGCTATTTCGCCCTCAGTTAACAAGATGTGGTCGTGTATGGGCGCGTTGGCACGTCGCAGTTTGCACAGGATTCAGTGAAGAATACGATCAAACACAGCAGGAAAATTTACATTTGCCAACACATCACACATATTACAGGCTAATATAATCTCTTAGGTTATAATATCAACAAAAACTTTTAATATAAGCGCGAAATCCAAAGTGTGCGACAGAACGAGAAAGTGAACGTATCACGCGGTTTATTTACATTTTTGAACAATTAAACTTCCATACTTTTAAAAGTACGATGGGCTTCTGAATTTCGCGATCGAACAAGATTAAGGTTCGCAAGGCATCTAAATGAGTATGGACTGTATTGTTTATGTTCAGAAGCTTTATATATATTCAAGACTGGCACGTGCGCGGCACGCCGGAGTTAACGCCAGAACAGGCGTCTTGTTATTTAACAAATCATTTGGTTTTCACATCAAGATTGCAGCGGCATATATATATGTAAGTGTAATTCTAATATTTAACACAACAGTTTTGTAAAATTTCGGCATCAACTCGTTATCACACTCGTAGTTCAAGTGTATGAATGATCAGGCTTTAGGGTTCCCATGCAGCTAGCTTATTTTTCTAAGAATAAATGATCCGTCTGCTCAGTGCCGCCCGAAGCTTCGTGCATGAAGTCGGCGAAAATTAGACGATCACAACACGCATTACTCCACTAAATATATTAACAGGCTAATCGAGGTAGCTGTGAAAGTTGAAGTATCGCAGCAAGCGCATTATAGAGATAATAAATAAACAGACCCTTACAGAGGCCCTAGTTCATCGCAGCCAAATAGGGCTGGACAGCATTGAAGTTCGCTTTTCTTTCTTTTCTTTTATTACTGCATGGACACTCTATGAATTCTTAAAGCACCTCAAGCAAGTAATTTTTTCGCGAGCTGCCTTCAATACACACAGCAGGTATTATTATTTGCTTTATGTTATTGTTCGGAATTCAAATTTATAACTTTGCAATTTGAACTTCCGTACCCGACTGCCTCTACATGTTTTATATACCCAATGACGCAGGAAAAAATACGCGGAAAAGAAGATCTAGGCAAAGTACCAAATCGCGAATTGCTGCGGAAAAACGCTACAAAATGTACCGGATAACGCAGAATTATTCTGAAATTTCTAAAATTTAGTAAAGAAATTGTCCTATATCTGGGCTTTCTTACCGATCGGGAGGTAAGGCCAAGAAGTAAGCCAACTTTGAAGAAGTAAGATGGGAACTTTCCAGAGGGAAACATCGTCGAAGTGACCAAGGGTTATACCAAGCCAGTGCGATTGCAAACTTCACCGTGTAGGGCACAAATGCCATATGGTGCTATGCATGTATACAATCCCGCGAGATGAATATGAAATAATCCGTGTTCTACTTGTGAACAGCCAATAGGAAAACTAACTGCGCGCTAACTCCAGATGGCGTAGGCTCAATTAAGGCGTTATTCTAATTAAAAAGGGCGGAAATATTTAAGTTGTAATTCGCAAAAGCAAATAGTAATCATTCAGGTAGGGTCTCAAATGACGTTCTCGAAATTCGTTCTCATCGAGAGCTATTAAAAACAAGGTTTTTATTGGTGGAAACGCACATAGATGACTATTAAGCTGACTATATACTTCGTTGACATTGCTTACCTAAATATTAGCTATATCGTTTGGACTTGCAATATAAATTGAAAATTTTCATCTGCACAAAATGAAAAGCGCATTTGAGCGTAACATATACAGATCACAAAATTTTTCAGACCAGCAACTGTATGTTTGGGCCAAAATTTTCGTCTTCTTTTGTAAAAAACATATACAATGGCATTCTATTTGGTTGCGGTATTTGAATGCTAAAATCGAATACGTGACGATGAATTTATAATACTTTTGGATGATTGACGCTTTTAGCATTAAGAAATTGACAATATACCGCCGGCGAAATGGCAAAAGGCTCAATTATGTGAAGATTATATTATTAAGCAGTTAAGCGATGTTTTCCTTTTTTTTTCGGTTACATATATCACTAGCTTTATCTGATAGTAAAATGGTTTAAATGTCTCCACAGCTTTGAATAAATTGACATTTACCTTAAGAGTCTAAATCATCCTATCATTAATTTCATTTTTGTATTGTTATATTGTTATGCTAATTAATTTACGAGATAGTTTGTTTACTTAAGCCCCGCACAGACGAGCAAGTTTTCCTTGACAAGTTTTCCTTGACAAGTTTTATTTGCCCGTGTGTACGCACGAAAATTGACAATTTTTCCTTGACAAGGAGCCTTGTTCAAAAGCTAGTCATGCCAGCTTTTCAACAAGGAAAAATGTTCGTGTGTACGGCCGTCAAGGAAAACTTGACAAGGAAATGCGCAGTAGGCTACTGCGCATCAATATATTCATCAATATATTTACGTACTTCAGTAATGCGGACTCGTAAGACTTGCCAAGAAAAATTTTTTTACGTACACACGAGCAAATAAAACTTGTCAAGGAAAACTTGTCAAGGAAAACTTGTTCGTCGTACACACGAGCAAGTGAACGTGTCAAAAAACTTGTCAAGGAAAACTTGCTCGTCTGTGCGGGGCTTTAACCTCCATGAGCTTCACGGCTCCATGCTGAATAATGCATGCACTCAAAGTGCTTAAAGAACTCGTAGTTTTTTCAAAAAGTCGGTAGCATTAATTGCAAGTAGTATAGTTATTGCTTTCCTAGCACGTAATAGCTTCCCGTGTCTCTGTATATATAATATGATCAAGAATTGTAAGTATTCAAACTAGCTTGAGAATGAAATGAAGCCGAATATCACCGCTAAACTGTGGCGTTGTTTTTATAACTATATCTTAACTCATATCAAGATGTTTTTGTTCGAAGTATTTTTTTGTTGTTATACTTTTGTATATATGTAAATGTATTTTCATACTTTATACTTCGCAAAATTGTCGCAGGGAAATAGTGGTGCATTTTGTAAATGCCATACCCGCTTTGTGTGTTGGAAGCATTCAATAATTTAGAAATTGATAGAAATGTTTAACTTCAGATGTAAGACACAGCACTTCTCGACGTTTCGACCTACAAGAGCCCTTATATCAGGGGTCAAAATAACTCTCTAGCCGAAGAAAGCGTCGTTGCATCGTCGAGAAATGTTTATGCCTATTTTAGACCGTTGTTGTAGCCATATCACATGATAAATTATTTAAAAACATTCAGGCCTATAAGTTTTAAGTCCCATCCAAGAAACAATTTATCTTGTCTCACAAAAAAATAAAAATTTCCCCACTTTAAACGTTACGGCAGTGGCCCAGTTGCCACTATTATCATAAAAGGCGGAAGTTCGTAATTGAGGGACAATATTATTTTATATATACTCATATTAGCAGACCGTAAAACAAAAGCAACTAATAATGTTAAACGAGAGTGTATTTATATTATCCCCCCCCCCCTATTTAACTATCTTCCGTCGTCTATCATTATTTTCCATACATACAATCCATAAGAAATTACCGTATAGTGACTGACTTTTACATTTTAACTTTTACCATTAACCGTTTAAACGTTATATATCGGAACGTAATCCCTGCAAAAATCGCAATTTAAGACCTACACATAATGACAAACAAAGTCTTACGCCAGTATTGTAAAAGCTTACGCACATTCAGACTCATCGAGTGCCGGGAGATCTCTCTATCACTTCAAAGCGACTTTTCCGCAGTTTTTTCACTCGAGTAAGAGCTTGATTTTTAATGTTTTACCCATATGGTTCTACCCATATGGTGTCAATGACCGTTTTTAATACACAGGCGTTAGATATCTTTGATCCAGTCTCGATACTTTAGTTGTCCGGACTTTATACATTATATATACAATCATTTATTGTTTAGAAATTTAATTAATTTTGTGCGGTTAATAATCACTATTTGATGAATTAAAATTACGTTAAAACTGCATGTTTTGCTTTACGATTTATTTTTCAATATTATTATTAATATTTATTTTATTACAAATACACGTTCCTCGTATTCACGAACAGCTCGGAGAGCCACCATAATAACTGTTTCAGAGTCTAAAAATAGTACATAATTATTATAATATGAAGGGCATTTTAGATAATCTTTTAAGAGTTCTAAAACAGTTTTAAAATTAGTTTTCCGTTTAGAACAATGCAATTTTTGATGATATAGTCGCTACCTCAAAAGCATACCATATGGATAGACTATAGTACTCATGCATACAATATAATTTCAACATTAGGAGTGCTAATATTTTGGTGTTCTTTTGCTGTAAAAACAACGAATTTCTAAAAAATGAAATTTGCATCGCAGACTGGACGTCGCCACTAAAAATCGGCGAATAATTTGCTACCTATATATATGCATTAATTCTGTTATAAACTGATGGTAGGATAATGTAAGAATTTAGCACGATATTTACTGATATATTTATACTACCTGAAAGTGAAGGGCTAAGTTGTTGAAGTCGTTGGGTTGACTTCGATCCTCCGCTTGATTGCAGATCGAATCTGTAACCAAATCAATGCGAATAAAAATATATTAATTGCCTTAGGCGGGTCTGTATATTGGAGGAGATATATATGTAGGTGATTGTTGCCCATCACTGTATTTTGTAACAGCCCGTTAAAAATATAACAAGAGATGGCACCACTTAATTTGTGGTTGGTGGTGATATGGTTGGAAACCATATGCTTTTCTATTCATGTTTTAATATTTGAAAGTTAATTTTAATTATTTAACACATTTTGTTGGACACTATCGACGGAATCTCGTGATATTATTGTATGTTCACAACTAGACAACGTCTCGAAAATACATAGTTTATACTGTTCAATACAGCTACCTGATCGGCTCATTGAAACATGAAGAAAATGGTTGAAAGCTCATGCACTCACCTCGCGATTACAAATCCCGTATATGAGAAAGATAAGAAAGCCCTATAAATAAAGTTTAATTACTTTAAATTACTTTTGACAATTTGCTTGCATAAAATTCAAAGCTTGGCAAACGTCTTGTGGTTCGTTCCCTTGCATCTTGAAAAAGATATTTGAGATAACATTGGACGCAAAGGGTTTTTAGGTCAGACATATGGTTGAACACGCGTCAAGTCACATTTTGAATTTTCATTTACCTGTGTCGATGTCGATATCACGAATAGGTATTTCCAGATCGTGGCTTCATGGTTGACGGCGATGACACTGAATGCCCACGAGAGACCAAGAGTTGGGAAAAGAATGATTATGCCTCGCGCGGCAGAACTGAAATAAACGTTTAACTGCATGGTCACATTTGAAATAGCCCGTAACACTCGTGACACTATGCTTTAGAAATATAATATTCCAAAAATTTCTATTGGAAAACTTTTAAAAGGCGCACTTTTGAGGGAAATGAAAAATTGTATACTTACACAATGTATTTCATATTACTGCTTTGAGCCTTTGCAGCATGAAATAAAACACGAGCCACAGCAATCAAGACGACCAATGTTACCTGAAACAATTAAATTGTATTATTATGCATTACTAATGCAATCTCGATTGTGATTGGTTAAAAACCTACAGATAATTCTCAATGTCCTGTCACCTACACGACATTGAAAATTATCCATAGGTGACGCAATCAGTTTTTGCCGCTAGCTTGTTGTCAATAATGGCGCAGGCTTCCTCTTTAAATTATTATTCCATTGTGAGTATAGACCATTTGCATACAAATTAGCCATTTCGGGTGTTGTGACCATGAAATAGCCAATAAACTTAACCGTTACCAAAAGGTCTGTAGAATTGTTTATCTCGAAAAATGTAGAAACGTTCCTACCGTTGTCACGATAACTACTGGGGCAAAAAACACCCAAAAGAATCCTTTTTCGTAAGACAACCAGCACCTGAGAGTTTGCGAAACGATCAAAAAGTAATTATTAAACGGATATTAAATTTGCTGGGGCCGGTTGTATCAAGCCCGTTTAGCTAAATAACACTCTTACATCTCTCTTGAAGGAGCCAACTTGAATATTATGCAGTGAATATGTAGTTGTAAACAGTATTATCTGTATTAAGGTTATAAAGATTTAGTTTGCTTGTTGAATAAAACGATAGACTTGCTTCCTATTTTAAACTTAACCACCGTTTTAAGCCGAAACGGGCTTGATATAACTGGCCCATGATAATTAACACTCATACATTGTATCTGTTTGTATATATAAATATGTTGAAAGTCACACATTTTAGTGGCGGGGATTGAATGAACTTTATGTCTGTCATCTTGCGCGAGTAATCTTTGTATTATTTCCTCACATGTCGCCCCATAGATGTTGCATTTCCGCAGCTCGTTACTGGGCATTTTCCTCCGGTCTTAATTACGAGTTTATATATGACTTGCTTCGCCAGCTGACTTTAAGCGACTAACTTGAAATGTATATGAGTGTGTCTTATGACAGCACCCTGAAAATAATCTAATTATATTGTTCCATCTGTCAAATTATTGGCCTGCAGCTAAAGTTTTATCTCTTCAGAGCAGATTTCCTCCACCCCTTTGGCAGAGTTGCCCATTATGATAATTAAACAAGATGACTGACATAAAATTCCTATTCGCAGGCAAATATTATATTTATATAGTTAATCGCAACTCGTAAAAATGTTTCGTTAGAATAATATATGCATGCATGCTCGCTTGTAATTAAAAGGATCGAGATAAAACTGATTTATTCCTGGATCAGTTATAGATTTTTGGAATCAAAGACGTAGCAAATATAAATCTACTTTCTGATTGCAAAAAAGCTGACCCATGCAATACGCCTGGATGCGGTGATTAAAACTGCATCAAACATTAGGAAACACGGAGCAAGAAAATAACAATCGAGAAAATCATCAACACAGAAAAGCAGCGGGAATAATGGGCTTCGCGAAAATGCATCATAACTACATGTAGCTATGGATACAAACCATTTGTCAGAACCATAAGCATTAATCTTCAAACCGGAAGACAAACCAACGAAAATCAAAGGAAATCCTATAATTATAAAATCAGAGTTTCAATTTCAATGTCCCATAAGCGGAAATTTAGTATAGGTCCACTTGATATTTCAGACGAATCCCTATTTGCCGCGTACTTCTACCGCGTTGGATTAAAATCACAAAACAATACAAATTTTCTATTAATATTCGAACAGTTATTTGGCGACGCCCGGAATTGTGCCCATAGTTTTAATTGATATAAATTTGCGCAGAATGGAGTTTATAGCATCTTTAACATTCAACTATAGTCTTGATGTTTCTACGTGCATAATACAGCCAAGAAAAAGCGCATTTTTACTTACCCCAACCAAAAGCATAAAAATTTCTCATTCTAACGAATTCTCCACCGTACACAGAGATCAGTTTCAAATACAACATGGCTGCCTCAAGAAGGATCCAACAAAACGATGCCAGTGAAACATAATGCAGTAAGATTGCAACGACCTTGCAGGCAATCTAAAATAGATCATTTCATAATTCAAATGGTTCTAATTTCTCAATCATTTCGACATCTCAGATATAACCAAACCATTCAAGCATTACCCATCAAGATATGGTAGGAAACAAGAAGGAATTTCGTTTTAAACTAATCGGTGTATTTGTTTACATTTTAACTTTTAAGGCCAAGCCAATTAGAATGCCTCAAATTGTAATACTTCATGTAAAATGGTAAATAATGTATCTTTTTACAGGAAGTAGCAAAAAATAATGCATTCTGGCTGGGTTACTGAAAATATGAACAAACTTGCTGATTGATCTGAAACGAAATTCTCCCTTGTTATGTCATGGAAAATTACCAACCTCATCATGTGTAGCACTGCCTCCGGCGAGAAAAACAATCTGGGTCAGTCCCAGCGCGATCTGCAAGTTCAAATGTACCAAGTGTCGACTGGTCGTCAAAATCTGCAAATCTTTGCTAAAATTGAAACAATAGTAAAATATAATATAAATTTTGTATTCGCAAGTATTCTTGAAATGCTACCTTCATCGAGCACACCGCTTTATAGAGCCTTTAGCTTCACCGAGTAAAGGCAAATGACATGCAAAGTTCAATCTTGACCTTGTGTCTTTCTTCTTTTTACATGTTTCCCTACGCTGCAGGGTGATCTCTCGCCCAATGCGTGTAAATGCGAGCCCATGCATCCCAGGCCCATGCATGCAGTACAAACAGACACTTACTATAGAATGATGTAGATAAGGCATGTCAAAACCAGACCAACCAGCGACAATCCTGAGCCATATAACTGATGAACTTCAAAGCATCTTTATCAGCTTCACTTGGCTAACGGGAGGAAACTTAGCGTGTGAGTTATGTCACAAACATACTAAAGCTTGACTTCAAGACTAATTTCGATAGAATTTGAAAGACATAGCATAGATTTCGTGAAATATTAAATATATAGCAAACTATAGACGTTCCAATGCAATAATTATGCTATAAAAACACGTGAAGAAATGTTCAATGTCCATGTCGCCATATTTCGCATGTGTCGAATACAACATAGAATACATTGAAGACCTTTAATAATGAGGTCAGGGCTGGTAAGTTATTGAATAAATAAGCCAAACAAATACAAATAAATCAAATATTGTGTTTACTTATGATCGCTTGTGCTCACTTACAGAAAAGTTATTCTTACTCTTAAGTAGTGAAGCAGCCGTTAGATTTTTAGTTCAAAGTACCTCTGAATCAAGAACAACCATTGCAAAGCTAGAAAAGTGATTCGTTACACATTCAACAATGTCGTTGCCCATCGAGCCAACTTTCATTCCTCTGGTATTCCAAAGAAGTCCATCCAAGAACATACACATGACCTACAGGCGAAAACAAATTAAAAACGCCTAAGAAATATTGTTTAGCCGCAAAACACATTTGCTTTGTTAAAGGGAGCAATGGATTCGTAAATCCGAATGACTAAGTGTGCCTAAATGTTGCTATAGTTCCATATTATTGCAAACGAAAACAATTTCCATGACACATGTACATACCCGACTTCCTGTTACCACTTCCTCCAGTTGAAAATTGAGCGATACTTCCTCGTCTTCGTCTAACTTGTTGACCAATTGTCCATCGACAATGTAATCCACCGACATTGTATCCGCCTGTTGCGCTGCAGAGTTGTTCCTGAAGATGAAAAACAACAGTAGAGAAACTAATGATTTAACAAAATTAACGGATTATCACATCTCTCAAATCAAATTTCCTCTTGTGTTTTATCGTTTTAGACATAGAAACATTGTGGGAGGGAGAGGATCACGTAGGTCTTTCTAGAAAAACCAAAAAAGGATATTCAAACACTTTTAGACAGCCTATACTTTATAAACAAAGATTCGTGAGAATTATAGGACGAAATTTCTTTCTTGTTTCAAATTTTAGTAATCTATGGCCACGTTCTTTTCGATATGAAAACGAGCACCAAACGAGTTGATAAAAAAGGGAATGAGATTTTATACACAAGTTATTTAGGGAAAAACAGGAAATGAATAAAGAAAGCACAACGTACGTCATACTTTTGCTGAATACTTACGACGATTTTGATAAACTGATCGTGATGTTACTTATTTTCATTATCACTCCTTTGATAATACCTGTCAGATGAAGAATATTGGAATTCTAGAAGAAAACCTATATATTTCTACGATATCAGCCCGACTGAATTTATTGGAACAGCATAGCCGAAAGGTGTGCTTGTAAATCGAGTGTAGTCTAAAACGGGTTTACACTAACTTTCATAATTATATATAAACAACTTTCATAATTATATATAAATAGAAATTATAAATTTTAAAATATGATTTTCATCCTTAAACTGTTATGTAGCATGTTACTTGTGGACTTTAACAAAACCAAGATGGCTAAAAATCCTCCTTGTATAAGTGAGGTCATTACGTATCAACTAAAGGATTACGAAGAATCTTACATGATGATCGATTTTGGCACATCATCGCGATGGATTTAGTTGGAACAGAGGTGGTATTCGATCTTTGATACTGAAGATCTATGAATTCTGACGTAAACACCGTTAATTCTAAAAATTTGAGTAAAAAAAACAATTATGATACTTATAAGAAACCGAGTTATAAGCGTAAGATAATTTAGAGGTACATACATACAAGCCAAATTAAAACATCTCATGCTATTGTCGGGTTGACCTTATGTTGTATTTTTACTTCAATACCTTAAAGTCACTTTTCACTTCGTTAAATTTCGGCTAAACGAGATCATCTAAACAGCCCTTAGATGTCATGAACTTAAAGATAATAGCTTCTTTGCATAAGTGATAATTTTCACTTAATAAATAACTAGATTTAGAATATTTTAATTTGGGGTGCATGTAATTACTTTTCTATACACCTAAACCACAGGTAGCCCGCTAACAGGCCCGCACCCCGTAGCATGTATTTTTTCGTATATTGTTTCATTAGGTTATCAAGGTTGAGTATACCATATTCTGGTATATTCGATCATGACTAATTTCTAATTTTTTTTTACATATGCACTAAGGTCGAGTATACCAGTATACCATGATATGGTATATTCGACCTTGGTAAGAAAAATATTAGTCATGGTCGAATATCCCATATTCCGGGATAATCGACTATGACTAATTTTCTTACCAAGGTTGAATATACCATATTCCGGTATATGACTAATATTTTCTCGTCTTCCTCAACCAGCCAATCACATTGCGTATTTGCTGTGACGTAGAGCAGGATAATGGGATCCTGACGACTTTTCACAAATATCAATAAAAAAGTGTTATTATTTTCGAAAATTTGTCATATTTGCAATGGCTTTGAAAACGAAAAATGTTTGGCAAATGGTAGGTAAGATCCCACATAGATTTAGTTTTTTTGTGTATATTTTTGCATTTAAGTACGCGAGTATTTTCATGTGTAAGTTTGTTTATAGTTTATAAATTTGAAAATTTGATTTTCCCACCCTATGAAACAATATACATAATTATAATGCATACTATAGCGTGCGAGCCTGGTGCGTGATACCTGTGCTTAAAGGCCCTGTCACACTGTTGCGTATCACATTAGCGTATGGCAGCGTATGATAAATATCACGCATACGCCGGAATACGCTGAAATATGCTGGTGGTACGTCGTGCGTAAGTTATACACGTTCCAAGCACGGTCACATACGCTGGTATACGCCGAGGAAGAAAATTTTTTTTAAGCATGCTTAAAAATCTTGTGCGTGTTTGGACGTATGGTTTATACGGTAAAGATAAGCTAGTCATACGCTGAATACGGCAGAAGGACGCTAAATGTACTGTATTAATAGGTTGAGTACGCTAATCATACGCAAATGAGTAAGTGTGCCGTACAACTAACGTGTTGATGGCGCATCAGTAACGAAGGTCTAACTTATGTGTGACGTATGTTTAACGTCTATAGAGGGCTTAGCGTATGATTGACGATTAAGGGTATGAAAGAGTACGAGAAAGGGTATGATTATAAATATTATAGCATGTCATTTTTTGTCTATAATATATATTTATGTTGGATGCCTTCATATCATCTTGTACCTTCGAGGATAAAGGATGGAGTTAGTTGTTCTTGAATACCAGTTTGATCTCATAGCTTTGACGATTCGTCACATAGAAAATTACAGAAGGAAAAGGAGAAAAAGAAAAAGAAAAAGACGTGAGGTATGGATGAGATCATGGATCGGAAGGCGAAGGCAGTTTGGCATTTACGACCAACTTCTGGTGGAACTCCGAAGCGAGGATACGCGATGTTTCAAGAACTTTATGCGGATGGTCCCCGAGATGTTTGATGAGCTTCTAGCAAGAGCGAGTCCCTGCAGGATCACCAAGAAACATACCTGGTATAGGCGACCCCTGGAGCTTGGGCTGAAGCTCTCTTTGACTTTGCGACACCTTGCCTCTGGGAGCAAGCGTTCAGCCATGAAGTACGGATGGAGGCCGGGTCCCCACAACACCCAGTCACTTATTGTCAGAGAGGTTTGCCAAGCCATCATCGACGAATACATGTCCGAAGTAATGGCCTGCCCTACCACGCCAGAGGGATGGCGTGCCATATCTGATAAGTTCCTCAGAGGTGGAACTTCCCCCATACATGTGGTGCTATAGATGGAAAGCACATTGCCTGCAAATGTCCACCAAAAAGTGGATCCCAATATTTCAACTAAAAGGGATTCTTCTCGGTTGTACTCATGGGCCTTGTAGACGCAGATTATAAATTCATCTGGGCAGACCTCGGTGGTAAAGGGTCATCATCGGACGCACAGATCTACAACAACTCTGAAATCAAAGAATTAACTAAAGACGGAACTATAGGATTCCCCATCCCGATGCTTTACCAAATGACTATCAGAGTGTCCCCTACTTCTTTTTAGGTGACGATGCCTTTGCCCTCCGAGAGACAATGATGAAGCCATACAGCCGCCGTGGTCTATAGTCAATACTTCTTTCACGTTGGTGGTTGAAGGTTGAGAACCTCATCCTGAAATCCAATATCATCAGTAGATTCCATGATGTCTCGAAATCCTGAAAGACTAGTAATGTTCGGGTGACTTTGTAGTGGGGTGCAAATCGTGGGGTGGTTGAGAAGGGATCCCTTGTTGGTTCACTTTGATAGATGGAGCCGCCATTGCACTTGGAAATTCATCATCGCTGTCCTCATCCATGAGTTCAGACAATAACCTATTGATGGAGGACCTTGCCTTCTTGTACTTGGACTTGGACATAGTCAAAAGGCTCTCTTTAACATAATTTGCAAAGACACTTCGTGCTGTAATGGGCTGTTGTTTGAGCTTTGTAGATGTCTTTGAGGATGGTGCCAGACGCAGCAACTCTCTTCTGTAGAGTCTCAAGGACGTCACTCTCTGTGTCCTGAGGTCGCTTGTGGGACCTTCCAGCGGTAGATGATGGTATTGGAGTGACTTCATCTAAGACATCCTGCTTATCAGCGCAGGCACTCTCGGCAGCATTGAGATCTCCTCTGTGAAGCTGGATGGTTTCCTTCACCTAAAAAAACCAAAAATATCATGTGGAAATTGTCTCAAATTACTTGGTTATCATGTTGATAAGGTAATATGGTTGTATACTTACACTCTGCATGGGCTCCGGTCGGTGGCGAGTGACAGTCTTCAGGAAGGCAAACTTTGAGAGGATCCACTGTTCTCTCTTAGTCAGGTTTGGAGCACTATCCCCGCTTTTCTTTTTGTCAAGGCGCGTATTGGTGTCGCGCAGCGATCTGAACCAGCCCTTGAGGATGTCAACAGTCTTATTCATCTGATGTGCTTGCTCTTTCCAGATCTTCTCTTTCTTGTCTTTTCGCCTACAATCTGTCATCTTCACATTCCACAGCACAGGATTGTCTGGATGATAAACTCCAGCATCAGCTCCTCTTCTGTGGCGCTGAGGTTGTAGGGGTTTTTTTCCGCCCTCTTCCTCTTATTTTTCTCCTTGCTATCAGCCCGCCGGAAGGAAGTAAAGTCATCAATGGTTTCAGATGATAAAGCCAATGAATTATGGGAGTCTTGGGAAGGTTGTGTTGGGGACTTTGAGAGCTCAGGAACATGTCGCGCATTATTTAAAGATGTCTCAGGAATAAGTGCATCATCATCAGGTGGTTCAACTACATCTGCAGGTGCACAAACACGTTGTTCGTCAGCTTTGGCAACAGCTGATGATGGAGTCCTCTTTCCTTTCCTTCGTCCGCGGGTAGATGATGTCTTCGTATTTGCCATGGTGTCTTCTTCTTTTTTCACTGGAGGTTTGACATTTTCTCGAATGGAACCGTGTGAAAATACTGCCGCTTATATACGATTAAAGTCTGTGAAACGCCATTGGTATGCTTGACATGCGCATTTCAAACGCTTCTCGTAAGCTATTCATACGCTGGCATACGCCAGCGACAGGCTACTCATACGATACTCATACGTTTAATAAGTTAATTTTATGCAAAATGTCCTATTTTTACAGACTTTTTCGTGCGTATAAAAATGAATGAAACGATCTTTATACGCGACTCATACGTTCCTATTATACGCAACAGTGTGACAGGGCCTTAAACCACACTATAGGCTGCATTAAATTTGTGGGCCTTCGAATGAAGAATATGTTAGTTAGAGGCCTTACCAATATTGCGTTTCACCGTATTAAATGAATAACTAAAGGTACTAGAGTTCACTATTTCAACAATTTCTCTTTGGGCTGAAGAAATTAACTCCTCAACACTTTGTTTCTTTTCTTTTGTTTCTTTTGTACAGTTTTCCCGCTGACAGTAAATCAATTCGCTTGCTGATCTCATTACTTTTGACTGAAACGATATGCAAACAATTTCTTATCGTTGCTTCGAACATTTTCGACTTCAATTCGCAATATGCCTTTAAAAGAACTCAACTTCAAGTCGAAGGAATGTGATAAGCATACTTACCATTTCTTCTTTATGAGCAGATTCCTCACCCGGTGATGTTGAGGGCTCTGTTAAAAACTGTAAACACAAGATTGGGACTACTTGAGTGTTTAAACATTTATAAATGAAGCGTGTAGCACGAAAAAAATCGAAGCAGTTCGCCTTTTTGTCTGTTATTTACTTCCTCCTCACCGTCTGTTCGTCTGTCTGTTTTCTTTTGTTTTCACTGAGAGTCTGATGCTGGATGTGAATAATTTACTCTCGAGCTCGAATTTGCGAACTTCGCAAATTTTGTATACTTTTGTATTATGGCCGTGCGGTAGAGTGTACCTTAACTATGCTGTCCAAATTCAAAAGGTAATACTAACCTTTTTCTTACAGATAAAACGAAGAGGAGCTGAACATTTAGATTGCTCCCAAATGCGCTGTTCTGGACGTACATAAGCGCACCAGGTCCTTCTTTCTTTCTTAATGTCTCGTAGTCTTGCGGTTAGCCCCCAGTTGTAGGAAACATTCAATAGAGTGCCATTAGGCCACTTCCAGCCTTCCAGTGGATCCTGAGGTAAGAAGGATTTATAATCGTTCACCCAGCATTTCCCAGACAAGCCCGTCGTGTTATAATCATTAAAGAGGTGGACCATGTTCGGCGGTAAAAGTTCACCATTCTGGCCTTGGCAGAACAAATAAGCTGTAAGCCATCGCATTTGGACATTTTTAAACATTCTAACACATTTTCCTTCCTTGACTCTTACTTCCCACGACGGCTCACAGGACAGCGAATCTGTAAATTATTGCGATATACTTAGTAATGCAAGTAAATATTTGGTATAATTAGAAAGGTAATCATATATACTCAGGGCATTTTGCGTAAGTCTCAGCGTTTCCACAACTTATTTGCATAAGGCTGTCCTCATGGGGAGATGGTAATGAAAAAGAGAGAAACAAAAAAGGTTGGAAAGAATGCATAATATATCCTATTAAGACTAACCCTCCCTCCCTCATGGTTGACATTTTGAAGGAAATTTCCATCAATTGTGGAAACGCTGGTAAGTCTGCAAAAATGACCAGCAACTGATCACGTAACACTCAACATCATGGGACCGGTTGTATCAAGCCCGTTTAGCTTAAACGGTGGTTAAGCTCAAAATAGAAAGCAAGTCTATCGTTTTATTAAACAAGCAAACTAAATGTTTTTTAACCTTAATACAAAGATACTGTTTACAACTACACATTCAGTGCATAATATTCAGGTTGGCTCAGTCAAAAGAGATATCTGTAAGAGTGTTATCTAATTTTGACTTATCCACCGTTTAAGCTAAACGGACTTGATACAACTGGCCCCTGGGCATTTTGGTATCAATTGATATATGCAGATCTAGTTCTTTAATATTTTTTGTCTATAGACGTGATAACGCAATTAAAGCTAATATTATAGACTGTCGCAGAGAATGCAATTCCATGCAGCAACGCCCTCTAAATATTGCATTAGAATATTAAAAAAGAATTTTCTTATTATTCGCCCCCAATGATATGCATATAGATTTTAAATAATATCATTTCCTGTTTTTTAATAATATTATTGACGCATAGCATAACAATATACAAATCAAATTAGCTGGTGGAATTGTAGATTTAGAAATAAAAATCTCTTGTATTTTAAGCCCAAACAGACACCTGTATGTATAGGTAACACGGCAACCAGGTAGAGCAGTAGTGCAGTACTTCTTCCTAGCTTTTTATAACTTATCAATAACTTATCTGTGGTCATTCCTCGCGATTGTTGCTATCAAATAAAACAATTTTAGAGAATAATTATAACAACAGACTAAATACAACACACAACAGATCAATTACCGTTAGTGCCATTCTTGGCATCTTTGACACAAGCTGGATGGAGGGTCCAGTCACAGTTTACATGGACTAGTGATATTGGGCGTAGCCAACATACAAAACTGAAGCATTTCCTCACGCGAAACTCCGTCATATTTGTTTCTGTACTAATCTCGGTTTTTGTACAAGTTTCCTCGCTGGAATTAATCTTATCTTTTAGCCCAATCCGATAGTATTTGTCAAATTGAATAGAACCGTTACTATACAGTTCATTCAATACATTCCGAAATTTAACGGTTGATAATGGTAGTAGAGAGCTGCTGTTGCCATACTTTTCTTTACAGTTTAACACAGCGTCTTCCCAAGATAAATAATTTCTTTTGTGTATGTCTTCGTTCGCTAAAAGAATTGCATGTAAGACAAGTTTATTTTAACAGTATACAAAAGTACGTGTCAACGGTAATTTGCCTTTTCACCAGGCAAGTGTACTAGAAGTGAATGCCCCCTTCCCTCCAACTTAAATGTTCTTCCTACACCCCTCTAAGCTATGCGAACGCGGAAGTCACATGCAAGCCCGAGATTGCGGAAATATGAGTTTAAGATTGTGAGTTTAAGATTCACCAAATCTGCGACGCGGACGTGGAGTAATACTGCTTTAATTTTCACAGTTTCCCAACAGGGATGAAAATTATAGATTCCATTTATTAAATAAAGTCAGAGCCGTATGTGAAACAAATTAATACTGGTTTCCTAACACTAGTGGCTGTTTTCATGTCACGTCCGCGTCGAAGATTTGGTGCATCTTAATTTCGCTAATACCTGATGGCGAGTCCCCATCGCAAAGAAATTGGTACATATAAAGACATCGGTTCAGATAGACCATTCGATTACGCACAATGCCACATCCTAAACACGCATAGTTCAATACCACGATTTTTGCTTCGTCCCATTGTAGCGGCCTACCGTCTGTCCATTCCCACCCCAGGATAGGTTTTAGCGGTCGTCTTTCTGCTACACCAATCCAATAGTCTTGCTTAGTCATCGTTGCGCCGATGGAATTTCCGTGTAACCTCGCCACATACATTTCACTCTGTTTTGCCAGACAGTGAGCGAATGCCGCAAACCAGGTCATTAGGGAATAAACATTAAGATGGCAGTATTCATCATTCATCTCCCAGCCTTCTTGACATTTTCCTATACATATATCATGAGAGAACTTGGAGGTATTTACATAATTACATTCGGGAAATACAGGCCGTTTTTTGCCTATATATATATACTACATTTTCTATACTTAAAATGTAAGAGAGTGCAGTATACAGAGTTTACTGAGTCCCAAATTTTGATCAATACCGCTTACGTCTGGTTTTCAAATAGTTGTAAACTTGTAATTGTCGTGGAATCGTCTATGGAATAACTGATTTGAATACAAAAATAAAGACAAATTTATATCCGGACTATATCTCAGCGATGAAAATGACTTGTTCGCCACATTACGACAAAATGGAAAGCATGCTTTACCCAAGCCATACACTGCGGGTTCAAGCCATAAGTTAACTGAGATATTCAGCGAGAAACAAGAAGGAATTTCATTTTAAATTGAGCCGAATTTTTTTAACGTTTTTCAGGCAAACCCAATCAGAATGCCTACATTTTTAATACTTTATGTAAAAAGATAAATGATACCCATTTTACGAGAAGTAATCAATTTTTGGAAGAACTTTTATGGCAGTGGCGGATCATTAATTGTGACTGCAGCTAGTACAATTTCAACCTCGTTCCCGAGGTTGGTACAATTTTGCAAAAATAAACCTATATACTTATCTCACCTTCATATCTTCGTTTAACACATATGGATGGATGAAACCTGTGGCAGTATTCACGCTTTGTGATACCATTGTGGTCATAATAACACCAACGCCAAATCTCATCCTCTAAATACTCGCCAGTATTATTTGTCGAAATGAATTTTGCGGCGTGCTTTTTGAGACCAATCCAAAGGCTGTCTGTGAAATTTGCAAGATAAAGCATATCTTCCTCGTCTTCAAAATCCAGCAATCTTCCATTATGTCTCCAGCATGTGTCATTGGCTTCCTCCCAACTAAGTTTTAAGTCGCTGTATGTATAATTTATGCCATAATCGCTCTTTTCTGTAAAAAAATGGATCACACATTGTAAATCGAAAGCAACTCGTTCAACTCGTTCGCCTGTAAACGCTCGCTTACACTCAAACTATTGAGTGGGATATCTCAACCTTGTAATAACGTTTCTATGACGACGATATTTCCACTATACATTTTCAGTGTTTTACCTAAAAACTTCTCATTAATGAACAAAGAACTTTCTCATTGAGCATTAATAACAAAATATATGTAAAAATCAATAACTGTTTAATTATAAGTTCATATAAATTATATGATTATTGAATACACGAGGTTACTCAATAATTTCATTCACGTTAATGGAAACTTATATTCCCGTTACCAAAAAGAGGAATTTTGAATTAATGGGAAAATATCTTTACGGGCAAAAAAGCCTTACATCTTCTTAAGTGCACGTAAACCTATTTATACAACAATGATGAATTTCGTTTTAGAGCAATCCCAGCTGCACTGATAACTTTCGCTAGTTTTGAAATTTAGTCTAAACGGATCATTCTGAATATTAGCGTGGTCGCTGTAACCTAAACTTACCTTTATTCGATCCTGACCCAGATTGCCTTTCGGCCAGTATTCCATTGCGTCCGATCTGTGGAAATATTAAAAACACAATGACCCTACGCAGTCGAGAAATGCTAACTGGTATTCATTCAGTTATGTGGCAATTTTTCTCGGTTTCTTGCGCTTGTAAGCTTGGAAATGAAGACTCTCTCGAGAAGCTTGGAATTGAAGATCTTGTCTCGGAAAATGACAAATGAAAATCTTACAAAATTATGAAAAATTAGAAAATCTTACGCGAGACATCTGTTTTATTTTTTTCTCGTATTTTATATAAAAGCAACTGTGGCATCTCTTATTTGACATCTTTACAATCTCGTCAAAGTATCGTTTTGATCCACCTATTTCCCCATGCATAACATCTTATTAATTTTTGGGAAATATACAACTGAGTGTTCAAAATACGAGTAAATTGTTTGTTCAACACGTTTAAATTACGAGATAGCAAAGAACCAATGCCTAAAAAGCGTTTGCATGCATGAAAGTTTCATACATGCAATTCGATGGAAAGAATTTCAAGTAAAAAAGTTTAAATAATAGTGTTCTTGATACAACATACAATTGTGGTAAAAATGAACTTTTTTTTTTGAACTATGCTTTGCTTCGAGCATAAAAATGCTTCATATTTAAATACTTCAATATCGTCTCGCATTTTGTTTAATCTCAGGTAATCGAGATGACTTATAAACCACATTTAATTATGTATAAAGGCTCCTGCGATCACAGTAGGAATTTTCAAAAGAAATCATAAGTTTCAAAACTTTCGCTTTAATTGTTTTAAGAAACTAAGGGGCTTTTCACATGAGCCCGGTTACCCGAGATTTAACGAAGCGAAAAATGACTTTGAGGTATTGAAATGAGTGAATAACATGATCCTGGTAGTTGTGTAGTCATCCTAACAATAGCATGTGCTTGTTTGGTTTCAGGAAGACTAATTTTAGTACCTCAAAATCATCTCATCCTTAGTTAAATCTCGGGGCTCATATGAACAGCCTCTAAGTGACTAAACCATTTCATTTTAATATCCGTTGAAACCTAGAATTACATGCAATACAAATTTCCAACCATATTGTTAGAAACATGCCCATGTAGCTACAATTCTCTGAAACTTATTTCCTTCAACTAGAATTTTAACCGAGCGAAATCTCTCCATAAAATCTGGTATTCTTTGAGATTGTTTTTATTTCAATTAGAAAGATCCTGCATGATTCGATATATTACCTTGTGTACACACATTTAAACTGCAACTCTTATACGATTATTACACATTTACTCCGCGCTAAATCTAACACAGAATCACACTTACCAAATAACTATGGGACAAGACACTTAGCAATCCAAAAAAGTAATTCAATCCACAGTACTTTCGATAAAGGTCCATAGCTGAGTCCTAACGTTATTGTGTGTATATAGTTGAAATCAAATGTATTATTCGGCTGTGATCTTTATGAATACAGCTTTACAAATATACCCGTTCTCATTTACGTGTGCAAAAGCAATAGGAAGCGTATTTGCATGTCTAATTTAAAAACCAGATGGGCCATTACTAGCATTCAAAGTTATTACAAATGATCAATGTCAAGCAACTGAAGCAAGTGTGATTGATAAGTATAATTTTGTAAAATTTGATAAACGAAATATTTAAATATCAGATTGGGCTTAAGTTAGAGTTGTCCAACACAAATATACATGCATCTATAAAATATATCGATGTTTATCGAAATTACCCGTCGGGAACTAATAAAATTGATGCTGTTCGATTAAGTACAGATTTAATTGGGGGAAATATATTTAATACATGTAGATTCTGGTTCTATTTTAGTAATATCGCTGTTATTTCACTGTTTAACAAAATGTGGTCGTGTATGGGCGCGTTGACACGTCGCAGTTTGCACAGGATTGAAGGATACGTTCAAACACAGCAGGTCTGGAACATTTACATTTGCCAACACATCACACATATTACAGGCTAATATAAGCTCTCAGGTTATAATATCAACAAAAACTTTTAACATAAGCGCAAACTCCAAATTGTACGAGAAAGTGAACGTATCATGCGGCTTATTTACTTTTTTGAAAAATTGCGATGCGTCATGCATGCGCTTCTGATCAAACAAGATTTAGGTTCGCAAGGCATCTAAATGAGTATGAACTGTACTGTTTAGCTTTATATTGAAAACTGGCACGTGCGCGGCACGCCGGAGTTAACGCCAGAACAGGCGTCTTGTTGTTTAACAAATCGTTTTGTTTTCACATGAAGATTGCGGCCATATATATATGTAAGTTTAATTCTAATATTAACACAACAGTTTTATATAATTTCTTATAAAACTCCTGTTGTCAACCGGGCATCAACTCGCTATCACACTCGTAGTCCAAGTGTATGATTAGGCTTTTGGGTTCCCAGCTTATTTTTCGAAGAATAAATGATCCGTCTGCTCAGTGCCGCCCGAAGCTCCGTGCATAAATTCGGCGAAAATTAATTATATAAACGATCATAACACGCATTATTCCACCAAATATATTAACAAGCTAATCGAGGTAGCTGTGGAAGTTAAAGTATCGCAGCAAGCATGGAATAAAATAGCTGGACAGCATTGAAGTTCGCTTTTCTTTCTTTTCTTTTATTACTGAACACTCTATGAATTCTTAAAGCACCGCTCAAGCAAGTATTCTTTTCGCGAGTTGCCTTCAATACACAAAACAGAGAGTGTTATTTGATTTATATTATTTTTTTGGAATTCAAATTTATACCTTTGCAATTTGAACTTCTGTACCCGACTGCCTCTACATGTTGTAGGTACCAATGACGCAAAAAAAATATGCGAAAAAGAAGATCTAAACAAAGTATAGGCAAATCGCGAATTGCAGCGGGAAAACGCTACAAAATGTGCCGGATAATGCTGCATTATTCTGAAATTTCTAAAATCTACTAAAGAAATTGTCCTATCTGGGCTTTCTTACCGATCGGGAGGTCAGGCCAAGAAGTAAGCCAACTTTGAAGAAGTAAGATGGGAACTTTCCAGAGGGAAACATCGTTGAAGTGACCAAAGGTTATACCAAGCCAGTGCGATTGCTAACTTCACCGTGTAGGGCACAAATGCGGCACAAATGCCATATGGTGCTATATGCATGTATACAATCCCGCGACATGAATATGAAATAAACCGTGTTCTACTTGTGAACAGCCAATAGAAAAACTAACAGCGTACTAACTCCAGATGGCGTGGGCTCAATCAAGGCGTCATTCTAATTAAAAAGGGCGGGAATATTTAAGTTGTAATTCGCAAAAGCAAATAGTAATCATTCAGGCAGGGTCTCAAATGACGTTTTCGAAATTCGTTCTCATTGAAAGTTATTAAAAACAAGGTTTTTATTAGTGGAAACGCACATAGAAGACTATTAAGCTGACTATATACTTCGCTGACATTGCTTACCTAAATATTATAGCTATATAGCGTTTGGACTTGCAATATAAATTAAAAATTTTCATCTGCACAAAATGAAAAGCGCACTTGAGCGTAACATATACAGATCACAAAATTTTTCAGACGAGCAACTATATATTCTTGGGCCAAACTTTCGTCTTCTTTTGTAAATAACCGACACAATGGCATTCTATTTAGTTGCGGTAATGCCTGAACTTTTACCATTAACTGAAAAAGTTTAAACGTTATCGGAACGTAATTCCTACAAAAATCGCAATTTAAGACCTATACATAATGACAAACAAAGTCTTACGCCAGTATTCAAAAAGCGTACGCATATTCAGACCCATCGAGTGTCGGGAGATCTCTCTATCACTTCATAGCGACTTCTCTGTGATTTTTCCACTCGAGTAACCCAGAACTTCATTTTCAATGTTTTACCTCAAACCTTTCCATTAAATAAGAAAGGACCATTACTGTCATTAATCAGTAATAAGTAATAACACAGTTTCTATGTCACACTCCAAGAGTGGTAGTGTGAGTGACCGTTTTTAATACACAGGCGTCAGATATCTTTGATCCAGTCTCGATACTTTAGTTGTCCGGACTTTACATTATATACAATCATTTAATGTTTAGAAATTTAATTAATTTTATGCGGTAATTAATATTACTATTTCGTTAATTGAAATTACGTTAAAACTACATGTTTTGCTTTCCAATTTATTTTTCTATTATTATTAATTTTTAGTTTATTACAAATACATGTTCGTCGCATTCACGAACAGCTCGGAGAGCCACCATAAAAACTGTTTCAGTCTAAAAATAGTACATAATAATTACATACGAAGGGCATTTTAAGATAATCTTTTACGAGTTTGAAAACAGTTTTAAAAGTACTTTTCCGTTTAGAACAATACAATTTTTGATGATAGTCGCCTCCTCAAAAGTACCGCATGGATAGACTAGTACTCATGCATACAATATAAATTCAACGTTATGAGTGCTAATATTTTGGTGTTCTTTTGCTGTAAAAACAACGAATTTCTAAGATTTGAAATTTGCATTGCAGGCTGGCTATACGCGCCACTAAAATTCGGCAAATAATTTTTTACCTCAGCTATTAAATGTATGCATTAATTCTGTTATAAACTGATAGTATAATAATGTAAGAATTAAGTTAGCACAATAATGATATATTTATACAACCTGAAAGTGAAGGGCTATGTTGTTAAAGTCGATTGGTTGACTTCGATCCTCCGCCTGATTGCAGATCGAATCTGTAACCAAATCAATGCGAATAAAAATATATTCATTGCCTAACACATGGTGGACAAACATATAATTCACACTGTATATCTCTTAGGCGGGTCTGTATATTAATGTAAGCGTAAGCGTATAGGTGATTGTTTCCCATCACTGTATTTTGTAACAGCCCGTTGAAAATAAAACAAGAGATAGCACCGTCTAAATTGTGGTGATATGGTTGGCAACCATTGGCTTTTCTATTTATGTTTTACTATTCAAAGTTAGCTAATTTTGATTATTTAACACATTTTGTTGGACACTATCGACGGAATCTCGTGATATTATATGTATGTTCACAACTAGAGAACGTCTCGAAAATACATAGTTTATTATATATTCAATCCAGCCATCTGATCGCGGCTCATTGAAACATGAAGAGAAAGGTTAAAGCTCATGCACTCACCTCGCGATTACAAATCCCGTATATGAGAAAGATAAGAAAGCCCTATAAATAAAGTTTAATTACTTTAAATTACTTTTAACAATTTGCTCAAGAATTTGAATAAATTCAAAGCTAGGCAAACGGTTTTAGCCTGAGGTTCGCTCCATCGTATCTTGAAAAAGATATTTGAGATAACATTGGACGCAAAGGGTTTTTAGGTCAGACATATGGTTGAACACGCGTCAAGTCACATTTTGACTTTTTATTCACTGTTAATTTTGAAGTGTAAAATAGCACCACCGTAGGTGCCAAATGAACACCATGCAGTGGTGTTAAATAGAAAGTGCTATTTTGGCACCAACTTCGGTGCTAATTTAACACCACCAAATCTGGGATTACGCTAAAAGTGCCAATATGACACCATATTACCAGCACCATTGCAAGGTGCCAAAATAACACCTCTTTTGCATGCCAACGGAAAGTGTTAAAATAACGCCATATAGGGAGTTAAATATGAGGTGTCAAAATAACACCAAATCGCGGATAGGCCGGGAAAGAGCACGTTTGATTTTATTTAAGTTATTGGAAAATAAATTTGTATTTTCGAATGAGATGATTTTGGAACAAAGAATTCCCTTGCGTTTTTGCACAACTATTCATTTAAAAGACGACATGGAAATTCGGCTTGTTACTATGAATTTACCTGCGTCGATGTCGATATCACGAAAAGATATTTCCAGATCATGGCTTCATGGTTGACGGCGATGACACTGAATGCCCACGAGAGACCAAGAGTTGGGAAAAGAATGATTATGCCTCGCGCGGCAGAGCTGAAATAAACGTTTATAACTGCATGGTCACATTTGAAATATAGCCTGTAACACTCGTGACATGCACTATGCTTCAGAGAAATAATATTTCGAAAATTTACAAAAAGGTTTGTATTGGAAAACGTTAAAAGGCATATTTTTCACGGCTTGAGGGAAATGAAAAATTGTATACTTACACAATGTATTTCATATTACTGCTTTCAGCCTTTGCAGCATGAAATAAAACACGAGCCACAGCAATCAAGACGACTAATGTTACCTGAAACAATGAAATTGTATTATTCCATTGTGAATAGACCATTTCAGCTTGCATACAAAGTAACCATTTCGGATGTTGTGACCATGAAATAGCCAACTGATAAACTTAACCATTTCAGACCATAGTTCAGATCCGGAATGGGCTAATTTCCATGCAAGCTGCATGAAAAGGTCATTTATGATTATAATATATAGCTACATTAACAAATTGCTGAATTTTGCTGAAAACATTAAGATTACCAAAAGATCTGTATGCGTGTTTATCTCGAAAAATAGAAAGCTTCCTACCGTTGTCACGATGACTACCGGTGCAAAAAACACCCAAAAGAATCCTTCTTTGTAAGACAACCAGCACCTGAGAGGTTCCGAAACGATCAAAGAGTAATTTTTAAACGGATATTAAATTTGTATCAAGCACGTTTAGATAAAAACCACTCTTACATCTCTCTTGAATGAGTCAACTTGAATATTATGCACTGAATATGTAGTTGTAAACAGTATACTTGTATTAAGGTTTAAAATATTTAGTTTGCATGTTAAATAAAACGATAGGCTTCCTATTTTAAACTTAACCACCGTTTAAGCTAAACGGGTTTGATACAACTGGCCCATGATAAATAACACTCATGCATTGTACTGTTTGTAATTATATATAAATATGCTGAAAGTCACACATTTTACTGGCGGGGATTGAATAAACTTTATATAGTTGATTTCGACTCGTATAAATGTTTCGTTAGAATAATAATTTATATGCATGCATGCTTGCTTGTAATTAAAAGGATCGAGATAAAACTGATTTATTCCTGGATCAGTTATAGGTTTTTGAGATAGCAAATCTGTTTTCTGATTGCAAAAAAAGCTGACCCAATACGCCTGGATGCAGTGATTAAAACCGCATCAAACATTTGGAAACACCAAGCAAGAAAATGACAATCGAGAAAATCATCAACACAGAAAAGCAGCGGGAATAATGGGCTTCGCGAAAATGTATCATAACGTTAACTACATGTAGCTATTGATACAAACCAGTTGTCAGAACCATAAGCATCAATCTTCAAACCAGAAGACAAACCAACGAAAATCAAAGGAAATCCTACAATTACAAAATCGAAGAAGACATTCAATTTTAATGTCCCATAAGCGGGAATTTAGTATAGGTCCACTTGATATTTCAGACGAATCCCTAGAAAATTCCTAACTTGATCTAATTGCTTCTTTGTCGGGTACTTCTACAGCGTTGGATTAAAATCACAAAACAAGACAAATTTTCTATTAATATCTAATTTGGCAACGCTCGGAATTGTGCATATAGTTATAGGTAGATATCGATTTGCGTAGAACCGACTTTATAGCATCTTTACCATTTAACTATAGTCTTCATGTTTCGACGTGCAAAATACAGTCAATCGGTCGTCTTCAAGAAAAAGCGCATTTTTACTTACCCCAACCAAAAGCATAAAAATTTCTCATTCTAACGATTTCTCCACCGTACACAGAGATGAGTTTCAAATACAACATGGCCGCCTCAAGAAGGATCCAACAAAATGATGCCAGTGAAACATAATGCAGTAAGATTGCAACGACCTTGCAGGCAATCTAAAATACATCATTTCATAATTCAAATGATTCTCAATCGTAACATCTCAGATATAACAAAACCATTCTAGCATTACCCATCAAGATATGGTGGGAAACAAGGAGGAATTTCGTTTTAAAGCAATCGGCGTACTTGTTTACATTTTTTAGGCTATGCCAATTAGAATGCTTCAAATTGTAACAATTCATGTTAAATGGTAAATAATGTATCTTTTTACCGGAAGTAGCAAAAAATCATGCATTCTGGTTGGGTTACTGAAAATGTGAACAAACTTGCTGATTGGTCTAAAGCGAAATTCTCCCTTGTTATGGCATTGAAAATTACCAACCTCATCATGTGTAGCACTGCCTCCGGCGAGAAAAACAATCTGGGTCAGTCCCAGCGCGATCTGCAAGTTCAAATGTACCAAGTGTCGACTGGTCGTCAAAATTTGCAGATCTTTGCTAAAATTGAAACAACATAGTAAAATATAATATAAATTTTGTCAACGCAAGCATTCTTGAAATGCTACCTTCATCGGGCACACCGCTTTATAGAGCCTTTAATTTCACCGAGTAAAGGCAAATGACATGCAAAGTTCAATCTTAACCTTGTGTCTTTTTTCTTTTTACATGTTTCTCTACGCTGCATTGTGATCTCTCATCCAATGCGTGTAAATGCGAGCCCATGCATCCCAGGCCAATGCATGTAGTACAACAGGCACTGCAACAGACACTTACTATAGAATGATGTAGATAAGGCATGTCAAAACCAGACCAACCAGCGACAATCCTGAGCCAATATAACTGATGAACTTTAAAGCATCTTTATCAGCTTCACTTGGCTAACGGGAGGAAACTTAGCGTATGAGTTATGTCACAAACATGCTAAAGCTTGATTTCAAGACTGATTTCGATAGAATTTGAAAGACATAGCATAGATTTCGTGAAATATATAGCAACCTTTAGACGTTCCAATGCAATAATTATGCTATATAAACACGTGAAGAAATGTTCAATGTCCATGTCGCCATATTTTGCAAGTGCCGAATACAACACAAAATGCATTCAAGACCTTTAATAATGAGGTCAGGGCTGGTAAGTTACTGAATAAATAAGCCAAAAAACTGTATGTTTACTTGTGTTCGCTTGTGCTCATTTGGCAAAGTCATTCTTACTCTTAAGTTGTGATGCAAGCTACCTCTGAATCAAGAACAACCATTGCAAAGCTAGAAAAGTGATTCGTTACACATTCAACAACGTTGTTGTCCATCGAGCCAACTTTCATTCCTGTCGTATTCCAAAGAAGTCCATCCAAGAATATACACATGACCTACAGGCGAAAACAAATTAAAAACGACTTGATATTTAAACATGAATATTTTATATATTTGAAAGGCAAATAAACATGTGAAATAAAAAGTTGATCAGCTTGAAAGGTTATCGAGAATCATGAGAGAAAGTGAAGGTTTCCTTAAAATTTGTCAAGTTCATGGGACGGAGAACTGGCCGCCTAAGAAATAATGTTTTGCCGCAAAATACATTTGCTTTCTTCAAAGAAGCGGTGGATTCGATAAATGCGATAGTGTGGCTGAATGTTGCTATAGTTCCATATTATTACAAACAAAAACAATTTTCTTGACACATGTACATACCCGACTTCCTGTTACCACTTCCTCCAGTTGAAAATTGAGCGATACTTCCTCGCCTTTGACTAAATTGTTGACCAATTTTCCATCAACAATGTAATCCACCGACATTGTATCCGCCTGTTGCGCGACAGAGTTGTTCCTGAAGATGAAAAACAACAGTAGGGAAACTAATGATTTAACAAATTTAAGGGATTATCACAGCTCTCAAATCAAATTTCCTCGTGTGTTTTATCGTTTTAGACATGGAAACATTGTGGGAGGGAGAGGATCACGTAGGTCCTTCTAAAAAACCAAAAAGGGGAGTTGAAACACTTTTAGACAGCCTATACTATATAAACAAAGATTCATGAGAATAATAGGACGAAATTTATTTTTTTTTTTCAAATCTTAGCAATCCATGGCCACGTTCTTTTCGATATGAAAACGAGCATCAAACGAGTTGATAAAAAGGGGAATGAGATTTTATACACAAGTTATTTAGGAAAAAACAGGAAATGAATAAATAAAGCACAACGTACGTGATACTTTGGCTGAATACTTACAACGATTTTGATAAATTGATCGTGAGGTTACTTATTTTCATTATCACTCCTTTGACAATACCTGTCAGTTGAATGAAAAACACGGTTTCAATAATATTGTAACGAGTGTTTAACAAACCAAGAATATTGAAAATCTAAAAGTAAAGCTATGTTTCTACGATATAAGTCTGACTGAATTTATTGGAACAGCATAACCGAAAGGTGTGCTTGTAAATCGAGTGCAGTCTAAAACGGGTTTAAAATAGCAGTAACTTTCTTAATTATGATATATAAATAGAAATTATAAATTTTAAAATATAATTTTGTAGCATGTAACTTATGGAGTTTAACAAAACCAAGATGGCTGAAAATCCTCCTTGTAAGTGAGGTCATTACGTATCAACTAAAGGATTACGAGGAATCTTACATGATGATCGATTTTGGCACATCGTCGCGATGGATTTAGTTGGAAAAGAGGTGGCATTCGATCTTTGATACTGTAGATCTATGAATTCTGTCATAAACACCGTTAATTCTAAAAAATTGAGTAAGAAAAACAATTATGATACTTTTAAGAAACATAGCGAGAAGCTATAAACCAAGTTATAAGCGCAAGATAATTTGGAGGTACATACATACAAGCCAAATTAAAACATCTCATGCTATTTTCGGGTTGACCTTATGTTGTATTTTTACTTCAATACCTTAAAGTCACTTTTCACTTCAGTCATGAGATTAAAGATCATACCTTCTTTACATAAGTGATAATTTTCACTTAATAAATAACTAGATTTAAAATACTTTAATTTGGGGTGCATGTAATTACTTTTTTATATACCTAAATCACAGCTAGGTAGCCCGCTAACAGGCCCGCACGAAAAATGTTTGGCAAATGGTAGGTAAAATCCCACATAGATTTTAAGTAAGTAAGATCCCACATAGATTTAGTTTTTTTGTGAATATATTTTTGCATTTGAGTACGCGAGTATTTTCATGCGTAAGTTTGTTTACAGTTCATTAATTTGAAAATTTGAGTATCCCACCCTATGAAACAATATATATTTAATACATACTACGGCGTGCGCGCCTGTTGCGTTGATAACGCCTGTGCCTAAACCAGACTATAGTCTACATTAAATTTCTGGGCCTTCAAGTGAAGAATATATCAGTTAGAGGCCTTACCAATATTGCGTTTCACCGTATTAAACGAATAAGTAAAGGTACTAGAGTTAACTACTTCAACAATTCCTCTTTGGGCTGAAGAAATTAACTCCTCAACACTTTGTTTCTTTTCTTTTGTTCCTTTTGTACAGTTTTCCCGCTGACAGTAAATCAATTCGCTTGCTGATATCAATAGTTTTGACTGAAACGATATGCAAACAATTTCTTATCGTTGCTTCGAACATTTTCGATTTCAATTCGCAATATATGCCTTTAAAAGAATTAAACTTCAAAGATGGAAGTTGAAGGGATGCAATAAGCATACTTACAATTTCTTCTTGATGAGCAGATTCCTCACCTGGTGATGTCGAAGGCTCTGTTGAAAACTGTAAACACAAAGATTGGAACTAGCTACTTGAGTGTCTAAATATTAATATAACATCATTTATATAATAATAAAGCATGTAACACGAGAAAGATCGAATTGCTTCTTTGTCCTCGTCTGTTCGTCTGTCTGTTTCTTTTGTTTTCACTGAGGTTGGATATGAATAATTTACTCTCGAAATGTTACACATTTCCTTTAAAATTGAGAACAGCTAATGGTCCACACTTGCATATTAGCCAACTTTTGCTTTAGGCGGCCAAAAAGAAAATTCCGAAAAGGGCAAACTAAACTTTCCAAGTTTGACTGCGAAATATTATAAAGTATACCAAAGATACAGCCAAGAGAAATTCGCAAATTTTGTATACTTTTGTATTATGGCCGCGCGGAAGAGTAAAACTAAAATATGCTATCCAAATTCAAAAGGCAATACTAACCTTTTTCTTACAGATAAAACGAAGAGGAGCTGAACATTGAGATTGTTCCCAAATTCGACGTTCTGGACGTACATAAGCGCACCCAGTCCTTCTTTCTTTCTTGATGTCTGGTAGTCTTGCGGTAAGCCCCCAGTTATGGAAAACATTCAATAGACTGCCATTAGGCCACTTCCAACCTTCGAGCGGATCCTGAGGTAAGAAGGATTTATAATCGTTCATCCAGCATCTCCCAGACAAGCCCGTCCTGTTATAATAATTAAAGAGGTGGACCATGTTCGGCGGTAAAAGTTCACCACCCTGCCCTTGGCAGAACATAGAAGCTGTAAGCCATCGCATGTGGACCTTTGTGAACACTCGAACACATTTTTTCTCCGTGATTCTTACTTCCCACGACGGCTCACAGGACTGTGAATCTGCAAATTTTTTTGGGATATCCTTAGTAATGCAAGTACCTTTTCAGTACACAGGGGAATTTGAAAACGCATCACAAACTAATCAAGAATGAATGAAAAGAAACTTAAATTAGTATTATATAAGTTAGTCAATTTTGGCTGTATCTTCCTAGCGGTTATTTTAATCATGTGAAATTGCTTCGAGAAATCAACAAGCAGACTAAATACAGCATACAGATCATTCCTTTACCGTTACTTCCATTCTTGGCATCTTTCACGCAAACTGGATGGTGGTGCGAGTCACAGTCTTCATGGATTCGTGATATTTTGCTTGCTGAGCAAGGAAAACTGGAACATTCTCTCACGCGAAACTCCGTCATATTTGTCTCTGAACTAATGACCGTAGTGATGCAACTTTTCTCACTCGAATTTATTTTTTTTAGCCCGATCCGGAAGAATTTGTTGAGTTGAATGGAACCGTTATTATATAGTTTATCCAATGTTTTCCGAAATTCAACGGTTGACAATGGCAATAAGGAGCTGTTGTTGCCATACTTTTCTTTACATTTTAACACAGCGTCTTCCCATGATGTAGACAATCTACTTTTCATGTCTTGATACACTAAATTTTTTTACACTTTTAAGTAATATTTACAACACGAGCGGCCGTGTTGCATTGATTGCATATTCAATACAACACGGCCGCGAGTGGTGAAATGAATTGTAATGAATAAGATTTGAAAGATATGATATTATGATTAATAGCTATGCAAATATACAAATTTATTATATACACAAGCGCCAGATATGAGGTATGCTGCAATTTCATTGGTTGGCTACTACATAGATATTAGCTCATATCTGTCTAGTAGAGAAAGTAAACAAAATGGCTGAAAGATTTTGGGAGTTGATTCGGCTATCAGCTCATATACGACTCGAGTTCGCAGAATAACTGTTAAATATATATCCGATAAAGAAGCACTAGTTTTTGTGTCTGCATGATTTGCATATCTATTCAAACATGGGTATACAGGGTGTATTCTAGGCAGTATATTCTTCGATAAACTTTACTTTATTTCCTAAGGGCTGCTTTAAGCTATATACGTGCGTGTAGCTGAGCGGACAGTGGAAAGAAGCCCTCGTGTCATATTTGAAAAAGCCAGGTGAATAAATCGAAAGAACTTAGTTTCCCCATATTTTAGTATGCATTTGTTGACCCATGTATTAGATAATAAAAAAATTGGAAGCATTTAAAATTTTACGTGCATAAGTGGAAAACGCGTAAGTGGAAGAAAGCAGCCTTAATGATGACTAAAAATCATCCGAAACGCAGATAAATAAAGTAAAATGTACTATAGTATTCGGTTTTTGCAGTACGTCGCAAACCTTTAAATTTCACTTATACGCAGTGGGATAGTGGAACCGATTTTTAAGCTATCTAGCGTGCGGACGCGAAAGGTTTACTCCCTGAAATGTATACCTGATGGCGAGTCTCCATCGCAAAGAAATAAGTAGTTTAAACATTGGTTTAAATGGAGAGTTCGATTTCGCACCAAGCCACATCCCGGACACCCATAGTTTAATACCACGATCTCTTCTTTGTCCCATTGTAGCGGCTTATGGTTTGCCCATTGCCACCCCAGGATGGGCTTTGGCAGCCGTCTTTCTGCTACACCAATCCAATAGTCTTGCTTAGTCATCGTTGCACCAATGGAACTTCCGTGTACGCTCTCCACATACATTTCACTCTGTTTTGCCAAACAGTGAGCGAATGCCGCAAACCAGTTCAAAAGGGAGTACACATTAAGATGGCAGTATACATCATTCATCTCCCAGCCCTCATCGCACTTCCCTAATGAGAGAATTTGAAATTTTTACATACAGGATTTCACAGGCTATTTATCTGCCTCCCCCCCCCTCCCCAATCCCGTTCATTTTCTATTAGTCTACTTAAAAAATCGCAATCGACATGTGGTACGTACAATAAAGCCCGCCGCACACTCGAGCTGTTAGCTGAGCTAAAGACCTCGCGTGGCTACAAGCTCAGCAAGTTATATTACTCTCACGTATGGTTAGTTTTTCGTGATGAACGCCTCGAGAGGCAAGTTTCTCACGTGATGCGGATGGTTTTTGGGTTAAGCTAACTGCCTCGCGAGGTCGTTATAGCTCATGCAGCTGATAGCCCTTGTGTGCGGCGGGCTTTAGTGCGCAGTACGTTCCTTGCTGAGCGAGACGTCATGACGAACTAAACAAACGTCTTCGGCAAAAAGCAATCGAAAAAAATTTTTGTATGCATATAATATGTATGGACTATGGTGTTAACCTGTGCCGTGAACGAGGTGTTGCAATGTATGTGGGGGCATCAGTAATGGCGGTTGGTTTCAATCCTCGGCAAGTTATAATTTCAAATTTGAAATGAAATAATACTATTGGCTCAATTTGTGGTTAATGGTTGGTCGAGCGCACGACCACCTCTATCTCTCCCTTGCTGATTAGTCTAAAACGAAATTCCTCAATCAGGAGACCCAATAAAGAAAATTGCTTATATGCAAGCGTTTTTTCAAAGAAGGGAGAATGTTTATGTTCAGCACTTTTCGAAGAGTTTAACGGAGTTAATCTCACCTTCATATTTTTTTTTTACACATATGGATGGAAGTTTGTAGTCGTAGCAATCACGCTTCGTGATACCATTGGCGGCCTTGTGGTTGGCAAAATAACACCAAGGCCACATCTCGCGCTCTAAATACTCGTTCGTACTATTTGCAGGAATGAATTTGGAGGCGTTCTTTTTAAGGCCGATCCAAAGCCTGCCTGTAAAATTTGCAAGATAAAGCATATCTTCCTCGTCTTCAAAATCCAGCAAACTTGCATTACGCCTCCAGCATGTGTCATTGGCCTCCTCCCAACTAAGTTTTAAGTCGCTGTATGTATAATTTATGCCATATTCGCTCTTTCCTGTAAAAAATTGAATCACACATTGGAAATCGAAAGAGAAGAATTAGCACCTCGCTCGCCTGTAAAAGCTCACCTACACTCAAACTCATTCAGTGGGATATCTCAATCTTGTAATAACGTTTTTTTGACGACGATATTTCCACTGGAATAATATTTAATTTCCTCCTTGATTTTCTGTGTTTACCTTAAAAATTCTCATTGATTAAGAAAGAACGTTTTCACTGATCATTAATATAACAAAATTATTATACGTCAAATTGTCAAAATCAATAAGTGTAAGTGAGCTTATAAGTAATATAATTATTGAATACAGGTGGTATACAGGTACATTACAATTTATATTCCCGTTGCAACAAAGAGGAATCTCTTTTAGATCAATGGAAAAATTTGTTTACGGGCAAAAAAGCCTTATCACATCTTCTTAAGTGCGTAATATCTATTAATACAACGATGAATTTCGTTTTAGACCAATAAGCGAATCAGTTTACACTTTCAGTAACCCAATCAGAGAGCAATAATATTGAATACTTCTGGGGGAAAGGAACGTTTATTCACTATTTAATAATTAGAGGAATATAGGCATTCTTATTGCATGGCTTAGAGTGAAAAATGTAAACAAAATCCGTCTTGTTTTTTATACCAAATTTGAATATTTGACAACTATTCACGGCGTTATCTTTCCATATATTTTTGCAACCAAAATTTCCAATCTTACTAAATTTGGGAAGCTAAGCGCTCTTTACAGCTGTACTGATAAATTTTCCTAGTTTTAAATTTAGTTTAAACGTTCATTCTAATGTTAGCGTAGACACAACAACCTAAACTTACCTTTATTCGATCCTGACCCAGATTGTCCTTCGTCCAGTATTCCATTGCGTCCGATCTGTGGAAATATTAAAAACGCGGTGACCCTAATGCTAACTACTGGTATTCATTCAGTTATGTGGCACTTTTTCTCGGTTTCTTGCGCTTGTAAGCTTGGAATTGAAGACTCTCTTAAGGAGCTTGCAAGCTAGAATTGAAGATCTTGTCTCGGAAAGTGACAAATGATAAATCTTACGAAATTATGGAAAATTAGGAAATCTTATACGCGAGACATCTGTTTTAATTTTTGACTGTACCATCTCTTATTTGACATCTTTACAATTGCGTCAAAGTACCGTTTATTACCGTAAATTATATAACCCACCAATACCTAAATTTAACAATACCGTACTATATACAATGCCTTAAATTATATATACCAATTCAACCTTATTACTAACCAAATTATATAACGATACCTGTACTACATAATAGGCCTGGACGTAGAATATGTCAGGACGGCGTTTCAAATAGGCCTCGTCGCACTTACATCATAACCTGGTTCAAATAAAGCCTAGTTGAAAGGTGCAATTTTCATGCTAACTGACTCGCAAAGACATGTTGCACGGAGTCGAGTCATTCTACCGTTTTAAACTTCATCGCAGTGGCCAAACTCGTAGTTGTGGCGAGTTTATTTAGTTGCACCGAGCGTTGCGTTTATATAGGGCTCTGTACATTTACGTTGAAAGCGTTATCATGATTAAAAAGTCTGAGTTAGGAAGGAAAGCTTATCCTGATAGCGGTGCAGTCGTCCCGAAAATAGCATGTTTTTGCTTTCTTTTGAGCATAAAGCTTTCATCTTGATTACTACAAATCATCTCGCATTTTGTTTGAAGACCAGAGGCCGGTTGTTCCAAAGGCGTTTAGCTAAACGGTGGATAAGTTCAACATGGAAAACAAAACTATATATTTATTGAACAACTGAGCTGATATATTTCGATGTAAATAGCTTAATTGTCAATGGAAGACTAATTTCAATATCTCAAAATCATCTCATCCTTAGTTAAATTTCGTTCAACCGGGCTCATATGAACAGCGCCCTAAGTGACTAAACCATTTCATTTTAATATCCGTTGAAACCTAGAACTCACGAATACAAAATTCCAACCATATTCCTAGAAACATGGACATGCCCATGTACAATTCTCTGAAACTTATTTCCTTCAACTAGAATTTTAACCGAGCGAAATCTATCTATAAAATCCGGTATTTTTTGAGATTGTTTTCATTTCAATTAGAAGAATCCTCATTCTATATATTACCCTGTGTACACACATTTAAACTGCAACTCTTACGATTATTACACATTTACTCCGCGCTAAATTCAACACAGAATGACACTTACCAAATAACTATGGGACAAGACATTAAGCAATCCAAAAAAGTAACTCAATCCACAGTACTTTCGATAAATTTCCATATCTGCATGAGTCCCAACGTGATTGTATTTGCATGTATATAGTTGACATCAAACGTATTATTCGGCCGTGATCTTTATGAATACAGCTTTACAAATACCCGTTCTCATTTACGAGTGCAAAAGCAATAGGAAGCGTATTTGCATGTCTAATTTAAAAACCAGATGGGCCATTACTAACATTCAAAGTTATTACAAATGATCAATGTCAAGTAAGCGTGATTGATAAGCATATTTTTGTAAAATTTAATAAACGAAATATTTAAATATCAGATTGGGCTTAAGATAGAGTTGTCCAACACAAATACATGCATCTATAAAATATATTGATGGTTATCGAAATTACCCGTCGGGAACTAATAAGATTAAGAGGAGATATTTTTCTTTGTCACGTAATAATTATATGCCCAAAACCTCAGTTATATCTTCATGCAACAGCACTAAAATTTTCAGCATTAAAAATGTTTTGCAAACTTAAAAAGCATCCACAAAGTATTTTTACTGTATAATCTCAAAATATTGTGAAAATGAAAAGATTTCTCGGGATACGCCAAGAAGAAAATAACACTTGAATCGGAGCTTCTTTTGTATTCATTTCATGCAGTGATAATGGCGTTGACATTATAACGTTCTTGATAACCGCATTTTGTAACAACTCTAATATTTTGTAATAACTCCTTTGTTCGGTGTTTTGCATTCACCAAATACAGTTCAAAACTTAGTTCACAACATATTCTAAATAATAAAGGTAAAATAAATTAATTTTGAGCGGTACGCCGAAAAGATTTTAGGTTTTGAGCGTTTTCCCGCCAAACAACGCGACATAATAGAAAATCTCCTCTTAAATTGACGCTGTTCGATCAAGTACAGATTTAATTAAAAATTTTCATCTGCACAAAATGAAAAGCGCACTTGAGCGTATCATTATAGAGATCACAAAATTTTTCAGACGAGCAACTATATGTTCTTGGGCCAAAACTTTTGTCTTCTTTTGTAAATAACCGACACAATGGCATTCTATTTGGTTGCGGTAATGCCTGAATAACTTTTACCATCTTAACTTTTACCATTAACTGAAAAAGTTTAAACGTTATCGGAACGTAATCTCTGCAAAAATCGCAATTTAAGACCTATACATAAAGACAAACAAAGTCTTACGCCAGTATTCTAAAAGCTTACGCACATTCAGACTCATCGAGTGCCGGGAGATCTCTCTATCACTTCATAGCGACTTTTCTGCGGTTTTTCCACTCGAGTGACCCAGAACTTCATTTTCAATGTTTTACCTTAAACCTTTTCATTAATTAAGAAAGGATCATGACTGTCATTAATCAGTAATAAGTAATAACACAGTTTCTATGTCACACTCCAAGAGTGGTAGTGTGAGTGACCGTTTTTAATTCACAGCCGTTAGACATCTTTGATCCAGTCTCGATACTTTAGTTGTCCGGACTTTACATTATATACAATCATTTAATATTTAGAAATTTAATTAATTTTGTGCGGTTATTAATATTACTATTTCGTGAATTAAATTACGCTAAAACTACATGTTTTGCTTTCCGATTTATTTTTCTATTATTATTAATATTTAGTTTATTACAAATACACGTTCGTCGCATTCACGAACAGCTGGCAGAGCCACCATAAAAACTGTTTCAGTCTAAAAATAGTACATAATTATTATATACGAAGGGCATTTTAAGATAATCTTTTACGAGTTTAAAAACAGTTTTAAAAGTACTTTTCCGTTTAGAACAATGCAATTTTTGATGATAGTCGCCTCCTCAAAACAACCATATGGATAGACTAGTACTCATGCATACAATATAAATTCAACGTTATGAGTGCTAATATTTTGGTGTTCTTTGCTGTAAAAACAACGAATTTCTAAGAAATGAAATTTGCATCGCAGGCTGGCTACGCGCCACTAAAATTCGGCAAATAATTTTTTACCTAGATTTTAAATGTATGCATTAATTGTGTTATAAACTGACAGTAGGATAATGTAAGAATTAAGTTAGCACAATAATTACTGATATATTTATACTACCTGAAAGTGAAGGGCTATGTTGTTAAAGTCGTTGGGCTGACTTCGATCCTCCGCTTGATTGCAGATCGAATCTGTAACCAAATCAATGCGAATAAAAATATATTCATTGCCTAACGCATGGTCGACAACATATAATTCACACTGTATATTTCTTAAGCGGTTCTATATATTAATGTAAGCGTAAGCGTATAGGTGATTGTTGCCCATCACTGTATTTTGTAACAGCCCGTTGAAATATAACCGTCTGGAGATGGCACCGTCTAAATTGTGGTGATATGGTTGGCAACCATATGCTTTTCTATTCGTGTTTTAATATTTGAAAGTTAATTTTAATTGTTCAACACAGTTTGTTGGACACTATCGACGGAATCTCGTGATATTATTATGTGTTCACAACTAGAGAACGTCTTGAAAATACATAGTTTATTATATATTTAATCCAGCCATCTGATCGGCTCATTGAAACATAAAGAAAAAGGTTGAAAGCTCATGCACTCACCTCGCGATTACAAATCCCGTATATGAGAAAGATAAGAAAGCCCTATAAATAAAGTTTAATTACTTTAAATTACATTTAAAAATTTGCTTGCATAAAATTCAAAGCTAGGCAAACGTCTTGGGGTTCGTTCCCTCGCATTTTGAAAAAGATATTTCGGATAACATTGGACGCAAAGGGTTTTTAGGTCAGACATATGGTTGAACACGCGTCAAGTCACATTTTGAATTTTCATTTACCTGTGTCGATGTCGATATCACGAATAGGTATTTCCAGATCATGGCTTCATGGTTGAAAGCGATGACACTGAATGCCCACGAGAGACCAAGAGTTGGGAAAAGAATGATTATGCCTCGCGCGGCAGAACTGAAATAAACGTTTAACTGCATGGTCACATTTGAAATAGCCCGTAACACTCGTGACATGCACTATGCTTCAGAAAAATAACATTTCGAAAATTTAGAAAAAGGCTTGTATTGGAAAACTTTTAAAAGGCACATTTTCCCAGGCTTAAGGGAAATGAAAAATTGTATACTTACACAATGTATTTCATATTACTGCTTTGAGCCTTTGCAGCATGAAATAAAACATGAGCCACAGCAATCAAGACGACCAATGTTACCTGAAACAATGAAATTGTTTTGTAAATAGACCATTTCAGCTTGCATACAAATCAACCATATCGGATGTTGTGACCATGAATTAAATAGCCAATAAACTTAACCAGTTCAGACCATATTTCAGATCCGGAATGGGTTAATTTCCTTTCAAGCTGAAAAGGTCTATTTATGATTATAATATATAGCTACATTAACAAATTGCTGAATTTTGCTGAAAACATTAAGATTACCAAAAGATCTGTATGTATGTTTATCTCGAAATATAGAAAGCTTCCTACCGTTGTTACGATGACTACTGGTGCAAAAAACACCCAAAAGAATCCTTCTTTGTAAGACAACCAGCACCTGAGAGGTTGCGAAACGATCAAAGAGTAATTTTTAAACGGATATTAAATTTGTATCAAGCACGTTTAGCTAAAATCATCTCTCTTGAATGAGTCAACTTGAATATTATGCACTGAATATGTAGTTGTAAACAGTATACTTGTATGAAGGTTTAAAACATTTAGTTAGCTTGTTGAATAAAACGATAGACTTGCTTCCTATTTTAAACTTAACCACCGTTTAAGCTAAACGGGCTTGATACAACTGGCCCATGATAAATAACACTATAATACATTGTTACTGTTTGTATAATTATACATAAATATGCTGAAAGTCACACATTTTACTGGCGGGGATTGTATAAATTTTATATAGTTGATTTCGACTCGTATAAATGTTTTGTTAGAATAATAATTTATATGCATGCTTGCTTGTAATTAAAAGGAACGAGATAAAACTGATTTATTCCTGGATCAGTTATAGGTTTTTGGAATCAAAGACGTAGCAAATATAAATCTGTTTTCTGATTGCGAGAAAGCTGGTCCAATACGGCTGGATGCAGTGATTAAAACTGCATCAAACATTAGGAAAAACCGAGCAAGAAAATAACAATCGAGAAAATCATCAACACAGAAAAGCAGCGGGAATAATGGGCTTCGCGAAAATGCATCATAACTACATGTAGCTATGAATACAAACCATTTCTCAGAACCATAAGCATTAATCTTCAAACCAGAAGAAAAACCAACGAAAATCAAAGGAAATCCTACAATTATAAAATCGGAGAAGACTTTCAATTTTAATGTCCCATAAGCGGAAACATAGTATAGGTCCACTTGATATTTTAGACGAATCCCTAGAAAATTCTTAATTTGATCTAATGGCTTCTTTGTCGCGTACTTCCACCGAATTGGATTAAAATCACAAAACAAGACAAATTTTCTATTAATATCCGAACTGCTATTTGGCGACGCCCGAAATTGTGCCTATAGTTATAGATATATATTGATTTGCGCAGAACGGAGTTTATAGCATGTTTAACATTTAGCTATAGTGTTAAATTGATGTTTCGAAGTGCATAATACAGCCAATAGGTCATCTTCAAGAAAAAGCGCATTTTTACTCACCCCAACCAAAAGCATAAAAATTTCTCATTCTAACGAATTCTCCACCGTACACAGAGATGAGTTTCAAATACAACATGGCCGCCTCAAGAAGGATCCAACAAAATGATGCCAGTGAAACATAATGCAGTAAGATTGCAACGACCTTGCAGGCAATCTAAAATACATCATTTCATAATTCAAATGGTTCTCAATCGCGACATCTCAGATATAACCAAACCATTCTATATTTTAGCATTACCCATGAAGATATGGTAGGAAACATGGACGAATTTCGTTTTAAACTAATCGGCGCATTTGTTTATATTTTTTAGGCTAAGCCAATTAGAATGCCTCAAATTGTGACACTTCATGTTAAGTGGTAAGTAATGTATCTTTTCACCGGAAGTAGCAAAAAATCATGCATTCTGGTTGGGTTACAGAGAATGCAAACAAACTTGATGATTGGTCTAAAGCGAAATTCTCCCTTGTTATGTCATGGAAAATTACCAACCTCATCATGTGTAGCACTGCCTCCTGCGAGAAAAACAATCTGGGTCAGTCCCAGCGCGATCTGCAAGTTCAAATGTACCAAGTGTCGACTGGTCGTCAAAATCTGCAAATCTTTGCTAAAATTGAAACAATAGTAAATATAATACAGCTTTTGTATTCGCAAGTATTCTTGAAATCCTACCTTAATCGGGCACACCGGTTGATAGAGCTTTTAGCTTCACAGAGTAAAGGCAAATGACATGCAAAGTTCAATCTTGACCTTGTGTCTTTCTTCTTTATACATGTTTTCTTACGCTACATTGTGATCTCTTGCCCAATGCGTGTAAATGCGATTCAGTTTAAAGAACACTGACTTTCGCGTGAAAAGCAAATCATTTATAAGCGTTAATATGATTACTTTATTTTTCAACAACGTCATAATTCGCGCTGTTGTACGAAATCTTGCATATGAAAACCACTTTACTTTTGGGAGTCAAACTAGCTTAACACATATGGTTAATTTTTTGTCGTGACCATGGGTCATAGTATAGTGTAAACAGCGCCTTATCTTCGTTTTCCTTCAAAGGGTAATGGTTAGGATAGCAAATGTTTATTAGTGTAATAGACTTGGTATATTTATTTCGATCTCTGACGGTCAAATTTTTTAATGCCTTTAATAGCCACAAAATTTGACCCACTCCGGAAGCAACGCGGTATAGTGTAAACAAGGACTTAAATCGAATAAACGACTGTGCTCTGCAGGGTGTCCCAAAAAAGTCCTCTCTATCGAAATTTCGAATCTGATTGCCTTACATTATGATAAACCCAATTGAAATCAAGACGCTTTACTGATTTGAATGCTTCAACCTAATAAATATGCTATTTACACACTATATTGCGTTGATCTGATGCATTCAAATTCCAGCAAAAGCTTCTTTTCAATAAGGGTGATTTTTTAAGTTTTTTTGGGGATACCCTGTACCACAGCATAGTTAAGGTGCTAAACACCCCCAGACCCATGCAGTACAAACAGACACTTACTGTAGAATGATGTAGATAAGGCATGTCAAAACCAGACCAACCAGCGACAATCCTGAGCCAATATAACTGATGAACTTTAAAGCATCTTTATCAGCTTCACTTGCCTAACAGTATGAAAATTGTATGAGTTATGTCACAAACATACTAAAGCTTTGACTTCAAGACTGATTTTGATAGAATTTGGAAGACATAGCATAGATTTCGTGAAATATATAGCAAACTATAGACGTTCCAATGCAATATGCTATATGTAAACGTGAGGAAATGTGCAATGTCCATGTTGCCATATTTCGCATGTGCCGAATACAACGTAGAATACATTCAATACCTTTAATGGGGTCAGGGCTGGTAAATTACTGAATAAATAAGCCAAACAAATATAAATAAATTAAATATTGTGTTTACTTGTGTTCGCTTGTGGCCGCTCGTGCTCGCTTATAGCAAAGTTATTCTTACTCTGAAATAGTGAAGCAATTCCTTTAGACTTTTAGTTCAAAGTACCTCTGAATCAAGAACAACCATTGCAAAGCTAGAAAAATGACTCGTTACACATTCAACAACGTCGTTGCCCTTCGAGGCATTAACTTTCATTCCTGTCGTATTCCAAAGAAGTCCATCCAAGAACATACACCTGACCTACAGACGAAGACAAATTAAAAACGACTTGATATTTAAACATGAATATTTTATATATTTGAAAGGTAAATAAACATATGAAATAAAAAGTTGATCAGCTTGAAAGATTATCGAGAATCATGAGAGAAAATGAAAGTTTCCCTAAAATTTGTCAAGTTCATGGGACGGAGAACTCACCGCCTGAGAAATATTGCTCTGCCGCTAAACACATTTGCTTTGTTAAAAGGAGCAGTGGATTCAATAAATAGTTCCATATTATTGCAAACAAAAACAATTTTCTTGACACATGTACATACCTGACTTCCTGTTACCACTTTTCCACTTCAAAATTTAGCGATACTTGCTCGCCTTCGTCTAACTTGTTGAGCAATTGTCCATCAACGAGGTAATCCACCGACATTGTATCCGCTTGTTGCGCTGCAGAGTTGTTCCTGAAGATGAAAAGCGACAGTAGAGAAACTAATTAATCATTTAACAAAATTAACGGATTATCACATCTCCCAAATCAAATTTCCTCGTATGTTTTATTGTTTTAGACATGGAAACATTGTGGGAGGGAGAGGATCACGTAGGTCCTTCTAAAAAAACAAAAAAGGGGTATTCAAACACTTTTAGACAGCCTACTATATAAACAAAGATTCATGATAGAAATATAGGAAGAAAACTTCTTTCTTTTTTTCAAATCTCAGTAATCTATGACCAAGTTCTTTTCGATATAAAAACGAGCACCAAACAAGTTGATAAACACAAGGGAATGAGATTTTATGTAGCTACAAGTAATTTGTTGAAAAACATGAAATGCATAAATAAGCACAACGTACGTGATACTTTGGCTGAATACTTACGGCGATTTTGATAAACTGATCGTGATGTTACTTATTTCCATTATCACTCCTTTGACAATACCTGTCAGTTGAATGAAAAACACGGTTTGGATAATGTAGCGCAGTTCACAATTTTTTTACAAAGTTTTTTATCAACCGAGAATATTGGAATTTTAGATGTAAACCTATGTTTCTACGATATAAGCCCGACTGAATTTATTGGAACAGTATAGTTGAAAGGTGTGCTTATAAATCTGTGTAGTCTAAAACGGGTTTAAAATAGCTAGTAACTTTCATGATTATATATAAATAGAAAACATATAATTTTCATCCCTAAACTGTTATGTAGCATGTAACTTATGGAGTTTAACAAAACCAAGATGGCTGAAAATCCTCCGTGGAAGTGAGGTCATTACGTATCAACTAAAGGATTACGAGGAATCTTACATGATGATCGATTTTGGCACATCATCGCGATGGATTTAGTTGGAACAGAGGTGGCATTCGATCTTTGATACTGTAGATCTATGAATTTACTCGTAAAAACATCTAATTCTAAAAAATTGAGAAAGAAAAACAATTATGATATTTTTAAGAAACATAGCGAGAAGCTATAAGCCGAGTTATAAGCGTAAGATAATTTAGAGGTACATACATACAAGCCAAATTAAAACATCTCATGCTATTGTCGGGTTGACCTTATTTTGTGTTTTTACTTCAATACCTTCAAGTCACTTTTCGCTTCGTTAAATTTCGGCTAAGCGAGATCATCTAAACAGCCCTTAGATGTCATGAACTTAAAGATCATACCGTCTTTGCATAAGTGATAATTTTTACTTAATAAATAACTAGATTTAAAATATTTTAATTTGGGGTGCATGTAATTACTTTTTTATATACCTAAACCACAGCTAGGCAGCCCGCTAACTGGCCCACACGCCGTAGTATGTATTTTTTGTATATTGTTTCATTAGGTTATCAAGGTTGAGTATTCCATATTCTGGTATATTCGATCATGACTAATTTTTTCTTATACTAATGTAGAGTAACCATAATAATTATGGTATATTCGACTTTGGTAAGAAAAATATTAGTCATGGTCGAATATCCCATATTCCGGCATAATCGACCATGACTAATTTTCTTACCAAGGTCGAGTATACCATATTCCGGTACTCTACATACTAATGTAGAGTAACCATAATAATTATGGTATATTCGACTTTGGTAAGAAAAATATTAGTCATGGTCGAATATCCCATATTCCGGCATAATCGACCATGACTAATTCTCTTACCAAGGTCGAGTATACCATATTCCGGTATATGACTAATATTTTCTCGTGTTCCTCAACTAGCCAATCATATTGCGTATTCGCTATGACGTAGAGCAGGATAATGGGATCCTGACGACTTTTCACAAAATTAAATAAAAAGTGTTATTATTTTCGAAAATTTGTCATATTTGCAATGGCTTTTAAAACGAAAAATGTTTGGCAAATGTTTTAAGTAAGTTCCCACATAGATTTAGTTTTTTGTGTATATTTTTGAATTTAAGTACGCGACTATATTCATGTGTAAGTTTGTTTACAGTTCTTAAATTTGAAAATTTGAGTTTCCCACCCTATGAAGAAATATAAATTTAATAATACATCCTACGGTGTTCGGGCCTGTTGCGTGATACCTGTGCCTAAACCAGACTAAAGGCTACATTAAAATTTGTGGGCTTTCAAATAAAGAATATATCAGTTAGAGGCCTTACCAATATTGCGTTCCACCATAGTAAACGTATAAATAAAGGTACTAGAGTTCACTATTTCAACAATTTTTCTTTGGGCTGAAGAAATTAACTCCTCAACACTTTGTTTCTTTTCCTTTGTTTCTTCTTTACAATTCTCCCGCTGACAGTCAATCGACTCACTTAATGATGTCAATAGTTTTGACTGAAACGATATGCAAACAATTTCTTATCGTTGCTTCGAACATTTTCGATTTCAATTCGCAATATATGGCTTTAAAAGAATTCAACTTCCAAGACGGAAGTTGAAGGGATGCAATAAGCATACTTACCATTTCTTCTTGATGAGCAGATTCCTCACCCGGTGATGTCGAAGGCTCTGTTGAAAACTGTAAACACAAGATTGGGACTACTTGAGTGTCTAAATATTAATATAACATCATTTATATAATAATAAAGCATGTAACTCGAGAAAGATCAAATTGCTTCTTTCTCCTCGTCTGTTCGTCTGTCGGTTTTCTTTTGTTTTCACTGAGGTTGGATGTGAATAATTTACTCTCGAAATTTTACACATTTCCTTTACAATTGAGAACAGTCAATGGTTCACTTGCATTATAGACCAAGTTTTGATCGAGGCGACCAAAATCGAAATTCCGAAAAGGGAAACTAAACTTAGTAAAATTTCCAAGTTTGGCTGCGAAATATTATAAAGTACCAAAGATACAGCCAATTAAACGAAGTTTGTATACTTTTGTACTATGGCATCGCGGAAGAGCGTAACTATAAACTATGCTGTCCAAATTCAAAGATGGAAGTTGTAGGAATCCAATAAGCATAGTACTTCCCACTTCTTCTTGATGAGCAGATTCCTTACCCGGTGATGTCGAGGGCCCTGTAAAAAACTGTAAACACGAGATTGGGACTATACTTGAGTGCCTAAATATCAATATAATATCATTTATATATAAAGCGTACGTGTGTAGCACGAAAAAGATCGAAGCAGTTCGCACTTTTGTCTGTTATTTACTTCCTTCTCCTCGTCTGTTCGTCTGTCTGTTTTCTTTTGTTTTCACTGAGGTTGGATATGAGTAATTTACTCTCGAAATTTTCCTTTAAAATTGAGAACAACTAATGGTCCACACTTGCATAATAGCCAACTTTTGCTTTAGGCGACCAAAAAGGAAACTTCCGAAAAGGGCAAACTAAACTTTCCAAGTTTGGCTGCGAAATATTATAAAGTATACCAAAGATACAGCGAAGAGAAATTCGCAAATTTTGTATACTTTTGTATTATGGCCGCGTGGAAAAGTGTAACTAAACTATGCTGTCCAAATTCAAAAGGCAATACTAACCTTTTTCTTACAGATAAAAGGGCGAGAAGCTGAACATTGAGATTGCTCCCAAATGCGATGTTCTGGACGTACATAAGCGCACCCAGTCCTTCTTTCTTTTTTAATGTCTTGTAGTCTTGCGGCTAGCCCCCAGTTATAGGAAACATTCAATAGACTGCCATTAGGCCACTTCCAGCCTTCGAGCGGATCCTGGGGTAAGAAGGATTTATAATCGTTCACCCAGCATCTCCCAGACAAGCCCGTCCTGTTATAATAATTAAAGAGGTGGACCATGTTCGACGGTAAAAGTTCACCACCCTGCCCTAGGCAGAACATATAAGCTGTAAGCCATCGCATGTGGACCTTTGTGAACACTCGAACACATTTTTTCCCCGTCTCCGTGATTCTTACTTCCCACGACGGCCCACAGGACTGTGAATCTGCAATTTTTTTGGGATATCCTTAGTAATGCAACCTTCTCAGTACACAATTTGAACGCATCACAAACTAATCGAGAATGCATGAAAAAAAAATTAATTGAGTATTATATAAGTTAGTCAATTTTGGCTGTATCTTCCTAGCGGTTATTTTAATCATATGAAATTGCTTCGAGAAATCAACAAGCAGACTAAATACAGCATACAGATCATTCAATTACCGTTACTTTCATTCTTGGCATCTTTCACGCAAACTGGATGGTGGCGAGAGTCACAGTCTCCTTGCCGGATTCGTGATATTTCGGGTGCTGAGCAAGGAAAACTAGAACATTCTCTCACGCGAAACTCCGTCATATTTGTCTGTGTACTAATGACCGTAGTGATGCAACTTTTCTCACTGGAATTTATCTTTTTTAGCCCGATCAGGTAGTTTTCGTTGAATTTAATGGAACCGTTATCATATAGTTTATCCAACGTTTCCCGAAATTGAAGGGTTGATGGAAATAACGAGCTGTTGTTGCCATACTTTCTTTTACATTTTAACACAGCGTCTTCCCATGTAGACAATTTACTTTGTTTGTCTTGATACACTAAATTTTTTAACACTTTTAAGTAGCTAATTTTTACAACACGAGCGGCCGTGTTGCATTGATTGCATATTCAATAAAACACGGCCGCGAGTGTTGTAAATATAACTTAAATTTGGTAAAAAATTGACCGGTGAAATGAAGTGTAATGAATAAGATTCGAAAGATATGATTAATAGCTATGCAAATATATATATATATATATAACTAATTTGCATATACAGCGTGTATTCTAGGCAGTATTCTTCGATAAACTTTATTCTATTTCCTAAGGGCTGTTTTAAGCTTTTATACGTGCGTGTACGTTCGTGCAAAAAACGCGACAGTGGAAAGCAGCCCTCGTGTCATATTTAAAAAAGCCAGGTGAATAAATCGAAAGAACTTAGTTTCCCCATATTTTAGTATGCATTTGTTGACCCATGTATTAGATAATAAAAAATTGGAAGCATTTAAAATCAAGTTTTACGTGCATAAGTGGAAAACGCGTAAGTAGAAGAAAGCAGCTTTAATGACGACTAAAAATCATCCGAAACGCAGATAAATAAAGTAAAATGTACTATACTATTCGATTTTGCAGTACTTCGCAAACCTTTAAATTTCACTTATACGCAGTGGGATAGTGGAACCGATTTTTAAGCTATCTGGCGTGCCGTCGCGAAAGGTTTACTCCCTGAAATGTATACCTGATGGCGAGTCTCCATCGCAAATAAATAAGTAGTTGAAACATCGGTTTAAATGGAGAGTTCGATTTCGCACGAAGCCACATCCCGGACACCCATAGTTTAATACCACGATCTTTTCTTTGCCCCATTGTAGCGGCTCATCGTTTGCCCATTGCCAACCCAGGATGGGCTTTGGCAGCCGTCTTTCTGCTACACCAATCCAATATTGTTTCTTAGTCATCGTTGCGCCACTAGAATTCCCGTGTACGCTCTCCACATACATTTCACTCTGTTTTGCCAGACAGTGAGAGAATGCCGCAAACCAGGTCATTAGGGAATAAACATTAAGATGGCAATATTCATCATTCATCTCCCAGCCCTCGTCACAACTCTCTAATGAGAGAATTTGGAGTTTTTACATGCAGGATTTACAGGCTATTTATATTTATAAAGCGTTTTTTCAAAGAAGTCAGAATCTTTAAGTTTAGCAACTTTTCGAAGAGTTTTACGGAGTTAATCTCACCTTCATATTTTCGTTTTACACATATGGATGGAAGAAACCTGTCGCAGTTACCACGCTTCCTGATACCTTTGGCATCGTGGTCGCCAAAATAACACCAAGGCCACACCTCGCGCTCTAAATACTCGTCCGTATTATTTGCCGGAATTAATTCCGAGGCGGTCTTTTTAAGGCCGATCCAAAGCTTGCCTGTAAAATTTGTGAGATAAAGCATATCCTCTTCGTCTGCAAAATCCAGCAAACTTGCATTATGCATCGAGCATGTGGCATTGGCCTTCTCCCAACTAAGTTTTAAGTCGCTGTATGTATAATTTATCCCATATTCCACCTTTTCTGTAAAAAAATGAATCACAAATTGGAAAACGAAAGAGAAGAATTAGCAACTCCTCCTCCTGTAAACGCTCACCTACACCACCGTGCCTACACCCTAACTCATTGAGTGGGATATCTCAATCTTGTAATAACGTTTCTATGACGATATTTGCACTGGAAAAAGTGCTTCATTTTCAATGTTTTACCTTTAAATGTAAGTGAGCAACAAGGGGAAACTATTCACGGCGATATCACGGCCATATTTCGCAACCAAAATTTCCAATCTTTTTAAATTTAGGAAGCTAAGCGCTCTTTCCAGCTGTACTGATAAATTTGACTAGTTTTGAAATTAATCTAAAGGGAGCATTCTAATATTAGCGTCATAGCGCGGTCACTATAGCCTTATCTTACCTTTATTCGTTCCTGACCCAGATTGCCCTTCCGCCAGAACTCCATTGGCATTGCATCCGATCTGTGGAAATATTAAAACACGGTGACCCTACGCAGTCGAGTAATGCTAAACGTGTGGTATTCATTCAGTTTGGTGGGACTTTTTTTACTCGGTTTCACTTGCGTTTGAGCTTGGAATTGAAAACTCTCAAGATCTTGTCTCGGAAAGTGACAAATGAAAAATCTTCGAGACATGTGTTTCATTTTTTTTCGGATTGATCACAGTAGGAATTTTCAAAAGAAATCATAAGTTTCAAAACTTTCGCTTTAATTGTTTGAAGAAACTAAGGGACTTTTCACATGAGACCGGTTACCCGGAAAATTTAACGAAGCGAAAAATGACTTTGAGGTATTGAAATGAGTGAATAACATGATCCTGGTAGTTGTGTAGTCATCCTAACAATAGCATGTGTTTGTTTGGTTTCAGGAAGACTAATTTTAATACCTCAAAATCATCTCATCCTTAGTTAAATCTCGGGATAACCGGGGCTCATATGAACAGCCCCTAAGTGACTAAACCATTTCATTTTAATATCCGTTGAAACCTAGAATTCACGAATACAAAATTCCAACCATATTCCTAGAAACATGGACATGCCCATGAACAATTATCTGAAACTTATTTCCCTTAACTACAATTTCATAACTAAGAGAAAATCTCTCCATAAAGTCCAGTATTTTTTGAGATTTTTATTTCAATTAGAAAGATCCTGCATAATTCGATATATTACCCTGTGTACACACATTTAAACTGCAACTCTTATGATTATTACACATTTACTCCGCGCTAAATCTAACACAGAATGACACTTACCAAATAACTATGGGACAAGACACTAAGCAATCCAAAAAAGTAATTCAATCCACAGTACTCGCGATAAAGGTCCATAGCTGAGTCCCAACGTTATTGTATGTATATAGTTGAAATCAAATGTATTATTCGGCTGTGATCTTTATGAATACAGCTTTACAAATACCCGTTCTCATTTACGTGTGCAAAAGCAATAGGAAGCGTATTTGCATGTCTAATTTAAAAACCAGATGGGCAATTACATTCAAAGTTTTTACAAATGTGCAATGTCAAGCAAGCGTGATATCGATTGATAAGTATATTTTGTAAAATACAATCAACGAAATGTTTAAATGTCAGTTTGAGCTTACGAATTACTTGATATTTTCGGGAACGCTTCTATATCCGCGACTGTAAGATAGAGTTGTACAACACAATACATGCATCTATAAGCTCTTAAAATGCAAAATATATTGATGTTTATCGAAATTACCCGCCGGTAACTAATAAGATTAAGGCTAACTTATTAATGTCCACGTCTTACTCACGAATGTGAGGCTAAAATGTGTTTTCATGCTGACAATTTCTGAATGATGATTTCGTGCGAAGGTCGCTATATGACGTTTTTTTCTCTTTAAAACTTCGAGCACTTTGTGATAACAAATTATCAACATTGTTACCATTTGCATCAAGCGAAAAGTATATTATATTAAGAAATAGAAAACATTTTCCGTGTTTCTATACAGTTATAGAAACATGCGTGGGAGTTTGGGAGAACGTGAAATAAACAGTAGGAAAACGATCCCGTAAGGCGAGTCTTTCCACGTCATTTCGAGTTCTCCCAAACTCCCATGTAAACTTCTATAACTATAGAAACACAGGGAAAAATGTTCTCTTTTTCTTTCATAATATAACACAGTGAAAAGATTTTGTAAAAATATTATAATTCGATTCAATTACAAATTCTCATTACATTGTTTCGCTTGTCAAGTTCGGCGGGAAAATTCCCGTGTTTCTATACAGTTGCAGAAACCCGCTTCACAACCAATCAGCACGCGCGTACTATAAATGTTATATTATAAATACATTTTTCAAGAATGACGCTTAACGCATGCAATATTATCAAACAAAGTCGTGTTAACTTGACATTGAATGTCGTAAAATGATATGCAAGTACCTTTTCATAGGCGTCCCTCACAGGGAGACCAAAAATTTTATTGCATTATCAGTGAAAACCTTATTGCATGAGAAATGCATCTAAATTACCTCACAATCGGAGTCAAGCGAACTATTAATATACAGACAATCATCGATTATTATATGGCCCATCTTTGCCCATGCAAAATACACATCGACCTTTTTTACTAAATAATAAAAATTTGTTTATCCAATTACAAGTATAAACTTTTTAGCTATAAAATAATTGTGTTAATCAAATTCTCCCAAAGCGAGTTTGCACTGAGCTGAAGAGACGTGATATTGTTTTGGGAATTAATGAAAATGTCAAAGAAATTGGCGACAAAATGGCGTCAGTCAAGCTAATATGTGCATTATTAAGAAACCTTGAAAATAACTTTATAAGACTTGGAACATCCGTAAATTCAAAGTGGAAAAAAGGATGATTTATTAAAGATAGAATATCCCGTCAGATGTGCGGACTGTACTGTGTAAGATAGGAGAATCGATCCATATCAAACGATTGAACTGATGCCCGATAACAACAGATATTTACATATATAATTTCATATCTAAAGGCCCACACATTGGACGCGATTTACGCGACGCGAAATTTCCATTTCAGAAGCTACTAAATTAAATTCGAAAGAACATTTTGAGAGATATGGGTTGCTGAAAAGTCGAAATGTACCACACTTCAGTCCATAGCAAGAATATCACAACACTGTCAAAATTAGCATATTTTAAAAACTGAAATATTCTTAAAAATCGTCGCGTGGGCAAATCGCGTCCGGTGTGTCGGCCCTTACACTGAAAAACGGTTTATAAACTTATGAACACCTTATGTGACGTAAAAAACAAAAATACTGCTGTTTGCTTGTTGCTAGGCAAACGCCATCAATTACATGTAAGGAGAATTTCAACATTGATATGTTCAAAGAAATTGCCACTCTTGTAACGTTCTTTTTACATTATACAAACGAGTTCGTCGAGCTCTAATGTTTTCGGGAAATGTTGTTAGAACGCTCGAGATGCGTGGATTTGCCTCGTGTTTTGCGCGGTTTTCTTGTATTTTAACAAGTGATGCGTTATCCCAACCCTAGTGATGCATTATCACACTATGATGAAACTACCAACGAGCCAGTCGTATTTGTTTCATAAACATTACACTTACCAAATGACAGATAAAAAGACCAAGCGCGCCAAAGTACGAAAGATCGAAAACCATACGCATAGTTGACTTCGAATGTCAAAACCCAAACTTAGCTACTCCATGCGGCAAAGCTCCGCCAAGTTCGCGATCAATGTATGCACAGCTTCGCAAGCTGGATGCCTTTAATATGCCAATTTAAAACTTTGTACTCAGAAGCAGCCAATACGATGGGCGATTTCAAGGGTAATTTTAAAACCGGATGGCCGCGACAAATTTAACTATTGGCAAGAATTAGCAAATTTGGCCTAAATTTAAAGACAGCGTCTTACGCTAATGGTTTTTAGAAAAAATTACCCCCCAAAATGGCAGCAGGTATATTCGTCATTATGAGAAAGGCTAATTAGCTTTGCAGCGTTGCGGATGTAAATATCCGGGGAGACAAGCACCCCACCACAGGTACTTCGTACCGTTGCTCAGGGGAAATTGTTTTACTTAAAGAGCAAGGCAATCCCAGCACAAATTCATACAGAATCCTTCTATACGGACCTCTCGCTAAGTGAAAAATATACTGTCATTCATGACCGTGGTGGAGCATGAATCATAATAATTTCTATTCTAACAATAGAAATCATTGAAGAGAAATCCATTCAAGGTTTCATGGCTAGAGGCTGATGTCAAAACGTGCTCTGTTGGTTTTCTAGCTAGTCTATTTAGAAGTTTCTTCTCAATCCTTTTAAAATATTGATGAAAAACTAGACGTTCCAAACAGGTTGTCCCATGATGGAGGTTGTCGCCATTCAACTACATAATTGAAAATATAACACTATCTACAATCCACGAGGTACGTGTTCCATGAAAAAATATCAACTCCTTAAAATTATAACGAGAAACCTTTGCTTAGAAAGTCTAAGCAAAAGCAATTAAGCAAGCGCGCAAATATATATCTCAAACATATCTCAACTATCGGCTTGTATTAAGTACCCATGAAAAGATGGCAAAAATTAACAGGAGTCATAATATTTTGCCCCCCCCCCACTGGCACATTACTAAAATAGGGCAGATTACTGTAGGAGGTTCATAATTAGATTATGGCATATAATCTTACCTTTAGATCTGAGTGAATTATCAACATTACCGTTCTAAAAAGTAGAAAATTGTGTAATTCACAAAATGGCCAAGGCGCTGGTTTATAGAAAAGTTAACTATATAGTTAGCTCCTTTTTATAACTTTGACATATTGGCCAATCAGAGTCGATTATATTTGCGTTACCTAAGATTTAACTATGCAATGTAGTAACGAGTTTATACAACCACAAACCTTCACCTATATCATTGACATTGTGACAATCTAAATCAATGAATACCTTTTCGACAATTTTTAACCAGGTATTGACGAAATACATAAGAATCATCGCGTCAGGGATATTGTCTCCTTCAGAACAGAACACGAGCATAGTAACCAAGGGTATATTTTCCTTACAACTAAATGTAGAAAAACGACTAGTTCAGCGACTTGTAAGATTATTGTCTCGACCTTTGAGATTATATAAATGAGACTTGATGGAGCGTCGAGGATAGATCTGTAGAAATCAGACTAGAATCACTGGAGTGGTTATCAATTCTACTGCAACGACCAGACGAAGAGCTTTTCTTCATTTAGGTATTATTCCCGTGATTAGAAATCATGGGCTTTGACTAATCAGAACACACTTTATATACATGGTATTTTATAAAAACAATTACCATGTTTGATAAAATCGTTTCGATACTCCTCCACCAGGTAGGAACGATTCAGTGCTCCCACCCTTAACTGAAATCAAAAAGCAGTAAACTTTTGTCCGACATCCTTCACATTTAGCAGAATCAGTAGCGTAGCCAGCCTGTCGATTTGTCCCGCTATGCTAATATTTTAGTGTTCACTGACTGTGAAAACAATAGATTTCTAAAGGCATGAATAATTATAATAACTCCAAATTTACATAGCGGGACAAAATCGTCAGGCTGGCTACGCCACTGAGCAGAATGTATACGCCTGTCAGTCAGAAAATATATACATGTACAAGGCAAGGCAAGGCAAGCCAAGCCGAGCAAAGTCAAGCCAAGCCAACCCCACCCAACCTCAACCAAACCCCACCCCACCCAAGCCAAGCCAAGCCAAGCCAACCACAGTTCAACGAGAAGCTTGCATGTATCAGAGAACATCTTTACCTCACAATAATATACTGACCGTTATCATTTCGTTCCTCCAGGGACCTCCACCCGAATTCCTGTTGGAATGTCTCGTTCAGATGTTGGGTGACAGGGTTGAGCAGATATCGGAAGGGACCGCTATATAACGAAAATGATACCCAATTCTGTTTTATTCGATGCCAAAACAACACTCGAAAAGAGTAGTTTGAAAGAGTGTTAGAATTTTTATAATATTGTACATAATTTGCACGTCAAACATGTTTAACTTTGACTTAACTTTACGTCGCATAATGTCACATGAACAGTACTTACCTCTGGATTTGTGAGTCCACTCTTTGGCTAGCAATACAACTTGTTAACAAAATAGTTTGTTTTAAGCAACATTTCTTAATCCACTCCACAATATGGTCGCAAAAGATTTGTCTGCATCCCTATACGAATTATTTTTAGTAAGGATATGGCTAAGGTTGTTATTTTCATAGCCCAACTTTAAACCTAAATTTTTCTTACTTCTAGTCCGAATTTGTCGACAATGTTGGTATCTTTATAATCGGAAAAGAACAAATTCTCAGAAAATACAAAAAACCCGAAATCGAAATTTTCATTGCATATACACTTTAACGGTTATAGAAATGACTGAAGTGTGTCAACTCAAACTAAAGATGTTATAGACTTTTGACTATTTACATATTTGGGGTCTAAATCATGTCACACTTAGCTTTCTGCACAATATTGGCACGGAATTATCAATTATTCTTTGGTAGTCGAAAGCTTCTTGCAATTTCTATTCTTAGAAACCATACATACAGTCTGATGTGGTGCAGAAATAGCATTTTATAAACAAGGGGAAAATTTGACCAATCGGCAAATTTGTTTACATTCTCAATAACCCAATCAAAAGGAACAATATTTATCGTTTTACTTTAAAAATTTAACCATTAAAAATTTAGGTATTCTGATCTGATTGGCTTAGCCGGTAAAATGTAAACAAATGGGACGAATACTGGTGATTAGTTCAAAACGAAGTTCTCCTTCCTTATACTGTGTTTTATGTAATTTACCTTCGCAAGAGGTGCTCTTAATTGTACAACCACTAGTTTCTTTTCGTCGCATTTGTAAACTGAAAAAAATCGAGTGATTGACCCATCAGGAAGTTCCCTTGAATATAAACGATGTACTTTCTCCCATCGGCCATCAAAAATATGAAAAACATTCAACATCGATAAGGTTGAGTATATATTGAACTTTCAGGCTAAAAAATTAATTTCTTCAAAAAATCAGTCTTGAATTTGACGTTTTAAAGGCCGCCATAAAAATAAAAAAAACGATTGACTTCCACAGGAAAAAAAGGGAAAAAATATGAACCAGGCTTAGGAATTTCTCTTCCTTATCCACAGCATAAATCATGCCAATGATATCACAATCAATTATACCTTCAGCACTTGTTACCAGGTTTCCCTCTTGGATTTTAGGTGATGCAAATGGATTATTACCAGCAACTGGCAATATGCTGCTGTCATAGAGATAACCAACTTTTTTTAACTCAACATTGTATATCAGCAGATCGACTGCAAGTTGTCCAACATTGCCAATGGAAATTGCTGGCTAGAAGATATTGTTATTCATAAATAAAGTTGCATATCACAAACAGCATATAATGCATAAGTTTAGTAATTATGTTAGATTGATCTGTGCAGCATGACCTTGAATTTTGCACTTGAATTTGCTGAATTGAAATTCAAAGTTTTATATGTTTAAGAAATATCTTCTCATGTATCTTATCAAAAGCAAAGAACAACTAAAGGTCATTACACACTTATCTTATTCATAATTAAAATATATAATGTACCACAGTACCAGCTAGACTGGTAATTTACAACACTTATATATGTCTGTAGCAATAATGGCTTCTTACAGATATTGGTGTGCAAAATGTATACAAAAAAATCTATATACAAATCTATACCCTACAAAATTACTGCAAGACCTTAATCAACTATCACCAATTAATATTGGATACCTCGAGAAATGTTTTCAAACCTCCCTTGGGAGGTGCGGGAGAAGGGAAGAGATTCAAGGGAAGGTATGTACAGGTAAGGGCCAAGGTGCATATATTATGTTCAGTGCTTATTATACAGTATGGATAAAAACAGGATGGGTAAGGGTTGCTCCATCATGATTATGATGGGACTTGCATTTTTTTCATATTTTCTCTTATTTTGTAAACCTAAGAAAACTGGGTAGTCATGGCTAAACCTCTAAAGACCCGAGGCCCTCGACGGGGGGGGGGATTAACATTACACGTGGGTGCCTGATCATGAAACTCTGGAATAACTTTGTGATAATTGTCACTTTGTTTACATTGCTTGACCAAATTTGTGCTTCATCATAAATGTTCACGAAGTAGTTCTAAGCTGTAAACTTCGCAAACTTACCAAAATTAAAGAATATCCCTCGAAAATCAGCTCTTCTTCACTCACACACGGAACAAACATAATTCAAGTCTCTCAATTATTCACATTCAACCCCCCCCCCTCCGAAAATAACATCACGAGCCCGCGAACTTTGAAACCAATATGGCGGAAATCGAAGTCGGAAAACAATGCTCAGTTTCTTCATGCAAACAGCTCGGTAATTTAACATCTTTGAGAAATTTTGTCGTAGGATTTTTTTGCTTTTTCAAATTATTTACCAAGACGGCCTTAAAATGATCAAACACTCGTTATTTTTGTAGATTTTTTGCCATTTACCTGCAACGACTGTTCAGCCATATTTTGGTAGGAAATTGATTGTACATAACCACTTATCACGATCGGCGACCGTTGAAATTCTTTTGTATACAACCGATAATATACCGTACAAAATCTCTCATGTGTCTCACGAATACCTTCATTTTGACCCGCCATGTTTTTATAGTGTAGTATTATAAAATGGAGTCATTGCATGAGTGGAGACACCACACACAATACACACAAAACAATAAACAAATACAAGTTTCAGGAGGGCTTTGTAATAACTTCCAAAATGGGTCTTTTTGGAAACAATAAGTCGAGGAGCTCGCATATTTGAAAATATTAAAAACGTTTTTCCAAAAACAAACGGCATCAATGTGACATTTTGCATATTACTTCATGTTACTGCAAACTAGAGCGACCAGTTGTTAAAAAAAATTTGAGATGTTTGAGAACTTTCGCCCTACCTACATTCAGCAAGACGCAAACTAATTTTTGCACCAACTGGGATAATTGCCTACAAAACTCCATGACCGTTTAATTGTTGATTGCAGAACTGATCCAACTAATCTGATAAATACGCGGTGACCCGTTTGTGCATTAGCAATTACGCAGCTAATTTGCGCACGTTAAAACTATACCAATTATCACGTCAAATCAGTATCTTAATAAACGAAGTTTCTTTATAAAAGATGTATCAACATCAATTCTTTGCTCATAATGTACCTCTTAAAATTTCCCCTGTTTCAAGACCATCAGTCATAAACTGATGATCACTTTCATCTTGTAGCCTTGAACATCGATCGACAACGTCTCATAACTGTCCGGGAAATGGAGAAGCACAGGTAAAAACGGCTTTGCTCGCAAGTCGCATTACGGCCCAGAAAAGAAAGAAAATTACTTTGTACATTTAAGCAACTTAAGTGATAAATTTACCCAACAAAAAGTAACTCGTCAGGAGAAGAATGAACTACCAGTCTACCATTCTTCTCCGAATGATCATTCTTCTCCGGTTCAAAATTTAATTGTTCTTCACTCATGCAGGAAACGAAGTCAAGCAGTCACGAACTATCCAGAGAAAAATCATCAACCGTCGAATGCTGTTTCGAAGGCTGCAGTGTCCGAGATTTGACGCCAGTTTTATGTGACCACTGTCGACGTGAATTCTGCCTAAGGTATTCCAACAGAATTTCAAACACTTTGCATTCAAATTCAGTCTAAATCGTAAACCCCTTTATCAACACTCTTCCTGTGTAAATTCACTTATTCAGGCATCGACACCAACCAGATCACTCCTGTCCGAAATACGAAGAACAAAAAAAATCCGCAAGCGAGGCCATGGCACCAAAGTGTAAGCTGCAACGCGTAAATTTGCAGTTTAATGTGTTTGCTTTTAAGTAAGCCAAAGTTACTTTCCTTTTTTCAGTGCGCATCGTGAAAAAAGAAAAAACTGGTTTGTACCTTAAAAAGAGTCTACAAAATTATAGCACGCATATAAGGACGTTCTAGATGGTGTCAGTGTTTATAAAATGTCTGTTTGGTGCAATTTAATAGGCCGTGGCGGTGCAAGGTCTGACAGTCGTGCTGCTAAAGTTGCTCTGATGAAAATGAAGCTTCACGCTGTTGGTGACGCATCCACCCCTCAGGTAAACAAAGTAGAATTTCGAGTCCTTAGTTGCGGGTTTTCAATCTCAAGTTTTGTATTGCAAATCCCGAGTGATGGATTATGAATCCTTACTTGTGGGCTCTAAATTCTGAATCAATGATTTCGAGTCCTTAGTTATGGATGACAAGCGTATAAGATATGAATTGCTAATTAATCCTAATACTTCGTAGTTATTTTCTTCTATATTTTTCAGGAGGAGCGAGTTTTCTTTTCTATTCTTTTACCAAAAGAGTCGATGGAACAAAAACCTAAACCAATGTTCTTTTCAAAGGTAAAATGGGTCATTCTATAAACACACGTTTATATTTGACACATGCGTGGCGCGTTGCACACTTATCGAAGGAACTTATGTGCATGAGGCATAATATATGGACCCCCAATAGACATTTATCTTTCCCCCACATCAACAACTGAGCAAGCTGTTGGAACTTTTCGTAACTTCGACTATCATATTGTATAATAATAGAAATGGAGTATTGGAAGAATTATTGATCAAATCGCTAAGACATATAAATTAAAGAACGAGAACAACCAACAAACATCTAAAGTAAGTAAAATGACTTAGGCCGATATCCTCTTTCTGTAACGGAGAACATATTTAGATTACATGCGCGTTTTTACTCCATTCTCCCAAAAAAGCTACATCGACTCTAAACGTGTTTACCTTGGCTAATATAATAACCTAGTCGGATATATTTTAATTTAGTAAACCTCTAGAATTCAACTACTTATTGGTAGCTAATAATTCCATGTTTAGAATCGACAATAGTTTTAGATCAGTTTACTAAGTGTTAGCGCAGCCATCAGGTTTAAGATTAAAGTTGGGATTTCCATTCGTGAATCGGGAGGCACGAAATTATTAACTGTTCATCAACAAGAACGCCATTTTAAATTCTTAATTAATTGTAGAAACTGAGGCTGTTCGAGAAGTCTTCCGAAAGACAATTAATTCTCGGAAATACTTTGGAAACAGAGATGAACGAAAATGCAGAAACATTGTTCAGTGGATCCGAGTTGATTTTGCGGTACATTTAGGAGGCTTGCCCATGTAACGAGAGAGGACTAGAAAACACCATTTGTCGAACAAGTTGTTTGTTGAAACGACATGGTTGTACTAGTTAACGTGATTGACCTGTGAAATACGGATCCCTGAAGTTAAGGATAGAGACCATAACCAGAGTTGTGTGTTTGCTCGCTTTATTGATTTATCTAGCTGTCATTTTTAAAATAAGAGCTCTACACTACAACGTTTGGTATATAAAGGATTTTTCACAATTCTACTACGCATGTTCTATTCAATTGGGCACACTGTAACTGTAAATACACGTTAATTAACTTATCAAATACTACATCATATAGAGAAATGTTTGTTTGTAGAGAATACACCACGGAAAAAATACTTTCATTCATAAAAGTTACTTTTGCTCGATAACCCCACGTACCATTATCAGAGCCACAAAAATCTCAATGCAATGTCGTCAACTTTATATTCAAATATTGAATGAGGTATAATATTAGACCGAAAGCCGTGCCTTTGTAATAACGCATTTACGTGGTGCAAATCCAAACAAACAAACATTCATATCATTCCAAATCTAAATAGCTATGAAATTGTACATGCAAATTCAGTTGTATTAAAACTAGAAATGTCAAGAACATGAGAATTTATTTCGTCCATTGATTACATAGTTGCAATGAATGTGTTTCTATATATTTGGGCTTGATCTTATATATTTAAAGACACTCGTCAACATTTTTCAAGGGGTGGAAGCTATTTCCACGCCCTAACTGGGGTCCGTTTGGTGAAAGCCAGCTACCTTAACTTTCTAAATCATAAACAGAATTCTTAATTTTCCACAACACTATTCCCATAATTTTCTTGCTAAAAAGAGGGGGGCAAAAGCGCTTTACCAACCCCCCCCCGTCCCCGCGGTCCCAGACCATTATGCCTCAAGAGGTTTGACACGAACAATCAATGCCAGAATACATACAGAAGAACAGCTGGGGGGAGGGAGGGAGTACTAATCGGACTTTGTACAAGCTGCCCCAAATGCATGACCTACTCACCTAGTTCTATTGATTAACTCTATCTCTTTGTACAATCATTAGGGCTAACAGCCATATCAACGATGGCAGATAACCAAATAGAATACGGCTTCACTGTGTATACAAACATTCCTAAATACAAATCTCTACATTCTATATATTGTACATTACATGTGTAAATATTAGCAATTACCAACCCGGCATTTTTATATAAAGACACTTAATTAACTCACGAAGTACATTTGTTCTCATTTTCACCAATTTCACTGCCTACAAATTTTCAAATTCCATACGAATCACGCGCAGCTCTGTATCAAGATTACAAAACCAAGACTGCTCGACACGATTCGTGAAAATTATCTTGGTACTATATTCCAATATTGTTATGTTGCCTCTAAATATTTTTTTTCATTCCTGAGCAAATCCTTCGGCTTCTTCGATGGCAAAAGTGAGCTTCTCAACCAATTGCTCGTAGCTTTTGTACGGGGGCAAATCGAGACGATTAAAGCTAATGACAAAATAACAGAATGGCTTTGTTACAAGCATGCTAAATACGGAGTTCGTAGGTAAAATCCGCGCCATTCCCTAACTAAAGAACAAGGGCGAGGAAACTCGTACTTAGATGTTCCAGGTGAGGTATAAAATAAAGATCCTCTTCTTTCAGATATGCTATTAAATAGGTTTCTTCAAAGACAATATACAATAACTATTACTCACCACGTATGACTCCTTGGTAGCCAGGTTTCTTTACCAACTCTTTCTATGCAGAATTTCTGAGGACCATTGCTCCCTATTAAACCGTGAAAAATTATTCATTGAAACGTTGTAGCTATGTCAATATATTTCTTCACCCCACTTATATAATTAGGATTGGATATACGTACCCATCAGTTCTGTGAAACCACCGACTGGCAGACGACATGTTCCGGTGACAAATTGAAGAAGACGAGTTCGCTGTTCGTTGTCAAACGATTTCACGGCCTACAATAGTTTCAAGTAGAGAATTATTCAACAATTTTAAGGTTGTCACGTCAAATGTGGCCAAAACGAGTTTCGAGACGAATGAAAACTTCTTCAGTGTCTGATGTTATACGCTCGGAATGATTTTGTTTCTAGGCTATGGCCGGAATATTTCCCCGTGTTTCCATACAGTTATACACACGTTTCCGGACCAATCAACGTTGGCGTACGGACCAATCAACGTTGGCATAAATGTTATGGTAAAATTTGTTATATGGTACAAAAACTAACCTGCCAGAACCAAATTACTTGTCTGCTGTTCCTTGTGTAATGGCGGTACACCGTGTTCCTCTGCCAATCATCCACATCAACCTCTTGCATTCCACACAACATCAACTGAAATCAACACAATCGCATTCATATCAACAGAGTTGGCTAATATCATTCGGATATTTTAAAAATATTACATCCTAAAAGTTAACAGACGGGCATATCAACAAGCAATTCGGCTGCAAAATCAAATTAGAGCCATACAGCTCTTAATGAAAGTTTTTTTCAGGCCGATCTTCACGATGCAATTAGTCGTATACGATGCGTGTAAAGATGTCACATTTTAAATTTCGTTGATAAACATAAAGAGTGGCGTCACTAATCTTTTTTATACGTCAGGATAAGAATCGTATACGCGATTAATCGCATCGTGTAAATCGGCCTTTAAAATACAATTATTGGATTAAATACTCATAGAATACGATTTTTGGGATCTGAATTTTCCACATGCAGGGGCAACAACATGCATATTGCTGTTATCTGCACAACCGGTAAAGGGCATATAGCAAACTCTTTGCGCTTGATACCTCTAATTCTCTTTCGTCGAAGTAAGCCAGCCAGTAAAGCGGTACAACATTGTTGAATCCTTCGAGGAATGCCTTAGTTTGCTCTTCGATACCACGATTGAGGCGCCATTCTGTCATTAGACTAAAAAGAAAACGTAAACATTTGACGCGCTTATTCGCAGTTGAAGAACAACGGCCGATATCGTTTACACTGTAAAGATATACAGTATAGTTGACACTAGGCCTTCGTTAATTGCAGTCATGGGTCTTATATTTGGGGGGAAAAACGCTGTGAAAGTACCGTATACCGTCGACAAATCTCAAGTATATATTCAGTCTACTTATAGTATGAAATCTTGAAATGCTCTCACCTCATATATTCTTCTTTATTTTCCTCCGTCACTGGAATATCAGCGCCACCCGGCTTCAGCTCGTGGGTGGAGATCTTTCCGAGAATTTCTTGGTCGGTACAGAAGAACATTTCCATGTCAATATCATCTATATTGTTCTCTCTGGGAAGAAAAAGTAATATTTTTAGATTGAGAAGTGTATCGCGCTCCAAAAAGCCGCATGCACAATTCAACTCATATTGACGGCTTATATTAAACTGTTTTCGTAACCAAAGATTTTATTATTATAAATTGAATCGAATGTTAATCAAAACCAAGTTTAAAAAGTACTTAGCGTATACTAATCTTAGTAATCTATATACACTTATAGTGCATGATCATGTGTATGATTAAGGTGAATTAAAAGTGATGGTGCTGCTCTGAATTGCCCACTAGGAAACACAGAATTTAATTTCTAGTTGGATCACAGAATATCAGCACGCGTCCCGAACTTTCTTTAACACCATAACGCTGTAACACGTAATTGACTGAACAGAACGATGGCAGACAATAATGCGTATAATGCGAGATGTGGGGACATGTCGCAGTGCTCGGAAGCTTTCGTCCAATTCGATAATGCTTTCTATGCTTTCTAAAGAACGAGGCTATGCTATTGGTTGAAACAGAAATGTATTGTAATGTTCAGCCAATGAAAATCATTTTTGCGTCAGATGTGTGGGGACAGAATGATTAACAAAATGGCTCACATGGCATAAGGGTGTATTTAAAGACTCCATATTCAACTTACTTTATCCAGACTAATGAATTGTAAAACTCCGGGTCAACCGTCTCTAAGTCTTTCATGACAAGCTTCTTGTTCAAAATTCGTTTGTAAAACGGCAGAGTGAAACCGCGGTCAATAAATTTCCCATGGAACAAGGCCTGTCGGGAAGAATAGAAATATCAATAAAGAAAATTAAGCTTCAAAGAAGAGCAATTTTTGTAAACTGCACTAAAGGATTATTTGTGACTGAAGAAGGATTTCATTTGCCTCACTTACCATGGCGACAATTCTTCCGATAAATTTGAAGTACATCAAGTGATCCGGATTCACCGACGATGCTGTGAAAATCGATACAAAATGTCACATGAAAGTTTATGGGAAGAAGATAAATTATGACACACTTTTTTATTCGACGAAAATGGCGGCGGATATCATAACGATCGCAGGTGTACCATCATTTACTCTACCTGGATTGATTTGGAGTGTGTAGTTGTTATCATTCGTATATTCAAACAGGCAATACATGGGATTGAGAATTTCGTGGGACAGAAGGAAGAACCATTCCCTATAAGGAGAGATACGATATAAAAACATGAGAATGCAGTAGTGCAGTAAAAATACACTGAAACTCCTTAAATTAGCCTTTCTCACGATGACGTTTTTGGGGTACTTTCAATTTTCTCAACTGCATGGGGTTTAAAAATTATAACACCATGAAAAGCAATTTTTTTTAGAATCAACAGACCATTTGAAGTATAAATTCAGCCTAAAATTAAAGACAGTTGCCGTTACGATGTTTACGCTCACGGTTTTCAAAAAGGACTGTGAAGCGGTCTGTAATGTCAATTTGTAGAATTCAGTACAGCTAGGGATACCTTGCAAGTCCACCATAATCCAGACCTTCCTCTCCTTTGAACGTGATGAAAAGACGGCGACGAAGATCGTGCGCTTGGAAACGCATCACCTAAGGGAACATACGACAAAAATTGATTTACCACATTCACCAGGGCAGTTAATTATTAAACATGCAGAATAAATGCATGTAGTTGTTCTCTTGCATGTAGTTGTTCTCTGGCTTGCATAGTACCTGTTGGAAAGAGTCTTCAAACATGTTTGTTCTGGATATCCCTAGTTTAACATGACTAGGGAGAGCATTTGCCTAGAACGAAATTGAGTATTCACTTTAGTAACGAGTACTCCTCGCAAAAGTCACAAGCGTGTTGTAGCTACTTAAGACGCCCGTCTGCCATGCATTATAAGCAATCAACATACCTGACAAAGATATCTGAACTGACAGACTTTCCACCTGAAGCTTCTCTCGTAAGCAATGGGGCCATGGCCAGGTCTACAGACAAAAAACAGAAAATAATTACGCACAACCCTGCGACATTAAGGAGATGTTTACATGAGCTCGGTTACCAGGGATTCGACGAAGCACGAGATGATTTTGAGGTATTGAAACCAAAAAGCACAATAATAGATATTGCAAAGTAATATATATAAAACACAAAGTAATAGATATTGCTCATATTGCAAAGTAATATATATATAACACAAAGTAATAGATATTGCTCAACAATAAATATACAACCGACCCATGGTAAATTAATTGATGCGAATTTTCTGGACTAAGCGATCGTACGTACTTACCCAATGGCCTTTCCTGTACGTGGATCAGTGAATGTCGTCGTCCTCGTGGTGTGATCGACAAAGTACGGAATACCTTCGTTTGTATATCGCATTTCCCAACCAGGCGGGAGTGTCTTGTCTTGGGGAGTCAGTCTAATGATATGAAAAAATACACAAGATGAAGTTAACTCATGAATCTATTTGTATCTATCTAGAGTGAAAATGTACGCCTCCATAAAAAGTAAAGAAATCTACAGTACGGCTATTCTCAAAATCATCCCATTATAACTATAAGAAATGTTCAGGTTTCCTTGGCGCTTGAAAACTAGGGAATGATGGACGTACTTTAGCATTCGTGGATCTTCCCATTGTGTTTCTCTTGTGGTGTGATTTACAAAATACACGCGGCCATTTTGCTCCGTTCGTTTTTCTATAAAAAAAATTATGTCAAATATTGCACGAGTGGACATGTAGCATAAAGAGCATACACGTCTTTATACAATTATAGAATACCAGTTCAATAGGGTATTATTGTTCATGAAAAATAGTATTTATTCTTGTTCTGAGTTCAATTTATGAGTAAGTAACGTTTAGAAAGTTCTATAATATAGCATTCACTTGCATCTTAGTAGTTGGATTGGCCAGGTATTCTATAACTGCTCCGGTGGAAGATTTAGAAGAAATACTGCTTATAATGATATTATAAAATGAGGCAGTATATAAACGTTGAAAGCACAACCACTTACCCCATCCGGCTGGTAATGGACCCAGAGGATCATTTTGTACAGCTGGAATATTATTTTGCTGAAGAAAAAGATTCGCAAATTGAGCAAATGCACATGCTACAGGAACAGAACTTGAAACTGCATCCTCCCTTTTTCCAAAACTAGTAAGTTCTTGTGTTTACTATATAACACCTTATAACACATAGCATCAAAGGAAATATAAAAAGCACTTTGATGACTGTGTGGTTTTGGGAACACATCTGTATCGCTAATAAATGAAAACATGTAATGTTGGTTTTTGCAAATACCATCTGCTAATGTAACAATAGTTTTCTAGTAGCCAAGTTGCTAGTTATACAGCAAAAAGCTAAACGTATAAAAAAGGGAATTACCGGGAGTAAAAATCTTTGTTGAAAGTGTGTCCGTTCATTTTGCCATTGCGTCCTCTGGTGCTGGAAGTGTTCGAAGTTTCGTACAGTCTCCAGCGTCGGTCGTTGCCAGGTCGTTGTACGGGTATTATGGTCAACATAATAGGTTCTGCCCCGCGGATCTGTGCGCCTCTCCCAACTGGAATGCGCAGACAAAACATACACGTGTCAAGGAGGAAATTTCAAAAGAATAACATTGTTCAAAACGACCGTTTGGCATGCTGGGAAACATATTTACCCGCTTGGTAGAGGTTGAGGTCGCTCCCAGGCTGTTGTCCGCGTATTGTGATCGACATAGTAAACTCTTCCGTGAGGATCAACCCTTTGTTCCCAGCTGGAAAAGATGAAAACACAACGTATTAGAGATATGGTTTTCTTAGCAGGACGTAAAATTGTTGCCTTCAATACTGCAGAAGGAATACTATATTAGGGCTTTTTTGTAAACAAAGTGATTTGAAGAGAAGCCCGGGTATGGATTAACTCCCGAATGCCCCACGCATCAATCCGCCCCTTGATCTCATTCTAATACCTACCCAGCTGGTAAGGGTTCTTCGTTCGGGTTTGGTCGATTTGGCGGCGTGCCCGGTGGTGGTGCGACATTAGCTGAAAAAGAGTGGAGCAATGTGTCAATGTTGGCAATGTAAGCATATGTTAGTATGCGGTGTAAAACACTGAGAAGAATTAATGTCAAAGGAAAGGTTTCAGGTCAATTCTTCAGTGTATCTTGTTAACTCGCATCAACAGTCAGCGTATCTCGTTATAACTCAGCGTATTTTTCCACTGGAGTAACATTTTACATTTTCAAGTATAAATAATAAAATAATCATTGAATTTGGCTTTAGCACAATATAAAAGATTTTAAAACCGATTACTTAATGGTTTCCGTGTTTGGATGGCCTAAGTTATATACATGTTATTTTATAATAAGAAATTCTCAGTTTGCCGTTATCAACCTTGGGCATTGGCATAATATAATATCCTTACCAGGGCTATTTGCTGCCGAGGGACTTCTGGTATAGCTAGGTCTGCTGCTGTTTGCAGAAGTGTTGGGTGTAGCAGGTGTGGAGGAGGTAGTAGAGGTAGGGGGAGTGGCAGAAGTCGGGGGAGTAGCAGAGGTAGGTGGGGTAGCAGGTACAGGTGGTAGGGGTCTATTAGGAGCAAATGGTGGTAACGATGGCGTACCATTGCTTGCTGATGCACCTGATGATAAATTAATAATTATTTTATAGGTGTGAAAGTATAAGTACTATTCTGCGGTATTCAATCAATTATATCTTTTGTCATTCTTTATGAAAGTAGTGAAATTTTGATTTTGTTTAGTTATGAGAAATATAGCTATGGCATAAATTTGAAACCGAAATAAAGTATATTTCAAGAGATATTAGGTTGTTTAAGGCCAGTTTCAGACCCGTTTCAGACGTCGAACTTTTCATGTGCTGAACCTAATGCTAATAAACTAAAGTCTTTGTTTAACTTCATTTGCATTCGATTCGACACACAAAAAATTCAACGTCTGAAACAGGCCTAAACCGAGAATGGATTTTTATTCCACAACTAGTCCCAGTTACTTGCCACCGCCATTTCAGATCACATGGGTTGTGGCGCGAACGCAGGACATTTCATAAAACATACCTGAAAACGGATTTCTCTGTTGTCTGGGTGTACTGGAGTTAGATGTGGCACTCTGAGACGAACTACGCCTGGGGCTATTCGTGGGAGGCGGGGGAAGAACTGGTATCACAGGCATGCTGCTTCTGCTTGGTAGAGGAGGTGGGTTACCATTCGCCTGAACGGTATTGGCGGCCGGTGAATTTGAACCAGCGTCCACACTATTGGGGCGGGGTAGCGGACGGCGAGGGGGACGACGAGGGGCATCGCCATTCTGTACCGGTCTGTAAAAAAAATGAATAATGAAATTTCTTATACATGTAGCGCTTATATATTATTAATCGTGATTGGCCGATTCGTGGACACGTGTGTTTGGATAAATGCGATGTTTTTCGCCCGGGCAACAAGTCGAATATTGTTGCTATAGTACTAAAATATTTCGAATAAATATCAAAGATAAGCGGCACGGTGTTTGAACACTCCAACAAACGTTAAAACTCGGGGCGAAATTCTGACCGCGAAAAGAGAGACTTTGAAGTTAAAGAATTTTAGTTTATCACTTAGCGCTTTTCGCTTTTAAATGTAAAGACACTTTTGAACAATAATCATTGCACGAAATGACGAAATATCGAGTGCTGCAATCACGCGCCCACGCAACTGAGCAGCGGAGCATGACGTCATTATAACTATATGTCAATTATTGTTCACTGTTTTGCTTGCTATTAAAACTTAACGTGACAAGCGTCTTTTACCATTCGCTGTTAACTCGATGAGCTTGCATGTAATCTTACGTAGAAGTATTTTATTTTGGCAACTAAATTTCAAGCACAATGACAAAGCAGAAAGTTGGTTATGTTTTTAATGGTTGCTAGGAAACAATCAACACAATTCAAGTTTTTGCATAAAATTGGAGAGCTTCAGCAAGCGACGTTTTTAACAGCAGACGTCACGCGTACATTAAGTAGCGGTGAACTCGCGTCAGACTGAGTCCGTGACCTGACATCCTAAACGGCAACAGACAGCGTTTGACGTTCACAATTTCAAAAAAAAATGGCTGTCGTCATCTAAAACAGTTTAAACCTCGCTATTGTATTAATTTTACACTGGCAATTGGTTGAAAAAAATACGATAAATTTCATAATATAGTATTTTTTATTATGCTAAATTCACGCGAAATCCAAAGATCAACTTTTCATTTGAAATTATTGAACAAATATTTACGGTAATTTCTTTTCGCTTTACCTTTTCAAAGAGAAAATCTAAATTTCTTAGTTATAAAAACAAAATAAAAGCGGAAAGCTGATAAAATGTTGAATTTTCAATATTGAGCAACTCGTTTACGTAAACTCCTTAAAAAAACGTCCTGTAAACGCATTTCATTGAGGAATTTGTTTCGGACCACAAGTCCGATTAGTCAATAATAAGGAAGTTACAGCTTTCCCAAATAAATTTAAAAAATATTTAATGATCTCTGTCAATAAGCTGCCAAAAGTGAGAAAAGTCAAAAGGAATTTTCATTGCAATTTTTTTTAAACAATTTTATATAGCTCATACTTGGAGGATTCCTTTCTCGGGAAATTCGCCATGTTAAGATCCTCGATGCCATTTAATGTGATAAAAATTTGACCTGTGGTTTCCTCAGTGGTTGTCTTTCCACCCAACATCAAATCTAATTCCATCTCGAGGTTTTTGACTGTAAAAATAAAGTTACCACCAAGTTAGTGAATAAATTTGGCCAGGGTTGTTCAAAGCCATGCAGGTTAGCGCTAACCCTGGGTCTTCTAAACCACTGCAAACCATTGTTTTATGAAAAACGATATTCATATTTGTAAACAAGCGATTTGCTTTAACCTAGGGTTAAGCTAACCGGCTTTTGAACAACCATCTCAGATATTTAGGTATACTATTTAGCATTCATGTACAACATGGATAGTCCAGCTTTGACAAAAAGTCAGAATTGCAAACCCTATAGCTTAAGAGCTTCCCACTTAGACAGAGGAGAACTGTGTTTATGCATGTATTTCTGTGTGTGCTGTCAGTCAGACAGCCAGCTTGATGAATTAAATAAATTTGAATGGAGACGGTTGGTTTTAAACAAAGTTTCAAGATACTTGGGTTGAACACTTATTTTCAGCCTGCCCATGGATCTGCAACCTAACATGAACAGACTATGGAGGTCTTCTTTACTTACAACTTCCATTGTTGACATGAAGCAATTCGTTGATATCCAATGAGACCTTGCCAACAACAACATCATTCTTCAGCATGAACTTACACAATACTTCAATGTCAACCTTGCTGTATGCAGTCACAAGCCTACATAATCAATGCCAAAAGAAAGAGGTTATGATATGATATGCATGGGCACACATGAACACGTTGGGTCTTATGGATGTACCCTTTGAGTGAAAATAGTGATTGTCAAACAACTCAAATCATTGGTGTTAAAACACCTGGATCACAGGATAAAGTCAAGTTGTCAAAGGCACTTGCCACCATCTAGGTACATAAATTAGGCATTCTGATTGGTTAAATATGGCCAGTGATCTATATACAGTTCAGTGGATGTACAAAAAACAAAAGTAGCCACTCTTGATCTGTATTCCAATTTGTAGCTTTACAAGAAGCATAGTTTTAAGTCAAAAATTAAAATTGACAGCATTTTCACATGAAATCCTATGAAACTCCCCTTAGGGTATAAATTTTTGTCATATATTCACAAGAGTTTTCTGAAAACCAACATTCATAGCACAGTATTAAGTAACTTACACTACAAAATGTTCATTCCATATTGGTTCCCAAGTCTTTTTCACGGTCTCTGTCTTCTTTGCAGCATTTTTGTCAACAACAACTTTTGCATACGGGTCACCTTTAGCTGAGGAATGGTTTGAAAGTTAAAACTAATATCCAAAGGAAAGAATTATCAAATCCTCAGGGCATACCCAACATGTTATGAATAAATTCTTACCAAATAGCCAACTACTATGCTCTCTCAACTTGGCCTTTGTCACTAAAATAGAAATAACATAGATACTCAGTATGATCACAATTTTTAGAGTCAACTTGAAATCATACTTAATAAATTAATTGTTGGCTGCTGTCAAAGAAAACTGTGCCCAACTACTAATTTGGAATTTAAGTTGCATTAAACACTTAAATCAGCTGGTCCCAAATTTAAATAAAACTCATTTGATAGCATTGCCTCAATGTGTGTGTCAAAAACATTACCTGATAAATCCAGCTGATAAAATGCACTCCTCCTAGGAAATTGTAAATTAGATTTTCAATAAAACAACATCTTGGTCTTTGATATTTGTGTAAAAATATCATTATGGCTTAGATTTGCCATTTAAGCTGAAATTTTATGATTTTTTTTACTTACCCTGGTGAAGTATCGACCATGACAAACTCTAAATCATCAATGTTAACCAGTGATTCTTTAAGGCCAGAAAAATCAGACTCCAGCTCTACAATCAAGTGCAATGCAAATGTCATGTGTGAATAGCAAAATTGCTCAACTTGGCATCTGGATTTGCTTGATACTACTTGCATGGTCTAACACAAGTTAACTTTACTGGACAGTGGTTTGAGTACTGTCATTTGTGAGTGGTCAATTCAAACATTTCAAATGATAGTTTACATAACTTGCCAATATGTATTTTCATTACTTTACATTACTTTACACACTACATTCACCCTTGTCAATATGATCATCAGCCAGAAATTGACAGACCTTACAACCAGGGTAGCTACATCAAATGGTTAAACATGATGTTTGGATAAACTTCAGGTGAAAGAAAGCAGTCGTCAATTTCACACTAGTTTTCGATTTGTATGCAGTTTCCTCTTATTTATATTCATATTGTTGTAGATTATAGTTGTTAGGAAGTTACGTATTATGCTAATAGGTACAACATACGCACAACAGAGGAAATGCCTATTTCATAACCACTCCCCACAATCCAAGTTCAAGTGTTTTTGCTTTGTTTGCTAATTTCCAGTAAATGCATCTATTCAGTTTATTTTAATAAACTAGACCTAGTCCAATGCAAGATAACATCAGGTCACTTTTTAATTTTTTAAATCAATCAAAGTCTTGTGTTTATAAGGGAACCACAAAGGTAGGATTTACATCATTACATGTATTCATGTGCTAGGTTCTTAGAAATTCATTATTCCTAGCTTTGTTCCTTATAGTTTCTATATCCAGTGTATTGGAGATCTGTGATAAATATTATGTTTCTCACTATCTCAATGTAGAATAATTTGTTGGAAAATACACAACTGAATTGTGGTAAAACTATACTGGACTATTACTACTTATTACTGGAAGCAGATTTTAGGTTGCTCATATTTCAAGAAAACTGACCTGTGAACACATTACATGCAATTGAAATAGAGTTGAGCGAATTACAATATTTCAACATCTGCTTTTAATTGTCAAATATTGCATGTGTTGATAACTAATGAATCAAATCTGGTTTACAAAAGAAAAAAGATTATTGAATTTTCCACTGCAAAATATTTGCATATAGGTACAGCTGTAATGTGCTTTGTGCAAAAACTGGCCAAGACAATATGCTTGTCACAGCATTTTTGTTATTAAAGTACCTACAGTATGACAGGAAATTTTAGCCAAAATGTGTATGGCTAATCGATTGTCAAAATCACCTGATACGTTAGTATATACTTTAGAAAATTTTAGAAAATATACATATCCTTTACAAGATATTCAACCATTGTTTGCATGCAAAAATCACTAGGTTATCACATTTCTGAAATAGACCTTTCAATAGACCTTTTTCATAATGATGTCAAATGCTGAAAGTCTGATGTTATACGAAGTTGGATTAGCTTAATTTTTTTTATTTATTTGTAGAAACATGCTATGATTTATGAAGATAAAATACTGTGTTTTTAAAATGCCAAGGGTGGTGTCACATGTTTTAAAGTGGTGTCATATGAAACAAAGTAAGATGTTCTTCATAAGGAACAGGTTACAAAAAATCCATAAAAGCTAGTTACAATGTCAACACAAAAAACTCTATTATAACAGGTGCTCTTATCTACTGATTGCAAAATTTATGAGTATTATCAACCTACAACAAGTTTGCAAATTTGTGAAGAAAGTTGAGAAAATTTCTGCCAAAAAGTTTAGGAAGACAACTCTGAATTGTGGAAAAGTTATAAGTTTGTTCAATGAGGGACATCACCAAAGTATTCCTCTCAAGTTTGTAACTTGTTTAAAACTAGTGATTACCTCTAGTACTTTTTATTTGTAAGGATATACTATTATGCAAAACATTCCCTCATCAAAATGGCATGTGATGTTAAGGTTGTTACATAAACATCAATATACCTCAAAAATCCATAGCTCTGAAATCACAGTATCCATATTTTGGGGGATGGGCAGGTGTCAGGATTTAAGTGGGTTATTCATATAGGGGAAATGGAATAAGCCTCTAGACACCCTTTAACATACAAAACAAATATCTTAGTCCAGTGTCCCCTCAAATATCACATTTGTTCATTATGTGTCTATGAAAATGTTTATTTTATACAGGTGCTTTTGAATTCATGAACTACAGTAAACTAGACTTCCACACATTCACATATTAACGACTATGAAATTTAAAATTACAAGCAAAAGGGAAAGTAATAATCATTAATAATTTGTTTTAATGTGCATTACTCTCAAAAAATTTCTCAACCGACAAGTACAGACCATTTTGAAATGACAGACAGTAAAATACCGAAGTTAGCCTGCAAACCCATCAGTTGCATCCCTATTACAAATTGTTTCAAGAAGTAAGGTGATACAACTTTGAAAGAGAATTCTAGAAAACTGTTCTTTCACTGGTACAAAATATGCCAATAATGTTGATTAATTCAACCATACTCGATTTAATTGCACAAAGATAAAGAAAAGAGTTATGTCATTTTTAAACAATTCATATGCCTTTGAGTAAAAACAACATAACAAAATACTTCAAGCAAAATCACTTTGTATTTCTTATATTCTAGGGTCTGCTGGAGAATAACAGCTCCATTACTAACTTGTAAGGCCATAGACTAAAAATCTTTTCAATTTATTAGACTCTTGTTCATTATCAGCGAAGTGCCAAAACCCCAAAATGTATAATTCACGTCTTTTATAAACGCTTTCGAAATGCTATACCTCAAATGCCTCATAAAACAACGATATTAAAGCCGTATGACCGAGTGATTAAGGTTATGTAATGTACAAAGAATTTAAATATGCCCTACCGTTTTGAGAATTACAAACAGCGAAGCTCAAATAGACGAATTATGTTTTATAATCGTATAAAATACGGATCAATTGAACTCAGCCGACAGATCCAGCCGTATAGAACTCTAATCCAGCCATTTCGTCGACATATCTACAAGGAAAATAGTTGTGAGGATGAAATTCAATACGCCTCTTAACAAGAAGACAGTTTAAAATTCACAAAAGGACCGCTACAGGACGATTAAACTTTGTCACGTACCAGTTTAAAAGCCGAGAGATATACACAAACCTAGTTTATCTTATTTCAAAAAAAGCTACGGACGCTTGGCTAATATAAGCGCTTACACGTTTAAATATTGGACAGGAATGATATGCTGCGCTCGAAGAGCAACGTTGCCTTTTTAGAAATATAAATAAATGGTTAGCAATCATACGTATTTTCGAAATATTTCTACGTAGAATATATTCGCGGCTTATCCATCCTTATCTGATATTTCCCATATTATGGGTCGTTTTTTGAAGCAAAACGATGCCTTAATACGAAAAGGATGGTGTGTTAAAGTGATCCATAAACTTTTCGCCTACGAGAGCGATAAAACAAAACATACATGAGAAGGCAGCAACTATAATGTTGGTTATATATGAAAATCTAAATAAATATGGCGGCTACGTTTGATAATAAAATGGCTTGAAATTCGCTTCCTAGCGCTTACGTTTTAGAAATAAAACCAATAAAATTACCTTCACGGTCGTTTCTTCGCTTCGAGGAAAAGTGTATCGCTCAAAATCACTTTCTTGTTCGTAAAAATTTCAAAATAGTCGATCAGCTTCAAGTTATGTTTGCAAATGTCCCTGTAATACACCAGACACGTGACCCCTGTTGCGATGACGTCATGTAGAATGAAAATATTCCTGTGTTTTGAGATCAGTGGAGTGGCAAGAAAACTAATTGCGAAATTATCACTGATTATCTCCTACACTTTTCACAAATTGCGAAATAATTCAAACTATATATTGTACACGCCTTGTGCGAGAAGACCTTAGCAGCCTGTAAGAAACGTATGGGTTATTACTAACAAAGGACAAAGTTCATTTTATTTTTTTTAATTTTTGATGAAAATGACACAAACTTCCGTACTTTTGTCTTCCGCGTTCATTGCCACGACTACCTCCGACATAAGCCGAAGACAGATCGATCAAAGCCGATGTCTCTGAACAGGTTTCGTCTTAGCGGCACTTAGCGACTTGAGGTTATAGATAATTAGTTTGAAAGAACTATAAGATTTTCTACAAAAACGCCTTGGTACCCACGCGTGAAGAAGCTTGAAAGATGTTAATAAAGGTCAATCAGTGTCTTTTCCGTTAGGCGTTAGCAGTATTTCAAAGACACGCAGTGCCAAAAGCGAAATTAGCGTAGTTTTGAACCGTTCTTTGAAAAAGATCTCATTCCGAGTTTTTTATTTCGCCTAAGTAAATACACTGAAATAACTTGCAAAATTAAAGTGAGCCCGCTGCAGCCGGATTATTTGTGTTATAATACCAGACAGGGCAGATGATATCAGTTTATGGCATAGTCGACCCGTATTTATATATATTGAATATTTATCAAGAAATAATATACTGGTCGTGCATCGGTGCATGGTTCGTCGGTCCTACATCATAGAAAGTAAGGGACGGCGTTATCTCTCCCTTATGGGGTGAGTGAAATTCGAGAGTCCCTGCCCACCGAAGTCAAAACAAAATTGGATGTTAATAATAATATTTCGTATACATTATGCACTAAATACCATTGAAATATAGTGTGTTTTATTAAATCAAATAACTTGATAGCATATATATATATATAAATTGTGCAGACGAACAAGAATCATATGCTAATGAATGTGAGCCTATAGGTTTTAAAAACTGAGTGGGTACATCTCCCTTGCCTCCCCCCGGTTGCACTTCCCCCTTCTTCACACCTGCTTTGCCCTGTTTGCACTCAGTTGCGATTTCTACAGAAAGACTTATCGAAAGTTCCCTTGAGAACATTCTCCTTTTCCTTTCCCATCCAATTTCCCGGTGGTTTGTATCGTGCCACGACATAAGTGCAACCCCCTTTCGTAGCTTTCCCGATGCCAAGCTCCAGACTTTCCTTCCAAATAACTTGGGTAAAATGACCAACTGTCTTGCCATTGACTGATTTGCCTGTATTGAAATCATAGTGGCACACTTCTTTGTACCTACACAATTGAAAACAAATGATAAACAGTGATGCAATCATGCAGTGATTTCATTTGATACGGTGGAGACCGTGGGAGCGATTGACTTTCCAAAATTATGCCAAACGCGGAACGGAAAGCCTTATTTGATTGACTTGTGACATTTGTATCCCGTGTAAGACGTCATTATGAAAAAGGTCGTGGCCAATGGTCATTATGAAAAAGGTCTTGCTCAAGCAACCTTTATGCTTTTTTAAAAAGGCGCCTGGGTACTAGCCTAAGGCTGGTGATACTCACCATTCAGTGGTAGCAAATCCACCAGTAAGAGGCATTTGACAACGATAAAAGAGATTTTCGCCATCCCCGTTCCTTTGTTCGCTATCAGAATGTTGTAACATGCCTTCTGAGGCTATATGTTGAGCCCATTTTTCTGCTTGTGCGTTCATCTCCGTGTTTAGTTTCATTGGAGGGACATTATGGATAGCTCGATATTTGTTATGGGCTTTTAAACTTTCTTGTTCGAATTCTGCCCGTGCTGTAGAGTAAAAGGTTAATGGCAAAATTAACCAATGGCTCTCCCTCTTGGTCAGTTGAGTCGTATCGTATCGATGTGTCTATTATTACATTATATTCCTGTAATTTTCCATGATGAACAGCAATACAAATTTCTGAATTTCTGAGTTTCTGAGTGTTGAGTTCTTTTATATTTCTCCAGAAAACGTTGTGTTGAATTATTGTCACGAGAGTAATGTCACTACAAATGTGTGAGTGGAAAGTGCACGAGTGCACGAGTGTGGCTTTATTAACAACATATTGAAGCCTATTGCCAAAGTCGGGTAAAATAAGGGCTCATTTTCATCTTTTGCAATAACCAACTCGCACTACTGAGTTTGTTGCGAATGTTTTTATGAAGTTAAATATATTGATCGATACATCGATGATACTTGAATTAATTCAGAATTGTGACTTTGTGTATCAAACACTGAGCAGTGTAATAATTCAGTCTAAATATATACTGTGTAAAAATAGGGCCAGAAATACATGAACTTCCGAACTAGATTGTAATGGTTGATTGTGTTGACCGAGTAAACCTGTAGGATTTTGCCGAATGAGTATAAAGTGTATAAAATAAAATCTTTCGAATAACACCTACCTGGATATATAACTAAGGTTATGTGCAAACACAAGGATATTGCTAACCACACGAACATCATGACCTTTGATACTCCTGTAGTGAAAATACTTGTTCCTGAATGTATATGCGAAGTGGGTAAGTACCCGCCTTTTGTAAAGAGTTCTTGACTGAATCAAAGTTAAGTTTCAGCCAAGCGTCGACTATTATTTACTTTTAAAAGGCACGAAAAATAAACGTGCATGCCGAGCATGTAGAGGAAATCGGTAGGTATGTAAATGTCTGGAGATACCTAAGTAATTAAGGGGCTGTTTACATGAGCCCGGTTACCCGAGATTCATCGAAGCGTGAGATGATTTTGAGGTATTGAAATGAGCAGATAACATGATCCTGGCAGTCGTATAATCAACACAACAATATCATGTGCTTGCTTGGTGTCATAAAGACTTTAGTTATTTCAATACCTCAAAGTCCTCTCACGCTTCGTTGAATCTGTGGTAACTGGGCTCATGTAAACAGCCCCTAAATTAGTTCAGTTTGTTGTCACAGCCAAAAAACAAAGGCTCGAGGTTACCTAGGATACACCAAATGTCAAAGTTATTGACATCCAATATTCCTAGTGTACGAAGACTAAATTGAGATATTTTGTCATACATGCATGTGCTCAATTTTTCGACACAAAAGATAAAAATATTTCAATTCGGTCGCCATTTGTATTAATTTCAAAACTAACGATATGATTTTATTGTTTCTAAAGGGCCAATAAGACAAGAAGTTCTGTTATAATTGTGTTAATATAATTATATAATGTTACTTGCATATGTAACAAAGTTAGATACTCTTCATCAGGAACAGGTTACCAAAGTTAAGCTTCGGCCAAGCGTCGACTATTGCATGCATTTACTTTTGAATAAGAGAACCTGCCAATCACATAAAACACTTTTTTCATTTGAAATTTCCATTTGATATAAGCATAGCAAACAAGGAAACAAATTAACCAAAAAGAGATCAGTTAATGGAGAGAATAATCTTTGATCTTAAATCAGAGTATTAGCCTGTCATCAATAAACACTAAGGCCTATACTTTAAGCAGATGATAATGAAGCTGAGGTTTATCATCTTTTTATCTACGGTTTGAATTGCATGCATTCGATGCACTAAGCGTATATAAGATATCTGATTTAAATAGCGCTATGCCTATAGTATTAATCCAGACCCTAAAGGACGTTGTCCACAACAATTCAGTTAGTTGCATGTCAGTATATGCTTTCAACCAGAATTATGTATATTTTGATATTATGTACAATTTAATTCAACCTACCTATATTATAATTTTGCCAAATTCACTATCGTTTAAGATGCTGGACCTGACAGATTACTCTCACCTTCTTTAACGATATCATATGTGTAAAAAGCAGTTCTTCTGACGCAACTAATCAGGAATAAGTATTGTTCAACTTAACCGTTCAACTGGTTGCTCTAAACAATTCCTTAATTTGCTTCGTGGAGCGAGCAATTACCATGAACTTTCACAACTGTCTTATTCTACCAGGTGACGCAAAAAAAGTTAACCTGTTCGATTGAATATAACTTCGAAACTAAGAGAACTGTTACACTGAATTAACTTTCTTTAGATTCGTGAATGTCTATGAACATAAAATTTTGTATATACTACAATGTGTATTTTGATACAGAATTCCCGAGATATCGGCGTTTTACTTTTAGGGGCTGTTTACATGAGCCCTACAGGGAGAGCTAGCCCTCTTGGGCTGTTTTTCACCTCTGTTTATACGCAAAATTCTAGCCCCACATCTAGAGCTGAGCCTGAACGGCACGTTTTAATCCTATTTTTAGCTAATCGAAAATGCATACTCAAATTTAAACTGCAGTCAAAACTGTATGAGAAACTTCATGCTGTATATAAAAATTAAAGTTAGACATGAGAAAATATAACAAACATAGTTTTAGTGTAATAAATCTTTTTGTTTTGAAGCTATACTCAATCAAAATTGTTAACTTTTTTTGCGCGACAAGGTATATATAGAGTTAAATAAGGCTATATCTCTGATGTTCTGGCGGCCGAAATAAATTTGGTATCTTAGATCCTGGTTCTTGTTAACATGCACACTGAATAACTCGTTAAAGAAATGTAGTCCTATCAGCAATTTTTCCGCTCGACATCGTCTAATCTAAAAAGTGGAATGACCGCACGTTGTTAGGAGCCGTATACAAGTAACGTTTTTCTCTTATCTCGGGCACCGTTCTTGCCCGAGAAAATAGGGAGCTTTAGCAGTGACTACGAGTACGACTACGAGTACGAGATTCGTCATTCTCGCGCGTTGTTTGCTTAAGCCATCAGCCAAAACTCGTAGTCGCCGAGCTTTTGAGTACGATTTTTTTGATAAATTTCGTACTCAAACGCCCAACGACTACGAGTTTTGGCTGATAGCGTAAGCAAGCATCGCGCGAGAATGACGAATCTCGTACTCGTAGTCGTACTCGTAGATTAAAGTGTAACCGGCAATTTTTTTGTTACTTGGAAGTATTCTTTCCAATATATTCAGTTGTAGCACAGATTATTTATGATGTACATACCCAGTTACTCCTAGATACGTTGAAACGAAAGATTTTAAATAATTAAAAAGTTCGTGGGCATACATTTGTATTCAGCTACGCAGAAACGGGGCCTGAGATTAATACCAGACAAAACTGGATATTAATGATAAAAGTAAATTTTCCCTTTTGCCTTTAATGAAAACGGATATTTAATTAACCCTTCTCTATATTTCGTCATTAATAAGGACGGCACGGATTAATAGAAATGTTCAGTCCAATGTTTGGCCAAATATCGGATGCTGGCGTCGCACGGGTACTTCATGTTGTATTGGTCCTAGCGGGATATAAATAAAGATGCTTCCGTGCAGGTGAGCAGACCATGTTTCTAGAATTTACAGATAGGCCTATCTGAGTGTGTGTTATATAAAAAAAAATAGGTTGACCGAATATATAAATACAAAGGTCGAAAAACATCAATGTATCAGTCTAATAAAGTTTAGCGGGTCTCGGCAGATATCGGCCTAAGCTATGGTCTGGTCGAGTCGATTCCGACTTTGTTTGATTTATGGTTTGTCGCTCTGTGATACTCGAGATCCACCTCCACCCCAACTTCCACCCCAACTTCCACCCCAGTTTCCGCCATTACCACCTCCCCATTTTGAACTCCAACTATTTCCTCCCCCTCCATTATCGCCTCCTCCCCATTTTGTACTCCAGCTTTTTCCTCCACCATCACCACCGCCACCACCACCTTGACTTCCACCTCCTCCAAAATTAATGTTCCAACTTGAACCACCTCCACCTCCTTGAGCTCCACCACCCCAACCTCCCATGCCCGCACCGCCCCCAGCTGCACCACCACCACCAGCACCACCTCCCGCAGCACCACCTCCCGCAGCAGCTCCCCCTGCAGCACCACCTCCTGCACCACCCCCGGCTGCACCAACTGCACCGCCACCTCCAGCTGCACCACCACCAGTTGCACCACCCCCTCCACCTCCAGCTGTACCACCTCCACCTGCACCACCTCCCCCAGCTGCATCACCCCCACCTCCTCCACCGCTTGGCACCCATTTGGTTTTCTGACAGTAAGACTTATCGAAAGTTCCCTTAAAAACATTCTCTTTTTCCTTCCCTATCCAATTTCCCGGTGGTTTGTATCGTCCGACGACGTAAGTGCAATCCCCCTTCGTAGCTCTGCCCATGCCAAGCTCTAGACTTGTTTTCCAAGTAACTTGGGTAAAATGACCAACTGCCTTGCCATTGGCTGATTTGCCTGTATTGAAATCATAGTCACACACTTCTTTATACCTACAAAAGGAAAACAGATGGGAAACAGTTTAGGGATAAAGCCATTAGCAGCTGTCTGGAGGTAAAGTCCCGCAAATTGTCTCGAGAATGAAGCCAAAATATGCCGGGATATTACCTCTAGACACGCGTATCGGGAGGTAAGGTCCCACGAACTTTGGCTTCACAAAAACAATAGGAGGTATCGTTCCAGTTGTATTTTTGAGTTCACTGGTATAGACTACTCACCATTCATTGGTAACCGATCCACCAGAAGCGGCCATACCACAACTATAATAGATATTTTCGCCATCTCCATTCCTTTCGTTACTTTCTGCATGTTTTAACGTTCCTAATGAAGCCATATGTTTAGCCCATTTCGCTGCTTGAGCGTTCATCTCTGTGTTCAGTTTCATTGGAGCGACCTCATGAATAGCTCGATATTTATTATGAGCTTCCAAACCTTCCTGTTCAAATTCAGCTTGTGCTGTAGAAATAAAAAATAACAAATTACCAAGGCTTGCTCTTTTGGTTAGAATATTTCAATGCATGTTCTTATACTATCATATTCTTGTGAGTTTCCATTGTGAACAACGGTTAATTTATAATTTTGTGGTTAATTTTTAGTTTGTCTTTTTATGACAAGTGGTATACCCACGTAGTGGTGATATTCCTATCAAAGGGAATTCTATCGCAAATGGCACAGTATTCTAGACATGACATATAATACGTAGACTTACTACATCTTATATATCCAGGACGAAATTGCAATCATTGTATAAAATTATATAAATACTGTATATTAGTGTATTAACCTGTTGATTAACTTCTACTCAACTAGGCATATATTATAATGGAGAAAAACACTTACTTTGCTCACCACCTCCGCCTCCATCACCTCCTCCAAAACCTCCGCCCCCTAGACCTCCCCCGCCTCCACCACCACCCCCTGCAGCCCCTCCCCCACCTCCTCCATGTTCTCCGCCACCCCATCCTTGTCCTCCGGCACCTCCTTCCCCTCCACCTGCACCACCTCCCCCAGCTGCACCACCGCCACCTCCTCCAGCTTCACCACCCCCTCCACCACCAGCTGTACCACCTCCTCCTGCACCACCTCCCCCAGTTGCACTACCGCCACCTCCTCCACCGCTTGGCACCCATTTGGGATTCTGACAGTAAGACTTATCGAAAGTTCCCTTAAAAACATTCTCCTTTTCTTTCCCTATCCAATTTCCCGGTGGTTTATATCGTGCCACGACGTAAGTGCAATCCCCCTTCGTAGCTCTGCCCATGCCAAGCTCTAGACTTGTTTTCCAAGCAACTTGGGTAAAATGACCAACTGCCTTGCCATTGGCTGATTTGCCTGTATTGAAATCATAGTCACACACTTCCTTGTACCTAAAAAAGGAAAACAGATGGGAAATAGTTTAGGGATAAAGCCATTAGGGTTATAACTGTCTGGAGGTAAAGTCCTGTAAATTGTCTCGAGAATGAAGCCAAAATTTGCCGGGACAGATACGCATGTCTGGAGGAAAAGTCCCTCGAATTTTGGCTTCACAAAAACAATGAAGAGGTATCGTTCCAGTTGTTTATTAGCGTTCACTGGTATAGACTACTCACCATTCATTGGTAACCGAACCACCAGTAGCGGCCATACCACAACTATAATAGATATTTTCGCCATCCCCATTCCTTTCATTACTTTCTGCATGTTTTAACGTTCCTAATGAAGCCATATGTTCAGCCCATTTTGCTGCTTGAGCGTTCATCTCTGTGTTCAGTTTCATTGGAGCGACCTCGTGAATAGCTCGATATTTATTATGAGCTTCCAAACCTTCCTGTTCAAATTCAGCTTGTGCTGTAGAATTAAACAATGAAAATTACCAAGGCCTGCTCTTTGGTTAGAATATTTCAATGCATGTGCTTATACTATCATATTCTTGAGGTTTTAAGGGTCTTAATTTCGGGTGGTATTATACACACTTCAAATTCAAGCCAGGAACAGTTGATGGAAGAATTAGTCAACTATAGGTCCTCCGGCAGGAATCGAACCTAAGCTTTTGCGATGCCGGTGCAATGCTCTTGGCACTGAAACCTCTAGGAAATAAACCTCTAGAATATTCCTGCATGGAGTGCAAAAATCATATGATATTCTTGTGATATATTTTCCATGGTGAACAACAATATAAATTATAAGTTTGTAGTAATATAATGGAGAAAAACACTCACTCTGTTCTCCACCACCACCACCTCCACCACCTCCACCACTACCTCCTTGTCCTCCGCCACCTCCTCCTTGTCCTCCACCACCTTCACCTCCACCAGCACCTCCTCCTTGTCCTCCACCACCTTCACCTCCACCAGCACCTCCTCCTTGTCCTCCACCACCTTCACCTCCACCAGCACCTCCTCCTTGTCCTCCGCCACCTCCTCCTTGTCCTCCACCACCTCCGCCCCCTTCACCACCCCCTCCTTCTCCACCGCCACCTCCAGCAGCACCACCTCCTTCTCCGACGCTAGTACCACCTCCACCACCCCCTCCTTGTCCACCCCCACCCCTCCTTCTTCCCCACCACCACCAGCACCACCACCGCCGGCCCCTTCACCACCCCCAGGACCACCCTGTCCTCCACCTCCCATCCAACCACCTCCAGCACCGCCTCCACCACCAGCTCCAAAACCTCCACCGCACATGGCTGGATTATATCGCCCTCTCAGAACGTTATTCCTCTCTTTACCAAGATAATTTCCAGATGGAAAATAGCGGCCCACCACGTATGTACACTGCATGCCGTTTGTGCTACCAAAAGCTCGACCAATCCCAAAAGCCTTCGTCTTTCGCCAGACTAACTGTGTGAAATAATCCACGAAGCCTTTACTTTTTGACGGCTTATCAAAATTGTAGCCGCAAACTTCACTGTACCTACACGAACGCAATAATTTGGGCCATTAGCTTCCCGCTTAAAAACATTTGTCGAAAAACGAGAACAGTCGTATCTCTACAAATATGGTTCTTACCATGCTTTTGATACGTCGGCCCCGCTGATATGATTGCCACAATGTACAAAAATATTTTCTCCAAACCACGGGCGAATATAAGGGTCGCGTCTTACTTTGTATAATCCACGTTGAGCCAATCTCTTGGCGTAGTGCTCTGCCTGGCGGTTCAAACCCCCGCTCATTCGGAGCGCCATAGCGTTGTGTGTCTGTCTGTACTTATTGTGCGCTTGCAAGGCATCGTTTCGAAATGTGTGAAGGCCTGAGACGAGAAGGATAGACTCATGCAATGAGACTTAAATAAACTACTTTAATTAAGTTAGAAGGACAACATACTTATTTCATCAGGAGATATAGCCTGTGAATAGATCGTAAGGTTACGATTGCAGCAGGAGGCTCATTTGATGAGCATTCAACAGTGAAAATATAATCTGCTAAAGTCGAAAATTTGGACGCAAAACACTCTTTGTTCCGATTCTTATGTATACGTTTCTGTGAACTTTATAAACATGAAGCATTTGTATGCTTCGCAAAAAACTAGTTTTGGAATAAATGACCACAGTACCAAACCATGACCAAAATAGGTGCAAGAGCTGCAAAGTAGGACTATACAGAGGATATATTTACCTTGAGGTTTCCCTCTCCCTCCTCCACCACCCATCATTCCTCCTCCACCACCTATCATCCCTCCACCATTGCCCAACATTCCACCTCCACCACCCATCATCCCTCCTCCACCACCCATCATCCATCCTCCTCCTCCTCCCATCATTTCTCCTCCTCCACCGCCGATCATCCCTCCTCCCCCACCGCCTATCATCCCTCCTCCACCACCCACCCCTCCCCCCCCTCCCATCATCCCTCCTCCTCCACCACCCATCATCCTCCTCCGCCACCATCATCCCTCCTCCCACCCATCATCCCTCCTCCTCCACCACCCATCTTCCTCCTCCCCCTCCACCCATCATCCCTCCTCCACCACCCCTCCCCCCTCCGCCACCTCCCATCATCCCTCCTCCCCTGCCATGTCCTCCACCTCCTCCTCCACCTCCTTGTCCTCCTCCGCCACGACCCATCATTCCTTTGCCACCTCCCAACATTCCTCCACCACCACCCATCATCCCTCCTCCGCCACCACCCCCCTTTCCTCGACCGCCTCCTCCCTCTCCTTGTCTTCCTCCGCCACCACCCCATTGGCTCTGCCAGCTATTACCTCCGCCGCCACCCATCATCCCTCCTTCACCACCACCTCCATGTCCACCTCCACCTCCCTTTCCTCCTCCGCCACCACCCCATTGGCTCTGCCAGCTATTACCTCCGCCACCACCCATCATCCCTCCTTCACCACCACCTCCATGTCCACCACCCTTTCTTCCTCCGCCACCACTCCATTGGCTCTGCCAGCTATTACCTCCGCCGCCACCCATCATCCCTCCTTCACCACCACCTCCATGTCCACCTCCACCTCCCTGTCCTCCTCCACCACCACCCCATTGACTCTGCCAACTACTCCCCCCACCGCCACCTGCACCATTTCCACCACCTCCTGTGTTCCACGAAAACGATTTCTTCTGCTTGCTCATCATTCGTTTCGCAGGAGGTTTTTGTACAACATGCGGTACACTCTTAGCTTGAATAACTAGGCTTTTGAGTGTCGAATTCCTTCGTATTCCTCCAGATGCTGTTAAAAATAGTTGAAAACAAACGTAAGCTCGTTAAAACTGTGTTTAAGATTAATTTAGACGTATTAAAAAAAGGAATTTGACTTTTATTTCAATTTAAATAAGGTGTGCTTGTTTTCCTACTTGAGACATATTTTTTAAACCAGTCTCTCTCGGGATTGACTGTTAGAGAGAAAGATGCTGCCCAATTGTATTTTTTACGTACATTACATGCCCCAACGTGGCCATGTCCCAACATGGCCTGTCTGTTCAATTTCGGGAAATAAAATTGCCATTGGGTAATTTACTTAGTTCCAAAGCTGTTGACTGGACCGTGAAAGCGGACAGAAAGCAGTTTTAAAACTTGTCTCATTCTTGCTTTTTCATGCTCCTGTAACAGGAATATTTTTCGACAAATAAGCTTTCACGTCGCCGCGTTGAACCTCGTACCCAGGGTCTTTGCCGCGTTATGTCTACTGACCCCAAGCGCACAAGGAGGCTCTTAGACAAAGTAAGACCAAAATCAGGGCCGGCCGGTTGTATCAGCCCCGTTTAGCTTAAACGGTGGATAAGTTCAAAAAAGAAAAGCAAGTCTATCGTTTTATTCAACAAGCGAACTAAATGTTTTTGACCTTAATACAAAGATACTGTTTACAACTACGTATTCAGTGTATAATAGTCAAGTTGATTCATTCAAGAGAGATGTATAAGAATTTTGACTATTCCACCGTGAAAGCTAAACGGGCTTGATACAACCGGCCCGAGTTAAGTATTAAATTTATCAACAAGTATATTCTATATGCAGAAGCATTGTAGAAGCAACGTTAACACTGCTTTACTGAGCAACACTGCTTTACTCAATGTGTGACTGCTTGTACACGCGTTTCTATCGGTAATGGTCAACTCAAGCGGCCTTTAGCATAATATAATAGACCAACTTATGATCTAGGTGACAAGAAAGAAATAAATCACCTCAGCTAGAAGAGCATACCGATAATTGCCAAGTTTGGCTGAAAAATATCAAGTAGTACGAAAAATATAGCCGCGCGAAGTTGGCAATTTCTTATACCTTTTTACTACGGCCGAAATTGTAACGAAATTAGTTACACGCTTCCAGCCGTATTACAAAAGTTTGCAACATTGCCAACCTCGCATGGCTATATTTTCCGCACTTTACAATATTTTTTAAGTTGTTCTATTATGCGAAAGGTTCATTCAAGCAAAGATTGTCATATTGCAAAACGAAGAACTTAGATTAGAGTGTATGTATTCAAGGCACAGCGATGACTTTCGAATAACACCTACCAGGAAATATAACCAGGGATATATGGAAGCACACGAAGATCACAAACCACACGCACATCACGATCTTTGATTCTCCTGCAGTGAAAACATCTGTTACATATAACATGCAATTGATGCGATGTACTCACTGTAAACATGTTTGACTGAACCAGTTCGGTTTTGAGGCAAGCATAATGCGTTTACTTCAAGTATGTGTGTAACAATGTTATATAACTGATATTCACCCCCACCCCCGATTATCGTTCTATAGACTATAGTTACGCCGCTGAGCAAGCATTATTCAATTATTATTATTTTTAAAGCATGCAGGATAATGTAAATAATTAATTTTTAATATATTCAGTTCACAAGCACGTTAGCACTCGCCATTGTAAACACCCATACACATCGGCCGCTCGTACTTAAAAGCACTAACAAGTACTTAAAAGGTCAAATACCGTGACGGTTTTCTTAATTCTTTTGTAATGGCGAAGTACAAGTACTTAGTTCTAAGCTTGTTAAGAAGCACTAGTTTTAATCCATAACTCTGTGACAAGACAAAACCTGCTGATTTTGGCGGAAAAAACACATTTTTTTAACTGGGAAAAGTGAAATGAAGTATTAAACATGAGACAAACAAAACTGCAAAGCCCTTAATTGGCAGCAGAAAAAATACAAAATTTCTGAAGTTGGTCAGTTGAATGCGTGAAGTGCAAATATAAACTTTTTATATCCAATGAATAAAATCTTAATCTTAATAAAATCTTAATTGTATCTATACTTTGTATTGGATTCTATGTCTACTTTGTATTTGTTGTCTCCAACAAGCCAAGAAGCTTTCAAAATGTGTGTATTTTATATTATACAATTTGATTCAACTCACCTTAAAAAGTCTTGCTAAAATTAACTATCATTTAAGATGCTGGATCTCACAGATTACTTTTATCCATTCTGTAAACGTTGTATTGTAGATTCTTCTACTCCCAATCATGAGTAAGTATTGTTCAGTCAATCGTTCAACTGGTTGCTCTAAACAACTCTTTCGCCTTGGATGAAGAGAACAATTACCCCACCATGAACTTTGACAGCAATTTCATTACAGCCAAATTAGGCTTTATCCCGGTCTAATGAATCACTAGCTAAATCCCAGCTTTAATAAATCGCTAGCATTGTTGCATACGTGCACTGATACACTGCAATATGCACTACACGAAAAGAGACACTGCACTCATGCTGTGCCAGTGATCGAAAAGGAGAAAAAATAAGTACCGTTCAAAGAGCTAGCTACTATACCGGGGGTATAAAAAAAGACCTTTAGAAATTAAACAGTTGTTTAAATGCTTTGTCACTACGCGCATAGGCCCGGTTCACACTAGCCCCTAAGAATCGGGGATCCAATAATTCCCATTGTATATTATTTTCCGATAGACAAAGCATTTTGCGCACCAGCGACCTCCGACAAAGGGGAATCCCGGATTCTTAGGGCAAGTCTGAACCAGGCTTCAAGCCTTTGGATGCGTAAAATATTGTAAAATACAGCTTTGTGTACGTATATATTACATATCTTTGTCGCAAGCACAAAGGCCAGCCTTTCTTCTCCTTGGAATTTGACAAAACTTCTAAAAGCAAAATTCTGCATAATAATGCGTGGTAAAGAAAAGTTTTATCGTCCAGACTTATATCCAGACGAAAAAAATATGTATATGTATACAAAACACGTTTTGAGAAAGATTCTTGATCGAAATCCACTGGTGAAAAGCACAACTTGAACAACGCCGGTGCGAAATTTTTGAGCAGTATATTAACTCTTAAGCAGCACTCGTGGGCTTAGAGAATGGACGACTTGCGCTTTAGACTAATTTTTGATCGAAGTAACAAAAAGAAAATAAATCATCACAGTCAAAAAGATCTTACTTAAGTTTGTACAAATGCAAAGTTTGGCTACGAAATTTTGTAAAATACGGAAAATATAGCCATGCGAAGTTGCCATATTCTATATACTTTTGTATTACGTGCGGAAATTTGTAACTAATTTAGTTACAAACTTCCAGCCGTAATACAAAAGTATACAAAATTCTTAAAATTCGCACGGCAATATTTTCTGAAATTTACAACAATTCGCAGCCAAACTTGGCAGTTTCACTAAGCTCTTTCAGAAATATTGAAATAGATTCATTTGGGAAATAGAAAATAGTGTTTTCCACCTGTTTTTATAATTTAATAACGGCTTAAAGCTGGAAAATCTATTTGGAATTGGGTGCCTTTAATGAAGACGGATATTTAATTAACTCTTCTCTATGTTTCGTCATTAATAACCACGGCACGGATTAATAGAAATGTTCAGAGTCCAATGTTTGGCCAAGTATCTGATGCTGGCGTCGCTCGGGCACTTCATGTTGTATTGGTCCTACCAGGATATAAAAAAGATGCTTCCGTGCACATGAGCAGACCATGTATCTGACAAAAAATGAGGATAGGTGGATGAATCTGCTCAAAATTTGTTTGATTTATGGTTTGTCGCTCTGCGACACTCGAGATCCACCTCCACCCCAACTTCCACCCCAGTTTCCACCATTATCACCTCCCCATTTTGAACTCCAACTATTTCCTCCCCCTCCCCCTCCATTATCGCCTCCTCCCCATTTTGTACTCCAGCTTTTTCCTCCACCATCACCACCGCCACCGCCACCTTGATTTCCTCCAAAATTCATGTTCCAACTTGAACCACCTCCCCCTCCTTGAGCTCCACCACCGCCACCTCCCATGCCTGCACCGCCCCACGCTAACCCCCAGCTGCCCACCCACCCCACCACCTCCGGCACCACCTCCTGCAGCACCACCTCCCGCAGCAGCACCCCCTGCAGTACCACCTCCTGCAGCACCACCTCCGGCTGCACCACCACCGGCTGCACCACCTACAGCACCTCCTCCAGCTGCTCCACCTGCACCGCCGCCTCCAGCTGCACCACCACCACCCCCAGCTGCACCACCACCACCCCCAGCTGCACCACCACCACCCCCAGCTGCACCATCCCCTCCACCTCCAGCTGTACCACCTCCACCTGCACCACCACCCCCAGCTGCACCACCACCCCCAGCTGTGCCACCCCCACCTCCTCCACCGCTTGGCACCCATTTGGGATTCTGACAGTAAGACTTATCGAAAGTTCCCTTAAAAACATTCTCCTTTTCCTTCCCCATCCAATTTCCCGGCGGTTTGTATCGTCCCACGACGTAAGTGCAACCCCCCTTCGTAGCTCTGCCCATGCCAAGCTCTAGACTTGTTTTCCAAGTAACTTGGGTAAAATGACCAACTGCCTTGCCATTGGCTGATTTGCCTGTATTGAAATCATAGTCACACACTTCTTTATACCTACAAAAGGAAAACAGATGGGAAACAGTTTAGGGATAAAGCCATTAGCAACTGTCTGGAGGTAAAGTCCCGCAAATTGTCTCGAGATTGAAGCCAAAATTTGCCGGGACAATACCTCTAGACACGCGATTCGGGAGGTAAGGTTCACCGAACTTTGGCTTCACAAAAACAATAGGGGGTATCGTTCCAGTTGTTTATTAGCGTTTACTTGTATAGACTACTCACCATTCATTGGTAACCGATCCACCAGAAGCGGCCATACCACAACTATAATAGATATTTTCGCCATCCCCATTCCTTTCACTACTTTCTGCATGTTTTAACGTTCCTAATGAAGCCATATGTTTAGCCCATTTCGCTGCTTGAGCGTTCATCTCCGTGTTCAGTTTCATTGGGGCGACCTCATGAATAGCTCGATATTTATTATGAGCTTCCAAACCTTCCTGTTCAAATTCAGCTTGTGCTGTAGAAATAAACAATAATAAATTACCAAGGCTTGCTCTTTTGGTTAGGATAATCTCAATGCCTGTGCTTATACTACGATATTCTTGTGATTTTCCATTGTGAACAACAATATAAATCATAGGTTTGTAGTAAAGTAATGGAGAAAAACACTCACTCTGTTCTCCACCTCCGCCTCCGCCACCACCTCCAAAACCTCCGCCTCCTCCTCCGCCCGCTGGACTTCCACCACCTTCACCTCCACCCCCGCCTCCTCCTTGTCCTCCGCCACCTCCTCCTTGTTCTTCACCACCTCCGCCCCCTTCACCACCCCCTCCTTGTCCACCGCCACCTCCAGCATCACCACCTCCAGCACCACCACCTTCAGTACCACCACCTCCGCCTCCTTCTCCACCTCCAGGACCACCTCCACCGCCCCCTCCTTGTCCACCCCCACCCCCTCCTCCTTCCCCACCACCACCAGCACCACCGCCGCCGGCCCCTTCACTACCCCCAGGACCACCTCCACCACCCTGTCCTCCGCCTCCCATCCCACCACCTCCAGCACCGCCTCCACCGCACATGGCTGGATTATATCGCCCTCTCAGAACGTTATTCCTCTCTTTACCAAGATAATTTCCAGATGGAAAATAGCGGCCCACCACGTATGTACACTGCATGCCGTCTGTGTTACCAAAAGCTCGACCAATCCCAAAAGCCTTCGTCTTTCGCCAGACTAACTGTGTGAAATAATCCACGAAGCCTTTACTCTTTGACGGCTTATCAAAATTGTAGCCGCAAACTTCACTGTACCTACACAAATGCAATAATTTGGGCCATAAGCTTTCCGCTTAAAAACATTTGTCGAAAAACGAGAACAGTCGTATCTCTACAAATATCGTTCTTACCATGCTTTTGATACGTCGGCCCCGCTGATATGATTGCCACATTGTACAAAAAGATTTTCTCCAACTCCTGGGCGAATATAAGGGTCGCGTCTTACTTTGTAAAATCCACGTTGAGCCAATCTCTGGGCGTAGTGCTCTGCCTGGCGGTTCAAACCCCCGTTCATTCGGAGCGCCATAGCGTTGTGTGTCTGTCTGTACTTATTGTGCGCTTGCAGGGCATCGTTTCGAAATGTGTGAAGGCCTGTTTAGACGAAACGAGAAGGATAGACTCATGCAATGGGACTTGAATAAATTTCTTAGATTACGTCAGAAGAAAAACTTACTAATGTCATCAAGAGATATAGCCTGTGAATAGATCGTAAGATTACAATTGCAGTAGGAGGCTCATTTGATGAGCATTCAACTGTGAAAATATTAATCTTCGTCTAAAATTTGGACGCAAAACACTCCTTGTTCCGACTCTTATATGTACGTTTCTATGAACTTTATGGAAACATTTGTATGCTTCGCAAAAAAACTAGTTTTGGAATAAATGACCACAGTACCAAACCATGACCAAATTTCGTTCGCACTAGCTGCAAAATAGGACTATACAGAGGATATATTTACCTTGAGGTTTCCCTCTCCCACCTCCACCACCCATCATTCCTCCTCCACCACCCATCATCCCTCCGCCATTACCCAACATTCCACCTCCACCACCCATCATTCCTCTTCCTCCGCCACCCATCATTCCTCCTCCTCCGCCACCCATCATCCCTCCTCCTCCGCCACCCATCATTCCTCCTCCTCCGCCACCCATCATCCCTCCTCCTCCACCACCCATCATCCCTCCTCCTCCGCCACCCATCATCCCTCCTCCTCCTCCACCCATCATTCCTCCTCCTCCACCGCCGATCATCCCTCCTCCTCCACCACCCATCATCCCTCCTCCTCCACCACCCATCATCCCTCCTCCTCCCCCACCCATCATCCCTCCTCCTCCACCACTTATCATCCCTCCTCCACCACCCATCCCCCCTCCGCCACCTCCCATCATCCCTCCTCCCCCGGCATGTCCTCCACCTCCTCCTCCACCTCCCTGTCCTCCCCCGGCATGTCCTCCACCTCCTCCTCCACCTCCCTGTCCTCCCCCGCATGTCCTCCACCTCCTCCTCCACCTCCTCCTCCACCTCCCTGTCCTCCCCCAGCATGTCCTCCACCTCCTCCTCCACCTCCCTGTCCTCCCCCGCCATGTCCTCCACCTCCTCCTCCACCTTCCTGTCCTGCTTCGCCACGACCAATCATTCCGTTTCCACCACCCAACATTCCTCCACCACCACCCATCATTCCTCCTCCGCCACCACCCCCATGTCCTCCACCGCCTCCTCCCCCTCCCTGTCCTCCTCCTCCGCCTCCCCCCTCTCCCTGTCCTCCTCCACCACCACCCCATTGGCTCTGCCAGCTATTACCTCCGCCGCCACCCATCATCCCTCCATCACCACCACCTCCATGTCCACCTCCACCTGCCTGTCCTCCTCCGCCACCACCCCATTGGCTCTGCCAACTACTCCCTCCGCCGCCACCAGCGCCATTTCCACCACCTCCAGTGTTCCACGAAAACGATTTCTTCTGCTTGCTCATCATTCGTTTCGCAGGAGGTTTTTGTACAACATACGGTACACTTTTAGATGGAATAACTAGGCGTTTGAGTGTCGAATTCCTTCGTATTCCTCCAGATGCTGTTAAAAATAGTTGAAAACAAACGTAAGCTCGTTAAAACTGTGTTTAAGATTAATTTAAAATTTGATTTTTATTTCAATTTAAATCAGCCAGGTGTGCTTGCTTTCCTAATTGAGACATATTTGTTAGACCAGTCTCTACCGGGATTGACTGTTAGAGAGAAAGATGCTGCCCAATTGTATTTTTTATGTGCGTTACACGTCCCAACGTTGCCATGTCCCAACATGGCTTGTCTGTTCAATTTCGGGGAATAACATTGCCATTTTGAAAGTAATTGCCGTAAATTGGGTAATTTACTAATTTCCAAGACGTTTAGCTTAGACTGTGGATATATAAGTTCAAAATAGAAAGCAAGTCTATCGTTTTATTCAACAAGCGAACTAAATGTTAACTTTTTGACCTTAATACAAAGATACTGTTTTCAACTACATATTCAGTGTATAATATTCAAGACTTCAAGTTGACTCATTCAAGAGAGATGTATAAAAGTGTTATTTAATTTTGACTTATCTACCGTTTAAGCTAAACGGGTTTGACACAACCGACCCGAGTTAAGAATTAAATTTATCAATAAATATATTCTTTATGCAGAAGCATTATAGAAGCAACGTTAACACTGCTTTACTGAGCAACACTGCTTTACTGAGTGAGCGACTGGTTGTAGTCACGTTAGCTAAAAAGAGCACACCGATAAATGCCAAGTTTGGCTAAAAAATATCGTAGTACGGAAAATATAGCCATGCGAAGTTGGAAATTTCTTATACTTTTTTACTAAGTACAAAAGTATGCAACATTGCTATATTTTCTGCACTTTACAATATTTCGCAGCACAACTTGGCAATTTTACTTCATCTAGTATCCACTTTTACGAGATTCCCTTTTTGTCGCCTGAATCAAAAGTTGTTCTATTATGCGAAACGTCTATTCAAGCAAAGATTGCCATATTGCATGCGCAAAACGAAGGCACAGCGATGACTTTCGAATAACACCTACCTGGAAATATAACCAGGGATATATGGAAGCACACGAAGATCACAAACCACACGCACATCACGATCTTTGATTCTCCTGCAGTGAAAACATCTGACATTGAACATCTGACATGACATATAACATTGAATGTGAAACATTGTTGCGATGTACTTACTGTAAACATGTTTGACTGAACCAGTTCGGTTTTGAGGCAAGCATAATGCGTCTACTTCGAGTATGTGTGTAACAATGTTATATAACTGATATTTACCCCCTCCTCCCAATTATCGTTCTACAGGGTGTCCCAAAAAAACCGAAAACTATTGAAATCACCCATAACAATGCCATTGTTAGAGTTTGAATGCCTAAGCACTCTGTTGGGCCCACAAGTGTATAATCGGGGTTGCCATAAGCATTTTTTTATGCATGCATATGATGCAGTCAAATTTGCTTGTTCGCAAAAATGATATTTATTAACAATATTTACAATTTACAAATATGGATAACATTATTTAAATGTGCATCTCAAGGACCATGACCTTCGACATGTCCCCTTTCTCCAGCAACACAAAGCATTTAGCATTTTATAAGTTGCATTAAATCCCCACGGGCTGAAATTCGTGAACACGGCATTCAAATTTTAACAATGAGTGATTTCAATAGTTTTCGTTTTTTTGGGACACCCTGTATAGACTATAGTTACGCCGCTGAGCAAGCATTATATTCAATTATTTTTAATGCATGCAGGATAATGTAAATAATTAATTTTTAATCTATTCATTTCACAAGCACGTTCCCACTCGCCATTGTAAACACCCATACACATCGGCCGCTCGTACTTTAACAAGTACTTAAAAGGTCAAATACCGTGACGGTTTCCTTAATTCTTTTGTAATGGCGAAGTACAAGTACTTAGTTCTACAAGCTTGTTAAGAAGTACTATAGTTTTAATCTATAATTTTCTGTGACAAGACAAAACCTGCTGATTTAGGCGGAAAAAACACATTTTTTTAACTGGGAAAAGTGAAATGAATTATTAAACATGAGACAAACAAAACTGCAAAGCCCTTGGCACAAGAAAAAAATACAAAATTTCTGAAGTTGAATGCATGGAGGGCAAGGATAAACTTTTTATATCCAATGAATAAAATCTTAATCTAAATAAAATCTTAATTATATCTACTACAGTATTGGATACTATGTCTACTTTTTATTCGTTGTCCCCAACAAGCCAAGAAGCTTTCAAAATGTGTGTATTTTATATTATACAATTTGATTCAACTCACCTTAAAAAGTCTTGCTAAAATTAACTATATATATCATTTAAGATGCTGGATCTCACAGATTACTTTTATCCATTCTGTAAACGTTGTATTGTAGATTCTTCTACTCCCAATCATGAGTAAGTATTGTTCAGTCAATCGTTCAACTGGTTGCTCTAAACAACTCTTTCGCCTTGGGCGAAGAGAACAATTACTCCACCATGAACTTTGACAGGATGTCATTACAACCAAATTAGGCTTTTTTCCGGCTTTAATAAATCGCCAGCTAAATCCCAGCTTTAATAAATCGCTAGCACTGTTGCACATGTGCACTGATATACTGCAATATGCACCACACGAAAAGAGACACTGCACTCATGCTGTGCCAATGATCGAAAAGGAGAAAAAACAAGTACCGTTCAAAGAGCTAGCTACTATACAGAGTGTAAAAAAAAGACCTTTAGAAATTAAACTATTGTTTAAATGCCCTGTCACTACGCTTAGGCCTGGTTAACACCAGCTCCTAAGAATCGGGGATCCCATTGTGTTATTTTCCGATATACAAAGCATTTTGCGCACCAGCCCCCTCCGACAAAGGGGAATCACAGATTCTTAGGACAAGTCTGAACCAGGCTTAAGCCCTTGGATGCGTAAAATATTGTCAGTTTTGTGCATATATTACATATGTTTGTCGCAAGCACAAAGGCCAGCCTTTCTGCTCCTGGGAATTCGACAAAACTTCTAACAGCAAAATTCTGCATAATAATGAATGGCAAAGAAAAGTTTTGTCGTCCAGACTTATATCTAGACGAAAAAAATACGTATATGTATCATTGAACTCAAAAGAACGTTCTTTTGAGTTCACTGATATGTATAAAAAACACGTTTTGAGAAAGGTTCTTGATCGAAATCCACTGGTGAAAAGCACAACTTGAACAACGCCGGTGCGAAATTAATGAGCAGTATTAATTTGCACTCGTGGCTTAGAGAATGGATGACTTGCGCTTTAGACTAATTTTTGATCGAAGTAACAAGAAGAAAAAAAATTATCACAGTCAGAAAGATCTTACTTAAATTAGTGCAAATGCAAAGTTTGGCTGCAAAATTTTGTAAAATACAGAAAATATAGCCATGCAAAGTTGCCATACTTTTGTATTACGTGCCGAAATATGTAACTGATTTAGTTACAAACTTCCAGCCGTTATACATAAGTATACAAAATTCTTAAAATTCCCACGGCAATATTTTCTGAAATTTACAACAATTCGCAGCCAAACTTGGCAGTTTCACTAAGCTCTTTCAGAAAAAGAAATAGATTCATTTGGGAGATAGAAAGTAGGGTTTCCGCTTGTCTTTATAATTTAATAACCGCTTAAAGCTGGAATATCCATTTGGAATTGGGTGCCATATTTACCAATTTTGGTAATATACCTTCTTTAGACACTCACTTTCGAACAAAAATTGTTCAAATTTAATCATTAAATTTCTTTTTGCGAACAGAAAATAGTGTGGAGCCTCCGCGTAAACAACACCGCGAGAGCGTTTTAATTTTCCCTAATTAATTCCTTGTTTTGCGCAAGCTACAGATCAGGCTGCGTCTTCGTGATCGTTTGTGACGTAAACAATGTAAACGGTTATAATTGAAACCGCACGCTTCATTTTACTTGATTACGTCTTTTGAGCTTACATTTTCTCAACGGTTTTTGCAAATGGAATTAAGTAATGAAGAAAAAAGGGTTCAGGTTGAAAATGGCGATGATTTGCCTTGCGAAGATCTAGAGAGCGAGGAAGGATTGGTTCGGGAATTGTTAAAATTCAACATTTATGGCGACGCGACAACTCTTGACGAAATTGTCGAAGTTGCAAAGAAAAATGCAAGAGAAACGAAAGACCGTGTCGCGAAGCTAAGGACGTTGTTTGAGGGCGAGGAAAATCGAGGTAACAATTAGCACGTATTTAATACTAGTACATAGTATATGTGAGAAAGTGGCTAAAAAGTCGTTATTGTTTACGCTAGCATAATAAACCTAAGGTCGGCAAATCTTTTCTGAGTTTACACATACTGACCAGCCTAGACCAACATAAGATAACGAAAATTACAAATAAAGATAAAACTTGGTAAATTTCTTAAGCTAGCAGTCATCTTTTGTTCTAAAATGGCATTAAATTTAAGAAAATAATTGCAATATTTTTTACAGTTTGAATGACGAAAACGAAATTTCATTGGTTTATGCCTAACGGTAAAAGCCAATGAAATAATGCATTCGTGATTCAAACCAAAAACCACTATCAGGCAACTTACATCCCGCATATACAGTCACAGCGAAAAATTAAGAAAATTGGTAAAAAAATGTGCCGATTTTTCAACACTTCCAGTGTCGTTTATGCCAAAAAAATGGCTAGTAGTTTAGTAAAGGTATCTTAATTTACCTCTGTATAGTTTTTTGTGTTCTTTGCTGCGAAGTTACAAAGTTTTTTGACTCCATAGGAATATCAGAGAATCATTGGTAACGGTCTCGCATTCTTTAGTGCCATTAACTCGACCAACCTGCTTTGCGCGCTTAGTATTAAAAACTTGTTTATCTGGTTAGTCTACAAGCCAACAATTCATCGGCTATTCGTGCATCCGTGAGTTGTCTCATTGAGACCTTTGATTTACTATTTCTCCCAAGATAAGTGTTGGTTTGGAAATTAAGTTGTCAACCTTATCTATTACATAAGTCGGTATAAAGCTGCCCGCGCGCGTAAACAATGTAGTCGAAGACTGAGTCACACGCAGATTTCTGGGCTACATATGCCTTAACATGTCACAATTTACGGGCAAGTTATGAGCAAAACTAGAAACAAGTACAGATTTTATTCGCGCGCGCAAGTGAGCGTCCTCTTCGGGATCAAGCGAAAACTTTTGCTTGATTCTTTTTTCAATCGTAAAAATTCGACCGTAGCGTATTACGGTCTAAAAGAAAACATAAAAAATAGAGGCTAGTGCATAGAACAACCCAGGCCTGGGTGGAAAATGCTAAAATCTCAATGGGAATTGATTTCATCTCTCAGATAATAGAGTTGCTACGACCGGAAACAACCTGTTGCCTAATTCAAATGACAAATATGAGCAAGAAAATGCGAAATGCAAACCAAAAAGGTACCACAAACAGAGGAAGAGAAAGCGAGGGTCCACAAGAAAAGAAATGCAGTATGAAGGAGCCGAGAATTAACCGAGATTCTGACGGCCTTTATAAAATATTGTGTTATTATTTTAATATAACGAGAGTATAAGAAACGATAGGAAACTATTAACAGTGAATTGTTTAGTTTACACTACGGGTCTAGGGCCTGTGGCCTGGACTGAAATGCATTTATATTGGCCCTAGTGTAAACACAGCTCATAACAGAGCCACGATAACCAATGAGATTAAATTATTCAATTCAACGAGCCAATACTACAGCCTTTTAGTTTCCAACATGTTTATCAAAACGGCAGACGAAACAATATATATTTTTTATCCTTATAATCAAGTGAAAACATGCATTTGCGATGGAACAAACTGATATATGAGTGAACAAGATTACGAGCGAGGATCGTTCTGTCATCGGGGATTTGTAAATTTCTTTCAAAACTAAAAACAATTCCATCGAATATCGCATAAAATGGGCTGTGTTTGAACTTCAGTAGCTTCGTAATCAGTCATAAGTTTAACTTTCTATCATAAGACATAACAACTGCATTGCATTTTTTTGGGCGTATGTTGTCAATAAACATCTTTTACACTCGTTGATAAAATGGCATAAATACTATAAATATTTATATAGTGCCTTTTCTTATGTTTACAAATTAGATATATTAAAACACTAACAGCAATTTAGTACGAATTTTACCGCTAAAAATCAGTCTACATAAATTTACTCTATTAAATATTAAAAATTGGAACACAATGATCCAACTATTTATGTCAATCAAACGGTAAAATGTTTATCTAATTCATATTGAACAGCTTTTTCTTGGAAGGATTGTTTCCATCAGAACGATCTCTACGGGCGGGACGTTTTGCCCCTTCGCTGGCGTGAAATAACCGGTTTTGTCACCAGCTAACTCATCCGGAAAAGAGAATTTTTGTGTTTTACACCACTTCTTAAAACATTGCACGATCCTCTCTTCCTTCTCTCTGCTTCCGGGTGTTTCCGCGATAGCAGGCTGCTTTAAATTCCTGCCGTACACACGAACGTACTGCTCGGAGAATTTCTGAGGCAACATCTCGCTCACGATGTTCGTACGGAGCTGGATGGCCTTTTCGAAATTCTTGTTGTAAAACACCACGGATTCCACGGGATCTTTATTCTTCATTCCAAAATTGATCTCAACAATGCTGATGAACAACTCCTCGGGAGAGACATCCTCGTCGTAAGACGCAATTTCCTCGGCAACTTCCAAAGGGCCGATTTCCAACATCGAGGAAGGCTGCGTCTCCCCACAGAACTTGTACAACTCTCGTCGTTGGATTCTTCCGAGAATTTCTTGCGCTTTTTGGGTGTTTTCATCCGGTTTTTCACAGCGAATGATTTCGTAGAATACACTATCGGTCAGCTTCGAGTACTTTTCCATGTCGAAGATGGCCGTTGAGAAAAGATACTTGTGGTTTACAAGTGCAAATGCTTCAGTAATCATATCTTCAATGGCCTTCACTGTTTTATGCTGGTAAACGCGGTGATGTAGGGACCAGCGTGTGTGAAACATCTCGTAGATATTGAACACAAGCTTGTCTCTCAAACCCAGCTGTAATTCGCCATCGACGCGCAAAATGCGCACGTTCTGAAAGTAGCGAAGGTGGTCGAAATTGCTTTTAACTCCGAGGTTGAGACAATCCCGCGCGAAATAATCGAACTTATCGCAATCGATTCCGTTTCTCTTGTTGGCAACGATCTCAAACAGAAACCACTTCGAGTACTTAGTACTATCAAGTGTAACCGTTTGCGTGACCTTGTCCTTCCCAGGAAGTTTGCCTCTAATAAGTTCTTTCACAAGTTTTCGTTCATTTTCACCGATGTTTTTTCTTTCTAAGGTTTCTTTTAGTTCTGGATTAACATTCAACATGTGATCAAACATTTCACACGACGCCTCCTCGTGTTCCCACGCCTTCAATTTCATCGCTTGCTCTCGATGGAACTTCAAGGATTTATTGGAATCTGAATTTCTAGGTTATACTATCTTGGTATTTCACCAATTTTGACTTCATTTGTGTATCAAACACATGGGAGAATGGCCCATGACCCAGATCCTACAAAATTAATATTAATAGAATTTTCGAAAGGCGTTTAGCTTAAACGGTGGATAAGTTCAAAATGGAAAACAAAGAAGGTATTTATTGAACAACTGAGCTGAAATATTTCGATGTAAATAGTTTAATTGTCAATGGAAGTAAGTATCAAATGCATAAGCTACAGGTTCAAACAGTCATTCACAAGATCTGTGAGAGTATTTTTAAACTTTGGCTTTAAACTTAATTAAACAATATGTTTAAAGATGTTTTTGTAGATCAATGTATGTAAACTATATGTGATTTCATTAACACCATACATACGTGGCAGAGTGCAGCTATTTTGACACACAAAACCTCCTCATCTGTAATTAATCCCATTTCATTTTTATGGATATCTCGTAGGGTCTCAATCATCTTTCTAGCAAGGTAGGCAGTGCCAAGAGAGTGTTCAAAGCGGTTATGTGAAGCACCAGGGTACACCCAGTATGTGGCTCCAAGCTGCTTGATATCCTTCAATCTTTGAAACTGTGGGGTATGAATGATGCGTACCAGCACAGGTTCTAGCTCAATGTAGCCATGAACAGGATCATTGAAAACTGTGCCACTTTCTGCCATTGAGAACTTGTAGATGACTGCTCAGCAACCTTAAATTAGTGTCTTAAATAAGCAATTGTTTTATTGTGTATAACACTGCATTGTAGATACTAACTTACTACATTATTGATACTATCAGTTATCAACCTGGGATGACGGTGATTCCACACTAAATTACTCATATATATATATATATAATATATAATATATATATATATATATATATATATATATATATATATACACACACACCCATTTGCAAAAACGTTGGCCGCAGATAGATATATAGATAGATAGTCGAAATCAAATTAGAATTGCATATGTTGTGTAATATGATTGAAATCCCATGCAAATGTAATCATATGCAATTCTAATTAGACTTCAAGTATCTATCTATCTATCTATCTATCTGCGGCCAACGTTTTTGCAAACGGGTGTATATATATATATATATATATATATATATATATATATATATAATACCTAAAATTTAAAGTTTGAGGGTGATTTAATGTGTAATTACCCTCCCTCATGGGTAATTCGACTTTAAATTACATGCCCCATGTGAAAAAAACAGGGTTGAAGTTTGCAGTGCATGTGCCATGTGTCCACAAAACATCTTAACTAGTTGGTCAATCTTAATTTGAGGTATAATATTATTATATTAAAGTTTATCATACTTAATGTTTATCATACTATATGAAATGATGCATTGGTTTAATGTTTACAATTTTTAAAATTATGTTCAGAGTAGCCTAGGACTGCTTTACCACATAACACGTACATGCAAATTAGTGATATGTGCATATGTTACTTCAAATGCTAATTTTTAATACAATAATATTAAAACACATGTATGTAAGCTTCATGCGGGATGCAAAGCACTCCTTGGCTATCCATGTTAGCACAATAAATTTTCATTATAAACATTTGGCTAGGAGAATAAAAACTATAAGTTTCATACTACCATTCTATGGTAACAACAAGTTGTGACAATCATGCAGTAATGATCAAGCATAGTTACAAAGACCAGCACACTGAATCGTTACATTATCAAAGTTTTACATATATATTTAGTTTCTAGCCATTGGGAAAGATTGCATCACAAGATAAACTGTTCAGAATGTATGGTATATATGTGATTATAAACTCCAACAAAAAATAACTGAAACTAATTTAAATTACTCAGACTTCACTTGAGGTTAAACAAGCTCTGACCAACTTTAGGGTTAATTAACATACAAATCAAGAGGGAATTTTCACTCTCCTGGATCATCACTATGAAATTGCTGAATAACTTGCAAAATTATAATGATAGTAAAGACTGTGCTAGATGCAGCCTTTTTAAATTGAATATTTAACCGGTATTTGTTTTAAAAACAAAACCCACATAACCAGTGTAGCCCTTACAATTTGCCTTAGCCTTTGAGATTATTTTTAAGTGAATTGCCTGTTTGTTCACAATATGCACTACAATGACTGTAGTGATCACAATGTAATCAACTGAGTTGACAAGAAATCTCGATTCCTCATGATAATGGAGATTTCCAAAGCTGTATTGAACAATAGCTACTGCAGCCTTTCATATTAATAAAATTCACATGGCCATATCATTGTATGTAACTTCTTGTGTTAGGTTTTAAAACCATGGTTAGGTTTGATGATGAATTGTAAAATTTCAAACTTCTCAAACCATATTTACTTAGTGAATCACTTTTAAATATATTTAATTTAACAAAACGAATGAAGTAGATCACAATTTAGATATGGCTGGTAGAGATATCCATATCTTAATTTGCATATAGCCCACTCATAGAAAATTTACCAGTCAAACAAATACTGTAAAGCTAAACGCTCTAACAGTGACAAACACTTCCTTGCCCATTACAAATATCAGTAATATCATAAATATCAGTTTGGATACATGGTAAGGATACATAGCCCCATCTCAGATTCAAAACAGATATTATTTTCCCCCGATATAGTGACATAACAGATGAGCAAGGTGACATATCTAACAAATCTGATCTTTTCGGGCGGGAGAATATGAAACGATTACTGAACACACGTCACACGTGTATACTTGTTGTTTACGATCAGATATAAGTGGCAACTCTTAAGTCTTACCTTCAATCTTTTGAATTTTCCTCTTCAAATTTACCGTCAAAAAAGCCCCAAGAGATCTCGACAAAATAAATTACAACCGAAGCGACGCGAAAACTTTCAAAGCAGTGATCAAATGTAGATAATGTCATTTAAATTATGGAAATTATAGCATGTCTATAATTTACATAATCACTTGTTTGCATATTTTGAAATATTCACAGCAATTATGCTATAAAAATCTTAGTTTTTCACTACAGTTAATCAATGTCTGAAGAAGAACTTAGCTTATAGTAAAAATCTTCAAAAATCTAGTTGATTACCACGAACTGAAACTGAAGAAAGCATCCCAGACACTCGAACAAATCACTGCAACGTTGGCACATTCATGTTGTTACATCATACATGAAGTACTTCCTCTCCGGGTGATCTCGCACGCGCTTATATAATTTTTAGCCAATCAGTATTCATGTTGTCGAAATAGAAATACATTCATACATTGTTTATTCGTTTTATTATATCCAGGAGCAAATCCAGACTGATGCGACTAATGCGATTGCATTATTCAAAATTTCACAAACACAAAAAATTAATTCCGGTTTATTCGACCATGGTCGAGTACACGCCTAAAAACGCTCAGGTTGATGCAAGTTGATACAAACAGGATGGAGCAATGTTGTGCTGCCCACATTGTTCAGAGTTGTCATCAACATTGAACAATATTGTTGAAACTGAATCAGGTGTAACAATATTGTTCAATATTGATAACAACTCAGAACAATGTGGGCAGCACAACATTGCTGCATCCTGTTTATATCAACTTGCATCAACCTGAGCGTTTTTACGCGTGTATACCATATTCCAGGATATTCAACCATGGTCGAGTATACCATATTTCGGTATATTCGACCATGGTCGGGTATGCCATATTTCCGTACCTACCTCCGTCATGCCATTCGACCATGGTCGAGTGTATACCATATTCCCGTATATTCCGAATGTGAGTTAAGGTCCAATGTACCAGAGCATGGTATATCCGACAATGTTCGAATATACCGGAATATGGTATACTCGAATATAGGATATTCCACCTTGATATGGTCGAATATACCGGAATATGATATATTCTACCTTGGTATGGTCCAGTGATATGGTCAAATATTTAACAATCAGCGATATTCACCGAGCCTGAGGTGAATAATTGTTTTAGTATAATTACAAAGGTGATTAATTGAGTAAGCGAATCTGTTGTAGAAGATACACATTTTACAAACGTAAACAAATATGTGGACAGTTTTACGGCAATTCAAATAAAACAATGTTTTCCTAAAATGAAGTTGAAAAGCGTTCAACAAAGTAGTTTCTTACCTTGAAAATAATTTTAGGCCGAATTTTTTAACTTCTTTTTTGCTTTCAGGTTCAAGCAACTCGCTGCCATTTTGTAAAACCCGCTTAGGTGGTTACGCGTAATATTATGCCTCAAATTCAAACTGTCCAATGAGAAAACTAGATTTCTGCCACGTGATCATGAATTTTTTCTCCGTATCGCGCTTACGTCATCCGTACGCGTATTCGCTGCAGAGGCAGATTTTTTATATTCACAGGTAAATATATCACTCATATTCATCGGTAAATATCAATTCGCGCAAGACCGATCAGAAGCCAGCATTTTCAATAATCACCTTTGTAATTATACTAAACCGGAAAACAGTATATTCGACCTTGATAAGGTCCAATACACCGGAATATAGTATATTCAAACTTTGCATGGTAGATTATAAAAAAAATATACCGAAATATACCAAACATTAAAATCCCAGTGTTCTTTTAAAATTTAATATTATCTGCATGTTTACATTTTAAATATGAAACGTTAAACAGTAAATCAGCGATAAAAACTGAACAAGAGGTATAATTTTTTCATAAATATAACTTTTCAGCAAATGAACCTTAATTTTTCATAATTTTCGAGAGCAAATATTAATATACTGAATCACCTTTAATAATATGCGAACTTCATTACGGCAGTCAGATTAGTAAAAAATATACCTTCGGGGCTATCACCTTCATTTCCTATTGCGTTATGATGTTCACTTTATTTTAATCACGAATATAAATGAAGATGAATAAATGATAATGTTTCTAGTTTAAAAATTCTCACTTCTCTCAATAAAGATTTTGGGAAAGAATGAGCCCGGTATTGATGATTGATGTGGTCTCCTATACTACTTCTATGTTCTAAATCTAAACCAATCATCCGGCATTATGTACTTTAACTGCTGAGTGGACCTGAACCCCTTCTTTGAAAGTTTACCAACAACGCTTCAATATTCTGTAATTTATTCTCAATCTTCGCTTCGAATTCTTTCACGAATTCATTTGTCTTTTTGATCTCTTCTTTCAGCTCATTCAACTGTTTTGCACAATCGTCTTTCTTTTTTTCAGCCATTACTTTTAATTGTTCCTCAACTTCATCATCGTCGTATACCTGAATCGCCAGTCGGAAATTTTTATTATTTGAATTTCCCGTATTAAAAAATATATCTTGATACCCGTGAAATACCTAAGTATTCAAAACTATTCTGAGTAAGAATATCTACGCAGACCACCTATAGTCTTGAAAATAAAACTCATAATTACGGGGACAACTTGGAACTCCCCACGTTCGGGCCGGCAAACGCGCGCTTGATCCAAAGTACAATATCATGAAACGAAAATCGGTTCCGTTTTGCCTGCATATATGCTGTTTCGACAAATCTGACGATGCCGTTATGCATTATACATTGACTCTAACGATATAATTTATACGTAGCAAGAAATAGGGGAAATTCTAACCATACCTTTTCATATCATATTGAGAAGAAATAACCAAATAATTGTGGGTCAAAACATTTTTCGACCGCTGGTAATTGAATGGACAATCTTATCGGTGCAAAAAACGAATCAAGCATATAATGAATGCATTTGCATATTCATTTGCTCATTTATTTATAAAAAAGTTTTAATTTGTTATCGAGAATGTATCTATATATTTTCCACAATAAAGCATACCTTTTTCCATTGGCGTAATAGCCACGATGACTGACATTCTTTCTCTTGTGGGTCCTCTACGAAATCTTTAAATTCAGGTGGTGAGAGAAATGGAATTCTGTTAAAATTTCTTTCCAATGTAATGACAAGCTTTGCCTAAATAGAAAAGAAAAACAGAACAGAAGTTAGTTAGCCTAAACTTCTAAAATTAATAATAACAAAAGATTAGAAACTAATCATGTGGTTGTCCTACAGTTCCGGTGAGCTTTTAGTGGATAAAAAAATAAATTCTTGTTAACCGTTTTGTAGTTGTTCGGTCAAACGTAGATTCGATTTCGGCTGGCGGATTTTTTTGACTTTAAAAATGTGTAAATTTGATATTTTAGGCAAAGAAATAACACTTTTCTTCTTATAGAAATATTGGCTATCGACTCTTATCCCTTTATCAAGTTATTTAGAGGGTTCCCGATTGCAAAGAGCTATACTTCCATATCTGTGTTAATTAAACAGAAGTTACTGTTGCCACTGGACATTCAGAAGGATATAGGCCTGTAAATAAGTAATAAAGAAAACGATACCCTAGAAATTCTTTTTTCTTCTTTCGAACGAGCCATTATGTCATTAATATCTCCAACAGCAAGACCAGTCAGCAAATTCATCACGGTGACGGAGATCATGAGAATAAATAACACAAGAAGTATCTTTTGCAAAACGTTAAATGGTCCACTTGGTAGAAAAATATCCCGATAGTCCAATTCTCCAGTCATCATGACGAATGTTGTCAAAATTGAAATTGGAATATTTTTAAAACCTTTATCTAGGAAAAGGAGCAGCGAAAATGACAGCGAAAATGCAACGATGAACAACAAGACGAACGGTAACACCTGTGGTTAAAAAAACAACATTTTAGGGCCAAAGTGTAAACAGTATATACAATAAACAATTACAACAATAAATTTTAATTTTCCAGCCACCACTAAAGTGGAAGTCAAGCCCATACTGCGCATCAGTTCTGCTCATAATTTCGCATGTTTCCGGCCATTTTTCTAAATATAAACTCTAATTCATATTCATTTAGAAGCGTACTGAATCCAAATAGGGTTAGATAATTCGACAACACATCAAATGTTTAAAAATTAAGAAGTTTAAAATGTAAAAAACCGTTTGTTTACTTACAAACTTGACTTCCACTTTAACATATGCAAATAAACTTCCCTCTCAACATATACTACCTTGAAAACGGTCCGAAAAACTCTTTTAGCCATTATGATGTAGATCCCAAACAATGAAAATCTTTTCAGGAAAAAGGAGAAGTTTATCCAACCCAGAAACACCGATATAACTCCAGCTGTAATCTGCACTTTAGTCTTCGTACTTCCTCCTGGCACCACATAAATGACAGCGCAGATGAATATCACCCATTCGATGTAATTATCGGAGTCTTTTATATAATTAGCAGTACTTAGACGCAACTATACAAGGAAAAGGATACAATATAAGAAGACGAATTAGGCTGTGTTATGTTACATGAAATGGCCACAAACCTGTAGTATTTCTTTGATGAAATGAAGTGCACAAAAGGCCAAAATAATAAGCGATAATGCAATCATTCCTGGTGATTTTAAATTGTATAATCCTAGAACACATACAACATCATATTTTCGCTTTGAACTTTTTTGCATAACATAGTATGAATTGAATAAGCTAAACTTAATGAGATTGTATTGGGTTGCATTATGTTACATTTGAAGGCATATAATTTCATAAATCAATGTTAATAAATTATTATACCTTGACTTTGAAGAGTGCTATATACCGTTAAGGTTAGCAGGAACGTGAGGTAGAAAAAAACATTAAAGTAGAACCATTTTTTAAATCCCGTTGAATGCATCTTGTAGTTTAGGAATCTTAAAACTAGTGGATGGCCCAAACAGTCGTCTCTTTCGTTGTTAACCATACTTTCAATTGCTTCAAGCTTTCCATCCGTTTTGTCTTTAGTTCAATAAAGAAAGAATTTTTAATTCATACACCATTTAACTTAAATGTTGTTGTTTAAGGAAGTTTGCTGTTGTTTACATTTCGCGACGAAATCAGTAAGTATATCTGCTAATACGATCAAGTTTTGTGATTGGCTTTTTGTAACAATAGTATAAACAGTGTCAATGGTTCGTTTTTTTAAAGATCAATTTTTACAGTTCATTGTTTTTGTTGACATCATCAACCAATAGCAAAGCTTGTGTTCGTATTGGTACGCGTCCTGACCCGCAAAAATTAAAACTCAAGAGCGTACATTACATATATACCTCAAAATGCATGTTAGATTATTAAAGAAAATACATATTCAACGCATGCACGTTGTAATTGTTGGTGCAAATAATACATCCGTTCGTGTGATAAGCAGTATTTTAGCGCTATACATTTGTACTATATGGTTAATACAAGCATACTTACGCCGTTTGAATGGAAAGAACAAGTACAAAACTTTTCTTTCTTCCTCCATTTTACAATAAGAAGTGTAGGCATAATGTCTATGTTCATTAACACACAGGTCAAAAATCATCATAGCGACTTCGGGTGTTTTTTCAATCAGTTGTGCCATAATACGATCAGCACCAAACCGGGAGTCTTCAAACAACTGAAAAAGACCCAAAAATAATTCGTAAAATACTCCTAGTGATATAGTTGAGGTAATTTGCATCGTGCGAGATCGAGTACTAATTCCGCTCGGAGATTTTAATTACACCCGGGAATGCAAATGCGCGAAATTGAAGTTGTCGGGACATGTCGCAGCTCTCGGAAGCTTTCGTCCAATTGGTTAATGCTTTTCTATGCTTTCTAAAGAACGAAGCTATGCTATTGGTTGAAACAGAAATGTATTGTAAACGTCAGCCAATGAAAATCATTTTTGCGAGGAGCTGCGACACTACCCAAGTTGTCCGCCATCAGGACATGGACGTCAGACGTTTTTGTAAGTTATGCGCATGCACGAGTTAAAGACGAGTTGAGACTGGTAGCTAAAAACATGTAATTAATTAAATCTAAAATTAAATCTAAAATTATCAATTCTAAATAAACTTTTTTTAAATTAGATTTTTGCTCTCCGATTATCAGTAAAGGTATACAGAAATTTGACTCGTAAAATGATTGAAAGAAAATTTAAGAGATGGCCCTTCGGACAGCAGAACTGTGCTTCAAATGCACGGAAGTTTTTCTACGATTTTGAATGTTTTTAGAGTGTTTTTGAACTGGTAAATGGATAGTTTTTTATTTAGCCTAACACAACTTGTAAGTCTAATGCGTGGATTTATTTATGATACTGTTTGAATTCATTATGTCAGGCCCCGTTTACACTATACCGGATTCGCTTGTCACGATATCCTCGTTTGCGTTCAAAGAGCAATGGTTAGTAGCAAATAATTATTACTTTGATAGATTTGGTATACTTATTTCGATCTCTGACAGTAAATTTTTTTACTGTCTTTTAATAGCTACAAAATTTCGGAAGCAATCCGGTTAGTGTAAACGGGGCCTTAATTGATTCAAATAGTGTATGTATTTCTAATTAGAATTTCTAGAATTGAATTATTAGCTACAAACTGCGATCTGCTTACGTAGCTACATATTTGCTTACCTCTTGAAGTAAGTGGGTTTTATCATTTTTCGTTTCTTCATTTGTACAAAACTCAATAATTTCTTTCAAAGATTCCTGGGCAGTTTCATAATGTCCATACGCACAATCTAAGATGTTATGTCTGGCCGTCTTCCTTTTCATTTTCGCACCATTCTCCAACAGACATCTTAGTATCGCCGCCTTTCCGAGCTTAGTGGCATAACCAGCCGCGGTCATGTTCTTGTCATCCCCAAAATCGATTATTTCCCGGAATTCCTTTCTACTCAGCAGAAATTCCATGGCAGCAAGCTCCCCAGAAATTACGGCGTAATGAAGCACGGTTTGATCTTCTGGGCTGTATCGCAGAGAAAAACATTTTATAAATACAGGGTGTCTGAAAAAAGCGTAACGGAGGATTACCTGCAGGCACATTTGTCTTTTCAGCAATACGTTCTTATAAGGATTTCCGGTAAGAAATCTCTTTACAAGATAGATTCCCCCAACCGGTGATTTCAAGATGCACAGTAAAAGAACATTTTTTGTCCCATGGGTACTCAGAAATCAACTACAAATTCATGTTTGTCGTTAATAGCTTAATACTACCAAACTGTTTGACAAAACTTCGCATCATGCCAAACATATTTTTCATGTGGTTCTCACGTTTTTTGTAAATGATTCGCTCCTTGTTCCAAGAAAAATTCCATTAACTCGACGTTTCCTCTCTTGGCGGCCTCTAAGAATGGCTGATTTTTCTTGATCTTTCCATCCAGCAGATCAGCTACTGCTTTGCGATCCATTCGTCGCCAGTTGAGAAGACCCGTCTTCAAAATCTATTTAACAGCGGATAATTCAAAGCTATAACTATATACTACAAGACAACCACGTCCAGTATTTAATAAATTCAGATTAGGGTTAGTCGGCTAGTTGTATAAAAGTCTAGTTGGACCTTTAACTGTAATAATGCAGAGTGGTGTATTCCTGAGTTGACTTTGAGATAACTATGCAAAATTAAAGATTTTTATACAACCGGCCGCAGGTAGAAATGAATCATGCACGCATGTTCTGTAACTTACACAACTTCTTGCAATGGCTATTACCTCTATATGCACACTATCAATGAAATGGGCAGCAAATAAATCCTCTTTATTTGTAGTGTGATTTAAGAGCATTTTGAAACTCTATGAAAAGAATATACAAATATGATCAATTAGAGCCTTTAAGGCATAAAGCTCTAGTGTAGTTAACACACAAGGAAAAATTTCTTCATGGTAGAATTAAGGCGGTTAAACTATAACACAAACCCCGAACAGGGTATTCACGACAAATTTATTGCATTTATACTTTTGTAAACTTTCTATTATACCTATATTCTTCAGATTCGTTGGGAAGTTGTGGAGAGGCCGAATATTTGCATTGATGAAAAACTAATCAAGCCAAAATATGGGATCATGGAAATAATATCATTTATTATTCCTTTCATTAAAACGCATTGAACTAAAAAGGGGAATTTCGTTTTAAACTAATCAGCATATTTGTCTACATTTTTTAGGCAAAGCCAATCAGAATGCCTAAATTTTTAATACTTCATGTAAAATGGTAAATAATGTACCTTTTTACTGGAAGTAGTTAAAATTTATGCATTCTGACTGAGGTTTTAAAATTGTAAACAAACTTGATGACTGGTCTAAAACGAAATTCTCCCTTGTTACAATTAAGCTCTTTTTAACTGTATTGAATATACAATACCACTTTTAAAACGTATTACCATGCGGTTACTTTCATATAAATATTTGTTACCTCCTCCAATCTCATAACTGCTGTAAGCTTTATCGGCGTCATTTCCCATTTGTCCATTTTATTAATAGCTTTGGTACTTTTGCTCTGCTGAAAACGCAATAGAAAAACATAAAAATCCTGGCAATCAATATTTTAAAAGGCACTGCAGAAAGCCATATCCAAAATAATCATGAAATTCTGACCCAGCCCGACATGCGCGTTTGAGACATTCAGACCCCGTTTACACTAGAACGAAAGTTTCCGGATTTGTAAAATTTTCCGGATTCATTGTTACACACATGTATCGGATTCGTCAGGTGTTTACACTACACTTTAGTTGTCTCTGCATGCGGATTTGTCCGTTTACACTCACATTACTTGTTCTTGGAGAATTGTTTGGTCGTCATATTGAATTTCTTCGGATTCGTCGTGCAAAGCGCTTACACAAGAACATTCTCCGGATTCAAATGTTTCTGGATACGAAGTTTCCACAAACTTTTACGGATTCAAAGTTTCCGGATACGGTATAAAACCGAGTACGTTTTCTATCGGATTCCTTGCTGCGTGTGTAAACAGCAACATGAATCCGGTACTAAAACATTCCGCTTTCGTGATTAATCCGGAAACTTTTGTTCTAGTGTAAACGGGGTCTCAATGAATGCCATAATTTCTTTACCGTGCACTTTTCAAGTAGATAACGTAGAATATCAGGGTTTCCCACAGCATGGTGGAAGACATTCCTGCCATTTTTATCACAAGCCATAAAAAGATCACTATCCGATTTATTAATGTCGAAGATAAGTTGGACAATTTCCTTTTGGTTCGCTTCGGCGGCTCTGTTGTAGAATAAACGAAAGCATTAAATTGGTAGTTTACAAAATATTCTTTGCGAATTCATTACGATTTGGCATCGTTATTCAGGTACTTTCTGTGCTAAAGTTCTTTATGGGTCAAACGGCTCAAACGTTGCTAGAATTATGTGTACGAAAGACATCATTCTTACCTCATAAGAGGGGTAATTGCACGTTTATCACATTTTGCATCCAGAAGTTCATTATTCTGTATTAAAATTTCTCTTGCCAGTTCAATACATCCTGTGGCACAAACGTTGCAAACAAATGATTCCCATTCTTCTGTTATTTTCTTCTCTTGTTCTAAAAAATCGGGCCACCATCCCTTCTCCATAATGAGGTTAAGCACCTTTGCCTTTCCACTTTGTGAGGCGGGATAGAGAATAGAATGGCCCTTTCCATCAATCTTTTTCATGACTTCAAAAAGTTCTGTTTCAGGATCTAGTTTTAGATGCGATTTAAAAAATTAATGACCTTCGAGTTTTGTTCCTGCTGGTTATCAAATAATAAAAAAAATTCTAAAATCTTGCAACGAATTATGCTATAACTGTACGTTTTTAAATCATGAATTTTGAAAAGAATACTACATTCAACTTTAATTAGAAAAATAACCTCAGGAGTGGCATAACGAATTTCAAAAATCTTCCGCCATTTTCTTTGTTGTTGTGTTGTGAAAATACAAAATGGTCTTTAGTTCGTATAGAAAACGAAATTAACGTTGGAAATTCAACAAAAACACATAAAATTCATCTTTAGACAAGTAAAAATTATTCTACTTTTCTGTTTACGGTATAATTTTAAAAATATTCGCTTTTTAATGGTCTTTCCCGCCTTACTTACTTGTTGTCTTCACTCTGAGTTTATCAGTCCATACAATATAAACCGAATATTAAACGGTTGCGAACTTGCGAGAAGATATGAATTCATGTTCTCGTTCAAAAACAAGTGAGTTTTTTTGGCACTCAAACATAAAATCCATATATCTTCTTGCAACCGTATAATATTCCAATTATAAACTTACATGTCTTCAGCATTTCGTTTATAACATCTTCAGCGTCATGTAAAGCTGCCACAAGAATAGGCGTTTCATCATGTTTATTTCGCTTGTTTAAGTCTGGTTTTCTTGCGAGCAATCGCTTAACCACCTCCATATTGTTGCATTTGATCGCCAGAAGAAGTGGTGATGAATCATGACTGTCCGGAATGTCTGAAAAATCATCCAGAAATTTCGGTCGCTTTTGTAAAACTTCCATCGCTTCAACTGATGTATGTTTGTTTGCAATAAGGTGAAGAGCAGTCTCTTTTGGACGTTCGCTCAATGGCCAGAAAGATAAACCGAACCGGCGGTGAAACAGATGGATATCTTCCTTTTTTGAAAAGGGATGCTTTTCATAAGTATCACAGAGCACATTCAAACAATTCAAACTGTCCAACTCGACAGCTTCTAGTATACGACGTTGAATTTCCGCGCTACACAATGGGTCGTGGAAATATTCTAAATGGAATAAACAAAAAATTATTCCCGTAAGCTGATGTCTATACTGTTCCATCTCTTTTTCAAAAAAAATGTCCGAAACAAAACCCAGTGGATTGTATAGTGCAACTAGAATCGACAGACACCCAATATAAAACGAAACAAACTCCAAAATTGATAACCTTATCTTAAAACCAGACATGTAAATTTGAGAAAATTTTGATATTCCTGAAATGACCTAAATCGTGATAGTGCTGAGTTACTACCACGATTTTGTTTCATTTCGAACAAGATAATGACAGTTATTCGCAGCAAAAGTTTTTTACCTCTTATATTTCTCTTCTTGAGCAACGGAATTCTTTCCTCCGAAATATGCTCTGTGCTATCAGTGACATCTAAGATAAAGGGAATTCTTCAAATACCCAAGATATTACGTTTAAGATTGCCATCGAAACATTTAAGATTTTAAATAATATTTATTTGTATACTTAACGATGTATAAGCTATTTAGCAGGTGTTATATTAGAAGGTCGTAAACATGAGATTAAATCGAAAGACGATACTCGGGAGACTTATCAAACTTTAAAAATCCTGAATAATTATTAAAATTTTTTCTGAGCTAGCATTTTGCTATATATTAGCGACCCTTTGAAATCACCGGTGGAGATAATTTAATTCCGGCGATGTGATTGGTTTGCGAAAAAATAGGCGAAAACTTTAAGCCTGTAGCACACGAGAGCTATCAACTGAGCTAGGGGTTACTCGTGCTTGTTAGCTCAGGCGACAGCTCACCCTGTGCGGATAGATTGTCGGTTGTGAGTTTTCTGCCACATGCAACATTTTTTCGCGTATCAAACATGTTTGATATGCGAGAAAATGTTGCAGGTGGCAGAAAACTCACAGAAATCTATCCGCACACGGTGAGCTGTCGCCTGAGCTAACAGGTACGAGTAACCCCTAGCTCAGCTGATAGCTCTCGTGTGCTGCAGACTTTATATCTACTACTTTATATCGGTTCGCACGAATAAATTCGCCAGGTGGAAACCGGGCTTTACACTCGGGGATTGACCTACCATTTACAAGAAGTGTCTTTAAGTTGTCACCATCGTCAAAAAATATTGCCGACGCAATTTTACAGCATCTGACTTTAGTGTTTTCATCTAGTTTGTGGCCAGATGTACAGCTCATTAAATATTTTACTTCTACAAATTATAAAAATGGTAATGATGACATGGCGATAAATAAATAAATGCAAGTTACCACGAAACAAAGAAAGCTGGAATCACCCAAAATATAAGACATATTTAATTAAGCCAATAAATTAACTGCAAAATAGTGTGAACTTATCCGTTCAAAGGTAAACAATTATAAATCAGAAATACATTACATTTAAAACGTAAACAAATTAACCCGTAAAATAGTTCACGCTTCATATTTGAAAGCAAATAAATGTAATAATAAATGATATCACGGATGATATATATTTACCTGCTACTTGTATATGATCATTAATAGCTTTATCATCAGAAATGGATATCGTCCTTTTTAATAAGGACGTTTTTGTCTTCAAAGGAAGATCATCGTTCGCTGGAAAACCCCGGAAAGAAATGTGCTTGATTTGCAAACCACAATCATTTTCAGTAATAGTTTTGTTATATATTCAAAGAAATCTATCCAATTAAGCTTCCTTTTTAGTCGTTTCAACTCGTACACCCTGACCTTGTCATGCGCATTTTACAACAAAGAATCGCTAAACTGCAAAACCGGGTTTCCCTTACCTGTATACCTTTCAGTTTTTTTCATTGAAGTCAGCACAATTCTGGTGCCTAAGAGAAAAGGATAAAACTAGAACACATTATTAGGAAGTTCCGAAGTTTAAGAAGAGGACTAGTAATAGTTATAGTAATATAGTAATAGTATAAAAATAAATGCTATATACCTGTTGCATGATCAGTTTGATCTGAAAATCCAGGTGCGTTTTGGATTTGTAAAAAATCGAAAGGATCCTCCCGTCGCTGGAGGATTATTAGACTAGGCTCATCAGTATTCTGTATACAGTCGAATTTCCCGTCGTGTGCATCAAAATCTGAATAAGGCAGTCCTAAATAAGGAGAAAGAATGTGTTGTTTTTTCAAAAATTTTATCTTTATATACCTATACAAAAATCTCTAGGTTCTGGACAAGCTATAATACATCGAGAAGTTAAGATTCCCCGGTTTCAGTTTACGAGTACGACGTAAGACGTAAGAAAAAAGATCAGAAAACAGTAACTTAACCTTTTGACGTTTGTTTTACTGCATTGTTTAACACTTCGACAAGCATTTGTGCATTTTTTATTTGGTAAGAAGATAAGACCCGTACCGTTTGTCGTTTACGTACAGGCCATGGTCTACCCAGGGGAAACGGGCAGAAATTACGAGTAAAGACAATGACATCAGCAAAAATTAGTAAGCAAAATGGCGATACTCGTACAGAGAACCGGGGTACTGTAAAAAATTAACATGGAATAGATCGAGAAAGAGGGGGAGGGGTATAGTAGTTGAATATTTAACAATTATTGAATGAGGTTGAACATGATATGAAAAATAATCAAGCCGAGGTTTGTGGTTCATATCATGTGAAAACCGAATTCAATATTTTTATTACTTATTTAAAAGAATGAACATTATTACTTTGAATTGTTCGCTTGAATTTGTGTCGATTTCTCATTCCCGCTCCTTTGGGACGTCAATGTCTTCGTCATATTGGTGTGACGTCAGGCGTGGGATACGATTATTTATCACACGAAAAAAGTCGTATTACACGTTATGACATCACATGTTGGATATGACGATTTTACACACGGCTATTAGCCAATCATAGGCTGTGAATTCTTTTAAAAAATTTTAGTTCAAACTGTAGCCATTCTCAAACGAGGAAAAATGTGGAGAGATGTTAGGTGAATTGCAGGCAAACGTTATTTTAACAGCATGCAAGCACTCTAATGTTTCCCTACCTTGCACAGGCCCAGGGATTACTTGCATGTAATACAAAAATATTATACAGTGTAGTTTATATTTTAGCGGACGTTATGGTTGTATGCATGATCATTTTTCAATAATATGTATAGTCATTCTTCTGAACGTAACTGGCAAAAATAAATAAAGAACATACATCATGCAACTTACCAGGATACCATTCTTCCACAACGTTCCCACCTTCTGCAATATTCAAAAGGTTGTCATCATGTACATTGGTATCGTCTTCCGGAGGCGCAAATATAAAAACATCGCCTTTCTTATGTGTTCCCTTTGACGAATTGTCCTTTGACATTGTATCTAAATGTTGAAACAACTTGAAATCGATCTGGTTGGATCTATTTCCTGAAACTTGAACTGGTGAAAAGCATCGTTTTATCCTAATCCTATCATACATGTTTGTTAATTTTTTGCAGCTGAAGTTGTTCGCAGTTGAAAATTTTAACATTGTGTAACGTGACACTATGTGATAAAATTATATGAAAATAAAAAATAGTTAAAGAGAAATGGAATAGGAGTAAATCTCTATCGCATTGTGACCAAAAACTAAAACTAAACTGAGACCGAAGTTAAACCTATTTTCAACATAGAAAATAAGCATCAGTGCAGTCTCTTGTGTCAATGATCACGTCACAAATAAGCAGGGTTTGTAGACAGCTGCATATTTGATTAATTTGAGGTCAAACGACAACACACTAGTTCTTTGTTTTCCGGCTTATCCTTGACCTTTTGTTTTCTTTGTTTTCTAAATAGTGCTAATAGCAATTTAGTCTCAAATATTTGCATATTCACCAACTCTGTTCTAACTACGGCTATAGACGAAACGCGTACAAACTAAAACAACAACAATAAAGACTGTCTGCTCGTCGTCTACAGCCAGCGTGTCTGGCCAGTCTTGGCGCGAAATTTATTTTAAAATACAAAGCAATCGGCTAATTTGGTACCCAGGACTTACCCGGACATACAACGCATCATAGTGAATACAGAATCAGAATATATATTACACGCTATTATAAGCTATAAGGGGTTATAAATATAAACAAATGCTTTTTTATTTAGCCACAAATTTCAAAGTTTAAGTGGAAGTCATGTCCGTTTTATTTATGGATTTGGTAACTTATAGATCGGCATCGCCCGCTTTAATATATTTTACCTTTTTAAAATTGTCGTCTACCGTGTCTGTTGACACGTCGTACACCGTTTGAACATGAAGCGGTCATGCAAGCAAAACTAACCTGTGGCTGTGCACTAACTCAACATGAACTATTGACACTAGAAGTAAATACATATCACCCAATTAGCCAGTATAGGGTAATAAATATGAACATTTTTTTTTAAGGTTACTGAATAAGCACGAATTCCAGTCATGCCTGTATGTAAACAGACGGTTAGATTTTGAACTTCTATACTGTGTGCTGGCCGAATATCCAATGGGCAATGGCAATGATATTTAGGTACACAACACTTTTGGTTGAGCATAAATTAGAGCTTATGTTCAGAATCTTCTCAATCTTTGATAAGATGGTGTACACACGCACGCCGGAGTAAACAGCATGTAGTCTTCTCAGGTCAAAAGAAATTCGAGAATATATTTATACAATGTAATGCAATTGTTGTGCCTGTGGCTTTCAAAGAGAATAATTCGCTAATCTCTTTATATTTATATATTTATGACTTGAATTAATTATACTATTCATTGTAGCGTTTGATATAGTTTCAAAAATATTGTGAATAGTCCGAAATTTCCCGTCGAACTCAAAAGGTCTAATCACCGCCGTCGGAAATGAATTAAGGAGCTGAATAGTCAATAGACTAGAGGCAACATATTTCTCCTCTGCGTTCGACCGAGCGATTAGGAACTATATTAACGTTCCCCAAAAGGCAAAATCGTTCGAACGAAATGGTGAAGCGTTTGAACGCCTAACGAACGAATAAGAAACGAAATTTTTCAATATATGTGCTCTAAAGTTGTCGTGAAAGATCACATATTATTCCTATTGCATGGATAAATTTATGTTTTGTATACCTTAAATTAACTCCTACATGCAACCAAAGTTGTATTTTCACGTTTTGAATCTCTTGCACTTGTAGCCTTGCTCCAAGTGTGTTCTTCAATGAACGAGGGTGTCACAAATCGCTATATACGCTGTTTTATACTATATATTATATAAATGTCCTTAGGAACCGGCACCCCATTTCGAAGGCCGTAATAGGATATTCAGTCAGCTCCAATCCAATATCTGAGCCCGCGATTTCCTCTACTCCGGAATTCGGAATTCATCGCTTCAGGTTCGCGAAGATGGAGTTTGCGCTGGATTCCAGTGAACCGGAGCTGGAAATTCTCATGATTTCGGATAAAATATATCGGAAACACAAATAACGGTATTTTTAAAACTTAAAAAAAAAACTATTTTAAACAATCTTACGACTTCTACATATATTTTTAAGGAATAAATACTTTAAGTTAAGAACAGAACGAAACGTTTACGTGCATTTACATATCTTTGACACGATATGCGTATTCTATATGAATGGAGAAAACATTCATCTCTTTCTATGAACAATTAAAAATTACCATAACAAAAAAAATGGCGGATGTACATTTAACCAGAATGCATTGCGGTTGGAAATCGTTAAAAAAAGCAAACTGACGTGTTGTAAAGGACAGGCATAAAACAGGAAGTTATTTCCTTCGCTGTGTTAAAATTTCACGTCATTAGGTGTTTTTCTTGCCATCTTTTTTTAGTCAATCATTCTTAATGCCCGCAATGCACTCTGGTAAAATGAGCATGCCGCTATCTTTTTCGTTACGGTAAATTGAACAAGACAATTAAAATAAGCTAAAAATAGGAAGATAAAATGATATTTTATACTTTGAAGACTGTCTGGCCTCATTCGATCATGCGCAGTGATGTTGTTCAACTGCTGAAAGCATCTTTACTCCCTCCTTGAAGCTTTTCCAACATCGCTTCAATATTCTGTAATCTATCCCTCAACTCATTCAACTGGTTTTCAAAACCCTCTTTCTTTTTCTCAGCAGCCATTGCTTTTAATTGTTCCTCAACCTCATCATCTTCAAACAACTATACGCAGCAAACAGAATTTTTTTTATTCCATAAATATTTAAAACTGGAAAAGAATAAAAATGGGGAGGAATATCCATGTACTCTGCTAATAGATGGCTGTGATGATCAATTTATGATTATGACGACAACCTGGAACTTTTGATAGTCGGGAAACTTTACTTAACAAATGCATGGAAATTGAAAGAGGCCGTCCAAATTTCCCGCATTTTTGTTGTTTTAAGAAATCTGACGATATTATCTATTTCTTAATTGAAATATGAATAAGATCCAACCTATCTCGTTAACAATCATTCAAATTTCGCAAAAGAGGATTGTCATCAGCAACAGGAACTTCCACTGAACACTGTGCATTAGTTTTTTACTCTGTGGCTGTGCTTTATCGATAGTATAGTAAAGATGTCCAAAACATTGCTACTTTAACATGCCGTTACGCATTATACACTGACTTTAACGATTTAATTTATACAAAGCAGAAGTAGGAGATTTACCTTTCCAACAATACCTTCCATATTGATAAAAAAATAACGTAATAATCGCGTGTTAAAAATTGGCGATAGGAAACCACATTTTTCTACGGTTGAGAATTGGTTGGACATGAAATCTTATTGGCGTATAAAAATCCCAATGAAATCATATTTCCTTCTTTGTCACATTCAATTGGACAATTTCCATCACTAATTGCATGGATTATTCCAAAATTATTCCGTAATCTCTAATAATAGAGCATACCTTATTCCAATGGAGTATTAGCCACGACGGTTGACATTCATCCTCTGGCTGGTCCTCAACGTAATCTTTATATGTAGGCGATGGGAGGAATGGAATATTGTGTAAATTTCTTTCCAATGTAATGACAAACCTCGCCTGAATGGTAAAAATACCACCAGAATATAGACTTTAAAGGCAATAGAGACCGTATCAAGTTGACAGCATTGAAATAAAAATTTGCATTTTTAATGTTTTTCTGGTGCACCAAAGGTTGAATAACGGAGAGAGACTAACGACATCATTATGCTAGCATGACTATTTTTTGCGCCAGTTTATGGAAATTATAGGGTATCGCAATTAATTTCTAAAGAATGAGTAAAAAATATCAACGCACGTAGGCTATACGGCTGGAAATTTGCCGCATTCGTTCAAAAAAACAACACATGTGAACACATGTGCCTGATATACAATTGTTTTTGACAGTTTATGTAAAATGTATTGTAAATGACGATGCCCGGAAAATAGCTAGATATAATTAACCATGTTTATTAAACGAACGGGTTAATTTCTTTTCTCGACGCCTTTCCTGATTGTAATGTACACACATACGGTTTTCACATTTGTTTTCATGCCAAAACAGTTTTCAACACCGTCAATTTACAATAGAAGTTGAAGCATTTGAACTTTTCAGGCAATTTTTCGATTGTGTGGACAGGGCGTATAAACAATAAAATCAACAAAAAGGATTTTTAAAACGCTCAAAAACGACGTTCATGCGCACAAAGCCTAAGTTAAATACGATTAAGAATATTTAACTTACTATTAAACTTATTATACCTTAGAAATTCTTTTCCTTTCTTTCGAACGAGCCATTATGCCATTAATATCCCCAACAGCAAGAGCAGTGAGCAAATTCATCACAGTAACGGAGATCATAAGAATAAAAAACACAAGAAGTATCTTTTGCAAAACGTGAAATGGTCCGCTTTGTAGAAAAATATCCCGATAGTCCAACTCTCCAGTCATCATGACCAATGTTGTCAGAATAGAAATTGGAATATTTTTGAAACCTTGATCTAGATGAATTAGCAGCGAAAATGACAGCGAGAACGCAACGATGAACAACAAGACGAATGGTAACACCTGTTGTTGAAAAAAACCCAACATTTCAGTGCCACAAACTTTAACATAAAAAATTATATAAACATATATAAACAAACACCTTCAGTGTAACAATGAACTATGATTTCCCAGCAATTATTAAAATACGGGAAACTCTGCTTCCAGTGTGTTTAAATACTCCTTCGAAGTTCTACAAGTTTAACCTATACCTGGCAGACGGTACGAAAAACTCTTTTAGCCATTATGATGTAGATCCCAAACAATGAAAATCTTTTCAGGAACAAGGAGAAGTTAATCCATCCCAGAAACACCGATATAACTCCAGCTATAATCTGTACTTTAGTCTTCGTACTTCCTCCAGGAACCACATAAATGACAGCGCAGATGAATATCACCCATTCGATGTAATTATCGGAGTTTTTTATATAATTAGCAGTATTTAGACGAAACTATACAATATGAAAAGATGAATTAGGCTGTGTTATGTTACATTGAATGGCCACAAATGCCAAACCTGAAGTATTTCTTTGATGAAATGAAGTGCACAAAAGGCCAAAACAATAAGCGATAATGCAATCATTCCTGGTGATTTTAAGTTGTATAGCCCTAGAAAAAATGAAAAATATTTTCAGTTTGAGCATTTTGCATAACACAGTATGAATTGAATAAGATAAGACTTGGCAAGATTGTAGTGCATTGCATTGTATCCCATTTTATTGTATCATCAAATATCAAATATCACATCCAATATTGTATTCATTACCAGTGGCGTAGCCAGTCTGACGATTTAGTCATGCTATGCAAATTTTATGTTATTATCATTATTTATTTCTTTAGAAATTCATTGTTTTCACAGTCAATGAACACCAAAATATTAGCATAGCATGACTAAATTGTCGGGCTGGCTACGCCACTGTTCATTACCTTCACTTTGAAGAGTGCTATATACTGTTAAACTGAGCAGGAATATGAGGTAGAAAAAAACGTTGAAATAGAACCATTTTTGAACACCATTTGAATGCATCTTGTAGTTCAGGAATCTTAAAACTAGTGGATGGCCCAAACAGTCGTCTCTTTTGTTGTTGACCATACTTTCAATTGCTTCAAGCTTGCCATCCGCTTTGTCTTCAGCTTCACAAAAGAAGTTTAATTCATTCAAATGCACCATTTAAACTACAAATGTTACGTTTAGCCGAGTATAAAATACAGCGCACATGCAGAAAGGATTATTGAGGCAGCAAAGTCAAAAATAGATAAAATTAAGTAATGAAGTTATTTTGTGCTTATTTTTTTCGAAAAAAAAAATTTCGATTATATTGGGATTCCCTTTGTCTGAGGTCAATAGTGCGCAAATTCCTTTGTCTCTCAGAAAATAATACAATGGTTCCCTGATTCTTAGAAGTCAGTGTAAATCTGGCCTTACAAACAAGGTTATATATTCCACAGCTACTCATTCGTATATATACTATTATTATGCATTACTAATGCAATCTCGATTGTGATTGGCTAAAAACCTACAGATAATTCTCAACGTCTTGCCACCTACAAGACATTGAAAATTATCCGTAGGTGACGTAATTTTTTGCCGCTAGTTTGTTGTCAATAATGGCGCAGATTTCCTCTCTAAAAAGGAAATATATAATAAAACAATTACATAATAAAACAATTACATAATAAAACAAATTAATTCTCGATATCACACTCAACCTCATTCAATCATTGTTAGATATTATACCTCAACTGTAAATTATCCAATCAGTAAGCTCGATTTGTGCCACGTGATCAATAGATTAATCATGCATGGAGTTCCATCGAATTTTCCTAACATTATAAGTAGTGTTGTATAGTGAATTTAGTGGGATTCGTGGGATTTTTTATCGTGGGATTTATTTATCGTGGGATTTATTTATCGTGGGATTATTTATGTGACGTCATAATTCCACGTGTTTATATTTTCATCCACGTGTTTTTATAACACGCGAGGAATGCGTGCAGTTCACGTAAACGAATGACGTCATATATGCACGTGCTTCTATTTTTAGGAGCGTGCTCATTAATATAAACACGTGCTTTTTTTGTTTATATAAGACGTATTATGTTGTTTTATTTTTTTTGTAATATCATTTCATTATGGTTACTCTTTACGCTCCTAAAAATAGAAGCACGTGCATATATGACGTCATTCGTTTACGTGAACTGCACGCATTCCTCGCGTGTTATAAAAACACGTGGATGAAAATATAACACGTGGAATTATGACGTCACATAAATAATCCCACGATAAATAAATCCCACGATAAATAAATCCCACGATAAAAAATCCCACGAATCCCACTAAATTCACTATACAACACTACTATTATACTATAAAAGTCGAATACCCCGCTGCAGCGCGGTATTCGAGTTTGCGTGTACCACGCGTGGATGCCTCGCACACGAGTGACACGACTAGATCAACAATTTCAAAATGGAGGGAAAAGATATAATATACAGTTGTTTCGATATATATAATTTGTATAATGTACAGTTGTTTTGATAATATATAATTTATAGACCTTCGGCTCGGGGAATTTGATAAAATATTTCCTTGGGAAGATTTATGCCTCGGGCGGAGCTCTCGGGATTTATATCGCATAAATATCGCACTTATATTTTTATAAATAGCACTTTAGCTCTTTGGAGAGACTTCACACAACGTATTTAATACCAAATGATAACAAAGATGGTTAACATAAATTAAACTTGCAAACTTACGATTTTTCTGTTTGAATGGAAAGAACAAATATATCATTTTTCTTTCCACTTTCATTTCGCCATAAGAACGGTGGGTATGATATTTTTGTTCATCAACACACAGGTCAAAAATCATCAATTGCGACGTCGGCTGTTTTTTTAATCAGTTGTGCCATAATACAATCAGCACCAAAATACGAGTCTTCAAACAACTGAAAAAAGCCCCGAAGATAATTCGTAAAAAGATCCTTACGGTGATAGTTGAGGTAATTTTATTAGCGGATGTATTCATGCGATGGCGCGTATTTCTAGAATGACATTATAATAGACCTTATGCATAATATAACGTAACAGACCGTCACACCTGCAAGGAATTCGGGTCTTTATAGTTACAGTGAAAAATTCCCACTTCATAATTTCCCGCCAAGACTACAAGACCAGAGTTCCTTGCAGGCGTCACGGCTTGTAAGGTCATTATGCATAAGTCTATTTTTAGCTACATCCGTGTACGTACATGTATATATAGCTATTTGTTTACCTCTTTAAGTAATTGTGTTTTTTTATGTTTCATTTTTTTTTGTGTTGTACAAAACTCGATAATTTCTTTGATAGATTGCTCGGCAGTTTCAAAATGTCCATACGCACAATCCAAGATGTTGAGTCTGGCCGTCTTCGTGTCGCTTTTCATTTGCGCACCTTTCTCCAACAGGTATCTTAGTATCTCCGCCTTTCCGAGCTTTGTGGCATAACCAGCTGCACTAATGTTTATCTCATCCGTGAAATCGATCATTTCCAGGAACTCATTTTTTTCCAGCAGAAATTCCACGACAGCAAGCTCCCCGGAAAGCACAGCATAATGAAGAACAGTTTGATCTTCTGGACTATGTAAAATTTAAAAAATTATACTTTAAACTAACTATTTCAGTGGTTTTTGTTTGTGAAGCCTTTACATGAAAATTGACAGTCCAAAACCGTAACACGTTTTCCTTGAAACGTGAAATTCAGACGTTAAGTTCTTACGTTCTTTGTAAATGATTTGCTTCTTGTTCCAAGAAAAACTCCATTAACTTGACGTTTCCTTTTCTAGCGGCCTCTAAGAAAGGCTGATGTTTCTCGTGATCACCATTCAGCAGAGAAGCTACTGCGTTGCGATCCTTTTCTCTCCAGACGAGAAGACCCAACTTTAGAATCTATTTAAGAGTTAAGTGTGGATACTTTCTAAACTATGCTACGTACGGCACAACCATGTCCACAACTTAACTATTTTGATTATTATATAAACTGAATCAGAAGTAAGGCCATAAGGAATTTCCTTAACTGAATTTATCACGCAAAAGGCCTTCAATCAATCTTCGTGCCGAAATGATTAGTGCTTGGAGATTTTTGCTTCATACATGACATTGGCTCGATTTTTACTGAAACGGATCATCCGCCTAGATGAATTTGAGCAAGTAAAAGATAGTTCGTCTTTTAGTTCGTCCGTGTGTAGACGCGGCCAAACAGACGAATCCGTCAACACGAGCTATCCACAGAGTTATTCTATTCAGAGCAATTTGAATGGGTCGCTCGTCTTGACCAATCATCCGTGTGTTAGTATAAATACGGAGTGAGGACAAACTACGAAAAATTCATCATAAAATAGCATCTTGTGCACTCATTTTACCACATAAACAACTTCCCAACTCCTGTGGACTTTCTAAACGCGCGATTCTGTTTCGTCTGACATATTCGTCTACACAGTACGCACAGATAGTTTGTCGTGTGTTTATACTCAGACGAATGATCTGTCTGACGGATCGTTCGTCCAGACAGATAATCCATCTCTGGTATAAACCGCGCCAATTACGCAGTATTGCATGGCAGTTGCAAAGTCATCCGTCAGGTGCAACCGAAAGATTTGCAGGAAGAATACCTCTCGACGCCGGATTACCTCTATATCCACACTGTCAATCAGATGGGCAGCGAATAGATCAGCTTCATTTGTAGTGTGTTCTAAGAGCATTTCGAAGCTCTATCAAAAGAATATAAAACATTGAGGAGTTAGTGCATGCCTTGGAGAACGCTCTTATAGCTATTTCAACTAATAGGGAACAGATTACCAGAACTAGTAATTTATACCAGGAGGGGTAGTCTAACTAGATTTTGAGCAGCTTTGCTTATAATTGCGTTCGACGAAGGAGAACGCTTCCTAGCCGTATCATATCGAGATTTGCGATGCCAGATTTGCCTCGTTCTGATGTGTCGTCATAGCAACTGGAGACCATGTGCTCGCTCTATTTTGATATTTTGTTAAATTACTCATTTTGCGGGTAACCTTTTGATCACATACACTGTGACGTTATAATGTTGACATTTTTGTTAATGATCGGTAACCAAAATCAACACATTCCGAACGCACATCAATAATCTGTGATTACTACCAGTATATTGATATATGCCGGCATAGTCACACCGGGTAGAAAACAGTTTACGTAAACACCTAATTTATTGTATAAATTTTTACTGTAAAATCATTATTTGGAGAGTCAAACATACAATTCGCATGAATGAAAAACATAATCAAGCATATATTGAAATATCATTATTTGATAGTTGATTATTCAACTTTAAACTATTCAACCTATAATTATTGAATTTACAATACCAATTTTGAAACGACGTTGCGTATTACCATGCATCTCCGTATAGACCCTAAATATTTTATACCTGCTCATATTTCCCAACTGCTGCAAGCTTTATTGGTGTATTTTCCCACTCGTCCTTTACATTAATAACCTCGGTATTCTTTCCGAGCTGAAAACCCAATAAAAAAATTGAAATTAAAAATCCTTGCAATCACTATCAAGTTATGGAAAAAAACCCATGTTTATTGTTTATAGCAATCAAAAGCTTCTGATCCTGCATGCTTGACTTCTTTGAGTAACATTTTCTGTGGTATTCAATCGTTCATTTTGAACAATTCAATTTGTTTATAAAATTGTGTTTTTAATATACATCAGTAGCGTCAATATTTTTATCCTAGAACTGGAATATTACTTATCCGCAGGATTACAGAAATTAATAAACAACGAATTTCAACCACAAACTCTTCGTTTTCTATTTCTTCCAGGCAGTAGCGTAGCCAGCCTGTCGATTTGTCCCGCTATGCTAATATTTTAGTGTTCACTGACTGTGAACACAATGGATTTCTAAAGACATGAATAATTATAGTAACTGGAAATTTACATAGCGGGACAAAATCGTCAGGCTGGCTACGCCACTGCTTCTAGGCTAAACCTTTTGTAAATTTGCTCTTACAAAAACCTGCATAACAAAGATTTCGAAAAACCAAAATTTTCCTGCTAAATTGATGTTTTACGTTGTGTTTTGTAACGGAAAGAACAAAATGAGACGAGGCGGCTTGGGCTACGCTTGTCACGAAGCCTTTCTCACGCGTCTTCTCTAGCTGTGTAGTGAATCGTAAACTCTCTATTGTGCGCAGCCGATCAAGCGTTTTACAAAAATTATGATTTTAAATTACTTCAAATACGCCGCTTTGTTGTCGAGCAATAAATTTGCTCCATGTTCTCAAGTGTTCATTAGGATGAAACATTGCACAAAGAATACTAATGAACGTGACAAATTATATAATGTGCCATCCTTCATGGTACTTTACCAGTCATGTATAAAGCAACCAAATGTGACTTCTTAGGGTTGATCTAATTATAAAACTTGTGTTGTTTAAGCTCTTGTACTTCTGCATGTTAAAATTCTATTTGTATTGTTTTGTCTTTTAAACTTTGCAGGACCCCTGCTGATACCAGCATGTAGTTCGTGTAGAAAGGGCCTTATCCTGCTGAAAAAAAATCTTATCTATTTATCATTTATCTAATTTCATTTCATGGGCTAAAATACTTATGAATTATTAAAATTATTATATAGAATCAACTTATAACCTACGCTTTCCAACTTTCCAAGAAGATAACATAGAATAGAAGGGTTCTTCACAGCGTAGTGGAAGACATTTTTACCATGTTCGTCACGAGTCGTAAAGAGGTCATCGTTACGTTTAGGATCCAAAATCAGTTTGACAATTTCACCTTGGTTTGCTTTGACCGCTCTGTTGTGTTTAAGGAAACAAAAAAAATACTTCATACACAAAAGCTTCGCTTAAACCATGCAGTGGTGAGTTGTAACAGCTAGTTCACATCTGGATATATTAACATTTTAAATTGCCTTTGAAATAATAATTCAATTAATTATATATCTTCTGGAAACTTTGGCGAATGTTGCAATTTCATTGGCTAAGAGGAGTGCGATTTGAGCATTAATTGCGCCCTTTGCGAGCTGTAATTGCACTCTTGCTCATAGCAAAATTTAGAAATATAAAAATAATTCTTAAATTTTTACAGCAAAAAACCTGATTAGCCCCGTTCTTGTGTAACTCGTGAAAGGCCTCTTGCTCGTATTGGAATAGGTCTATAGAATTTTAATTTACAATCTTCGTGCATTGGCCTAAATCAAACTCACGGGATTGGTCAAAATCAATCACGTGGTTTCTTGTTGCCTGGTGACAGATCATGCATGGAAATCATAGTTTTTTCGCGATAACCCATGAAAATCGTGGTTTATTAAAAATGACAGCCTGCAGCGAAGCTTAGATTTTCAATGCTGCAATCAATGAACTCAGATTGTATATTAAAAGTGTTAGAGACTTTATGTACAAATAATCGCACTTGCCGACCATACAATGAACTCGAAATTTCAATATCGGAATTGCAATATTGAAATTTTTCGTTCATTGTATGGTCAGCGCGTGTGTTTATTTGTGAACAAAACACTCACAACAGTCTCTAACCCTTAAATATATAAAACACATAATTCTTACCTTATAAGAGGTGTGACTAAATCTGCACCTTTATGTCTATCCTTATTCTGTTCTAAACATTTTTTTGCCAGTTCATCACATCCTGAAGCGCAAACATTGCTAAAGAACGACTCCCATTCTCCATTTTTCTTACTCTCCTGGTCGAAACATTGCTGCCACCAACGTTGCTCCATAATGAGGTTAAGAACATTTGGTTTTCCACTTTGAGATGCAGGATAAAGAATAGAATGGCCCTTTCCATCAATGTTTTTCATGACCTCAAGAAGTTCAGTTTCAGGATCTATATTTGATTTCAAAATTTCAAAAATCTGAGTTTTGTTCCTGTTGGTTATCGACGAATAAAAAATTAAAAATCTTGTGGGTATAAATTTTAACTGAAAATAGTATCAAATCAATAATATTTCATAATAGATATGACATATTTCTTAATAATATATTATCGTGCGCGTTTTTTAATCTTGAGTTTAGAATAAGATTATTAGATTCATGTTATATATATATAATATATATGCAATATATTATATGAACTCACATTTCTTTAGCATTTCTTCTATAACATCCGCATGGTCATTTAAGGCCGCTACATGAATTGGCGTTTCATTATGTTTATTTCGCTTGTTCACGTCTGGTTTCCTATCAAGCAATCGCTTAACCACCTCCATATTGTTACGCTTTATCGCCAAAAGAAGTGGTGATGACCCATGACTGTCCGGAATGTCTGAAAAATCGTCCAGGAATTTCGGTCGCTCTTGTAAAACCTCCATCGCTTTGATTGAAGAATTTTTGTTTGCAATAAGGTGAAGAGCAGTCTCTTTTGGTCGTTCGCTCAATGGCCAGAAAGGTAAACCATAGCGGCGGTGAAACAGATGAATATCTTCCTTCCTTGTTATGGGATGCTTCTCATAAATCTCAGAAAGCACATGTAAACAACTCAAACTGTTCAGTTCAACAGCTTCTAGTATACGACGTTGAATTTCCTCGATTCGGAACTGTGATTCTTGGAAAAATTATACATAGAAAAAATTATCCTAGTAAAGCGCGCGAAAGAACTTTAAAAAATCTTGGAAAACTTCAGCGTTTAGTTGTTGTTATATTATAACTTTTGTGATATGGAAATGAGAACAAGTTGAGATGATTTCGCTGCGCAAGATGCGGGATATATTTTTTCCGGGGAAAACTTTTTTATTATTTAACAAAAAAACCAAAAGCCGGGTACATTGTAGTCGAAAACTTCTTTATACCCGTTTTCCGTCTTGTGTTTCAACTGCATGAAGTCTTGAGTTTTTAACATTATGTTCTGCGGAGTTTGTTTCGTTTTATAAGTATATTGTGGCCCATAACACCTATATATTAGTAAGAGATGCAATATTCGAATATTCGCACATATTCTGAGGGATAGTCTAGGAAAAATTTCGCGATGTCCTGTTAACAAATTTTAAACAGAATCTTTTGATTCAGAATTGTTGCCTATAACAAACTTGATCAAAATATCACTTTTCTATAAGGACAACAATTTCGCTTCTTGGAACAAAATTACACTATGCTAAGTTAGGTTTTTTTACCCTTTATCTTCTTGGGCGTTTTTTCTTCTAAAGTTTGCTTCATGCCGTCTGTGGTGTCTATAAGATTAAAACCCATCATGTACATTAGCTGTAACCAAGAACATAAATCAGGGGATTTCCCCTCCCCCCCCCTTGCATGGACACAATTTATTTTCTAATTTTAAAGTGCCATGCCTAAAAAATCCTTAGAAGCTAAATATCTAAAGCATGGGTCAATTTAGCCTATATAATTGAACTAATGCTCATGAAACCATTTCTTTATATTCTCTTTTATACCTACCTTTTTGAAGGAAAATCCTTAAGTTGTGAGCATCGTCAAGATATATTGCTGTCGCAATGTTACAGCACCTGATCTTAAATATCTCGTCTACTATACCCATTGTACAGCCCATTAAATACTGCTTTTCTACAAACGATAAAAATAGTTGTTCATTGACTGTAAAAACAATAAATTTCTAAAGAAATGAATATTTATAATATTTATAACAGGCCGGCTACGCCACTGAAAGTTTTCAATGCCGCTTTGCGCGGGAAAATTCACCTACGGTTCGTGCTTTTTCACGTTTTCCGAAAGTCTCGCAATTTACCATTTAGTATTCCTTTATTGAATTAATCCGGATCCGCCACTGGTCTGCAGCATGATTATGACTCTGGTTGACGAAACCTTGCTCAAGATATTTTACTATTATAATTATGTATTATATTTGTACATGTCATCCATGTCATCCATTCTATTACGTAGGTGGTCGAGATATACACAATACATGACGCGTGGATGCGAGGGATCATTTTTTAAAGCAATATTAAGATAAGATTCAGTTGTATGGTATATTTAACTAAATTATAAAACTATTTATTCCTGAACAGTAATAAATAATGTTTTAATATATAAGACTTTTTTGCCCGTAGTTAATTAAAAGTGGAGTTCAAATGTTGGACAGCGCTTCATCTAAAAAAATCACTAACAAAATAACAGGGTGGAGTTCCTCCCCCACTTTTTTTCTAGTTTACGTATACATAATCCTTTCGCGATATTTTCACCAACAACATGAAAAAAATGTACCATATAGAACTAAAAATTACAAATTGTTTACACTTACCTGCATCACGAATTTGTGTATTTATATATCTTTCGTCTGAATTTGGTATCCTCTTTTTTGGTAAGGTCACATTTAACTTCGAAGAGGGGCTTTGAATTTCTCCCAGGATGTATACTTCTTGTTCGGTGACTGAAAAAAAAACAGATGAGAAATGTGGTTCATTTGCAAACCAAATGCAGTGACCAAATATTAGTTCTGTAATTTGAATATAACGATACGACCTTCCTTTTCCTTGTTTCAACTAACAAACAATATCATTATGAAATTTCGAACAAAATAATTATTCAAGTTTCGTTTAGATCTTATTTACTGAATGACGTAGCTACAGCACAAAAGGTTTCAGAATATTTATTTTGCTGAAATATTAAAGAATATGGTAAAACTGCCCGAAACGTTATAATATAAATTTTTTAATACTTCTTATTGTACATCCTGGAGAAAATGATATTAAAAGGAAACATGAAAAATTGCAGAGGAGAAAGTTTAAAAAAAAACATTAAAAATAACTATTCCAAGAGTGAAAACCTGGTTTACTTCACCTCTTTCCTTTTCAAACAACGGAGTAAGTTCTTGCTGTGAAACAAACTCGACGCAGTCTGTGGTGCGAAAAAAGAAAAAAGATGAATCTGAAGAACAGTAATCGGGAAACTTACCAATCTTGGACTTAGGAAAAGTTTCGTTTTAGACCAATCAGCAAGTTTGTTAACATTTTTAGTAACCCCATCAAAATGCACAAATATGAACATGTATCTCAGTAAAAAGCCATTTGCCACAATTGCCATGATATATCATGAAGTATTAGTCTGAAAGGCTTAGCTTGAAAAATGTAACCAAATACCTCCTTGTTAACGTGAGCACTAGCAGCATTGATCCATAATATCAAAACCGCGTGTAAACCGATGTTTTTGTGCATAAGTTACTGAACGTAGATACAGCTCTCGTGAAAAGCAAGGTATATTAGGGCTGTAGCTAGAAGCTTAAGCCACCTTATGCCCGACTCATTCTTTTGCCCGACTGATTATACTTTCTTTCTCTTAATTTCTTTGTAATAATTTATCAAATGTCGTTTTTTGCATGCATGTAAATCCTGCAGAGAATACTGTGTGTAAATTAAGTTTAAAAATTAATAAAAAACATAGTTAACACTTTAATTTAATAATTCTTTACCTGCCGGTAGTAATGGCTCTTCTTGACCAGGAGTAGCTCCAAGAGAGCAATTTATAACTGTTTCAAGACAAGACATTAAAGCTATGTATGTATATGAATAAAGGGCCGTCGCTAAAAGCCTAATTGGGGTGGGGGGGGGAAGTTGTATTAATATACCCATGTTCCTAAAAGTCTACAACCGTATAAACAATAGCTAACGAAAGAAGTCAGTTGGGCATGAGACGAATACAGCTGATTCAATTAAGTTTGTGACAGGCAATAGCCCAATGTATATTCCACGCGCAAGAGGCATGAAGGGATTGATGGCATTTTATGCATAATTATGCAACGAATGAAGTTATTATTGGAAAAGCATGCATTGATGAGTATAAATATAATCATCTCGTGGGAATAGTGTGAGGATGAACTTAAGGCTGTTATTATACTGTATAGCGGTAATGTGGAATACACGTTGTTTTGTATTATAGAAATAACCGAAATCTGCTAATAAACCGTAGTGTAAAAATGCCCCGTGCTTACAGTGCAGACCTGCGATGGAGAGCGATTTTTTTACTGATATTTGTGGACTATCTGTACAAGCGGCTGCTTTCTTCTTGCAAATATCACAGATGTCGGTTCGTCGCTAGGTTGGCAAATTTCAAACAACAGGAAACGTTAACACGGAGATCCACCAAATGCACTATTTATCAATCTAACTGTTTGCTCGCATGTTCCTTTGGGAATTGCAAAATCACCGCTTTTTTCATATGTGTCATTGTTTGGTCGAATGATAACATAATAAAATAATTAGCGTCCATTAACGACACCATTCAAAATATGTCGATGCATTAGTCAAATGCACTGGACCCATGACACTGTTCGCGCTTACAATTTACATTTGCCTATTGCCTGTCACAAACTTAATTGAATCAGCTGTATATGAATATGCACTGAGCAATTATGCTTCTAGGGGCAACCCTGGATTAGTAGACAATATACACGCTATTATATTAACCTAGTTCTACATAGATTGTTTTCTATATCTGGCTACATTGAATATTCCTCATTAGAAGTTTCTATACACATGCAACATATCATTTATAATATCATTTAAATGAACGAAACAGAATTCACTAAAAACAATGAATCAGAACTATATGTATAAGATATATTCCTATATAAGTGAGATATATACAAGGGGTACTTTGTAATATAGAAGTGGGTCGAAAGAAAAAGTTTTAGAAGGAAACTTATAACAAGGAATTTTTATCACTTTCCGTTAGATATATGGGGACAAATACATATTAGTGTGATAAGCATAAGATTGCTAAAAATTCGGTATATGCATGAGTAGACAATATCAGACAGTTACCTGATATTGATATCTATATGTAGGGCCCAGGTATATTATTTATATCCCGAACAAGTGCGAAGTGCTGTTCGAGGGTAGGAGATTAGGAATTATACTTAGGTCAGTACCGGATCCAGGTAAGTCAGGATAAATTATCACAGCTCAATAAGAAAGTTCGTTTTTAACGGTGATCAGCGGGAATTAATATTTTCATGTTAGCAGACTTTAAAAGCAATCGATGAATACCCCCCCCCCCCCTGACTTAACATATCCAGTGCCCCTGGGGAAGAACGTATCAGCACGATATGATTGTGTTAAAGTGTTAACATTTAAATATTTTTATACCTGTTGCAAAATCAGGTTGATAAACATAAGCTTCGTTTGATACGAGAGCTTCTGGACGGAAAAGATGAGTTGTAAGCTCGACTTCAAGACATTCATTTTTAGACTCTGTGGAAAAAAATGGCAATGAACAATTATCAGTATGTGGCACTCTTATAGTACCCTTCAGTTATAGGGAATTATCACCACTTCTTTACTCTCAGGGGATTAACACCCCAACTTCAATTACAGGGGATACCACCCCTTAGTTCTAGGAATATATCACCCTTCACCACCTCAGGACATTCAGGCAAGGGGGTTACAACCCCATGTCTACTTTGGATAATTTTTGTATGTTCAATTGTAAAACAATTTTGGAAATAACTAATACTGGAGTACTTCAATCCGACGACAAATTTTTAAAACATCCCCTCCGCTCTTTCAACAGGCCGCAAGGTAGCTAGCTATATATCTATCGTGGCCTTTTTTGCATGAATGTTAACGTTTATATGAGGCATAATTAAAAAGTATTGTTACATGGTTTTTTACATCCCTCCATTCTGACTGGATGACGAGCGGTCCGTAAGTTCCGTATTTGGACAGGTATCCGGGATGTCTCATGCAGTTCATCCATATAATAAACAGATTATTGATCTCGCTTGTTCGGTCTGTACTGTGAAATATCATTGACCCACCCAGTATAGTGTGGTCAATAGGTCTTTTCGAAACCAAAAAAGCACACGCTATTGTTTCAGTAATGTTTACAACACTCGCGGCCGTGTTGTACAGGGTGAGAAAAAACCCCGGACATTTTTGAAATTCAAATTAGCCGCATAACGGCTGCATGTAATGTGACAGAAATTGCCTAAAATATCTCATGGGTTTACGAAGCATATCAAATAAGTGAACCCATTAATCAATGTAAAACATAAAGTTTTTTCCCCTTGGCAGTTAAAATGCATTCTAAGCTCTGTAAATAAAAAACACCAGTTTTGTCAAATCGTTTTTCTAGCACACGTGCCATTTCCGCATTAATTAACCACGTCTTGTTGATTGTACACAATGGGAATTGTCAAATTCCAGCCATAAGTTCGCGGCTATGAATTTCAAAGGTGTCGGTGTTTTTTTACTCACCCTGTGCATCTTTCTTATCATCTGAATATGGTTCTTCCACATCATTCCCGCCTTTAGCAAAACTCAAAAGGTTGTCATCTTTTTCATTCGTTTCATCTTCTGGAGGTGGGTCTTCTTTCTTAGGCGCTCCGTCCGACAAATTTTCCATTGTATCTAAATCGGAATTGTATCAAAGGAAGTTGAGATCTATCTACCCATCTTTTACATGAGCCTGTTTACCCGAGATGCAGGCCCAGGTTATACGTCGCATTTTCGTCGCGTTGAAGTGGAAAACGACCCAAATCAAGCAACGTACACCAAGTCAGGGTGTACGATTCGACAGTCGCGAATCCTAATATAAATTTCTAATGCATGCATGCATGGATAAATTAATGTTTCTTCACCTTAAATTACACGCTGCTACACGCACGATGAAATACCAGGGCTGAACGATTTGAATCGCTTGCACTTGTAGCCTTGCTCCAATTCTGTCCTTCAACGACAATAACAACGACAAGGCCTAAAAAAATAAAAAATAGTATAAGATAACAACGACACGGCATGAATTTAAATTTAAATTCTTTAAAACTTTAAATTTCCGTGTTTTGATGGCCTGATCAAAACACGGGCTTCGACCAATCAGAACACGCGTTATATACAGGAATAAAATAATAAAGCAAATCATTTATAGTACCAGTAGATTTCTACCGAATCACTCGCTGTGTGTTAGAGTCAACAGATTTGAAAGATGTCTGAGTGAACGTTGAAACAATTCATGTTCTTTTACTCACTGCTTGTGAAATTGTTTAATATTCATGTTCGAATAAAAGAACGGGTATATAGCCAAATAAAGAAGATCACTTGACAATTTGCACTTCAACATATTTACTATTATTAGGAAGTTTTCGGAGAGAGAAAGTCGCTATATATACACACACACAATGCATATCATGCCATGGGGCCATGTGCGCTTACTGCTTATAGGAAGTTTTCGGAGAGAGGAAGTCGCTATATATATATATATATATATATATATATATATACCAGTATATATATATATATATATATATATATATACGCAAATTTTGATCTGTGCGTAGTAAATCAGAGTGCTCAATACCAATACAATAGTAGAGCAAATAAATCAACAAATAAACCAGTATATATATATATATAAACCAGTAAATAAACCAGTATATACCAGTATATATATATATATATATTAATATATATATATATATATATATATATATATATATATATATATATATATATACACAATGCATATCATGCATGCCATGGGCGCTTAATGCTTAGGAAGTTTTTGGAGAGATGAAATCGCTATTCAACAGAACGAAAAATTACCAGTTGTCCTTTAACTTGTCTTTTACGATGCACACGTCAAACATGGAATGAAACAAAAAAACGTTTATTTGATTTGGCACAATATTATCATGCTCAATAGTAGCAAAGTCAAGCTTCGGAACATAAACAATACAGTTCATATTCATTTAGATGCCTTGCGAACCTAAATGTTGTTCGATCGCGAAATTCAGAAGCACAAGTACTTTAAAAAGTATAGAAGTTCGATTGTTCAAAAATGTAAATAAACCGCATGATACATTCACTTTGTCTTACACTTTGCCTTTGGAATTCGCGCTTATATACTTATATTAAATCTTCAATCCTGTGCAAACTGCGAAATAGCAGCGATATTATTAAAATAGGACCAGAATCTATATGTATTAAATATATTCTTACCACAATTAATCGAATAGCATCAAAAGAACAGTTTATTTGTTCTTCTAGGAGGAATTGCCGTATCATGCGAGCGAAATCAAATCGCCCATCGGCAAATTAGACAAAGCTGTGCACCACAACTCTTAGGAGACAAAACTGCGACGTAGATAAATACGAAAGTAATAAAGCAAATGACCCATAGTACTAGTAGACTTCGATCGAATCACTCGCTGTGTGGTAGAGTCAACAGATTTCCAAGATGTTTGAGTAAACGTTGAAAATATGCATGTTCTTTACTCATTGCTTGTGAAATTGTTTAATATTCATGTTTTAGCAAAAAAGCGGGTATATATAGCCGAATGAAGAAGATCACTTAACACTTTGCACTTCAACGTATTTACAATTATTATAGGAAGTTTTCGGGTAGAGGAAGTCGCTATCGCAGAGAGGAAGTCGCTATTCAACAGAGCGAAAAATTACAAGTTGTCCTTTGTCTCTGACCTATGGAGTCCTGAATGGAAAGAAGTACACATATATTCCAAAGATTCTAGGTTATTCTGCTTCAAAGGATAATGTCCAAATGATGTCCAAGCTCTGATATAGTGCGGTAAAAAACATAAGCACAAATTAAAAAAAAACTTCGATATACGTAAATATAAAATGATTGTGTCCCACACAAATCAAAATCATCACTCTAACAGGTCAGAATGCGAAATGGTTTCGGATAAAACATATCGGAAACACAAATAACGGTATTAATTTTAAAAAACTACAAAAGAAGCTATTTTAAAAGATCTTACGAGTTCTACATATATATTTTTAAGGAACAAAGAAAACCTTGAAGTTGAGAACAGAACGAAACGTTTACATGCATTTAAATATCCTTGACACGATATTATGCGTATTCTATGAATGGAGAAAATACTCATCTCTTTCTATGAACAATGAAAATTCAACAAGACAAATAAAAATAAGCTAAAAATAGGAAGATAAAATGATATTTTATACTTTAAAGACTGTCTGTCCTCATTCGATCATGTTGTTCAACTGCTGGAAGCATCTTTACTCCCTGCTTGAAGCTTCTCCAACAGTGCTTCAATATTCTGTAATCTATCCTTCATCTCATTCTTCAACTGTTTTCCAAAACCCTTTTTCTTTTTCTTAGCCATTGCTTTTAATTGTTCCTCAATTTCATCATCTTCAAATATCTACGCAGCAAATAATTTTTTTTTTATTCCATAAATATATAAAACTGGGGAGGAATAAAAATGGGAAAGAGTATCCGTGTAGTCTGCTAATAGACAACCATGATTATGGCAACAACCTGGAACTTTTTATGTTCGGGAAATGTGGCTTGACAAATTGAAAAAAGGCCGTCCCAATTTGCCCGCATCTTTGTTGTTTCAAGAAATCTGACGATATTATCTATTTCTTAAAAATATGAATAAGATCCAACCTATCTCGCTAACAATCATTCTAATGTCGAAAAAGAGGATTGTCATCAGCAGCATGCACTGAACACTGGGCATTAGTTTTTTACTCTGTGGCTGTGTTTTATTGATAGTATAGTACTTAAGAAGGTGTCCAAAACATTGCTACTTTAACATGCCGTTACGCATTACAAAGTGACTCTAACGATTTAATTTATACAAAAAAGAACTAGGAGATTTACCTTTGCAACAATACCTACCATATTGATAAAAAATAACGAAATAATCGCGTGTTAAAAATTGGCGATAGGAAACCACATTTTTCCACGGTTGAGAATTGGTTGGACATGCAATCTTATTGGCGTATAAAAATCCCAATGAAATCATATTTCCTTCTTTGTACATTCAATTGCTACATCCATCACTAATCGGATTATTTCAAAATTATTCCGTAATCTCTAATAATAGAGCATACCTTATTCCAATGGAGTGTTAGCCACGATGGTTGACATTCATCCTTTGGCGGGTCTTCAACGTCGTCTTCAAATTCAGGCGATGGGAGGAATGGAATATTGTGTAAATTTCTTTCTAATGTAATGACAAGACTCGCCTGAATAGTAAAAATACCACCAGAAGATAGACTTTAAAGGCAATATAGACTATATCGAGTCGACAGCATTGAAATAAAAATTTGCATTTTCTTAATGTTTTTCTGGAGCACCAAAGGTTGAATGTTTCTGAAAATTAAATTGCGAGAGAGAGAGAGAGTAGCATCATTATGCTAGCATGAATATTTTTGTACCAGGTTTTGGAAAGCATAGGTTATCGCAAATCATTTCTAAGGAAATTATAGTGTTAGATTCTGCATGAGTGCATTTCTAGTAAAAAATAATAACGCACGTAGTCGTAGGCTACGGCTGATTTCATTCGAAATTTGCCGCCTTCGTTCGAAAAAACAGCAGGTGACTGATATACAATTGTTTTCGACAGCTTTATGTAAATTTTTTGTGAATGACGATGCCTGTTAAAAATAGCTTGGAAATTAATCATGTTCATTAAACGGACGGGTCAATTTTTTTCTCGACGCCTTTCCTGATTGTAAATTGAGGCTATGTACACATGGTAACGCTTTCGCACATCGGTTCTCTTGCCAAAACAGTTTTAAACACCGCCAGACCAATAGAGGTTCAGGGTAATTTAACATATTGAGCAAATTTTTCTTTAGATCGTGTGGACAGGGCGTATAAACAAAAAAATTGACAAAAACGATTTTGAAAAAGCTCAAAAACAACGCTCGAGTGCACATAGCCTAAATACGCCTAAAAATAAAAGTGTGAAAGAAATCAAGCTTGTGTCTTTCTGGCGTGACCATACCTGGTCATGCAAGCAAAGGGGAATTCCGTTTTAATCCAATCATGCAGCAAGTTTGTTTATATTTTAAGTAAACCAATCAGATTGCATAAATTTTGATAAAAAGTAGAATATATACCATTTTACATGAAGTATTAAAAATTTAGTAATTCTGATTGGCTTGCTTGAAAAATGTAAAAAAATATGGCGATTTGCTTAAAACGAGATTCCTCCTTGTTGGCTATGCATGCAGTGAACATGGGCATCTATTAAAGTTATTATACCTTAGAAATTCTTTTTTCTTCTTTCGAACGAGCCATGATGTCATTAATATCCCCAACAGCAAGACCAGTCAGCAAATTCATCACGGTGACGGTGATCGTAAGAATAAATAACACAAGAACTATCTTTTGCAAAACGTGAAATGGTCCGCTTTGTAGAAAGATATCCCGATAGTCCAACTCTCCAGTCATCATGACGAATGTTGTGAGAATAGAAATTGGAATATTTTTGAAACCTTTATCTAGACGAATTAGCAGCGAAAATGACAGCGAGAACGCAACGATGAACAACAAGACGAATGGTAACACCTGTTGTTGAAAAAAAACCCCAACATTTCAGTGCCACAAACCTTAAGCGTTATATAAACAAACCATTTCAGTATAACAATAAACTACTACTGTTGAAATTATTGAACAATAAATTATGATTTTCTTGTGACTGCAAAGGTATGGGAAAATTTGCTTGCAGTCAGCTTAAATACTCCTTCAAAGTTCTTCAAGTTCAACGTATACCTGGCAGACGGTACGAAAAACTCTTTTAGCCATTATGACGTAGATCCCAAACAATGAAAATCTTTTCAGGAAAAAAGAGAAGTTTATCCATCCGAGAAACACCGAAATAACTCCAGCCGTAATCTGTACTTTCGTCTTCGTACTTCCTCCAGGCACCACATAAATGACAGCGCAGATGAATATCACCCATTCGATGTAATTTTCGAAGTCTTTAGTATAACTAGCAGCATATAAACCGAACTATACAAGGACACGGATACAATATATCAAGACGAATTAGAATGTGTTTTATGTTACATGAAATGGCCACAAACCTGAAATATTTCTTTGATGAAATGAAATGCACAAAAGGCCAAAATAATAACCGATAATGAAATCATTCCTGGTGATTTTAAGTCGTATAGTCCTAGAACATAAAAAACATATATCTTTTCACGTTGAATTTTTTTGCATATAACACAGTATGAATTGAATAAGATAAGACTTGTTAAAGTTGTATTTTATTGTCTTGAATTCCATTGTATTGCATTGCGTGGCATCGCATCGCGTTGATTTGCATTGATTCATTCATTGCGTTGTATTGTTCCAATATAACCAAGGAGCAGCGTGGCAGCGTCTTCAAATAACTAAGCATCAAATGTGGTATAACAACTGCCTAAATAGACAAAAATCTCCTGACGAAGGCCCTCAGGTCAAAACGTCGAGAAGTGTTTTGTCTACTTAGGCATGCAGTTATTATACCGCATCTGATGCTAAGTTGCATTCTATTGTATTTCATTGCATAGGCATAGCATTGCATGGTATCCCATTGAATAGCATTGTATTGTATCCCATTGTATTGTTTTGTCAAATATCAAATATCACATCAAATCCAGTGGCGGATCTAGGGGTGTAACAATGCTATTGGTTATAAACTTGAAACGAATATTTTTACGTTAAAATCTACCAATGCTATTCCGATTTTAAGCTGTAGTAATTTATTTTGCACACACCTAGATCCACCATTGATCAAATCATATATTATTACCTTGACTTTGAAGAGTGCTATATACTGTTAAACTGAGCAGGAATATGAGGTAGAAAAAAACATTGAAATAGAACCATTTTTTAACACCCTTTGAATGCATCTTGTAGTTAAGAAACTTTAGAACAAGTGGATGGCCCAAACAGTCGTCTCTTTCATTGTCAACCATGCTTTCAATTGCTTCAAGCTTTCCATCCGCTTGGCCTTTGTCTTTAGCATTGTCTTTAGCTTCACAAAAAAGTATAATTCATTCATATGCACCATTTAAACCGTAAATGTTAAGTTTAGCCGAGTATAAAATACAGTGCACGCATGCATGCAGAAATGATTATTCAGGCAGCAAAGTAAAAAAAAGACATTCATTATTATATGGCACGCGGTCTCGTGACTAAAATGGCATGCTCTGTTTGGTTCTTTGCCGGTCTGGAATCCCCCAGTATTAGACCGTTGCCGTAGCAACGGTCCAACTCTCATATTTTTGAACAAAAACAAGCTTGCACTTTTATTTTTTGACACGAAAAATATCGACGGAGAATGGACGAATATTTGGTACATGTGAATATTATATTTATTCATCTTTGATTTTTGTTTATATTACTGTATCATTCTTATTTAACGAGTAAAAAAAAGTTTTGGAAGCCACTTCAAGGCTTGCTTGGCGACTGGCTGGCGAAAGAGCCGGCAAGAATGCTGCAGCGCATTGTATAAATGAATATAAACTAAGTACTTTATGCCATATAATAAATCCCTTATTAAACCGAATACGTTCGGTCCGTACTGGAAAAATATCAGACCTCGGTCTCTATGTACGGACCTCGCTATCGCTCAGTCCGTACAGTCAAGACCTCGGTCTGATATTTTTCTAGTACGGACCTCAAATTCGGTTTAATAAGTGGTATGCACTGAAGGTATATTGTGCATTTTTTTTCGATCAGATAAATTTTCATCAATCATATCATTATTACCGAGTAAGAGTTTTCTATAATTCAAATAGCTTTAGTCAATTAAATCTATTAGTCTTTGAAAGAAAATAAATCTTTCATCAATGCTGTAACTGTCGACTCCCGGGTCCAAACCTGTGTGGATTGTGTCTAAGGTCTAGGCCTGGTTCAAACTTGTCGTAATAATTTAGGACTCCATTGGTCTGAGGGTAACTGCATGGTGCGCAAATTGCTTTGTCTATCAGAAAATATTACAATGGTTCCCCAATTCTAAGAACCCAGAGTGTATATCAGACCTTGCAAACAAGGTTATATCGTATATACACTAATATCGCACTCATATTTGTGTATATATAGCATTTTACTCTTTGGCGAGACTTCATCCAACGTATACTTAATACCAAATGATAACAAAGATGGTTAACATAAATTAAATTTGCGAACTTACGATTTTTCCGTTTGAATGGAAAGAACAAGTATATCATTCTTCTTTCCACTTTCATTTCGCCATAAGAACGGTGGCTATGATATTTTTGTTCCTGAACACACAGGTCAAAAATCATCATGGCGACTTCAGGTGTTTTTTCAATCAGTTGTGCCATAATACGATCAGCACCAAAATACGTGTCTTCGAACAACTGAAAAAAAACACGAAAATAATTCGTTGAAATATGCTTATGCACGGTGATAAATGAGGTAATTTTATTAGTATATTGGTATTCATGCGATGGCAAGTATTTCTAGAATGACATTATAATAGACCTTGGGCCGGTTGTATGAAAGCCGGATAGCGCTATCCACCGAATAGTGGTTTTTTCAATCGCTTCAAAATCGCCCGTTGTTTGCAACAACTTTGATTAAATCTTAGTATTCCTAAATCGAAGATCCTCTTTAATAATCGTTGCTTCCAAGCTGAAATTTTCTCGCTTTTCGAGCATTTTTCGAACGGTTCAAAAAATCACTATCCGGCGGATAGCGCTATCCGGCTTTGATACAACCGGCCCCTTATGCATAATAAGACGTAACAACCCGTCACGCCTGCAAGGAATTCGGGTTTAATAGTTACGGTGAAAAATTCACACTTCAAAATTTCCCGCCACGACCAGTAAGACCAGAATTCCTAGCAGGCGTCACGACTCGTTACGTACATAAGTCTATTATTAGCTAAAAGTTACAACCTGCATTTGTATGTACATAGCTATTTGTTTACCTCTTTAAGTAATTGTGTTTTTTTATATTTTACTTTTTTTTGTGTTGTACAAAACTCGATAATTTCTTTGATAGATTCCTCGGCAGTTTCAAAATGTCCATACGCACAATCCAAGATGTTGAGTCTGGCCGTCTTCGTGTCGCTTTTTATTTGCGCACCTTTCTCCAACATATATCTTAATATCTCCGCCTTTCCGAGCTTTGTGGCATAACCAGCTGCACTAATGTTTATCTCATCGGTGAAATCGATCATTTCTAGGAACTCGTTTTTTTCCAGCAGAAATTCCACGACAGCCAGCTCCCCGGAAAGCACAGCATAATGAAGAACAGTTTGATCTTCTGGACTATGTAAAATTTATAAATATACTTCAAATTATTTCGTTGCATGTTTTCGTTTGTTAAGCTTTTATATGAAAATTGTCAGTCTAAAGCAGTAACACACATTTTCCATTCATATAACGTGAAATTCAAACGTTAACTCCTTACGTTCTTTGTGAATAATTCGCTCCTTCATCCCAGAAAAATTGTAGTAACTCGACTTTTCCTTTCTTAGCGGCCTCTAAGAACGGCTGATGTTTCTCGTGCTCGCCATTCAGCAGATCAGCTACTGCTTTGGGATCTTTTCTTTTCCAGTCGACAAGACCTTTCTTTAGAAGCTATTTAAGAGTGCATGGATACCTTCTCATATATGTTCACTGAGCTATATTATAATTCCCGGAGGACTTGCTCCTAATGTTTTTTTCTAAAAACATTTCGCCCTTCTGCGCATGCGCAGAAGCTTTGCTGACGCCACATGGTCCCCTTTGCCCATGGTAATTACCTGCAATGATGAGGCTCAAATAGGAGCCCGCTACAAGAGAATGCTCCCCCTGGTTTATCTAAACGACCGTATCCCCCCTGTTTTCTATAAAATTTTAAAAACAAATTGTTTTTGCCGCGAAGCCTTGTGGTTTTGTATTTTTCGATTTATCTATTGTGCTATAAAGGGTTGCAATAATGCGTTTATATTAGTTATATAAAAGTTGTAGACGCTGTTTTTTTCAATGCCAGAAAAAATGAATATTAAAACGTGTTAAAAATATCAAAAAATATCGTGGACGAGGGATTTTATGCGATTAGCTGACAGGTTATTTCATTTTATTTTATTTATTTTCATTTATATTCATACATTTCTTTATACTGAAATGTTTTTCAAATACTTGAATATTTTTTGAGCTTTGTCGGAAATGTGGAATATTGTTTACGGATATCAATCACATGTGCTAAAGGTTACATGATGTTGTCCTTAGAAGTAGAACTTCATGCCAAATATGCATATCAGCTTGCTGAATGGTCATAGTACTTCAACAAGTCATATTTGCATAGGATATATAGAGATTACTTCATGGTTGGCGAGTGCATGCGTACGATTTTTATGCACGAATTGTGAAGGATCGCAATACGAACGAGTGAGCGCAGCGAACGAGTGAGTTTGCGATCCTTCGCAACGAGTGCATAATAAAAATCGTACAAACGATATTTGCGCGCCGTTTATAACACTGATTTCAAAGGAATTACTGGATCAGGCGCTTTGGTAGTTGTTTTATTATACTTCGTGACGTATCGTCCAATTATTAAAAGCAAAAAAAGTTTTGAAAAGCGACTTACCTGAGGTATTAATATTTCCGATAGATGAATTAAGCCATTCACAACATCACTTAGAGCAGGACGGCGAAGCCACTTCTCCATTCAATTTGTTGAGCAGGGAAAGAGTGAATTTTTAAATGAAATGCGAAAAAAAATATATACCGAAATATAAGTTCGAAAACCTAAGATATTTTCATAAAACTCGGGAGGGTGACGGACACAGTTTTTGACTTTGTATCGCGGTATGTCAGTGGTAATTACCATGGGCAAAGGGGACCATGTGGCGTCAGCAAATCTGAAAATCCGCCATCTTTTTTGCTTCACTTTCTGGCCAGGAGCAAGTCCTCCAGGAATTATAATATAGCTCAGTGTCTATGCTGCGTACGACACAACAACATCCTCTACTTAAATAGGCGGATTATTATATAAACTGAATAAGATGTAAGGCTATAAAAGGGTGTTTCTCGTCAAACTAGCAGCTAGTTCTCTTTCCAATCAACCTTCGTGCCGAAATGAGAAGTGCTTATAGATTTGTGGTGTGTAAATACGGGCAAACAGACGGATCATGCGTCAACACGAGTTCAGTATCCGTACGTCCATTCGTTTATTCAGATGAATTTGAATGGGTAGTTCGTCTTGCCGCATCATTCCTGGCAATTTCGTGCCGCATCATAAAACGGCATCTTGTGAACTCTTTTAATCACACAATTAATTTCCCAATTCACCCGCACTTTCTAAACGTACGATTCTGTTTCGTCTGACATATTCGTCTACATAGTTCGTCCAGATAGTTTGTCGTGTGTTTACTTAGGGGCTGTTTACATGAGCCCGGTTACCCGAGATTTAACGAAGCGTGAGAGGACTTTGAGGTATTGAAATAAGTCTTTATGACACCAAACAAGCACATGCTATTGTTGTGCTGATTATACGATTGCCATGATCATGCTATCTGCTCATTTCAATACCTCGAAATCATCTCACGCTTCGTTGAATCTCGGGTAACCGGGCTCATGTAAACAGCCCCTTGGACGAATAAATCTGCCAAACGGATCATTCGTCCTGACGGATAATCCGTGTCTAGTATAAACCGCGCCAATTATGCAGTACTACATGGCAGTTGCTAAGTTATCCGTCAGGTACAACCGGAAAATGTGTCGGAAGAACAACCTCTCGACGTTTACCTCTATATCCACACTATCAATCAGATGGGCAGCGAATAGATCAGCTTTATTTGTAGTGTGTTCTAAGAGCATTTCGAAGCTCTATCAAAAGAATATAAAATATTGATGAGTTAGTGCATGCCTTGGAGAACGCTCTTATAGCTATTTCAACCAATAGGGATCAGATTACCCGATCTGGTAATTATTTTATTCGGTCGGATGCACACAACAGCCAACTGATTTTAATAATTTCCAAATTTATACCAGGAGAGGGCAGTCTAACTAGATTTTGAGCAGATTTGCTTATAGAATATTCATATATGCATTGTCATACTGAATAGAAAGCAGTTTGCTCAAACACCTAATTATTTGTGGTATAAATTTTCATTTTTATTGAAAACTCAGTGGAAACATTGTTTGTTTGACTCTCCACACCATAATTTCCAAATTGAACTAATGAAAACGTAATCGAGCTCATAAGTGAGAATTGATTTTGGATATCATCAATTTAAAAAACATTTGACTCAATTTCTAAATTTACAATACAAGTTTTAAAACGACGTTGTTTATTACCGTGCATCCAGCTCCGTTTAGACCCTAAATATTTTATACCTCCTCTATATCTCCAACTGCTGCAAGCTTGATTGGTGTGTTTTCCCACTCGTCCATTATATTAATAACCTCGGTATTATTTCCGAGCTGAAAATGCAAAGAAAATTGGATAGTATCTTAAAAGCTATAGCGAATTAAAACCCTTGTTTATATCAATCAAAGACGTCTAACATTGTTTCACATGCTTGAGGAGTTTATTATATAATGATACAGAATGAGGGAAAACATTATCTTTATAAATAAATCAACGTATAACCTACTTACCTCTTTAAGCTTTTCAAGAAGATAACGTAGAATATCAGGGTTCTTCACAGCGTAGTGGAAGACATTTTTACCATGTTCGTCACAAATCATAAAAGGATCATAGCCCCGTGAACGGTCAATAATAAGTTTGACAATTTCACCTTGGTTTGCTTCGACCGCTCTGTTATGCATAAGGGAATAAAAAACCACTTCATACACAAAAGCTTGGCTTGGCAGTGACGGATTGGTCTCAATGAATTGTAACAGCTCACATCTGGATATATTAACATTCTAAAATGCCTTTAAAATAGTTCAATTAATTGTCTAAAATAATTATTTTTTTGAGATTCATTACAAATAACATCGCTATTTAGATACCCTGTGCTGCAGCAATTTGAGTAAGGCCGGCTCCGTCACTGTCTCAAAATTCATTAAAATTATATATACATATAAGAAATGAATTATTCTTACCTCATAAGAGGGGTAACTGAAATTGCACCTTCATCTCCTTTCTCATTCGGGGTAGTATTATTATTGTGTTGTAAGCATATTCTTGCCAGTTCGTAACATCCTGACGCACAAACGTTGCCAACGAATGACTCCCATTCTTCAGTCTTATTAACCTCCTGGTCGAAACATTCCTGCCACCAACGTTGCTCCATAATGAGATTAAGAACCTTTGGTTTTCCACTTTGAGAGGCAGGATAAAGAATAGAATGGCCGTTTCCATCAATGTTTTTCATAACCTCAAGAAGTTTAGTTTCATCTAGATTTGCTGTCAAAATATTAAAAATCGTTCCTGTTGGTTATATCGAAGAATAACATTATCACATTTCACTGAATTTATCATATCGAATTGGATTAACCTACTTAGTTTTCATAATTATATATGATCGTGCACGTTTTTTAACTTCCAATTTGGATAAGAATATTAGATTCATGTGAATGAATGTACTTGCCCATCATATCACAGACAGCTTTGAGTATCAACTCCTTAATTTGTTTGAGATATTTTATACAATATACTATATAAACTCACATTTCTCCAGCATTTCTTTTATAACATCTGCATGGTCATTTAAGGCAGCTACAAGAATAGGCGATTCATTATGTTTATTTCGCTTGTTCACGTCTGGTTCCCTATCCAGCAATACCTTCACCACCTCCATATTGTTACGCTTTATCGCCAAAAGCAGTGGTGATGATCCATGACTGTCCGGAATGTCTGAAAAATCGTTCAGGAATTGCGGTCGTTCTTGTAAAACCTTCATCGCTTTGATTGAAGAATGTTTGTTCGCAATAAGGTGAAGAGCAGTCTCTTTTGGACGTTCGCTCAATGGCCAGAAAGATAAACCATAGCGGCGGTGGAACAGATGGATATCTTCGGCTTTATTTGAAATGGGATTATTTTGATAAATCTCGCAAAGCGCATGTAAACAACTCAAACTGTTCAGCTCCACAGCTTCTAGTATACGACGTTGAATATCCTCGATTCGGAACTGTGGTTCTTAGAAACAAAAAAAAATATTCGCGTAAACGAAAGAACTTTAAAAAATGTCGAACAACTCCAATGCTTAGTTGTTGATAAATTTTAACTTGTGTTATATGGAATTGAGAAAATTGATGTCAACTGCATGTCCATTTTATTAACAAAAAAAATCTGAAAACGGGTACATTGTAGTCCAAAACCTCTTTACTCATTTTGCGTCTTATGTTTTATCTGAATTCTGGTGAATTTCGTTTTATAAGAGTAGTAACAGATTCAATAATCGATTTTTCGCACATGTTTTGAGGAAGAGTCTGTGACAAAATTTAGCGACGTTCCATCAACAAATTTCAAACAGAATCTTTTCATTCAGAATTGTTGCCTATATAACAAACTTCATCAAAATTTGTTTTTCCTAAGGAAAACAATTTCGCTTCATTTTAAACGGCAAAATAATGACTGTTATATCATGTAATGCTATTTTACCTTTTATATTCTCGAGCAACGGAGATCTTTCCCCTAAAGTATTCTTCATTCCGTCTGTGGTGTCTAAGATAAAAACCCATACATTCAACCAAATGATCTCTTTGCCTGTGAATGTCTTACTCCAAAATGCAGATTTAATTTACCAAGAGGGAAGAAGATGCAACCGGGTACATTAGCTGTAGCCATGGCTTTAATACGAAATTCACATGCCCAGAAGAGAAATCAGGGGATTTTTTCCCTTGGACACAATTTAATTTCTACTTTTAAAGTGCCATACCTAAATCGTCTTCATAAGAACATCTAAATCATAGCATGGGCATTTAGCCTATGGGAGTAACTAAATTAAAAATCACCTAATGTTCATGACACTAATTGTTTATATTCTCTTATACCTTATGCCCCTGGCTTATGGCCTACCTTTTTGAAGCTTAAGAAAAGTCCTTAAGTTGGGATCATCGTCAAGATATATTGCTGTTGCAATGTTACAGCATCTGATCTTTAATCTCTCATCTACTACACCCCGTGTACAGCTCATTAAATACAGCTTTTCTACAAATCACAAAATGAACAAGATCGAATTGCATAACTGATCGTTATTTAGATCAACCATTAGACATCCCACTCAAAACTACGCAAGCAGCAAATGAAAAATTACCGAAGATAAAGGCATATAAGCAATAGGACAAAAAGGATATATCACAATTGCTTTGAATTGTTTCCACTTTTTATCAGGTGAAAACAGTTCTAGTCATTTCTAAATTCTAATTATATTCTAGATATTAATGCCTATTATTATATGGCACGCGATCTCGTGACTAAAATGGCGCGCGCTGATTGGTTCATTGCCGGTCTACATTCCTCCAGTATTAGACCGTTGCCATAGTAACGGTCCAACTCTCATATTTTTAAACAAAAACAAGCTTGCACATTTATATTTGACACGAAAAATATCGACAGAGAATGGACGAAGAAGAGCATTATTTGGTACATGTGAATATTATATTTATTCATCTTTGATTTTTGTTTACATTACGTACTGTATCATTCTTATTTAACGAGTAAAAAACAAAGTTTTGGAAGCCATTTCATTGCTTGCTTGGCGACTGGCTGGCGAAAGAGCCGGCAAGAATGCTGCAGCGCATTGTATAAAGAAATAAACTAAATACTGTATGCCATATAATAAATCCCTTATTAACCGAATACGTTCGGTCGCGTACTGGAAAAATATCAATTGGTTGGTTAAAGTCTTTCAATTGGTTGTTTTTGATCACGTGGCATTATATAAATTTCCTTTACTGACCGTGTAATTTATTTGCAAAAAACTTTGCCGGTCTATGTTTTCCAATGCGCGGTTGCTTTCACCAAATCCAATCACTCACAATATTAATCGTAACGTGCTCGCGGGTATTTGAACACGAATATTTAATTATATTGCAACTGAATACTATGCAGGTCATCCATTGTCTTATGTATAGGTGAGATCTACAAAATGCATAACGCGTGTGGTTGGGAATGATTTTTTAAATAATATCTTCACTTCTAATCTATTCTATATTGAACAAAATTAAACCATTTATTTCTGAACCTTAATAAGTATGTTTTAATAAGAAGAGTTCGAACGTAATTAAGGGGTGTTCAATGTTGGACAGCGGTTGCATCTAAAAAATTAACTGACAAATAACCTTAACCATATCCTTTCACAATCTTTTCACTAAAAACATGAAATGTCCGCATAGCACTAAAATTACAATTATTTTACTTATACCTGCATCTGATACGTGTATTTATATCTTTCGTCTGCATTTGGTATCCTCTTTTTTGGTAAGGACGCATTTGACTTCAAAAAGGGGCCTTGAATTTGTCCCATGATGTATACTTCTTGTTCGGTGACTGAAAAAAACCCGAAGAGAAATGTAGTTTAATTTGTTTGCAAACTAAATGCAGTGACCAATATTAGTTCTGTGTTTGATATAACCCAACTTTCCTTTTCGAATTCCTTTTTTCAATCAACAAACTCTATCATTATGAAATTTCGAACAAAGTAATTATTCAAGTTTCGTTTAGATCTTATTAGTTTACTGAATGACGTAGCTACAACACAAAAGGTTTCAGAATATTTATTTTGCTAAAATATTAAAGAGGAGTATAGTAACTAACGAACGTTAGCAAATATTTTTTGTACCTTGTGTTATGCTTCTTAAAGAAAAAATAATACAAAGGTGAACGTTTAAAAACATTAAATATTATTCCAAGAGTGCAAAACCTTGTTAACTTTACCTCTCTCCTTTGCGAACAACGGAGTGAATTTTTCAAGTGAAACCAGCTGAACGCAAGCTGTGGTGCGAAAGAAGAAAAAGGATCAAACTGAATGAAGGAGTAATCGGTCCCTATTAATTTGGACTTGATTTAGTAATTCGCGTATAACGTGAGCATAAGGAGATTTCGTTTTAAACCATCAGCAGTTTGTTAGGAGATTTTTTATTATGCATGTCGCGTTTTTGGTGGGAAACGCTCAATCTAAATTGTTTCGGCGTACCGCTCAAAATTAATTCATTTTACTTTTATTTCTTTAGATTATGTTGTGAACTAAGTTTCGAACTGTATTTGGTGAATGCAAAACACCAAACGAAGAAGTCATTACAAAATATAATGCGGCTATCACATGTTTATGTCAACGCCATTATATAACCGAAATGAATACAAAGAAGCTTCGATTCAAGTGTCATTTCTCTCGGCGTATCCTGAGAAATCTTTTCATTTTAGATACTTTGAGTTATACAGTAAACATACTTTGTGGATGCTTTCAGGTTTGAAAAACATTTTTAATGCAGAGCTTTTGTGCTGTTGCATGAAGATATAACTGAGGTTTTGAGCATATATTACGCGAATAGAAATATCTCTTACATTTTTAGTACCCGATCGAATGCACAATATGACATATGTATTTCGGTCATCATTTGCATGATTGCATCATTTGTATTATATGAAGTATTAGTCTGAAGGCTTACACCCTGAAACAGATGTCTTTGTCCTAAGTTACTGAGCGTACTACGGCTCTCATTAAAAAGCGGTACAATATACTTTCTCTTATTAATTATTATTTGCATTATTTTTGATGTCTTTTTTGCATGTAATCTGATAAGTACCGTGTGTAATAAGTTTTAATAATAAGAACGTTCACTTTAATTTGATTATCCCGAGCCGGTGCGGAGCCGCGTGCGAGGGTACTAATTCCGCCCGCGAGTTAGGAATTACATTCTACATTTGGACCATGGACGTTCAATAGTCATGGTACTTGTGCGCATGCGCAAAATGCGAACGAGTGTAGACTGGTAATAAGCAACTTCCTGATTAGCTAAGACGAAACGTTTGTGTTTCAGTGAAAACGTCAGCATTTCACTGTCATTTATCATTTTGCAACTATTTTTTTAAAAATGTTTCGAAACAAATATGAATGTGGAGTCAAAAAACAGATAAAACACTGGGAAGAGTTTAAATATATCAGACTGGAAGAATTAGCGGTGAAAAGGAACAACTCGATTATAATCCTTGGAATGGTAGGAGTTTGTTTATTTCGAGGTTTATTTCGTGTTTGCTGTACGAATACATTTTATGACCTTGGTACAGTATGTCGTTTTGCTCGGTTTTGCGAAGACGTGACCGACTATTTAAGGCTTTACATCATCGTTTTAACTTCCAAAAGAGTCCTTAAGAGTGTAATTCGTAGTTTTGATATAACAAATATCACTTTAAAGGTTTATAGAGTCGACTGCAATCACTGCATGAAGTTAATAATCAAAAAACAACATTCGCTTTCACTGCTTGGTTATTTATATTATTTGTGCTGTTTTGATGTTTTGAAGGTTTAGCTATAATGGAGTATTAACTCTCGCTTAAACTGTGAAAGTCTATAACTCAACGAACACGGGTGATTTCACTTCACCTTTGCGACTGTGTTTGTTTCCGAAAAATTTGAAACATCAGCTATCGGCTTTACATTTAGGACATTTCATAATATTGCAGGTGAGGTCTGGCTAGCTCAGGAAATATTTTGCTTCGTTTGAAATGGCGAGAGGTTGCTGCGTGCGTGTATTTCTAGTTTTTCATCTTTGTGTATCAACCACTCTTTTTGAGGAGCAATGCGTCCAACGTACACTTTTTTTTCACGAAGATATTAAAAAATTCTACGTTCAGTGTCCGTCAGTTGAAGGACGGGCCCAGGGAGAAAACACAAGGGAGCTCATTATTTAAAGAGAGAGCAATTTATAACTGCTTCCTAGCTTCCCTAGCCGGAATTTATATATCTCAGTGTGATATTGTTGAAGAGCGCAAAAACTCGCATGCATGAGTAGTAGACAGAATCAGGCAGTTAACTGATATTGATATCTACAAGCAGAATCCGGAACTTGTAGAACGCAGCCTACTTATTAGCTAAGACGAAAGGTTTGTTTTAAAGAAAATTAAAGGGTTTTTATTTTGTGTCCGAATGATTTAAACCCTTGCAAATATTAACATATGAGTAGCAGAGAACGGTTTAGCGATAAATAAAAACTTACGAATTTTCTTTTTTTGCAGTGGACAGCGGGAAGGAACTTATCAGCGCGATATTATTGTTAAAGTATCAACATATTTAGCTAGATGTTTTTATACCTGTTTCACTTTGATAAGCAAGATCCTCTTGTAGGGGTAAAGCTGTAGGCTCGTCATAAAATATCATCTGTTGTTGGATACAAACCGCATCTGATAGAGTGTTAACAGTAAAGCAGAATTTATAGGAATTGGCATGGGAAAAATGGGCATGGGAAAGATTGGCATCAATAATTAAATTCAAAATTTTCGGACTAACTGTAATACTTAGCTATATATATATATATATTAATATATAACACTTCTATGTACCATGCATTGTACTTTCAACAGTTGGTCTTCTTTCAACTCTTCTTTCAGGAATATATTCAACGGTTTCTGCCATGTCACAAAGATATTGACGGACGGTCCCGGAAATAAAACATAAAGAAATTCATGATTATGATTAAAAAAATGAGAATTTGGTGGATACAGGGGGACAAGACATATTAATGTGATAAGCCCGAAATACATAAGGTGACCATAAATATCCCCTAGGTAATATTAACATGCATCTACGGTTAGCTTTGCTTCTGTTAAATTACGTAACAAAATGATTATTGCTTTCTATGTCTGGCTAGATTCAGGGGAGGAGCTAGAAGCTTAATTGGGGATATTCGTCTTATGCCCGATTGATTCCTCTTATACGCTATATTGTTGCTATGGTATATGTAAACGTAAATATATGAATATACCCACACCCAAAGAACGTACACACGGCCACAGAGTAAGTAAAGGAAACCGAGCTGGAACTAGATGGCGTGTAGATTAATAGGGACTATGTCGAATATATGGACCGGAAACCCGCTGGAAAACGTGAAAGTAAAGAGTTGCTTATCAAGTATTAAATGAGTTGTCCGAAAACTTTCTTTCTCAAATATTTTACTTATAATAGGAAGAACAGATTTGGGCGATATTTTTCACATTTTTTCCTCTGAAACAAACTCCATGCAGTCTGTGGTGCGAAAAAAGAAAAAAGGATCAAACTCAAGGACAGTAATCGCCAAACCTACCAAAATTTGGACTTGATTTAGTACTTTGCATTACCAGAAATTTGCGACATGATAATTTGCATTGATACTAATTTGCATTTAACTTTCAGCATAATGGCCTTCAACTTTTACTATAGAATACTTATAGTAAATATACAAAACCTAAAAATGCCGTTGTCCTAGACCGTGCCTACTGTTTGCCGACCTCTGGGTCAATAGAACAGCCGTTTCCCAACGTTTTAATGATCGAATTACTTACCTTAGGTATTTCTACGTTCGGCCAACTGATTGTGAACAAATGTGTATATAGCCTTCGTAATGTTCAAGTTCCTGATAAGACTGATAATATTTTTTAAAGTGATTGCAGTGATAATCCGAGCCGTACAGAAAAGTTTATACGCAAATACGAAAGACAATATCTTTAACAATTTTTTTTGGTATATTACACGTCAATTCATCAACTACCTGAATCGAGATATTCGAATCAATGTGAGCGATTTTATAAGTTCGTTGACAGAACACGGATGAAACTTTGAGCAATATATTTTTAAATTTGGCAGATTGCAGAAATGCCCAAGCTAAAAAATTTGGTCACCAAAACGTTTCTAAACAGTTGCTCTATCGATCTGGAGGTTGGCAAACAGTAGGCAACGTCTAAGGCAACGGTATTTTTAAGTTTTGTATATTTACTCTATGTATTTTATAGTAAAAGTTGAAGGCCATTATGCTGAAAGTTAAATGCAAATTAGTATACACATAGGAAGCCCAGACAAATGAGTTGAAGTTACTAAAAATCCGTAAAACACTAGAGATATGTGTTAAAATTAATTAAAGTATGTAATATGCTACAAAACTACTGTTAGAACCATGTATGTAGCGTGCTCCAGTGGCGCTGCCATTTGACTATGCAACTAGTGACGTAACTTACTATATTATTAGGAAGGATGGAAACTCTCGCCTCAATTTTCAACATGTTCACAAATTAAAACACAAATTACTATAGTAAAACGGCACGTCGACTGCTAAATGCCTACCCTAGGTTTAAGTTGAATAATCAAACTATACTTTCATCACAAAAATAATGCTGAATTCAAAAGAAAGCGCTGGAAAAACGTACACAAACTTTGTAAATTTGCCGAAATTTTCGTGAATTCATGCGGGATGTAAGTACCTACCCAAAATGGCGGCGGCAGAAAAATCTGATTGGTCGATCATTCTTTGTTTACCTTTCTCGACCAATCAGATTCTTCTGCCGCCGCCATTTTGGGTAGGTACTTACATCCCGCATGAATTCACGAAAATTTCGGCAAATTTACAAAGTTTGTGTACGTTTTTCCAGCGCTTTCTTTTGAATTCAGCATTATTTTTGTGATGAAAGTATAGTTTGATTATTCAACTTAAACCAAGGGTAGGCATTTAGCAGTCGACGTGCCGTTTTACTATAGTAATTTGTGTTTTAATTTGTGAACATGTTGAAAATTGAGGCGAGAGTTTCCATCTTTCCTAATGATATAGTAAGTTACGTCACTAGTTGCATAGTCAAATGGCAGCGCCACTGGAGCACGCTACATACATGGTTCTAACAGTAGTTTTGTAGCATATTACATACTTTAATTAATTTTAACACATATCTCAAGTGTTTTACGGATTTTTATTAACTTCAACTCATTTGTCTGGGCTTCCTATGGTATACATGCAAATTATCATGTCGCAAATTTCTGGTAATGCGTATGAAATGTGAGCAATAAGGAGAAATCTCGTTTTAAACCAATCGGCAAGTTTGTAAACATTTTTAGTAACCCGATCAGAATGCACAAAATATGAACATATATTTCGGTCAAATCATTTTCATCATTTGCTATTATATATGAAGTATTAGTCTGAAAGACTTAGCCTGAAAAATGTAACCAAATGTAACCAAACGCAGTATTGACCCGTAATATCAAAACGTGAAAACAGATGTCTTTGTTCCTAAATTACTGAACGTAACGGCTCTCATTAAAAGCAAGTAGATTATATACTCTAGCTCAGGGGCGGCGGATCATAATATATTTTGGGGGGGCGAATTTTTTTTGGAATTTCAATGCTCTAGATCGTCGGAAATGGCCATTTCAGAGCCTTACTTGCCGCTTTCATCGTAGTTTTTCATGGACAAACACAAAATGAAAACGGTGCGTGTAGTTATATCTTCTACATTTGAAAAATCATCTCTCAAATTCTCAAAATATTTTCCAAATGAAATGACGGTCCGAAAATAGTAACAATATACAACAACGATAATTCTTCTGTTAAAGGCAACTATATATGAATAATGATATATATATATATATATATATATATATATATATATATATATATATATATATATATATATATATATATATATATATATATATAGGATATTAAATTCTTATTAGCATTTAATACGCCGGCGAGCATTAATTTGACGACTTCATGTTAACGTAGTTTGTATATTTGCTCTCCCATTCTGACATTCTTCATGAAGTTTTTGGGGGGGCTAAAGCCCCCCTAGTCCCCTTGTTCCGCCACCCCTGCTCTAGCTAATATTAACCAGGATCTAGTAAGATTTACTTACATCAGGTTACAAAAGAATTGTGGCTTTCTATGTCTAGCTATATGGGATATTCTCAATGGATATTCCTCATTAGAAGTTTTCTATCCATCATATATTATTATTAAATAAAATAAATTAAACAAACGAAACGGAACTCAGAACGAATCAGAACTATAAGCAAATCACGATGCTTCATTTACGTTTTCCATTATTTTTTATAAGGATGAAATTGTAGCATATCGTTTCGTACCTGGCATTTTCAACAACTCTTGTTTTACAAGAGGACGTTCGACAATCTCATCTGTATTGAAAGGTTTTATTTAAGATATTATGTTAAATTGAAGATCCATAACCGAGAAAAACGTTTTAGAAAGAACAGGAATTTATGGCATATCGCAAAAGCAGGACCTAGGACGATGCATGAGGATCCTTTGAGCGTATATAGGGCCACGGCGACTCAGGGCAACGAGGACCCTGTCTCATAGGACTACGGGGAGCCAAGGACTATGAGTACCTTGTGTACCACGGGGCCCATACAAAAATTTTAATTTTAAATGAAAATCTCCGCCATGTACTTTAGAATACGGACGTTTATTTAGTATTTTTGCGGAACAAGCTATTTCATTGGTTTCGGATTGACGTCCTGGACGAACCATTATTTCACTCTTTAGCTTCGAACCTTACTGCAATTAATTATGAATAAATTTTATCTAACTCATCGCTCTAGAAGTAACCAAATGGCTAGAGTTAGGAGAAACTTAGGGTTTCATTTTGATGTTGAAATAGGTCGAAAACGTCTGTCTGTCATGAACACGATACATGTTCTATTTCACTTAGTGCGTTCACTTGAGCATTTATTATTAATTTATTGGAACTGTAATGTAACTGTGAATTGATGCCCAAATTACTCCAAAAATCTTTGTATACGCTTCGTTAAAAATTCCAAATACCGCCTGATAAGTCCTAGGTCCTCGCGGTCCTAAGAGTCCTCGGTGCCGGGTCCTGCTTTTCCGGTAGGCCGGAATTTATATATTTCGGTATGATATTGTTGAAGAGCGCAAAAACTCGCATGCATGAGTAGACAGAATCGGTCAGTTAACTGATATTGAGAGAATTTTCTATTTTTCCAGTGGACAGCGGAAAGAAACTTATCAGCGCGCTATTATTGTTAAAGTACCAACATATTTAGTTAAATGTTTTCCTACCTGTTTCTAAATCACTTTGATAAGCAAATCCATGTTCGTCTTGTATGTGAAAAGCTCTAGGCATGTCATAACACATCATGATCTCTTCTTGAATACAATCCAGAGCTGATAGAGAACAATGAAGCAGAATTTATAGGAGAGATAAAGAATGGGCATGGAACAACTTGGCATCAATCAATAAATTCAACATTTTCGGACTTACTGAATAAGACCGATATCTTCATTCCTATAGGTTATAATACTTGGGTAACACTTAATAATTTTATTCCTTTTTGCAATACTTAGCTATATATATATAATACTTCTATGTACCCATTGGTTCTTCAACAATTAATTCTCTTCTTTCAGGAATACATTCAACGGTTTCTGCCATGGCACAAAGATATCGACGGACGGTCCGGGGGAGAAAATATGAAGGAATTCATGATTAAAAATTTTATAACTGTTTTTGGTGGATACAGGGGGGCAAGACATATTAATGTGATAAGCCCGAAATCCGCACGTATAAGGAGACCATAAATATCCCCTAGGTAATATTTAACATGCATCTACGGTTAGCTTTGCTTCTGTCAAATTACGTAACAAGATGATTATTGTTTTCTATGTCTGGTTATAGATTCAGGGGAGTAGCTAGAAGCGTATTTGGGGATATTTGTCTTATGCCCGATTGATTCCTCTTATACGCTATTGTTCCTATGATATGTAAACGTAAATATATGAATATACACACACCCAAACAACGTACACACGACCACAGAGTAAGTAAAGAGACCGAGCTGGAACTATAGGTGGCTTGTAGATTAAAAGGAAAAATGTCGAATATTTGGACCGGAAACCCGCTTGAAAACAACGTGAAGGTAAAATGTTGCTTATCAAGTATTGAATGAGTTGTCCGAACACTTCTTTCTCAAATATTTTACTTATAATAGGAAGAACAGATATTGGGCGATAGTTTTGACATTTCGTTCTATCTTCTGATTTTTAAACTGGTATTACCCTAGCTCTTTTCCAATCATCAACAAATATCCCGGAAGAAATTGAAAGATTAAAAATATAGGTCAGGGATAGGGCAACAATATCATCATATGAATATGTTTCTTCCACATCATTCCCACCTTCGGCAAAACCCAAAAGGTTTTCATCTTTTTCATTCGTTTCATCTTCTGGAGGTGGGTCTTCTTTCTTAGGCGCTCCGTCCGACAAATTTTCCATTGTATCTAAATATTAAAAGAAATTGAGATCTACCCATCTTTTACATGAGCCAGGTTACCCGAGGTTCAGGCGCAGGTTATACGCCGCATTTTCGTCGCGTTGAATGCAATTCAAACAATACATGAGACGATAAACCTCATTAAGCTTCATTACCCATCTCATTACCTATTGTTTGAATTGCATTCGATGCAACCAAAATATAACCTAACCTAATATAACCTAACGGGCTGTTTACATGAGCCCGGTTACCCGAGATTCAACGAAGCGTGAGAGGACTTTGAGGTATTGAAGTAAGTCTTTCTGGCACCAAATAAGCACACGCTATTGTTGTGGTGATTATACGACTGCCAGGATCATGCATCTGCTTATCATGTAAACAGCCCCTTAGGGGCTGTTTATATGAGCCCGGTTACCCGAGATTCAACGAAGCGTGAGATAATTTTGAGGTATTGAAATGAGCAGATATGCAGATAACATGATCCTGGCAGTCGTGTAATCAGCACAACAAATAGCATGTGCTTGTTTGGTGTCATAGAGACTTATTTTAATAACTCAAAGTCCTCTCACGCTTCGTTAAATCTCGGGTAACCGGAATCATGTAAACAGCCCCTAAAATTAGTCTTTTTGAAACTAAACAAACGCACGGTATGGTCATGATGACTGCACTAACCCGTATCGCAGTTTCGCTTCGCTTGGATGAATGCTCTCTCGTTCTGTGTTGTGTATATATGTTGTAAACTGTAAATCTGTTTTACTTTGACAGATTGTAGATGACTTTCAAATGAAGTCGAAGATTTACAGTCTGAAGTGAACCTGCATGTGTATTGTTTGAATCTTTTCAGAATTTGTTTTTACTTTACGACAACAACATTAAAGGCATAAGGCATTGCATGTCGGCCTTGCATGGCTTTTGCCTTTAATGTTGTCGTCCTTGGGCATGCAGTTAGGCCGTGAAGAATATACTGCACTCTTAAGCTAGATCACTAATTGTTTTGCTACCTCGTGTACTAGGAGACATTAAATGATACTTACCTTATTAAAGACTCGCAAAGCAAAGGAAACTGGACGAGACGCGGGCAGAAATTTCAGCTTATAGGCTATAGTTTTCAAATAATTCTGACGTTTCATATAAACACAGCTCGCGGGCTTAAACATTCATATGTAATTTAATACTTTAACTTTAAGCCCGATCAACCGGGTTAAACTGAGCCCTGGGCCCATGGACTCCAGGTAATAATGCAGCCACTAATTCCAGATCCAACTACACCAAATTAGTGCATGATTCGACAGTCGAGCCCCAATATAAATTCCTATTGCATGAATGGATAAATTAATGTTTCGATACCTTAAATACTGCAATACGCACGATGAAATACCAGGGCTCTACGATTTTAATCGTTTGCACTTGTAGCCTTGCTCCAATTCTGTCCTTCAATGAACGAGGATATCACAATATACGCTGTGTTTTACTGTACTGTAGACGGGAACAAGTAATCGTTATTCTGCGCGTCACAACGCAATTTCTAAACATACACCAAAGATCTTTCTTCATTGTTCCCATTAATTTAAACAGTGAAGGGTCATGCATGCATAAAGAGATTCACATGTTTATATAGTCTGGTTATATCTCACTAACAGTAAAACAATAAGTCTAATGAATATCGAAAGCTTCAACAAGTAACGCACAACTATCAGGGATAGTTGCAAAAGGCAGGGTATTTATTATATATACACAATGCATATCGTGCCATGGCCATTTGTGCTTACTGCTTAGGAAGTTTTCGGAGAGAGGAAGTCGCTATTCAACAGAGCGAGAAATTACAAGTTGTCCCTTAACTTGTCTTTGTCTTCTGACGTCAAACATGTAATCTTACAAAAAGAGTTTATTTGATTTAGCACGATATATATCATGCTTGTTCGAATTAGTACTAAAATTAAGTACTCCCCTGGAGGGATAGTCACTGTTAGTTTGCCTTTATCCATGCTAAACCCAGGATTAAAACGAATAAAGCAAATGATTTATAGTACTGGTAGATTTCGATCGAATCACTATGTGTTAGAATCAACAGATTTGAAAGATGTCGGAGAAAACGTTGAAAGAATGCATGTTCTTTCACTCACTGCTTGTGAAATTGTTTAACATTTATGTTGTAATGAAAGAGGGGGTATAGCGGATAGCCAAGTAAAGAAGATCACTTGACACTTGTTTACACTTACTTCACACATGCACTTCAATATAATTTACTATGATGGAGTCCTAAATGGTATCTGATTCAGATTCACTATTCAATACAAGTAAAATTGACTAGATTCCGTCTATACATATATATTCTTTATAAATCCTCATTTACTTGCATGCACGTTTGCGTGTCTCACTTCTACCAAGTTTGCCGTCATAACATGATGAAAACCGTTCACGTGTCTTCGCAAGTTTAACTTATGATATTAAAAGTTCAGATTTACTAAATCGTTTTTTGGGTAGAAAACATATTCTTATAGGCTACTACTGTTGAAATCAATTTATCTAAATTAAATTTCCATTTTCTTTCCCAAAAATAGTAATCGCATTGGATTTCTCTTGACTAGACCCAGTACCCCACAAGATTTGAAATAGTGTCCTTCTTTAGCACCTTCTGTACTCTCAATATTCCTTTCTTAGGAAACTTCACGTACGTACTCAAGCAATCATACGTCTAGACGGTCTAGTGTGGTTCAACTGCTGAAGCACGTATACCTCCTGCTTGAATTTTTTCAAACATTGCTTCGATTTTCTCAAATTTACTCTGAATCACTTTATTTGTCTTTCTAATCTCGTCCCTCAGTTCGTCGAATTGTTTGTTACAATTACCCCCGTTTTTACCAGCCATTGCTTTTAATTGTTCCTCCACTTCATCGCTATCTTCGAACACCTAAAATTTTCGGTAAACAAGAATTATCTGAAGAATAGAATTTCACTCATCATCCCTGTCTGTGACTAGAAATTCTCCGAGAGATCGTAGAGCCGTCTTTTCAGGAGAAAATCAGAATCATGATCATTGCTACAGTCTGGTTCTGGCAAACATCAAGGTTATGTAACGTCATTTCGATGCGACAAAAGATATCAATGCATGGAAATATCAAATATTTTATTTGTATTTGCAATGCACATATATTCGTTTCCCCCCGAAACATACCTTTTTCCACTGGCGTAATAGCCACGAAGATTGAGACTTTCTGTCTGGAAAGTCCTCCAGGCCATCTAAATTTTTAGGCAGTGAGAAGAATGGAACATTGCGTAGATTTCTTTCCAATGTAATGACAAGCTTCGCCTGTATAGTAAAACAATGTTAGATTACACTTAGTTATATATATAAGCTTTTACTCAGTGACATGCAGTGGAGACAAGGGGAATTTCGTTTTAAACTAATCAGTATATTTGTTTATATTTTTTACGCAAAGCCAATCAGGATGCCTAAATTTTTAATACTTCATGTAAAATGGTAAATAATGTAACTTTTTACCGGAGGTAGCCAAAATTTATGCATTCTGATTAAAATGTAAAAAAAACTTACTGATTGGTCTAAAACGAAATTCCCTTTCGTTTGCAGTTGCTATACACTAAAGCCGATTACCTTAAAAATTCTTTTCTCCTCTTTCGAACGAGTCATAATGTCATTAATATCATCAACGGCCAGACCAGTCAATAAATTCATTACAGCGATTGAGATCATAAGAATAAATAGCACAAGTAGAATTTTCTGCAAAACGTGAAGTGGTCTGCTTGCGAGAAAGATATCCCGATAGTCCAACTCTCCCGTCATCATGACGAATGTTGTCAAAATAGAAACTGGAATATTTTTGAAACCTTGATCCACGGGAATAAGCAGCGAAAATGACAGCGAGAACGCAACGATGAACAACAAAACGAGTGGTAACACCTGTTGGTAAAACAAAACAATTCAATTTTACAAATCTTAAGCATTGTAATATTGAACGTCAGGGACGGCGGAGCGTTATATCAAGTACAGGGGCTACATCTTTACTCCTACATATGATGTTATAAAAAATATTCCACAGAGTTCTTATTGCCAAGATGCATATATTATACCTTACAGACAGTGAGAAAAACTCTTTTCGCCATGATGATGTAGATCCCAAATAATGAAAACCTTTTCAAGAACAAAGAAAAGTTGATCCAACCCAGGAATACCGATATTGCTCCAGCTTCTATCTGCATCTCCGTCTTCTTACTACTTCCAGGCACCACATAAATAACAGCGCAGATGAATATCACCCATTCGATGTAATTTTCGAAGTCCCTTATATAATTCGCAGTACTTAGAGCAAACTATGCAAGAAGAAAATTTAAGATTTTCTTGATTTAATTGATGAATATATTTACCTAGAAACGATATAGATTTGTGTACAAGCATTAGACACGAACCTGAAGTATTTCTTTGATGAAATGAAGTGCACAAAAGACCAAAATAATTAACGACAATGCAATCATTCCTGGTGCGTTCAAGTTGTGTGATCCTACAAAACAAAATGTTTCAACTGTTTTACTTATTTCAAATATAATTATTCTATCTTGCATTGTCATTATACGCTCCTGCTGTTTAATTTAGTGTTTCAATAGTTTGCAATGCTCTATATTATTACAATTGTTGGTTTCATTTTGTTACGAAAAATATAAGCAAATATAATGCTCATTACCTTGACTTGCCATAGTACCATATGCAGTTAAGGTGAACAAAAATGTCGCGTATAAAAGAATATTAAAAAAGAGCCATTCTTGAATTCTCGATGAATTAAGTTTCTCGCTCAAAAACCTCAAAACTAGTGGATGGCCCAAACAGTTGTCTCTTTTGGTGTTAACCATACTTTCTATAGCTTCAAGCTTGCCATCCACTTTGTCTTTAGCTTCAGAAAAAAAAGGCATTTATATCACAAATGTCTAAATATTGGACCTTTCCATTTTACGAGTCCTTTTCCTTTCCTTTCCATTTTCCAAGCGACTCTTCATGTAAGTGAATGTTAATACAATTCAAAATGACATCAGGCTTTCTAAACTTACGGTTGTTTTGTTTGAAGGGGAAAAATGAGTACGACACTCTTCTTTCTATTTCCACTTCCCCATAAGAACGGTGAGTAAGATATTCATCTTGATAAACACAGAGGTCAAAAATCATCATGGCGACGTCCGGTGTTTTTTCGATCAGCTTCGAAGTTATACAATCCGCACCGAAATACGAGTCTTCAAATAACTGCAAAAAAACCCACACGAAAATGATTCGCGTAGTTCCGAGAGTTTCCTTCGAGTATAATGGTATTTAAGAAACAATATATGCTCCGAAAAACATCTGGTATGATAGTAACGAGTTGAACTATCTGCACTTTAGTTTGAAAATAGCTTTAAAGAAAAAAATATTAAAAAAATGTCTGTGCACATGAGAGTTTTAAATATACCTCTTGTAAGCTTTGGATTTTTCCATTTTTTGTACAAAACCTGACAATTTCTTTAAGGGAATTTTCGCCAGTTTTGAAATATCCGTACGCACAATCTAAAATGTTGAGTCGGGCCGTTTTTGAGTCACTTTTCATTTTCGCACCATTCTCCAACAGACATCTTAGTATCTCCGCGTTTCCGCTCTGTGTTGCATAACCAGCTGCACTGATGTTTACGTCATCCGTAAAATTTATCATTTCTAGAAACTCTTTTCTCTTCAGCAGAAATTCAACGGCGGCAAGCTTTCCAGAAAGGACAGCAAAATGGATGGCAGTTTGATCATTTGGACTAAATCCAAAATAGGAAAATATTTTTAAAATATAGGAATAATTCCTACTTTAAATTATTTCAACGGCATTTGTCTTGACACTTAAGAAGAACGTTTGTTGTTTATTTAAGAATTAAAAAACGAGTCGCGTGCCTTTATGGTGTAATAATGCACGATGGGGGAATGTTGGGAGAATACGAGAGAAGCTTGTAAAACACGAGGCGTAGCCGAGTGTTTTACAAGCTTCTTGAGTATTCTTCCAACATTTCCCCGAGTGCATTATTACACCATAAAGGCACGCGACGAGCTTTTTTAATTCTTTTATAATATAAGAAGAAGTTATAGGGCAACAACAAAATTTATTTATTTGATCAATAATGAAATTCTCCTTACATGTTTTTTAAGATGTTGCTTAGCAACAAAAACTTCAAAAGCCAGAAGCGTGCATTATGGCCTCACAATGCACGCGCGGTAGCCAATCAAATTGCTCGTTATATCATACTTATATTATAAAACTATATTCATTACGATTTTTAGTGATTAAGAAGAATCTGAAACATTAAAATAGTTTCCCAAATAATGAAAGGCGCAAAAAATTCTTACGCTCTTTGTAAATAATTTGCTCCTTCCTCCAAGAAAAACTCTAATAACTGAATGTTTCCTTTTTTAGCGGCTTCCAAAAACGGTTGATCTTCCTTGTAATCACCTTTCAGCAAACAAGCTAGTGTTTCAGGGTTCTTTTCCCTCCAGCTGAGAAGACCCTTTTTCAAAACCTATTTAAGAGGGCCGGGGTTACATTTCAAAATTTTCATTGTAGTTACCAGCACATCAATTACAATTCTTAACTGTATTTTTATTTCCAATGCTTACTTGAAAGTCGACATTATGAATAAGATGAGCTGAAAATATATCCCCTTCACTAGTCGTGGATTCTAAGAGAATTTTGAAACTCTGTCAAAAATAATACAAAAACAACGATAAGTGTTGTCCTTAAAAATACGTCTAACAACATATAATTGATGTAAAAATATAATTTAAGCATTTAAGCTCTAAATAATAATTCCCATTTAACAATTAGTCGACAAAGGCGTAGTGATTACAAGCTTATAATCACCTCGATCGCCTTTGGCAATTAATTGTCATTTTTATAATACCAGCCTATGAAGACTTGATATTTATATACCTCTTCCAATTTTCTAACCGCGGCAAGCTTTATTGGAGTATTTTCCGAGTTGTCCATTTTAGCAGGTACAGTATTCATGGAATTACCCTACATATATACACATATAGCGATGTGATTGTTCACACTGGACGTCAAGCACTGTTACTGAACTATATTGACGTATATACTCGTGACGTTTACCGGTTTCATTGAATATTTGGAGCTTGATAAATACATGCATTGCCTTTGTACCATAAACAATGCAACTCTTACCTTTTTGGCTTCTTCGATAAGATAACGTAGAATATCTGGATTTTCAACGGAATAGTGGAACACATTTCTGCCTCTTCTATCACAAGTCTTGAGAATACTATGATCTGGCTTGAATTCGAAGATAAGTTTGACAATCTCCCATTGGTTTGCTTCGGCCGCACTGTGAATACAACGGAACATACATAAAAATATCTTACATTACAATATAACATTTATAGTACGCGCGTGTTGTCGAGAAGCGTGTTTCTATAACTGTATAGAAACACGGGACTTTTCCCGCGGAACTTGTCATGACAAATGTTTTCTATTTCTTAAATATTTTCCACACGCATTCGTCTTACCGCATAAGAGGGGTAACCTTTTCACCGCTTGCTTCCAAGAGTTCAGGATTTTGTTCAAATATTGTTTTTGCAAGTTCTTTGCATCCTGTTTGACAAACATTGCAAACAAAGGATTCCCAATGCTCAGTCATTTTCCTCTCTTGATCCAAAAATTCCCGCCAGCAACTTTGCTTCATAATGAGATTGAGAACTTTTGGTTTGCCACTCTGAGAGGCAGGATAGAGAATAGAATGGCCCTTTCCATCAATGTTTTTAATGACCTCAAGTAGTTCAGTTTCAGAATCTAGATTTAGATGAGATTTCAAAATTCAAATAATCCCGTCGGTTTCTCAATGTAAACAACATTACTTCACTTACAATAGTATCAAATCAACTTAAGTAAGTGATGTAAACGGCATATATCATCACGTTTTAATATCATTCAAATTGATACGAATATTGGATTCATGCATGTATGTACAAATTGTAAAAAAAAATCTATACGTTCCAATCTCATACACTCTATGCATGGAGTACCTACACCATTTTTTGAGATAAATATTACAATTTGCAAACTCACATATCGCAAGCATTTCTTTTATAACATCTGCATCGTCGTTTAAGGCCGCCACAAGAATAGGCGTTTCGTTAAGTTTATTTCGCTTGTTTAAGTCTGGTTTTCTAGTGAGCAATCGCTTAACCACCTCCATATTGTTACATTTGATCGCCAGAAGAAGTGGAGAGGAACCATGACTGTCCGGAATGTCTGAAAAATCCTCCAGGAATTTCGGTACCTGTTCGAAAACCTTCATCGCTTCAATTGATGTAGCTTTCTTTGCCACCAGGTGAAGAGCTGATTCTTTGGGGCGCTCATTCAATGGCCAAGAAGACAGCCCGTAGCGGCGGTGAAACAGATGGATATCTTCCTCTGTTGTAATGGGCGAATAGTAGTCACAGAGTAGGCGTAAACACTTCAAACTGTTAAACTCGACTGCTTCTAGTATACGACGTTGGATTTCCGCGTGGTGTCTTGGTCCTTGAAAATTATAAATTGGATAAAGGAACTCGTTTATTTAATCTTGTGAACGAAAGATTTAATTAATCAACGATTTAGGAAGAGTTTTTTTTAATCTTGTGAACGAAAGATTTAATTAATCAACGATTTAGGAAGATGGCGACGCATTTACTTTTTTTCTGGAAATTCCTGGAAAAGGTTGCACCAAAGCTTATAGTAGGGCCATTGGTATCAGATAGTTCATCTTTCATTTGCTCCAGATTTTTGCATTCGCCCCGACGGCTCGTACTATCGCTTCCAACTATTTCAATCGTATGCCCGTGATGCAATGCCAACGGAATTACAATGAATTTGCATATGGAAATATGTTTGAAAATTGCCAGCTTATAACGTTCCTATACTAATTGCTAGAAGACTAGGTTGCAATCCTATTGCGTCACTAAGTATTAAGGAGTTTTAAAGGGACTTAATTTCGAGTGAACTATATACACACTTCAAATTTAAGCCAGGAGCAGTTATGGAAAAATGAGTCAATATCGGTTCTAATAATCCACTCAAAATTAAGACCCTTTAAACCTCTAAAATTTACCAACATTAAGTGAAGTGCCACAAATTACAAAAAATCACAATTCAGTAACAAGGAGGAATTTCGTTTTAAACTAATTCGCATACTTGTTTACATTTTCAGGCTGAGCGAATCAGATTGCCTAAATTTTCTATACTTCATGTAAAACGGTCGATAATGTACCTTTTACCATGCAGAAGAAGTTAAAATTTATGCTTCCTGATTGGGTAACTGAAAAGGCAAACCAATTTGCTGATTGGTCTAAAACGAAATTCCTCCTTGTTTCACTAAGTAACTTTGTCAAAAAGCCCGGATGTATTAATTTCCTAGTAAAAAATTCGCTTCACACACATATTTTGAAAAATTATTGGTGGCTGACGAGGCTGCTCGAGTAAAAATTGTTAACCTACCTTTTGAAATAAATCCGATCAAATGTATATCATTGTCAAGATATATTGCTGTTGCGATGTCACAGTATCTCAGCACGATTTTTTTATCCACTTCCTCTCCAGATGTACCGCTCGTGAAAAATTTTTCTTCTATAAAGATTAAGATCCACTATAAAGATCCACTTTTTTTGATAAATTTAAAATAAACCATAAATATGATATTCTTCTTCGTTTGCAAGGTGCTATCAAATAAATAGATAAATTAGCTTGTAGGTACACCACGTAAGTATTTAATACTTCAAAGCTTGCACTGATGAAGGCCCAGGTTAAATGTAGTGAGCTCTATATATATATGGAGTAGTAACCTGCATGGTTGCTAAAAGTGAATCCAAAAAATGGCGGATTTTGAAAGAGCAATTCGAGGACACCCCAGTTATTCAACGTGCGCGGTCATTGTTTTGACTGGGAGTGATGGCTCGGAAACCATGCATTTCTTGACTGTGCTCAGACTTTACACGCTTGGCTAGGGGAAGAACTAAAACTACAATAAGTCATTTCCTCTACGCAATACAGAGCGTTGTAGCACATGCATGCTATCGTGGTTTGTGGTCGATACCTTGTTCGCGATTATGAGATAAGGTGTGGATAGCTATTTTCTTACTCAAACGTAACTATCTGCTTACTCATGCATGTAAGTTTGAAGAGACTGCTATATGGTTATATTAATACATTATATAATTTGTTATAATTATAAAGACATAATGGTTATACGTAATAAAAGGTTTAATTCGATTCAATAATAAATTCTTAATTCTAATATAACATTATTTACAACGAGAAGATGAACAACAAACGATGCATTATATTTTGGGTTTTGAAGCTAAACCCAGTCAAATTGAGGGTTTAGTGCTCCATAATTTAAAGACGGGTCTTTTGTCCAGGGGTTCCTTTTCTAGCGTATTTACTATTTTTTGATAAACCAGGCTGGAATCGTATAATCGTAATATAAATATAAAGTTACTGGGCTATTATATTCATATTACGAATACCGACAAGAATTTATTATACCGTTAATTTTTTTAGTCTTCCCGGCAGAATTGTTTTAAAGCGTGAAAAATAATAAGCGTGATCATACCTGCCTTACGTATGAGAGCAATCTTAGAGCTATCTTCACTATAGACTATCACTTTTTGTAGAGAATTCTCTAACTTCGACGGAGGACCAGCAAATTTCTTCTGCACAATTTCTGATTTTGAAGCTGGAATCCCAGAAAGTAATGCGGTTAATATATTTTTTAAACCAAAACGTGAGGATTATTGTCGGTGATTTAATCCAAGTGATATCGAAGCTCGATGACTTGAACACAATTCTTTGCATATGGCTTTCGCTTTAACGAGTTCAATCTATGCATAACTGCTTATGTTGCACAACCAGTTTCGAAAACATTAACGAATGATTGTTTTACATGTGTGTATTATAAACTGTATAGTAGCTATAGAGTGTGTACATGCAGACGAGAGTTTTTTCACCTTTTTTCTTTTTTTTCTCGATCAGCGGGATGTGTTCTTCTGCAGTTTCCTCTATGCTCTCTGTGTTGTAAAGAAAAGGAACGAACGAAATGATTAGTATCCAAAAACATGACAGAAATTGGTGTTAACTGCCGCGTTGGCATCATCAACTCACCCTTGCGATAAGGAAACATCGGTTTTTGAATAGTAAATGGTCTTTCGTCTTCTATCCTTTCTGCGGCAAACAACATTTTTGCCGGATCAACTATGAAAGTTAAACGAGAATTTTACAACGAAATACATTTGTTGTTCTTGAAAAGCTTTCGTTACATTTGATTAAATTTAAGCAAATTCGGACTTCAAAAGAAACCAAGGCACGAGCAACCAAATAACAGCAGGTAAAAACAATCCAAAAAAGGAGGGAATGAAGAATAGAGGAACTTCTTACGAAAAAGAGGGGAAATTGTAACGGCAGCTAAATATGTCCGACACGGCTAAACCTTTTTCCTGCTATATAAAGGCCTATTTAGACTACACGATTAGTTGTATGCAATTATCATTGACAAGACAATATGGAATGTGATCCTTCTATTCAAAGGCTATACTTAACCCGCCGATTAAATACCGCACCTAGGTATGTCACCACAGTCACATAAACCACAACACATGCACGTGTGCTATCCATTCACTGTTGTAGTTTTTGAAATGACTTACGTTTATGCCTCCATGAACGATTTTGGACAGGAGACGGGCTTTCCTCTTTTTTTTTTGCAGCACCAGACAAAATTGGCTTCTCAAGTCGGGGAACTACAAAAAACGGGAATTTTAAAACGTAAACGTTCTTTAAATGGTATGCGCAATGAAATTTTGTCACTATATTTTTTGAAAGAGCTTTTAAAATTATAATAAACGTTCTATTTCAGATTTGTCACATCGTGCTTTGTTTATGATATAGTTCGACTAAAATTAACTAACTCTCCGCCATCTTGGATTATTACACGGATATGCATGATACGTCACATGTTAGCCTGAAGCACAGATTCTACATTGCAAGGTGTCTCAAAAAAGCGGACGCTATTGAATTCACCTATTGTTAAAATATGAAGAGCATAGCACTATTATAAGTGTTCCAGAGTGTCCCTGAAAATGGACGACGCTGCTGAAATCACTTATACGTTGAATTTTGAGTGGCCTAGCACTAAGCTGAACCCAATAAATTTGACATTTTTCAGGGACACTCTGGAGCACTTTAGTACTTTGCCATCCAAATTCTAGCAATAGGTGAATTCAATAGCGTCCGTTTTTATGAGACACCCTGTATAAACCCCTGTGTTGCAGAACGGTGATCAACTTCATTTCGCATATAACAACAACATATTGTTCAGTTTATGTTTGTAAAAATAGGGGTTTTCTACAACACTTCTTTTGTTTTTGCTAATATGCCTTAACCATGCCTGAGTTATGGCACTGAAAGAAATTTAAGCAGAGTTGCGTAGTATAGGTTGTCTTGTAGGTCAAAAGAGAGGAATGAATTTCAAAAATAAGCTTTTAGACTTGGCTGGAAAGTAATAATATTCTTGTACGTTTGCATAGTGAAAATCGATAGGTAATTAAGCTTGTAGGTACACCACGTAAGTATATATTCTTATCTGGAAAGTGTTGTAAAACGTAGAAAAGTTCGCTAATTCTACAAGAGTTGCTAATTTTGTACATATTTGTATATTCGCTTACTCGATTCCGCTTCGCCTCCATCATTTTGTTTTTTTTCAGGGTTTGAAACGGTGTGACCATTTCCACTCAAGTCATCTTCGTCACTGCTATTCACCCCGTTTGTTGATTCTTCCATTGTATCTTAATAAGCACAAAATACGGATTAATCTAATTGATTCCAATAGACATGCAGAATTATAGCATTTAGAAACTAAATTTCTTCGGACGAGTCTCCGCGGCCGATTTTAACTCCGCCTCTGGAGCTTTAGCCGGAGCAAATGTGCGAAACCTTTACAAAAAATAACATTAATTTCACAGCAAATATATTGTTTGTAGGCTAAGAGGTTTCATTGTTAGCTGCATGCGAAGGCTTGTTTCTTATATTTTAAAGCCACATAGGTATTTGCTTTTGTTGATTGTAATGGTTTTTATTGTTGTGTAACATTATGTTTTTATTGCCATATAACAAAGCACTTAATGCACACTCCTCGAAAGTGGACGCGAAAGTGTGTCCTCCTGTTCTGTGTTTGCCACATGATTACGGGTTTCAGTAAGATTTGTCGCGCTCGCCATCTCTTTCAGATGGGCAATAGCATAAGGAAAACCGGCGAGAGTGCTATTTGCGTACACAGTTACACATGGTGGCTGTGTTTGTTGACCCCAGAAGGCCGGAAGTATTTTAAAATTTGTACAGAATTAGCATGCATGATATCCCCACTGACACTGTTACAGCTGCCTAAGAATCCCCACTGTAGAACTAAGGCCTGTTTCACGATTCAATAACATTAGGTTCGGCACATGATTGATATGAGAAGTTCGACATGTGAAACGGGCCTGTAAGATCATCAGGCTATAGCACTGTTCAGACACATGCAAAACGTTGATACAATAGTTAACATCCGCTTGGGGATGAAAGGATACATTTTATGTTTGAATTTTAGCCTGGTGCTGTTATAAATCCAATAAAATGTATTTCTCATACCGGTTTAGCTACCCGGGCTGGAATTTCAGCCTAGAGGTTGAAACTTAACGTTACTGCCATTTTTACCCGCTTGAAAAATCGAAATAGGTCTACTACCAGCCTTTACCAATTTAGCCTCGGGCTAATATTTTGGCCTGCATGGTGACGTGTCATAAACACAGCTCGGACTCAAGCTATTCGTGTTATAGAAAAATGCTTTAGGTCCGATTAAATGAGATGAGCCAGCTATAGCTATAGCTCAGTCTAGGCTGAAATAACTGAATGTAATCAGCCCCTGAATCCTAAAAAAATAGGGTGTGATGATTCAACAGCCGGTCCCAAAATAATTTCCGACTGCATAAATAAATCAACGTTTTCTATACCTTGAATTGATCCCTATACATACATGCACGATGAAGACAAGAGTTCCTTCCTACCTTCACGTTTTGATTCACTTACGGTTGCAGCCTTGCTTCAATTCTGTCCTTCAATAAACGAGAATGTCACAATACGCTGTATTTTTCTGTAATGTGGCCACGAACTATCGAACATGCATAGGTCTTCTATCATCGTATTCTTTATTAAAGCAGATTAAGCAGACTTTAATCATATTAAGCAATCATTTATTAAATAATATTATTCTTCGATGTTTAAGCACCCAATCTTACTAATGAATGCCGATATGGCGAACTATCAAGAGGCAAGAATAGCGATTTCTCTGGAGTATATTTTTTATAGGGTATGCATACTCAGGAAGCTTTAAGTGTTTGAAGAAAGGAAGTCGCTATATTCAACAGAGCGAAAAATTACAAGTTAGCGTTTGTCTCTGACGTTGAACACGACAAACATGGAATCATACAGAGAGATTAATTTCTTTAATTATTATTACGCTCGCCCGAAATAGTATTAGTATTGTAGCACCGATTACCTGACGAAAACTTATAATTTCAAAAGAGGTATATACGTCCTTTTGTTGTAAATTAAATCTTTCGAATGTTGCAGATTTGAAAGATCTCTGAAAAACGTCAGAAGAATACACGTTTCCTCACCCACTGTTTCTTAAATTGCAAAATATTCATATAAGGCGGATTTCCACTTACAGCGAAATCGTTCGCTAGCGAAATATTTGCATATTTTTCTCTATAATATTTTCTTTTGAATTGGGAACAGTTAAGTCGCACTAATTTATTCAGTATGCTGTCAAAATTCAAAAGAAAATATGCAAATATTTCGCTAGCGAACGATTTCGCTGTAAGTGGAAATTATTGTATTGAAAATTTGCTCAGGCGCGGGGGTGTTTTGTAAAGCACATCCTTTGATGTTTTACAGTTCAATGGAATTTACTATGATTGACGACAAAAATCGACCAAATAAGTTTTAGATCTTGATTTACCTGGTCGGGATCTAACTTGTACCAGGTTTGTGGTTACTTTGAATTTGTTCTTGTGAAGGAATCGCTTGAATTGCCTGCACGAATAAGTATCTGCATAAGAGGGATTACTTATTCAAACGAATTATTATGCAAGCTATTGTACAAACTTTTTTTAGTTTAATTTTTTGTGTATATTTTTGTATTTAAGTACGACCATTTTCATGTGTAAGTCGGTGTATACAGTTTGTAAATATAAGAGTTGCCAACCTTATGTAAGCATATACATAATACACTACACTGCACCGCAAAAATTGGCGCCTGCGATAATATGTCAGCAGTTAAATGAAGGAAGGTGATACTTCATGTCGTTTTACATAGAATGTATTAATTTTAATATTTAACTAAAAGCAAATCCAATAAATAATAAATACGGGCTACTGCGGTATATCGTGAGTTATCAGTTCGGCAAAATTCGGAAAAATTCAAAGAAAATATAGCATCGATTACAATTATATTCCCATGCATGATTAGAGGTTATTTAACTGTAAATGCGAAATTCCTTAGTGGAAGTTATTCCTTGACTACAGTCGAATGTCTGACAGTTCGTTAAATAAGTTTTACAATATTAATTCAAATCAAAACAAAATTTGCGCAGGAACGCATCAAGCTCAAAATACATTCAAACTTGCTTCTTTTGGGCACGATTGATTTTAACCACAATTTTTTATCTTAGAAGTATTCGATCATTTTTCACTTTTGAAATAAGAAATATATCGTTGGAATCCAGTAAATGAGTTCTCTCACTACGTAAATATCAAATCATTAAATTTATCCTGCAAATACTCCTGTGTTGCTACTAAAAAAAATGCTATAGCGTAGACATCTTTACTATCAATGTTCCCTTCATAGGAAACGTTATGCACGTACTCAAGCGATCAAAAGTGCTTGGATCATGCTTGAATCTTTTCAAACATTGCTTCAATTTTCTCAAATTTATTCTGAATCGCTTCATTAATTGTCTTCTTAATCTCGTCCCTCAGTTCGTCGAATTGTTTGTTACAATTATCCCCGTTTTTACCAGCCATTGCTTTTAATTGTTCCTCCACTTCATCGCTATCTTCGTACACCTAATCAGTAAACAAGAATTTATTTTAAATAAATTACAGAATTTAACTCATTCCTGTCTGTGAATAAAAATCCTGTTAGAGAGTAACCGTCTTTTCACAAGGAAATCAGAAAATGATTATTGCGACAGCCTGATTCAGGCAAACATGAAGCTAATTCTTTTCTTAATTGGTTTGCTTATGACGTCATGAGAAGTTCTTGTGGTTGATTTTACAATAGGATTCTAAAAACTTTACTTCTGTGTTTCAATTTTTTTCAATTTCAAGTTGATTTACTTTTTTCTTGTTTATTTTGTAACTGCCTATCATCTCTTTGATGGGTATTAAAATGAAGCAACGACGAAAAACGTATTTCTGTCCATGTTTAGAAAAACAGCCAAGATGGCGGCATTTGCAAACCACCTATAATAACATTCTGACGTAACAAAAAATATTTGGAATAACAAATATTTTATTTCTTGTTTGCAATGCACATATACCCCCCCTCGAAACATACCTTTTTCCACTGGCGTAAGAGCCACGAAGATTGAGACTTTCTTTCCGGAAAGTCCTCCAGGCCATCTAAATTTTTAGGCAGTGAGAAGAATGGAACATTGCGTAGATTTCTTTCCAATGTAATGACAAGCTTCGCCTGTATAGTAAAACAATGTTAGATTGCATTTAGTTTAGCTTTTACTTAGTAATTTCGTTGACCCAGGGGAATTTCGTTTTAAACTAATCAGCATATTTATTTACATTTTTTTTGCAAAGCCAATCAGGATGCCTAAAATAATGTACATTTTCACCGGAAGTAGCCAAAACTTATACATTCTGATTAAAATGTAAACAAACTTACTGATTGGTCTAAAACGAAATTTACCCTGTTTGCAGTAGCTACACACTAAAACCGATTACCCTAAAAATTCTTTTCTCCTCTTTCGAACGAGTCATAATGTCATTAATATCATCAACAGCCAGACCAGTCAATAAATTCATTACAGCGATTGAGATCATAAGAATAAATAGCACAAGAAGAACTTTCTGCAAAACGTGAAGTGGTCTGCTTGGGAGAAAGATATCCCGATAGTCCAACTCTCCCGTCATCATGACGAATGTTGTCAAAATAGAAACTGGAATATTTTTGAAACCTTGATCCACGGGAATAAGCAGCGAAAATGACAACGAGAACGCAACGATGAACAACAAAACGAGTGGTAACACCTGTTGGTAAAACAAAAACATTTCAATGTTACAAATCTTAAGCATTTTATTGAACGTCTTAGCAAAATAGAAATTCCGAATAAACAAGACTGGTCAGGGTTTTAAAATACAAAGAAAAAGGAAAATATCTTGCCACAAATTAGCGTGAAACACATGCATGTCCTCCACAGAATTCTCCATTACCAACATATTATACCTTACAGACAGTGAGAAAAACTCTTTTCGCCATGATGATGTAGATCCCAAACAATGAAAACCTTTTCAAGAACAAAGAAAAGTTGATCCAACCCAGGAATACCGATATAGCACCAGCTCCTATCTGTATTTCCGCCTTCTTACTACTTCCAGGCACCACATAAATGACAGCGCAGATGAATATCACCCATTCGATGTAATTTTCGAAGTCCCTTATATAATTAGCAGTACTTAGAACAAACTATGGAAGAGAAAGTTCCAGAAAGTTAATATTGCCTACTTCCTCCAAAAGTGTTTGTAACAAGCATTGGATACCAACCTGAAGTACTTCTTTGATGAAATGAAGTGCACAAAAGATCAAAATAATTAGCGATAATGCAATCATTCCTGGTGATTTCAAATTGTAAATTCCTAGAAACAATCAAAATAAAGATCTATACTCAATTCCAATGTTAAACATCAACCAGCCATATTTTTGTGTTATGCAATGATCAATCTGTGTGCATTTAGACGAAACATCAGGACACGAGCCAGATGTTCACATTACAATTAGTCTTTCTCACGATGACGTTTTGGGGTACTTTCAATTTTCTGAAATGGGTTTAAAAATTATGTTTAAACATCAAAAGCAATATTTTTAGAATAAACAGACCATTTGAAGAATAAATTCAGCCTAAAATCAAAGACAGTCGCCGTTACCAAGTCTTACGCTCACGGTTTTTGAAAAAAGTACCCCAAAAATGGCGGCATATTCGTCATCGTGAGAAAGGCTAATTTAGTTATCTTAATGATGATATATAACTAGTGCATATATGTATTTATGAACTCAGCGTGAATAATACAAATCTAGATGATTATATTTGTTCTATCATTTGCATGGTCGTCATTGCATTTTTCATACGCTTTTAAAATCAGAACCTTTCAAAAGTTTGCAATACGTCATATTTTTACATTTTTTTCGTGTTGTTTGTCTATTTACTAGGTATGGAAGGTAGAAAAATTAAAAAAAAACTGAAATAAGCGATGCAAGCTCACCTTGACTCTCGATGGTGCCATATGCGGTCAAGGTGAATAAAAAAGCAGCGTAAAGAAGAATATTGAAAAAGAACCATTTTTGAATTCTTGACGAATTAATTTTATGGCTCAAAAACCTTAAAACTAGTGGATGACCCAAACAGTTGTCCCTTCTGAAGTTAACCATACTTTCGATAGCTTCAAGCTTGCCGCCAGGTTTGTCTTCAGCTTCACAAAAAAATAATGTCACTAATATACACCTTTTTATCTCTTTCGTCTTAAACTATAATCGGTATATTTGTTTACGCTTTTTAGGCTAAGCCAATCAGAATGCCTAAATTTTTAATACCTAATTTCAAATGGTAAAAAAGAAAATAATGTACCTTTTTACCGGAAGATGTGAGGAAAAGAGAGGATAGTACATATTATGTTAAAAAATGGCAACATCTTTTCCCTTTTACTTTAGTGATAGTAATGAGTGTGGGTTAAGTTGAGCTTTTACAATTAAAGTACACTATAGATTGTTTCATTCGTAGATTTGGGACACGGAGTTACAACCGACAAAACGACTCTTCAAGTGAAATAATGGTAATACAAAACTTACAAAACAACTCCTAAACTTACGGTTGTTTCGTTTGAAAGGAAAAAACGAGTACGACACTCTTCTTTCTACTTCCATTTCACCATAAGAACGGTGAGTGAGATATTCATCTTGATAAACACAGAGGTCAAAAATCATCATGGCGACGTCTGGTGTTTTTTCGATCAGCTGCGACATTATACGATCCGCACCGAAATACGAGTCTTCAAATAACTGCAAAACGTCAGAAAATTATTTGTAAAAAATTTTTCTTAGATTATTGCTGTAAAACTTCCGAGAGTTTTTCTCCTTTCTCATGCGAAAAAAGATATCATCAAAGATATCAGTTGACAATAATTTGAAGGTAAAAATATTAAAGAGATGTCTGTGCACACGAGCGTTTAATATACCTCTTGTAAAATTTGGATTTTTCCATCCCTTGTAGAAAACCTAATAATTTCTTTAAGAGAATTCTCGCCAGTTTTAAAATATCCATAGGCACAATCTAAAATGTTGAGTCTGGCCGTTTTTGTGTCACTTTTCATCTTCGCATTATTATCCAACAGATATCTGAGTATCTCCACGTTTCCACTCTGTGTTGCATAACCAGCCGCAGTAATGTTTACGTCATCTGTAAAATTGATCATTTCTAAAAACTCTTCTTTTTTCAGCAGGAATTGCACCGCAGCAAGCTTTCCAGAAAGCACGGCGTAATGAATAGCAGTTTGATCATTTGGACTAGATCCAAAAAGAAAAAAAATTTCAACTTTCTACTTTATTTCGACCGCATGTTAAATAAGGCGGACGTATGTTAGTCTCTCATTGCTAGTTTCTGGAAAAAAATTTGAAAATTCTCACGTTCTTTGTGAATGATTTGCTCCTTGTTCCAAGAAAAACTGCATCAACTGAATGTTTCCTTTTTTAGCAGCTTCCAAAAACGGTTGATGTTGCTTGTGATCGCCATTTAGCAGACAAGCTACTGCTTCGGGGTCCTTTTCCTTCCAGATAAGAAGACCCATCTTCAAAACCTATATTTAACAGAGGATACTTAATTCCTCAAAGTTTTGACTATGCCACCACATCCATTAAACTAAATGAGAAGGCAAGAAGAAGTTATGTGGTTTGAAGTTTTCATGACCACATAATTCCACTGTTAACACTTCTTAACTGGATTTATCTTCGGAAATTGTGTTACCAAATTAATCAAATTAATTTTGACCACCTCATTCACCACACTGAATTAGAAGGCAAAGCAATATAATTAAATTAGAAAAAATTGTTGTCAATCAGGTGGGTTCATGAAATATTAAACAAAAAATATTTAAATAATTTTGCATATGTAGAAACATTTTCAAAACAGGATTTTCTTATTGGATTAAACACGTGATGTCCTTGAAAGTTATAGACGGCTATAGTGGTGGATTTTTGAAAGTTATACAGTAGTTGATTTCTACAATTGAAATTATATATTTCCGGTAATCACCTCAAAGTCCACATTATGAATAAGATGAGCTGAAAATATATCCGCTTCACTTGTCGTGAATTGCAAGAGAATTTTGAAACTCTGTCGAAAAGAAAACAAAAATTATAATAAGTGTTAGGAGCAAGTTTAACAACACCACATGCAAATTTTTGGACCAGGAACTGGTCCCTAACCGCTGCTAATCTTGTTGTTGTTGTTGTTGTTGTTGTTGTTGTTGTTGTTGTTAGGGGGTGACGCTCTTTAAAAAAATCCTAAGGCTCTATCATTACTTGTTTGATCGGAATGAAACTTGGCACAATTATTCTAAGCAATATTCCGCATCGTTGACGGAGTTCGAATTTTTACTTTTGACCTTTGAAGCAAGTTACAAGCAATTCGTGATATATTTGCAGCAAATGATATATACATATCATTAATATTCAGCCTATATATAAGTAAACGGAAACGATTAGAAATACATTGTCCTCTCCATTGTTATAAATACAATGCAGTTCAGAAATTAAACTCGGTAACGCAGTTCCTGGTCCACTATATGTATAGTACAATCGTACTTGTTTTTATATAATATAGTATACCAGCCCATGTAGACTGCATAGACTGCAGGAATATAATCATATATACCTCTTTCAATTTTCTAACTGCGGCAAGTTTTATTGGAGTGTTTTCCAAGTTGTCCATTTTATTAACATCATGTTTATCAATGCTGACCTGAAGTTTTAAAACGAGAACAGATTGCACTCAGAATTATACTTCTAGTTAAAAACGTTTGGAAAAAGGGGGTTGAGAAATAGTCAGCGGGAAAACTTCCAAACTCCAACAAGTGTTTCTATATAACTGTATATAAACACAGGAAAATGTTTCAATATCTAAATGTTTATAATATAACTCAATAAAAAGATTTTGTACAAATGTTTTAATTTATTATAATATATTGCAGATAATGGTTCCGCGGGCTCCATATATATGTGTGTGTATACACACACACATATATATGGAGCTCGGGGAATCAATTATCCGCAACTCCTACCTTTTCGTACTGTTCAAGAAGATAACGTAGAATATCTGGGTTTTCAACGGAATAGTGAAAGACATTCCTGCCTTTTCCATCACAAGTCATAAAAAGACTATAATCCGCCCTGAATTCGAAGATAAGCTGGACAATCTCCAATTGGTTTGCTTTGGCCGCACTGTCAATATAACGGAACATACATAAAAGCAATTTAATACACGAAAAACGTCGCTCAGACTTTAAACGCATCACATGAAACAAAATTAGTTTAAAAACTTCAGGAATGATATTAAAGGAATGACATTCATCAAAACGTATCTATAAAGAGCGTGAGTATAGACGTCACTGCATGGGCTCAGCCGCTCAGTTAATCTAAAACTGTTAAACTGTTGAACTACGTAGGATGGCAAGACGCAACTTGCATACAAGAACAACTTGCATATATCAATGGAATTTTTCTTACCTCATAAGAGGGGTAAACTTGTCACCTTCTGGTTCAAGAAGTTTGGGATTTTGTTTGAATATTGTTTCTGCAAGTTCTTTACACCCGGTTGAACAAACATTGCACACAAACGATTCCCATTTTTCAAACATTTTCTTCTCTTGATCCAAAAAATCGGGCCACCAGCCTCGCTTCATAATGAGGTTAAGTACTTCTGGTTTACCGCTTTGAGAGGCAGGATAAAGTATTGAATGGCCCTTTCCATCAATGTTTCTCATGATTTCAAGAAGTTCAGTTTCAGGATCTAGATTTAGAAGAGGTTTCAAATAATTTAATTTCTTTATGTTGGTTTTCGAAGTGGAATAATAACTTAAAATAAAATCTTGTCAATGGTTATTATTACCTAACTCACAAAATAACTGTACCAAATCGAAATGAATGACAACTTTAATTTTATCGCTGTGTCATGATTACATAAATTATATACGTTTTAAATTTATCACTTAGATAGGAATTGGGTTGAATTCGTGTGAATACAAATTCTCAGAAAAACAACTCTATACTTTCCTTTCGACCTGCACCTAATTTTGAAATATTAATAGCAAATAGCAAACTCACATATCTCCAGCATTTCTTTTATAACATCTGCATCGTCGTTTAAGGCCGCCACAAGAATAGGCGTTTCATTATGTTTATTTCGCTTGTTTAAGTCTGGTTTTCTAGCGAGCAATCGCTTCACCACCTCCATATTGTTGCATTTGATCGCCAAAAGAAGTGGAGAAGAGCCATGACTGTCCGGAATGTCTGAAAATTCATCCAGGAATCTCGGATGCTTTTCTAAAACCTTCATCGCTTTAATGGACGTAAGTTTGTTTGCAACGAGGTGAACAGCTGACTCTTTGGGGCGTTCATTCAATGGCCAAGAAGAGAGCCCGTAGCGGCGGTGAAACAAATGGACATCTTCCTCTGTTGTACTGGGAAGTTTTTCATAAGTGTCACAGAGCACCAACAAACACTTCAAACTGTTCAGCTCGACTGCTTCTAGTATACGACGTTGGATTTCCTCGCTGTGCTTCAGTTCTTGAAAAATTATAAAATGGATCAAAACACTGTCGCAGGGTGGATGGCAAAATCTGGTCTTTGTGCAACCGGGCTGGCTAACTCGCTTTGCAGTCTCGCCAAAGTTGTTTATGTAGTCCAATTGCTTATATTTAGAGTAGAGTAGTTAACCTACCATTAGTAAGAAATCTGCTCAGGTTCAGATCATCGTCAAGATATATTGCCGTTGCGATATCGCAGTATCTCATCACAGTTTTTTCATCAACCTTGTGTCCAGATGTACTACTTGTGAAAAATTTTTCCTCTGTAAAAAAATAATATTTAGCTACATAATATAAAGCTGCATAGCGATGTTGTAAATTATTTTTTGTACGCACGATAGCCCTGGGCAATAAATTTTCAATATCAATGTAAGACTTTATCCACCAATTTATCAAACGGGTTGGAGTATCATCAAAGCTGGTTGGAAAAATTTTCATAACTCAATTATTTCGCAACTCAAAATTTGGGGTTAAAATGAATTGATAATCTGAAAGTCGATTTGCATCGGATTTTATTTGTTTTTCAAATATCGTCTTAAAAGTGCAGAAACAAAAGATGTGCTCATACCTGCCTTACGTATGAGTGCAATCTTAGATTTATCTTCAGAGTAAGATATCCCTTTTCGTAGTGAGGTTTTCGACGGTGACGAAGACTCAGGAGTTTTCTTTTGCATAAATTCTGATTGTGCATCTGAAAAACCCAACAACGAATAATGTGCATAGTTAATTCTTTGTTTAAACCAAATTGAGAATTATATTCAGTGGTCCCGCGGCTATATCTGAGCTCGATGATTTTGAGACAATTAGGTTTGGATTTCCACTTGCAGAGAAATGGTTCGCCAGCGGAATATTTGCAGATTTTCTTTTGAAATGAGAACAGTTAAGACGGACTAATTTATTTATTCTGTCAAAATTTAAAAGAAAATGTGCAAATATTTCGCCAGCGAAATCTTTCTCTGCACGTCTACCCTTATAATGACACATGCATGGCCTTTGCTTTCATATGTTGAGCCTAAGTACAAACTGTTTATCCTATATACATGTTGTGAAGCAAATTAGCCTTTCTCACGATCAGGGCGCTTATATATAAGCGCCCTGCTCACGATGACGAATATGCCGCCAATTTTGGGGTACTTTTTTTCAAAACCGTGAACGCAAGACCTCGTAACGGCGATTGTCTTTAATTTTAAGCTGAATTTATTCTTCAAATGGTCTGTTGATTCTAAAAAAATTGCTATATTCATGTTATTATAATATTTTAAATCCAGTTGAGAAAATTGAAAGTTCCCTAAAAACGTCATCGCGAGAAAGGCTAATTTTGAACACAATAAATAATGATTGCATTAAGTGGTGACAGAACCGGGGGGAGGGTTAAGGGGCGATAATGCCTCGGAAATAAATGAAGAATTTCATACAGACAAGTACATAAAAAACGTCGAATAGAACATTGTATATAGAACTTCACTAGCAATGTGTTTACTTTGTGTTTGTTCACTGTGCGTCAAATAGAGAGTATAGACCATATTCGTATTTCTGGTTCGCATTGTTAACAATTTTTGGTTATATCCTGCGGTTATAGAAAAGGGTGGCGGTTAGGGATTGGATTCGAAGAGAACCCCTCAAAAATAAAATATGTCAGCCGCCCCTGTTTGTATGAGACTGTGTACAGGAAGGTTTTATTTCACCTGTTTTCTCGTTATTCTTCATCAATGGAATGCGTTCCTTTTCAGTTTCCTCCACGCTTTCTGTTGTTGTAAACGAAATGAGGAAACGAAACGCAAGGGGAAGGTCAGGGAAGAGGAAAGGGGTCATAAGACATTGACCACAACGGGTACACATTTAAAATCAATCCTGCATATACTGGGGACAGAGTTTAGAGAAGCGCAACATGCAATGTGCCTGCATATGAGCAAGGATCAATATTGTATATACACTGTACTTTGTCCGGAAACGAACGACTCCTTTCCAATGCTAATAACAAGAAATTAGGGAATGCGACTTTCTGTGGCCGATTTAATTAATACTGGAAACTTATAAGGAATACCTATATCCCGCTGAAACGTTTTGTGGTAATACCATAACAGTCACATTCACCACATTGTGAAATATAATGGCGACCTTCACGAATTTAGTGTAATATCCGGTGCTGAAACGGCTTACCTTGCCTTACAATAAATGGTCTTTTTTCTTCTATGTTGGCTGCATCAGATAAAGCCTGCTGAGCATCAAAATCTTTGGAAAAAACGGAATTACTCACAAATTGTTTTTGCAAAAACATTCGCAAACTTTGGATTGAATTACGGCAAATTCGGACTTCAAAGGAACGCAAGTTTGACGCAGCAGTAAAATGCGATGAAAAGAGGGCAGTTAAGAGGGGAGCACTGCACGGTTCTAAAGAAGAGGTGAAATTGTAGCTGTATAATATTTTCGACACGGATAGTTATATACTAATCCATCTAACGATCAAGACAATCAAGTGCTCCTTAGCCAAATTCCACCGATATAATGCCGTACATTTACAGAAAACAAAGTACACCAAATTAGTACAATTTCTATATCCAGTCAAGTTCTTCAAATGCCTTACCTTCACCGAAATCATCCCAGAGATAACGGGGTGTTGGACCTTTTTGAACAGGAAATGGCCTTTCCTCTTCTTTTTTTGCAGCGGCAGACAAAATAAATTCATCCAATCGAACAACTACGAAACAAATGAGAATTTAATGACGAGATACACTAGTTGTTCTCGTAAAACGTTCTTTAGCATTATATTTAATCAATGGTATAAAAAACTCTGTTTTGTTACTGTGATAGATTAGAAAATCTCTCCGCTTTCCACTCATCAGATATAGGCTCCGAAATGTGCTATGTAATTTACATTATTATCATTTAGATGACTTCAATTCATTCTCTTACTTGGTCGTTGAGACAACTCTACTTCTGCAGGACTTTTTTCAGGCGTTTCTAGATGTATAAAGACATCAGAATATATTTTAAGAAAATACAAAAATAATTGAACAATAAAAAAACATAGGTTGATCAATCAGTGGGAATGACACATTAATTCGCTTCCTGACGATATACAGAATCTATAATTTTAGGTACATGACTTTGGACTCCCAACATGCATGTGATGTCCAAACTTTTTGGCTATTTTTTATACCTATAACAGATAACTGACCTCCATTTTTTATGTACTCCAAAGTAACAGTTTCTAACTCTTCTAGCGCAGGCAACAATTTGTCAGTTTATGGTCTATCTCAATGATCTCAAGGGGTCAACAAGGTGATGTTTAGTATTTACCGGTATACCGGGTATAGACCTTTTCGATAATTAGCTACGTCACAACATTACCGTTTTAAATCTAGAACCACCTTAACTGAGATGGATTTCACGTTTTACTCTCACAAGCTATGTAGAAAGATGCAAAACATCCTTCTTCAGCACGTGCATGAAAAAAAATTTTGACCAATAAATGAGGAAATAAATCGTAACACTTAAACGAGGCTACCAGGCCACGACCGACAGCCTCGTTCTTGTGTTATGGCTTATTTTCACACTTGTTTGTTAAAATGAAAAATTTTTTTTACGACGGTAATATTGTGACGTAATTATCGAAAAGGTCTACTTGAAAGGCATGCATAATATCGTTGAGGTTTATCATTTTGAATGTTTTACCTAACCGAGAATCGCTTTCATAAGCAAATACACGTTCAGCTTTGATGGGGAATACTTTATTCTTTTCTACTCCAGCTGCCACTTCAAGCGCAGCGCAAGACCTAGTGGTAGCTGCAATAAAAAGAGATGATAAAATTCAACCATGGATCAATATGAACAGATCTAGATTATTGAAGCTCGTGAGAGCAACTAGTGTCAGTGTGTAAAGAATGCAAGATGACAGCTACCATGCACAGATATATAAAATCGCTGACCCGAAAGAACTTTTTTTTTTCCTGGGAGAAATGCCTTCGCCCGGGATTTTTTAACATGTTGGAAGTTGAAAACAATATTACATTACACGTTAGACTGGAGAAAGAAGCGAATAGAGACTTGTAAAAACAAGAGAAAGTGAACTTGATGTGTTGGTTTCAAATGCTGAATTCACACTAATTTAATTAACACTGTGGACATATTTAAAGATAGCTTTGTTTATACATTATAATAAACTTGTACGTTGTTTTACTGTGATTGTTATTGTGTGAAGCGAATACTGAATGGTTTTCCGTGCAGGATAGCGTGATCTAAAAAACCTAAAAAACGCTTTTCAAAATTCTCGCAAAATCCCACGTGCAAGGTCACGGTATCCGGCGCGGAAAACCACTCAGTGTTCTTTGAATAAATCTGGAACCGGTTGTAAGAAAGCCGGATAGCGCTATCTACCGGATAGTGTTTTTTCAATCGCATTAAAATCGCCCGTTGTTTGCTATAACTTTGATTCGAGCATTTTTAGAACGGTTGAAAAAATCACTACTCGGTGGATAGCGCTATCCAGCCGGCCCCTGACGCTTGACTAAGGATTTGGTAAAACATATAATATAAATAAAAGTTATTACAAAAATTACACCTACTTTTTACCGTTATTGCGTCAAGACGTCTGTTACGCATTTCCTGTTCTGGATCGTGAAGAAAAGAAAATAACTAAACTTCAGCAGAATCCTGGAGGAATATTTTATTTATTTCATGCATGGGCAGACTGCAGAGATGTTTATTTCAAAGTGTTATGAAGTTATTATTAGGCTGGACAGAATTGAAATAGCTACTAGAGGGGTTACGTTGTGACAAAATCGCACCTGCATGGTTTTACCGGGGGGGGGGGGGTGCGCACAACCGACCAAAAAAAATCATCACAAGGGGCTCAGTTACCATGATGTAATGAAGCGTAAAATAGACATTGAAGTATTGAAATGAGTAAATAAAATGATCCTGGAAGTCGAGATAATTTTAAGGTAATGAGAAAAGTCTTTATGTCACCAAAAAAGCACATGATTGTCGAGATGACTGACATGACTGACAGGATCATGTTATATACTCTTTTCAATACCTCAAAAATGGTTCGCAGCGGCGCATTGGCTCGTTGGAAAGTTTCATCTCAAAAGATTTAATAGCACTGGTAAAAGTTTGGACATTGGACATGCGCTTTATTTTTTAAGAGCTGGACGGAAATGTTAAGACGGACACAGCTGATATAGGCATATAAGCCATGTTTATAATACAAGGCCAAGCTAGTCCAAGACTGGCCTATAATAGAGCTGGCTTCGGAATAAATTTTGATAGTTTGATTCCATGATCCGGGCTTTGACTTAGCTTTCAAGCAGCGGTTTGTATAATATGGGTATACAAAACAAATTCAAAACTTTCAAGATTCCTTACGCCTATACTACCATTATGTCACTGAAAGAAACGTCACCACAGGTTGATTCGAACGTGAAGTCAAAAGTGAAAAATGAATGTCAACAGTAAGATATTAAAACACCGCTAAATAAACGTAAACAAAGTTGCTGTACGCGGAGTAGGTTAATCCGAAAGTGAAGTCAAAAGCGAAAAATGAATGTCAACAGTAAAATTTAAAATATGGCACTAAATGAACATAACCATATAGTTACTATGCCGAGTAGATTAATTCAAAAGTGAAGTCAAAAGCGAAAAATGAATGTCAACAGTAAAATAATAGAACGAGTTTTCACCGCAATATTTGTTTTTAAAAAACTATTACATTATATACTGACAAATTACCGAAAAATTTCTCGCGCAATTTTGGGTCGCCTATGGAGAAAACGTAGAGAAATTCCCTAACTCTGCAAGGTCCGCTAACTTTGTATTCGCTTACCCGCTTCGCTAACTATTTCCCGCCTATCATGAGTATCATCCTGTGTTTTTTCGGATTTTCGAACCGTGGTGTTACCATTTCCGTTGATATCATCTTCTGTAATTTTATTCGCCCCGCTTGTCGATTCTTCCATTGTTAATCTAAACTCCAAAAGCAAGATAATATTTCCCGTATTACTCTCACGGAGATTGAGTCTAAAGTTGTCCCACAATCACTATAGTATACACGTCATACATGGTTAGTTTTGATATAGATAATAGATATACAGCGGATATCAGCGAGCGAAAGACGAAAGTGGGATTTCAGGCCTGGCTGTAAGTCAAGAATTGACTTCAATAGTGAAATTGGTTCAATATATACCACAGATATAAAACTATTGAGTAATATTCTGTTTGGATTGAAATGAATGTGCCTGAAGTTTGGTACCTGCCCACCTTCCACTTAATTTTAAACAGGATCAAAAATCTGATCCAATGTCCCTATAAAACCATTGCACCTTGTCATAACTAAGCTAGTGTAGAGCATAAATTAATTAAACTGAAAGTCTCAGCTACAACTACCACTCCCAGTTCCTTTCTATGCTTGTTTGCTTTTAAATAAGGACAATATTTTATTTTTGATACCTTGCCAAAAATATTTGTCACCAAATATCCCAGATTGATTTCTCGTTTAACTTATTGTTTTAACTGAACGCCCAAAAATAAATGCTACCTGAAAACTACAAAAGCCTATGTTAATTGCTGAAAATATGAAATATACAATACACATTTTATGTATATAGTAATATGGAAATTCAATGTACGAGTAAAGTATTCGAAATGGTTTTCCAAGCTAAATTTTTGTCCTGGGCCTAACTTTTGGCAAAGGGTTGAGTGTTTTTTCCTATCTTGCTGAGCATATCCATATTGACTTGTTTCTTTTGCAAATATATAATCAAAGTAACAACATGTTTCCCAAGATAGGGTTAAAATTACCCAACAGTTAAATATACAACTGCATGCATGGTACCCAGAATCTGTCTTACCATGACATATTTTGTGAGCAAAGTACTAAAACTAAATTCATTGCAAGAAAACATCACAGGTCGATTGGGCTAAAATTTCACTAAAGACCACTCTTTAATACATCCTACCTGCAGGATAACAGGTGTTATTTAAAATATAGATATTATATAAAACCATATATTTGCTAGTGGATTAAAAACATTTCTTACATGCACTAACTAAACAATGATGCCATAGATTAATGCTATGTTGCTACCCGCCCCCTATCTGGACAGGGTTTTTATTAGACAAGATATCAGTGACCTCTATAAGTAATTCCAATACACTCCGCCAAAATATGTATTTACATTTGACAAGCTTAAATTGAAATATATTCACTAGGAGTCGAGGATGTTGGTAAACCGTAAATGTGTAAATTATCGACTTCATCATAGTTATCGAAACGCGTTATAATATCCAGCTCACAGTGATCCAGCTTTATAAATAGACGATAAACACGATGTTTCCCTATGGCCTGGCCATATAATAAAAAATGTCGGCCTCGGGAACGAGTTTGAAGTTTGAACACTGCTGTTCAATCCTGAGACTATAGATGTTATTAGAAATTTAAATGACAAAATAGAATGTTAGAAAAGACGTTACTTACTTTACTCTTCGAAAGATATTATGTTGCTGACATTCAAAGTCATATAGCATTTGTAATGAAATTTGAGAGACCCTTATAGGAAGTGAACAGTGGGCAGTAAATTGCGTATATTAGAGAACTGCTTCCGGTCAATAATAAACACTTTTTAAAATTAATTAACTCCGCTGGTTATTTAGCGGGTCGCTCCAGAATCGAGATATAGGGGAATCCCCACAAAAGATTCATCTTTTATTGCTTTGATATTGCGGCCTTTGCGGGAAAACAATGTCGTAACATTCGCATTTTTTGCGGGAAAAACGATGTCGACGCAATTTCGTTGATGCGCATCTACAAAAATTATAAGTATGACATAAGAAAGTGATAGTCTGCATTGCAGGTGCTAAAAACCGTTTCCTGCGTGGACAAGAATTTTATTTTATAGTTAGAAAACGTTTTTTGAAATCTGATTTGGGCACGGTACTGTCTACTGTTACGTTTGTGTTGTTCCACATTTTGTTTTGAATCGATTTTGTCATAGAAATTTCCCGCCAAATGAAACCGATGGAAATTATTTCTACTTATATATAAACAATTAACCATTGTTCAGTTCTCAATAAATCGTTGAATCAAGTTCAAGAAACAAATTATAAACTGAAATCTACAGTCACACCGTAATAGTCTCGCCGCGCATGCGCTGCTGTGCTTTTTTTGCATCCATCACATTATAGCTTAAACGAAGTACTGTAACGAATAGCAAAAATATAAACATGGCCTAAAATTTACGTACGTCTTTCAGTTCTTCTGTAAACTTTGCAAGGTTTTTTATGTGAATTTTTTCCATCTTATGGAAAATGGAAGACAGCGAAAGGAAGAGAAAACTCGGAGAATTTTATCACATCGGTGGGCATCATTTACTTCTACTGAATTTTGTGATCTCTCGTATAAACATATATTGTAGACTTGTAGTTGACGGCCCTTGGCCTTGACCAAAATGAGTAATCTTTCATGTTTAAACGTCAATTTTATGTACACAATACATATAATGATTTGCTGTGAATCCCAGCACAAATGAAGTGGCAATTAAGCTGCTCAAACCCCCCGTCGTAGTTGAAGTTCTCTTCGGTCATAATGGTCCAAAACTGAATAACTGTGCAGTTCATTGCATCCATTGTACAAATTTATCGTTATAGTTAAAAGGCAAATCTTGCGGTATCAAAGTGGCAGTCTTGGTCTATTTCCGCTACACCCGTTTGGTCCAAATCCTGCAGAAGGCCATGTGAGAGACAATGTGTATTGTGCCCAGGTTTTGTGGGCTTTGGCCTTGGCATACAGGTAAAGTGCTAAACAAGAAAATGTGCAGTATGCAATTACACAGGCAACTGCCTCAAAATTCCCATATTTAGTACTTGTTCAACATTGATCAGTGCATGCATCTCTACTTTTACATTTGCAATGTGTCAGACAAGTGGATGATGATAAAGGAAGAAATTACGAACTGGAGCAAAGTGCTGTAAAGTGCATGAGAGGAATTCTTTTCTGTTATATGAGACAAGCTGGAAAGGTGAGAAGAATACAAAATTAATAGGTTACTTGAGGTATACTTTTATGTGTACTTCATTTATTTATATTTATTTTTATTATGTGTTTTTTTTATTTTTTGTATTTGGCTATATTTTAAACTAAAGTTCAGTGTTTTGTCCCTAAAGGACATATCAAGTTGATTCTGGAAAGTCCATATCATTGGTATAGTATATTTCAGACTATGTATGTTCCAATTATTCAACTACTTTACAGGTTGAGAAATTCAAACACAATCAGCAGCCTCACAATTCACTTCATTCAATGTTCAACATTCATACTGGAAATATGTTGCCTTTGAATGAAAATTGGCCACATCTTCAAGTATGTATTACACAGAGATATAATTTCCTATGTAATTTAACCATATACTCTGATGCATAGTTGTTTATCTAGTACTGTATCTATTCCCCGAAATGTGAATATTTTAACCACCTTAATTTGTTTGTGTACTGTACATAATTACAGATTGATGCTGTAAGTTTATATTTATTGGTCTTGGCACAAATGATTGCTTCTGGTTTGACGGTAAGGATGTTTCAGAACATTGTTAAATTAATTAACTCAATACTATGCTCAATACTATGCCTATATTAAAAGTCCTGTACTCTACTACCAAGAAAGCACTAGCTCACATGAGTGCTAATATATCCACTCATACGTTCTGGTAATATTCACAGATCATATATACGCTTGATGAGGTTTCATTTATACAAAACTTGGTTTACTACATCGAACGAGCATACCGCACACCTGACTATGGAATCTGGGAACGAGGGTGTAGAAATAACAATGGCCACCGTGAATTACATTCAAGGTAAAATACTTAACTACCAATTAATGCATAGTAGTGAGATATAAGTGAAGAAAGACAAATATCATATGTAAAAAGAATAGCTAATTATAAAGGGAGTAGGTCTCTGTACAGTGCACTGCCTCTCAGTGTTTTTTACTACTTTGTTATTTGAACTTGCCAACTAATTAGTTACCATTTACTATTTGCGACAGTATGTATTCATTACTCTTTTATGTGTACATGCATGATTTAGTTCAATAGGAATGGCAAAAGCTGCATTAGAAAGCCTCAATGGGTTCAATCTTTTTGGAAGTCAGGTACATGCATGTCTTTCATAGTTCTTTATCTCACTTAATTAATGCTTTATTGTCAAATACTAATACCAATTTCAAGTTTAGTTTACTCTAGTCTAATTTCCTCCACTATATCTCTCACCATTTCCTATTTTAGGGAACATCATCTTCTGTAATATATGTTGATCCAGATGCATTTAATAGAAACTGCACCATTCTTAAAACATTGCTCCCCAGAGAGTCCAGTTCTAAGGTATAGAATTTGAAAAATACTGATTTTATAAATTGTTTTACAAAGAAAGTTGCATTCTTAAACACTTTCATATAGGAAACAGATGCTGCATTACTATGTATTATTGGATATCCAGCTTTTGCAGTGGATGACGAGAAACTGAAGGAGACAACGAAGGAAAGACTAATTGAAAATTTGATGGTAATGGTCCTTAACGAATAATTATTTAATTTTATTTAACTCTATACATTCGAGAGAATCAATCTGTTGTAGTACATTTTTCATGATTTTTTTTTAATCATGCATACGTAATTCGTATGAATATTTGTAATTTTGTATGCATATTTGTAATTTTGAATATTTAAAAAAACATATTTTAAATTGATTTAGAGAGATTTCTGCAACGCAGTTTTTACCTGCAGAGTCCAACTTAAAAAATCCCGTCGCATTCGTGCCTTTAGGTACAGCGTTTTCTTTCATATCACTTTTTGAAAAACCTTAAAATCTCTCACTTGTCAAAACGACTCGTCGCCATTTTGAAAAATCCGCTAAAAGTGATCATGATCAATACGCGTGCGTAATTATGCGAGATCGCTTAACCAATCAGTGGCCACGATTTTCAATAATCACCTTCGGGATGGGGGGAAGGGAAGCTGGACACCGGACGCAGATTTGGCAACGCAATGCGATTTTCGAGTTTTTCACTTTAAAACAGCAAATATATCTAATCACGCAATAATATTTTCGAAAAATATTTAACAATAGTACTCTACGCTCATCTAGAATTCTATAGCCGTATAGGCATGGCTTTCCAAATACTTGCTTTATTAACTTTTAGGGTCAATATGGGTTGAAACGGTTCTTCCGCGATGGGTACAAGACTGTAGTTGAGGACCCAAATAGAGCAACATATTACAGTTCAGAACTCAAGGTAATTCAATACAAATAATCAAGTAAGGTTGCATGTATCTATAACAAACTTTACAAAAGTTAAAATTTGTAATTTTTTGCACTTTATTTAGTTATTTGAGGGCATCGAGTGTGAATTTCCATTCCTCTACATTTACCTATTATTGGATGGTGAGGATAAATTTTATAAGTCTGCCATATATCATACAACTTTCACTAATTACAGCGGCTCTGTATAATACATTGAAAACCTAAATGAATTTTAGATTTATTTAGTTTTGTCATTTTTGGTATTTTCCTTAGCATGGTTTAGTAACGACAAAGAAGCTATTGAGAAGTATTCGAAAATGTTGGATAAAACATCGATGGTGGATTCAGAAGCAGGTGATTGAATTTTAGGGTTCGGCTGTTTTCCTTTGCATGAATATATACATAGAGGATATTATAATACGTTGTGTTTTAATAATATATGTGGTCGAATACGCCGTTTTCCGGTACACTCGACCATGGTTGAATACGCCGTTTTTGATTAGACTCGGCCATGGTCGAATACGCCGTTTTCGGGTAGTCTCGGCCATGGTCGAATACGCCGTTTTCCGGTAAACTCGACCATGGTCGAATACGCCGTTTTCCGGTAAACTCGACCATGGTCGAATACGCCGTTTTCGGGTAGACTCGACCATGGTCGAATACGCCATTTTTCGGCGGACTCGACCAATTTTTTTCAAATTCGTTATGTCAGTACTAAGTGTGACAATGGAAAATACACGCACGTACCCCAGATGTAGTGAGATATGAGTTCAACGATTGTGTTTTAGTTTTCAATATAATACAACTACTCTTTGCAGGCAAACAAGAGGATGGAGCTGACATTCATAGTAAGTAAATGGCCGTGCACACAAACGGAACTGGCGGATTTTTCAAATTTTGAACTGAATTAATCGCAATTAGTTATCGTGATTTTTCTAGGTTTAACACGACAATTAATCGTATCGCTTTTATCGCGATAAGCCCATAGTTAGAACCAGGTTTATAGTTTAAAAAAGTAATATAAATTTTCAGGCATTGGTGTTGTGCCAAAGTATTTTTATGTGCCGAAGTTCGCCGTTGAAGATGAACGAAAAAATCCCGGAAGTCAGGAGAGATTGCCTTCTTCAAAAGAATATTGCAGTCTTTGGGATCAAGCGTTGTACATTATTGTAAAGCTACTAGGCAAGTCCAATCATACTATTCTCAGCCTATTATGATTAAAAAAAGATGGTTTTTCGTGTGGGCATATAGCTATATATGAATTAGACAGTTTTTAAGTTTAAATCTAATATAACTAAAAGGGCCTATTATGCCAAATTAATTATGCCAAATTACTATAGAGGCAGATTTGATTGACATTGGTCATCTGGATCCTTTGGAAAGGCACAAAGGAAGGTCGAATCTCGGTCACTATGGTTACATAAATCATAGATATTCTTCATTTAAGGTAAAGCAGTATATATGAATCATTTTGAATCATGCACATGCAATCTTGATAACCGTAAAAACAACAAATTTAGAGAAAATATGAATACATCACCAAGAAACTGAGTTGCATAAAAGAAACCGAGTTTCGCCATGGTTGAGTGATTTGAACACGTTTTAGTACCGTAGCTTTAAATCCTTCTGGAAAAAGGTTTAAGACTATAAGACGTTTTCCAAGTCAATGCAAGAGGGTTAGTTTTGAGTGTTAAAGAAAGTTAAACACAACCTTTCTTCTTTCCTTTTCAATTTCATGTACTTATTATGAGATTAATTGCATGAATAAATTATGTTTGATGATAAAATTTTCGTAGTGATAAAATAATGATTTTAAAACTTGAAAGAAATTTTTTGTTAGTGCTTATCGTATAACAATCTACTAAGGTGTTGATTAGGTTTATATGCAGATAGAATAAGAATATAATGGAAAGTCTTCCGTGTTAGGTCATTGAGTCAGATTTGGTTGTACAAGTCTCGTTGATCGCGGAAAATCGGAGGTAAATTATTTAGAGTATCTCACCTCTACACCTAATAGAGTGGTTACTTCTAATTTTTTTCCATCGTATTCCAGGAAGCAGTATTTGAAGAATACTAATATATTATACATTTATATAGTTTACAAGCAACTTTGGCAACCTATGGAATTCATACCCAGACGCCGAAACAAGTCGAACCGATCCAAATTTGGCCACCGAGTGAATTGGTGAAGGTATCTTGACAACTTGCACCCGAAGGCTTCTATTGCCATTTCAGACTTTTGCACTACGCACAATTTTAAGTTTGATATTCAAAATTTCATCCATACCTCTGTTGCGAACCAAAAATTGTGTAATAGTTCAAATGGCTTTCCTCCCTTTATAAGCTCCTAAAACAAAACTTGCAGTTCTTGGAAATGTCTTTTGGTAATAGGTTTATAAGAAACTTGGTGTGAACAAAAAGTTAGCTCTAAGTGGAAGGCCTACTCGGCCGTTTGGTTCATTAGCTACAAGCAAGGTATGGCAGTTTGATTTTAGAACTTAGATTAGAACTCTTTAGTATTTTTTGCTTTCAATGAATTCAATGCCAACACATTTATAATTTACCTTTTTCTCCATCAGTGAAATAAGCGAGAAATATTTAAAGATTAAAATTTAGAGTTTTTCATCAGATTTACAGAATTCTGGGTTGCACAGTTTTATGTTATCCGATCATTTTGGAAGAGAAAGATTTCTATATGTCCTTGGATATGTCGCTTTTGATTGATGAATTTCAGGTTAATTGTTATGCTTATCATTTAAATCTTTTTCCAGTAAACAAATGAAGATAGCTACAGTATAGCGGCAAATTTAACATCGCAATTCACTATTACATAATATCACTATTATGGCAATGCCTTGGAAACATAAGATTTGAAGACGAAAGGAAGAAATCTCGTTGGCTATCAACGTATACGTTGATTATATATAGCAATAAAATTATTATGCAGTTGCGCCTCAAAATTCACGTACTACAGTACATATAAATGAAATTTCCTTTATGATTTGTTTCAAATAAACTACTTCAAAATTAAATACAAGAAAAATATAAATACGACGTGATTCTTAATTGCTCATTTGTGACAAAAATTTCTAATTGTTTGTATCAATTGTTTGTATATAGAGAAAATTGCGCTTTATCCGCAATAATTGGAACATGAGAGGTCGACCTACGGTGTGCCTTCTCATCAGAGACAATCATATCAGGTAATTTTTAAAACATGTATGGATGAGTGGCATGGTAAAGAGGAGCGGATTTTGTACTGCCCCACTTACCAAAGTCGAACATACCAGAAATCGTTATCTTTACCAAGGTCGAATAATCGGTATCTTTACCAAGGATTCCAATTTCGTATTTAATTTTTTGTGCTTGTGAAATTTTTAATGACGTATTTCAATGAGTCTGGATCCGCTCCTGATGGGCAAGCTGCATTTCATGCGTACCTGAAATTGTCTAAATAAAGGAATGCGGGTTCGAAATAGCAGTTTTTAGTCTAATTCTGTTCAAGCAATTTTGTTAGCCGTTCAACTGACTTTGTTTTCTTAACAGAGGAACACATTTCCAAGAATTTCTTGACCTTATGGCACGATTGAAGAGAGGACAATGCGATGGGGTGAAAACAAGGCTTGGTCGACTTCAGGTATCTTGTAGCCCACCAGTAGACCTCTCTAATTTTGTTTTCTTAATGTATCCTTGAAAACGCCTGTATATTTATACTTTTTTGTATATAATTGTTGAATTTTTTTATTTTTTTAGACGTTTATCTCTGGTTCTTGCGTAGAACATTTGGATTTTCTTAAAGACATTAGTGACGTTCACAGGTGGTTGATTTACTACCCTGTTGTCCTTAGAGAAAAAAATTATAATTTTTAGGAGCCACAGCCCTTGTATTGTGGCTTTGTTCGACCAGTGTGGTTTAGATATCTAATTGGAAAGCTGCCTCTCCATGTTCACGTTTTAGAAAGCATTGTCTTACTATACTGTTCCTTTGACTATTCGCACTTTTTTGTACTTTTTTATTTGCCCTCAAATGTAACAGTAAAAGCAGTACTGGAACTGAAACACAAGTGGAAGAGGATCTCGTCTTTGAGCGGATAAAAGAAGACTCATTTTCGGACCAAGAGGTTTCGGTCCACAGCATAACTGATACAGCGGAAAATGAGCATCTCATTACCCATAAAGAAAAGTCATTTAATAAGGACGAACTTCGCATAACATCGAGCGAAGACCTTCTGCAGTTGTTGACAAAACGTGAAGCAATTAATAAAGAAGTTTTCATTCTTGAATTGTTGATTAAACGAGAAGGAATGAAGTGCGTGACACCAGAAGGTAGGTTCAAGATGAGCTGCTTCTCAAGTTGAACTCTGTAGAAAGCAATAGTAAAGTAGAATGTGAGTTCAATATTAGTCCAAGCGAATTGCATGCATTTTCTGACACGGTAGGTAGTACACTGCTGGTATGCTATAGGTATGCTATAGCATTTGGCTATGGCCAAATAATTGTTATGGACATAGGATCGGAGTATTTTGGTAGCATGGTATTATATTTAATTTGAATTAATAAAACCGGTCAATATAGGGTCACTGGACGAACTTGTTCATCAGCTCTACCTTAACGCTGGTCGTGTACAAGACTGGAATGTTATTCGGCATTGCAGTGGATTGCTAAGAAAGATCGTGGACAGCCTGGCCCCAGCAATTTCAACAATATTGGTTCATGGTAAAGTGGTAGGTTATCTTCTTCTATACAAGTCTTAAACTAATCGTTTAGAAATAATAAAATATATTCTGCGTTACCAAACTCCTGAAAGCTATATTTAGTTAAATAAATTAACTTGATTCTTTATCTTAGCCGTTGACTATAGTTATCGTGCTTCTAAAATCAGTCATTTTAAATAATTTTCTCAAATCTATATTTACTCTGGTTAACTTCACAATAGTAGCATGATATGAATAGTTTTTGTTTAAGACCACCTTATCCTCTTTTAACAATACAAATTTGTTCAGAAATGCTAGAGACTGATAATTTTTTAAAACATGGATATTCCCAAATACACGTTGTATGTTGTCTTTTCTTGCTTCGTAGGTCACGTTGGGCATGTTTGGTCATGAGGAGAGAGTTGTTTACGAACCATTAACTCCAGGAGCAATTGAGGTAGAAAAAATATACAGGTGATTGTAGGATGCACAGTATTTTTATCACTTAAAATAAGTTGTTCTATTATTCTGTTCTAGAAAATCCTTTTCGAGTATTGTAGTCCTTATGACGTCCGTGAAGCTGTTTTGCAACAAGAGGTTTGTTTCTCTGTACTCTTGTATAAGAGTGTGTACATTTAACCCTATAATTATAATACATTTACTTCCCATATCATTATCTCACTACTTCAACTTCTACGCAGATGTTAATTTATCTTGCTTCCTTCATTTCAACGAATCCTGATGTTTTCAATGGAATGCTAAAAATTAGAGTCGGGTAAGATCTGAAATTCTATGTATACCGCACCCGCTAAGCAACACATAATAGGTGCTGTTTAATTTATTCCGTTTTTGCAGATGGATAGTACAAGAAATGAAAAACCTATTAGAAAGACATTTTCCAAAAGAAAATGTGGAAGTAAGGCCTATAGTTGATATGTTTTCTCCTTTCCATTTCTTTTCGTATTCCCATTAATACCTGTTATTCTTCCTGTCATTAATACCTGGTATTAGATATATATAGACAACTCGGACTCGTTGCCTAATTGTTAAATAGAGGTTGTTTTGACCAGTACTGAGTAGGTACACGATGCGATTTGTCGTATACGATTCTTATCCTGACGTATGAAAAAAATTGCTGATGCTGCTCTTTCTGTTCATCAGTTTATAACGAATTTAAAATGTAACATCTTTACCCCATTTATTTGAATACATATTTGGCGGGATTTGGTGGTCCCCCAAGGAATGCGCGCGCACAGCCTCATGGGATTTAGTGAAAATAGTGAATAGTTATTTATTTTTTCTCTATTGCTGACTGTATCAAGTAGGTACATTTTATTATTTTTTTATAACTCCTATTAACCATAGACAGTTAGGCAATTATAATATTCGCCCTGTATATTTTGTCTTCCTTCAAACGATATTTTACACGACCTCTTTTATTCTCACTCACTCTCTTGCATATATTTTGCATTTTTAAGTGCATAACTGTCAATGAATTTTCCTGTTATTGTCGTATGCTAGATCAGCTAAGTATAGTAATTATGATATACGAACATTACTGAAATTTGAATATCGGGCAAAGTTAATGTTGCAACGTTCTATGTAGGCCTATAGCTCATTTAAAACTTCAAAAGCAAATTTAAAACTTTAAAAGAAATTATCAGCTAAGAGAACTACTTTTAAAGTGACCAGTGACACTTATAATAGCCTGGAAAATCGAAAGTCGGATAACCAATGCTATTCTAGCACCCCATAACCTGTTTTTCGTTAAACATTTGTGTATTTTCATAGTTGGTCTACTCGTTTCCTCCAAGTAGAGTGAAAGAGTTAGTTTGGATTGTTCTAACATGTGAAGGTCGTATAAATGGGCGTGACCTTGCCCCAAGGTATAAATGACATTTGTGTATTATATATGCTGAATGGTATTGGCTAACCAAGGTGTACCCTGACATACGTTCTTATATAAAAACAGGAATGGCTACAAATCCTTTTTCTTTTCTAAGAACATAACTTAACATCACTTTGTTTATAGAAACGTTCTAGAGGAGCGTCAGCTCAACGGAGCCATGCACCGAGTCCCGCGTGATTTTTACTCAATGGGTATGCATGGTCTTAGACCTACTGTAGTTGCACATATAAGTAACTTCAATCAGAAGTGATAGCTACATAATTATTATGTATAATGCATGTAATTTTAGTTTGGAAAATATTGGGTCGTTCCGACAGTGGATTTGAGCTAACGAGGTCATTGTTACCCAAGGTAGGTCAGAAAGAACTGCATTACATGTTTCTAAGCCGTCTAAGATCGTATACATTTAACTGGTAAATAAAACAGTAGATATACTTCAGTTCACGGTTTGGGCAGTTTTGAAGACCTAAAAATAATTTTTATGTGCGTTTTTTGTTTTATCTGAAACTAAAAGACTTCTAATATGGTTTGACTGTTTCGAAGCGTTGTGAATTTCGTTTTATTTCCCTTAGGCCACACATTGTAAATTCATTGTATAAGTACATTTCAATTTTAGTTTCCCACAATGGAGGAGATGACAGAAGGAGAAAAAAACTTTGCGCTAAAAGTCGAGGAATTCTTGAGCAGTGTCTCAAAACCAGAATACAGACAGCTGCTAGTCGAGGTTTATGTCACTTTTTATCTTTTCAACAACTGTCATATTCTAATTGTACATATTAGGGACTAAGAAGCCTCATTAACATCTTCATTCGTTGGCTCTCCAAGAAAGAAAATAAAACCAGTTTCAAGTAATCTATTCTTATTAACGCATTTATATGAGATGTATGGACGACGTTGAGAGAAACTTTAGACAAAACAAATTGTAGCAGCTCTTATTTGAATACTTTAACATTTTTAAATGCTCTTACAGCAGTTTTATGTGATATGCGACCCTCGTGCACTAAAAACCTCGAAGTCAATGTAGCTAGGTGTTCTTGACTTTCAGACGAGATCTTCAGTTTGTCATGTAGTATTTCAGAATTACCTTTTGACAGATTGGTGGTGAATGTCAAAAACAACTATTTGCATTCGAGTCTTTTAATGGGGTGGTCGCTGATCACGTGAAATTGCTGTAGAATAATGTCATTGTTAGATCATTTTACTTTCGACTATGATGTCACATAAAATTCATGTAGTGATTACAGAGACTTTGAGAGTCTGAACCGGATTTAAGAGAACAGCTATATCATATAAAACATGACTTTATCATTTTCTACTGGCATACTCATTCTGCCCCTCCACCCCTTACTACCCATACACTCATATTGTGTTTTCCTGCGTAACAGTTGCTGATGGTTATGGCTACAATTCTTGAGAGGAATAAAGAATTAAAATTTCATGTCGCCATCAAGTTAGACGAGGTATTTAAACTATGACACACGTATACTGAGACCTTGCTTGTCCATGTGACTGTATAATACGAAGCAAAACTATTTTAGTCAACTCCATGTCTCAAAGTTTATTGCGATTACCCTCCATTCTTGCATTCTAGCTTGTAAAAGGAGCGATGGAGCTATTCGCAGAAGAAACTAAAAAGGTAAATTTCGCCATAAAGTTGTTGACCGTAAAGTTATGCTTGGCCAGGGTTGTTAAATATAGTAAAAGATATTTGTGATATACACAATTTAATTAGTTTAACTCTAAGCTTCTAGTTTGTAATTGCAATAAAATTTTCTCTGATGATGATGGCCTTTTTGAGTATATGAATGGCCTTTTGAGAATGTCAGTAAGGTCCGTGACTACAACACGACTCATGCATTTGCCTATTGAAATGCTGGGTTTATCTTTTAAATGCATGGGAGTTTGTAACAATGTATTCTAAAGTACAGCTTTCCTAATGTTCCAGGACACGTCAGAATTCTATAGCAACCCAGCGTCTGGAAAGACTGGTACAACCACATTCTTTGCCAGAACTATTGTAAATAAACTGCTGAAAGAGTCCGTTAATGTTGAAGTGGATGCCGAATGTGTTATATCCTAGTTTCAGGAATGAATGCTTGTTTCACTTACGTTTTTCATAACAACTTTTGTGATATTTATCATTTATAGACCTTCGGGGAATGCGATGAAATATTACCCCCAAGTCCCAAAGGAAGATATATCTTCCCGATGGGGTAATATTTCCCCGAGCAGAAGGTCTATAAATTATATATTATATCGAAACAACTATATATTATATTTCCCCCTCCATTTTGAAATTGTTCATAGGCGGGCTGACAGCCTCGAATCTCGATTTAGTCGTATATGCGAGGCATCCACGCGTGGTACACGCAAAGTCTTTTATAAGACTTTTATATTATAATGCGGGGAAAATTCAATCGAACGTACTCCATGATTAATTAAATGATCCAAATGATAATTGAAACTCGCCTAGGCGGATGGCGTGTTTATATGGAGTTCATTTTTGTAGTGCAGGCCGGCTCGTTCGACGACATGTTTTATTGTGGAAAACGAATATGCCAATATATACACATGCTCCAAATGCATGTTTATCGCGAATCATCCCGGCCAAGCGGGATGGAGTGTTTATAATTATGGCAATTTCTCGTCTTGTCTAAGCGGGATCCCAGCACTTTTTGCCAGGCACTTCTTGGCGGGATCCCGCCTGTGCTGGATGGAAAAGTGGTCATATAAACACTAATTAGTGTTTGTATTACAAGCGGGATCTCGGAAACTGTCCCGGCTAGGCGGGATCATATAAACAGGCCCATACAGTTAATGAGATATAATATTAGTGACAATACCTTATGAATTTGTATAAAATATACCTGTAGATTGTGACCGTGTTTATTTTTTTTACCGACTATATGTCAATAAGATAGGCATGTATGGGCACGTGAAGGCAGGTAGAAAACGAAACTTATCAACTCAGAAATTTTCTGTTCAAAACCTGCGAGACTGGTTTTGCTTTATCTCACAGACTATCCAAAGTCTCTCATACATAAAAATGTGAAAATTTTGTGAACGTGAAAATGTGAAAGCAAGTCATATATGCATGCATCGAGTAGCTTTATCTGGTCTAGACATTTCGTAAAAAAATCTAAGTGCCCATTGATGAAAGTAGAAAATAACCCTTCCATACCTTGCGTGAATGAATAATATTAAATATTAACTGTGCAGTAAAAATTGTCGTTTTGCTTAAATATGTGACCTATATTTTTGTTGAATGTTTTGGGCCAAAAATGCTTATTGCGACATTGCCTCGAATTTATTAAGTGAAAAGTGCTTATATGAAAGGGTTAACGAGATCAATTAAGCTAATTTAATACATAAACTTATTGAATTTGATTACTGATTGATGAGCAAATATAAAATTTCATAATCATCATCATCGCTTAATTTAATAATCCGATCGAAATATTAGATTTTTTGTTTTCAAATTCGCCGGCGTGAGGGAAGGTAAAATGACTGCATGAAATTGCATTCATAAGAGCTGAGGTCTGATACTACCTGTCGCCTGATTGTTTTGATCTGTGGTTGAAATATTTTGACTCAGCGGCGACCAACATGTAGGTATAAATTTAGCTAAATATCCTTTTACTTTGAGGCTTTCTGGTACACCATTGTTAATGGGTTTAAAAATAAAATGTTGAGAGCATATACAATTTTCTTACTTATATAGTGTAAACTAATATGACTAACAATTCTGGAAGAATGATCGCATTTTCGCTTCTGGTTTTTGCTTCTTGTATGAAGGTAAGCGTCTATTTTTGTACAGGCTTTTAGCTACTCGTTTAGACACGCACTATATCTGCGCATTATTAGCTACTTCGTTTGTTTGAAGCTATATAAACCATGCATTCGTATTATAAATATAAATGCATGCACGTTCGCAACTTTGGAAGCAAAAAATTATAAATAAAATGGGATAATATGCAAATAGCTTTGCATATACGACAATATAAATTTGATCATTAAAGTTATAGCAATAATATAAAATTACAGTGAGCTCGGTATTTGGTTGTCATGTCTTGACACTAATTTCGAGAGGACTTAATTAAATTACCGTTTCTTGGTTTCAATATTGCAAAATGTATCTATTTTTATACGATATGACTGGAACAGCTTTTATCAGAAAATGCAGTTTAAGATTATTCATGGAAACGTCGAGTTATATTCATAGAACTTCATACCGCTAAATTTCATAATCGATTATCAATTCATTTTCCGAGATTTCCTACCTATAGTCTGATTCTACAATATAATTATGACAATTTGTCTGGCCTTCTGAGTTAGTTGCTGCGTCTAATAATTAGTGTTCTATACTAAAAGGCGGAGTTATATACCCTTTCTCGCAACCAGGGCTCGCAACATACGCGTGTCAACTCATGCGCGTGCAATTTAATATCGATCCATTTTGACCGATTTATAAATCAGCAAATTAACAACACCAGTTTAATTAAATGTTTTTTAATAAGAATGTCCTCCTGGCTTATTCTGACCGCGCTAACAGATGGTCATACAAATATATATCTAAAACTATACATAAATATTTAAAAGCAACGATGAAACTTCGCCATCAAGGTGTCAGCTTGCATCTCATAACAAATCTTGCGAATCAGATTCAAAACACAATCATCTGAAGCACAGGTGGTCGACAATATAGATAAAAGCCAGCGGCCCCACACACAAATTTCAGTAGCGCATAAGAATGATCATTAAACGATTTTAGAACAGATAGGGTGTCAGAATTCTTTACCAGCGTATGCCCGACCCCTAATCTGAACTATATGCTTTATAATTTGTTTTATGATGCATTGTACATGCATGCATGCAGTAATTGTATATAAACTTTATGGTTTATCCACAAGTGGTGCATGGATATGTAAGCCCGTTTGCATTATACAATCAACTTTTTCGCACGGCACGACTAAAATGGGTACCCGTGCCAATTTTATTCCTATATAACAAAACACTTAATGCACACAAGCTCGGGAAATAGTGAGTTTTGTTTTCCCTCTAGTCTCAATGCTCAAACTCTTAGGAAAACAAAACTCGGGAGCTTACATTAAGTTTATAATATCATCCGTATGTAGATATCATCGTGCTCAGGAAAGTTAAAGATAGAGCTGAAGCGATACAAAAACCCAACTAACCAATTACAAGATGGTTCTTGCTGTGAACCCGGTCTGTTTTGCCTCTTTGACTGCGATCCCTCCTTCGAGTTTACCTTTAAAGGGACAAAGAAAAAACTCAAAGTTGGGAGCGGAAAATACATAACGTTTTCCAAACAATCGGTTATGTTTTCCTTTGACAAATGGCGGGTAAGTCTATAGAATTGTGCATAATAGAGTGCGAGGATTTTTCCAGGCATCTCCTCAATCTTCTGAAGTTTGAGTTAGGACTTAATGAACTGTTTCTAATACAAAAGTAAAATAGCTTGTGTAGGTACACCGCGTAAGAATTCAATAATTCAAAGCTTTCGGACCGTTAACCCGGGCCTTCATCAGTGCCCGGGTTAACGGTCCGAAAGCTTTGCAGTTTAACATTTTTACGTGGTGTATCTATACGAGCTAATTTACATCTTTCATGTCACCATGCAAACTAACAAGAATATATTATTGTGTCCAATCCGTTAATTAAGATCTTTCTGTATGCTCTGACACCGCTACTGACTTGAAAAAAAGCATTTCAGTATGTTACAATGAACAATGTTACACAGCTAACACAAGTGATATTTCGACTCTATTACAGGTTTTACCTCAACTACTTATGTCTAACAGGAATACAATCGAAATAAAATTATTACCTTGAATATAGTGCCTTGTTTTTAACAACTCATACCTTGTTGCTTAACCTTTTTACATTTAGCCCTCCCAAATTTTCTTGTTGGAAATCAAGGAGGAAGATTCCATTTCATCGAATGATTTGATTTACAGTGAGAGAAAAACCCTTCCGGCAAAGGCCAACAAATCCCAATCCTCTTCAAAAGCATATCCATTCACCTTTAAAGGACGATACGTAACCCTAACAACCATAATTAGAGTCTTTTGCAACCCTGGGTACCTATTACCTGATTGTGCTAAGCATTGTGTGTCCCGGAACGACAGCAAAGGCCACTATCGTTGTGATTATAAAAAAGGTGAGAAAAAATGTCTCCCTGGTTGGTTCGGTGACGATAAAAATTGCACAAAATTTTGTTTACCGAAAAGTGATGATGAACAGGGGCACTATAACTGCTCTGAAACAGGAGGAAAACTGTGCTTGAAAAATTGGTATGGTAAAAATTGTTCGGTTTATTGCAAAGGAAACAGCAACCAGAACGTCTATTGTGATGAAAAAAGCGGAGGAAGGATCTGTAGTGCAAATTGGTTTGGAAATAACTGCACAACGTTCTGTAGAAGTCAAAATGATTCCACTGGTAGTTTTCATTGCAATAAGACATCCGGAATAAAAATTTGCGATGCCTACTGGTATGGAACGAATTGTACGGATTATTGCAAAGAAAAAAACGATACGAATGGGCATTATTCTTGCCAAAAAGAGAGCGGCTTGAAAATTTGTTACTCAGGATGGTATGGATTGAATTGCTCCGTATTTTGCAAGGAACAAAATACTTCAAATGGAGCTTATTATTGTAATCAATCCACTGGTTTGAAGATTTGTCATCGAGATTGGTATGGATTAAATTGCTCCGTACTTTGCCAGGTGCAAAATAATTCAAATGGACATTATTATTGTAATGAATCATCTGGGACCAAAATTTGTCATCATTGGTATGGATTGAATTGCTCCGTATTTTGCCAGGAACAAAATACTTTAAATGGACATTATTATTGTAATCGATCCACTGGGTTGAAGATTTGTCATCGACATTGGTATGGATTGAATTGCTCCGTATTTTGCAAGGAACAAAATAATTCAAATAGACATTATTATTGTAATCAATCCACTGGGTTGAAGATTTGTCATCGATATTATTATGGATTGAATTGCTCCGTATTTTGCAAGGAACAAATTAATTCAAATGGACATTATTATTGTAATCAATCCACTGGGTTGAAGATTTGTCATCAACATTGGTATAGATTGAATTGCTCCGTATTTTGCAAAGAACAAAATAATTCAAATGGACATTATTATTGTAATCAATCCGCTGGGTTGAAGATTTGTCATGAACATTGGTATGGATGGAATTGCTCCGTATTTTGCAAAGAACAAAATAATTCAAATGGACATTATAATTGTAATCAATCCACTGGGTTGAAGATTTGTCATCCAGATTATTATGGATTGAATTGCTCCGTGTTTTGCCAGGAACAAAATAATTCAAATAGACATTATTACTGTAATCAATCCACTGGGTTGAAGATTTGTCATCGAGATTGGTATGGATGGAATTGCTCCGTATTTTGCAAAGAACAAAATAATTCAAATAGACACTATTTTTGTAATGAATCATCAGGGAGCAAAATTTGTCATGAACATTGGTATGGATTTAACTGCTCCGTATTTTGTAAGAGCCAAAATAGTTCAAATGGGCATTATTATTGTAATCAATCCACTGGATTGAAGCTTTGTCATGAACATTGGTATGGATTTAACTGCTCCGTATTTTGCAAAGAACAAAATAATTCTAATGGACGTTATTATTGCAATCAATCCACTGGGTTGAAGATTTGTCATCGACATTGGTATGGATGGAATTGCTCCGTATTTTGCAAAGAACAAAATAATTCAAATGGACACTATTTTTGTAATGCATCAACTGGGAGCAAAATTTGTCATAAACATTGGTATGGATTTAACTGCTCCGTATTTTGTAAGAGCCAAAATATTTTAAATGGAAATTATTATTGTAATCAATCCACTGGATTGAAGCTTTGTCATCAACATTGGTATGGATTTAACTGCTCCGTATTTTGCAAAGAACAAAATAATTCAAATGGACGTTATTATTGTAATCAATCCACCGGGTTGAAGATTTGTCATCGACATTGGTATGGATTGAATTGCTCCGTATTTTGCCAGGAACAAAATAATTCAAATGGAAATTATTATTGTAATCAATCCACTGGGTTGAAGATATGTCATAGAGATTGGTATGGATTGAATTGCTCCGTGTTTTGCCAGGAACAAAATAATTCAAATGGACATTATTATTGTAATCAATCCACTGGGTTGAAGATTTGTCATCGAGATTGGTATGGATGGAATTGCTCCGTATTTTGCAAAGAACAAAATAATTCAAATAGACACTATTTTTGTAATGAATCATCAGGGAGCAAAATTTGTCATGAACATTGGTATGGATTTAACTGCTCCGTATTTTGTAAGAGCCAAAATAGCTCAAATGGGCATTATTATTGTAATCAATCCACTGGATTGAAGCTTTGTCATCAACATTGGTATGGATTTAACTGCTCCGTATTTTGCAAAGAACAAAATAATTCTAATGGACGTTATTATTGCAATCAATCCACTGGGTTGAAGATTTGTCATCGACATTGGTATGGATGGAATTGCTCCGTATTTTGCAAAGAACAAAATAATTCAAATGGACACTATTTTTGTAATGCATCAACTGGGAGCAAAATTTGTCATAAACATTGGTATGGATTTAACTGCTCCGTATTTTGTAAGAGCCAAAATATTTTAAATGGAAATTATTATTGTAATCAATCCACTGGATTGAAGCTTTGTCATCAACATTGGTATGGATTTAACTGCTCCGTATTTTGCAAAGAACAAAATAATTCAAATGGACGTTATTATTGTAATCAATCCACCGGGTTGAAGATTTGTCATCGACATTGGTATGGATTGAATTGCTCCGTATTTTGCCAGGAACAAAATAATTCAAATGGAAATTATTATTGTAATCAATCCACTGGGTTGAAGATATGTCATCGAGATTGGTATGGATTGAATTGCTCCGTATTTTGCAAGGAACAAAATAATTCAAATGGACGTTATTATTGTAATCAATCCACTGGGTTGAAGATTTGTCATCGACATTGGTATGGATTGAATTGCTCCGTATTTTGTAAGAGCCAAAATAATTCAAATGGACATTATTATTGCAATCAATCCACTGGGTTGAAGATTTGTCATCCACATTGGTATGGATGGAATTGCTCCGTATTTTGCAAAGAACAAAATAATTCAAATAGACACTATTTTTGTAATGCATCAACTGGGAGCAAAATTTGTTATAAACATTGGTATGGATTTAACTGCTCCGTATTTTGTAAGAGCCAAAATATTTTAAATGGTAATTATTATTGTAATCAATCCACTGGATTGAAGCTTTGTCATCAACATTGGTATGGATTTAACTGCTCCGTATTTTGCAAAGAACAAAATAATTCAAATGGACGTTATTATTGTTATCAATCCACTGGGTTGAAGATTTGTCATCGACATTGGTATGGATTGAATTGCTCCGTATTTTGCCAGGAACAAAATACTTTTAATGGACATTATTATTGTAATCAATCCACTGGGTTGAAGATTTGTCATCGACATTGGTATGGATTGAATTGCTCCGTACCTTGCAAGGAGCAAAATATTTCAAATGGACATTATTATTGTAATCAGTCCACTGGGTTGAAGATATGTCATCGAGATTGGTATGGATGGAATTGCTCCGTATTTTGCAAGGAACAAAATAATTCAAATGGACGTTATTATTGTAATCAATCCACTGGGTTGAAGATTTGTCATCGACATTATTATGGATTGAATTGCTCTGTATTTTGCAAGAAACAAATTAATTCAAATGGACATTATTATTGTAATCAATCCACTGGGTTGAAGATTTGTGATCGACATTGGTATGGATTGGATTGCTCCGTATTTTGCCGGGAACAAAATAATCAGCATTTCGTTTGCAATGAAACAGCAGGAGAGAAGATTTGTGATCAACATTGGTATGGAGCTAACTGCACAACTTACTGTAACGCGAAGGCCAATGAGTCAAAACAATACATTTGCAATAACAATACTGGTTCAAAAATTTGCAAAGAAAACTGGTATGGCGCAAATTGCACAGTGTTTTGTAAGGAACAAAAGAATGCCAGTGGATACTATTATTGCCATAAGCAAAAAGGTCTAAAGATTTGCTATACAAATTGGCACGGTCCAAATTGTTCGATATTTTGCCAAGTTCAAAATAATTCGAATGGACACTATTTTTGCAATAGGACTTCCGGGCAGAAATTTTGTCACCGCCATTGGTATGGTGGAAACTGTGATAGATACTGCAGAGAAACAGGTCGTTATCTTTGTAATAGGACAACTGGTACTAGAACATGTCTCCCTAATTGGTTTGGACCAGACTGTGAAGTCTTTTGCGTGGAAAAAAAGGATCATACCAAAACATACCTTTGTGATAAGGAGACAGGGAGAAAAGTTTGTCTTCCTGACTGGTTTGGACCAAATTGCACATTATTTTGTGAAGATACGGACGATAATTCGGGTCATTATTCTTGTGATGAAAAATCTGGCTTGAAGATTTGCCACTCGCGTTGGTATGGAGATAATTGCGAACATTTCTGCTCTAAGAATAAAGTTCTCGTTGGAATGTCATGCAGGAATGAAGGTATTATCCATTATTGTACAACTTCGCGTAAAGACTGGTGCGGGTGCATGGAAATATATCTGGTATGATGTGTAGGGTGGGTGGTTGAAAAAATTCAGCGAAGAAATCAGAGGATGCAAACAATGCAAACGTTCCAGTGATATGCTGGTCTTTTTGAAAAACAGAAACTAATTTTTTTATCACGACTTTATTCTTCAGCAGATAATTAAGTTCCTCCCACTTTACCCATTGAAAATATGTAGTGTTCATATGTATGATTTTTTATATATTTTACCATAGGAATTAATATTAATCCAGTGTGGTTTATCATCGGAGGCGCGATCTTGTTGATTTCAATTTTGATTTGTATAATCAGGTCAGTATTTTACACGTAATGATATTTTAATTAATTTAAAAATTATCTCGTGCACTTTTTAAACGCGCTATTCCGTTTCGTTTGAGATATTTCTCTGCATAGTTCGTCTAGTTTGTCACGCGTGATTTTATACTCAGACGAATGACCCGTCTGACGGATTTTGGCCCAGACGGATCATCCGTCTATAGTATCGGGCCAATGACAGAAATGAGCTTCGTTTTGAACTTGGCACGCTCTTATCTGGAATACAATTAGAAGCTATTCTAATTATTTCAAAATTTCTATGGTTAAATCAACTCCTTGGTGCTTTAAGAACAAAGTGGATTTTTATTCACCGTGTTGATCGTTCAAACACAATAGAGTCAGTGGGTAGACTTTAAATACAAAATTATATTGATCCGATGAACCGTTTCTAATGCGATTCTGAATTTGCGATTCTGAAATCTGTTTGCGATCAAAATTTGTCCCATATTTTGCTGGTAATATATTATTCAGCTCAGAACAGTAAACTTATAGAGTAACTTATGAATTATCTGGACGATGTCTATATAGCAAATTTAGCTGTTAAACATAAAAACAAAAGAATTACATACAATTTGCAAAGGCATTTTTGCGTCGGGCTGAAAGAAGTTATATTTGTCAAACGTTTCTAAACAAATACATCAAACACATCTCACGTCCGAGGTTTGTAATGGACTTGTTAACATTAAAATATACCGAAAAACCGGTCATATGTGATATGTGATAGTTGTGGTAGAACTATAGACGGTGCGTAAATCTATACGATTGACACCACTGAAGGTAAACAGTTCACCAAAAAAACTACATGTTAAATAAAGCGGTATGAACAGTGAAAGCAGTGTGAACTGTAAAACAACGTAGTCCGAGAATAAGATTGAGCACGGCAAGACTTAAAAGTAAATCAGGACTCAACATACCTAAATAGATGAATCCATAATACGCATTTCGTTGATTTGCCAATTTGAAGAAGCGAACACATGCCGAGATGATGCCCGTCGATTTATTATAATTATATGCATAATAATTATATATTTTATGTATTTTATTATAATTATGTGTTCAATATGATGAATATATTTCTTTAACGAGTTTCTGAATAACTGAGACTGCGTTCACATGGTACCGCGGATTCGTTCGTCACGAAATTTTCGTTTGCCAATATAAAGCAACGATTATTACCAAATGCTTTTTAATTTGAGAGATATATGGTATATTTATCCAGATCTCGGACAATAAAGATCTCCACTGTCTTTTATCAACTTCGCAATTTAACCTGTTCCGATGGCAATCCGGTACCGTGTGAAGGGGGCCTGGGTCACCCCTGAGTCACTGAAGTGTTAAAATATTTGCGATTCACCTTTAAGGCAACGAAAGAAATCAGCGATCAAGACGCATCATCGTACTCTCAGGAGGCAAGACACAAACAGCCCCCTGACAATGGAAAACTTTGCAATTGACTACGAGTACGTTTTTAGTCGCTTCATTTGATTCAAACATGTTCTGCAATAAAGGCGCCTTAGAAAATATTGAAATTTTGCAAAAATGTAAATAAGCTGATATTCTTCTATGCTACCTTTTCTTTTATAAGTAAATTAGCTTGTAGGTACACCACTTAAGTGTTTAATACTGCAAAGCTTTCAGTCCATTAACCTGGGCCTTCATCAGTGCACCTCCAAAAAGTTTAGAAATTACCTGATAAAGGCACGGGTTAATTTACGAACCGAAAAGTTTGCAGTATCAAATACTTAAATTTACAAGAACTACTTTTTTGTTACCTTATATAGGGACGCGAACGAATCACGTGACGATAACAGCCACGATGCGACGAATACTCAAGCTGAAGAGGCCTTAGTTTTTGAGAATCCCTTGTTTCAAGAACTGAAAACCTCAGAAATGTAAAACGTATGAAAGACGTTTTGTCCAACAGATAAGTAAAACCAATATGCATTTGAAGATTCTATTTACTGTGATATACTTGACTGGCTTATTTGACCTGTAAAGATTTTCTTATGGTAAAAAAAGAAATAACCAATTCGTAAATGATTAAAATTTGTTTAGCTACGACGACAAAATTGAGACGTTTAAAATGATTGTCATATATTTTAAGGGAAGATTGGCGGGGCCTTTTGACGAATATTTGTGTTAATTTGCAAGAAAAGAATGTTTTCTTTCTCTTTCCGCTTGCAGAGAACTATGCCCTTGTTAACACAAATATTATACGGCCTGTAAAAAAATCAGCCTGACCTAAAATTCATCACAATGACACAAGTTGTTACCCAAAACTTCATAGCTTCATGCTATACAATACATGTATCAATATTTGTGTTAGTCAAAATTTTGAAAATTTCACAAGCATTTTTGCTCACTGTAAGACGGCAATGAAGTATATTTTTGGCATGACTAGTAAGAAGAAGAGGCTTCTGTTGAGAGAGTAAGAACAACGATTTGTACTTGCTTGTCACCAAAACAAACATGTATTGTGGATATTTTTTGCGCGGATCCCTTACTCACAATTTTACAAACAAAACTAATTGCATGCAACTACGAAAACTATGAAAGTAAGAGTGGACAATATTTAACTGAATAACTTTGACTTTATTTTAGCTATAACATCCAAAAACTGACTCTAAACCTGATGGAATGACTGCATGTAATGAATAACTGAATATGATATAATAAATCAATGGTCTTATACAAAAGTAATACGATTTAACCAGTTTTTTAAGTATTCGAGAAAAACACTCCTGAAATACTTCTTAACGACAAGCGGGGCGATTTTTATGAATTTTTGAGATCAGTGGTCTCTACAAATTACTCGTGGATGATGGTAGTACTTTAGCCATGCAAATTGCCACGTGCCGATTTGTTTTTTGGAAATATATGTATCAGTTGTTTTAAGTCTTGGCGAATACCTTTTTTTCCTGACTGTAGCTCCAGTTGTAACTGCTTGTTTGCGTGCCAATATTTACACGTTTCGGCTTCACGCAGGCAAAGAAATGTTTGTTTATCTTCCCAATTTAATTAGAATTTATTATCTTTAGCGTCTTCACAATTCGTCGGTGCAAAGGCGCCTTTCCATGAAAATCTGCCCTCTGCCTTCGAATCGTTCCATTTTTAACCGTATAGATATCTTTTTCCCCTCGTGTGCCTTATCTCAGCTACAATATATTTTTTATATAACTTGCTTTTACATAATTTCTACCGTTTCATTCTAAGTTGCTGTGATGCGATTTGAAGTAATTAATCTGCTATTACTTTTTTTTCACGTTTGGTATGCAAAGATGTTTTGTCTCCATGGGGTCCGGAATTTTCTTTGTCTCTAGTTTTCATTTGATTTGTAGCTATGATTACAATAGTGCATACACCAACAGGCTCCTGACCGACGCAAGGGCTGACTAAAGGAACGAAGTCTGAAAAACGGGTAATATGGATACCGAGGAAACCTGCTGTAATTGTAAATGTGTGGCGTATTTCGTTTTGGAGGTATACTGCGTATAGAAAAATAAATAGTGTAAAATTGTTAAACTATATCAATTTGAAAACTTACATAAATTTGTTCTAACTGTTTCGTTGTAAGACGCGATTAGACCTCGTTGACATTGAGGTTGAATTGGTTAGAGTGTCAGAGTATATGTCGGAATTCACTGTATGTACTCTGTTTGTATGTTCTATGCTGTGCGTGTATAAATCTGTACACAGTATAACGCTAAATATTTGCATAATCGATCGACGCTATATATAGCCTGAATATACAGCTGACTTCAAGGCGCATCGTCGACATACATTGAAACAATTCCCACCTACTAAACTTGTGTCAGAAGTGCCGGTTTAATCGCTAAAATTGTTCGGCATTCGGTAGGTTTGTCGCCAAACAATACGATCGTACTGACATCGACCATAGGTGTTTTTCTAAAGCCGATTAAGGAATTCTGCGATATTCGGAAATTTGAAATCGCCTGCATTGATATATATGTTTAATATATGGTTTTAAAGTTGCAATCGAAGTCTAAATGATGCTTGAAATTAAAGTTAGCAATAGGGCGCTCTAGTCAGTGATGCATAACAAAATATAATAGCATCATGTTGGCGAATCATGTCGTAAATATACATGCAGTATAGAAAAGTTTGGGCAATAATAACACAAGTTCTACTTCTAAAAGCGTTTAATTGCAAATTCTAGAGATTCTATGGTATTATTTGTCGCCCTCGCAAACAAGGCCATAGCTAGACGTGTAGACGCTTATTTCTCATTTGGGGGTTGCATGTTTAAACAGCGTGAGTAAAAAAATGACGCTAATCTATATGCAAATCCCCGCGTAGCAGTTGTAATTTCACAGAAGTTACCTGAAGTGGTCATTAATCCAAAAATAGGAGTTATCTTTAGAGAGACGATGACATTGAACAGTCAACTGCGTTGTGTTTGACAAAGATTACCTGGATCGATGAGTTAGAAGTTCTTGAGTGACATGTTTTACTCAGATTATTATATTCTTTTGCACGGCTGATCTTCATTAAGAGCGATTGTTTTGCTATTAACATTTGTGAACATTACTACAGAGTGTATATAAAAAAGTACCCCCTATTGAAATAATAGCGATAACAGAAACTCTATAGTTGTGGATAAATAAAATATAATTCAACAGCTTGTCATCATTACAGTTATATTTTGACTTTGAGCGCTAGAATAGTAAGGGCTGTTCACATGAGACCGGTTGCCTATGTTTAACAAAGCGTAAAACGCACTTTGAGGTATTGAAAAGAGTCTTTTTTAAACCAAACAATCACATGCTATTGTTTGGATGATAACAGTGACCTCTCTATATATATGGAGTAGTAACTTGGTTGATAAAAGTAAAGCCAAATATGGCGTAAATTAAAGGAGCTATTGTAGGACACCCCAGTCTTCCTACGTGGGCGGTCAAGTATTTTTTTCATTGTTTTGATCGGGAGTGATGACTTTGAAACCTCAGATTTTTGTGGTTTTCTTCATTTTAAAAGAATAAGAATGGAAACAAAGTTGATTTTTTTATGGCAATCTGTTTCTCTGCATCTACCTTATCTGACTACTGTATTTTCCTACCATTTCCCACTCTTTCCCACTTTTCCCATTGAGTACAAGTACGCTTCAAACTTTTGCTTTACCTTGTAATTTTGACCCAGTATTACCCTCTAGTTTCACAACTGGATGTATAGGTCACTGCGACACTCCTTTTTTTCAACTATCGCTCTCCGAATCTTTATCCCCTCGTGTGCCTTATCTCAGCCACAATATTTTTTCTATATAACTTGCTTTTACATCATTTTTACTGTTTCATTCTAAGTTGCTGTGGAGCGATTTAAAGTAATTAATCTGCTATTACTTTTTTTCACGTTTGCATGGTATGCAAAGATGTTTTGTCTCCATGAGGTCCGGAATTTTCTTTGTCTCTAGTTTTCATTTGATTTGTAGCTATGATTACAATAGTGCATATGCCAATAGGCTCCTGACCGACGCATGGGCTGACTAAAGGAACGAAGTCTGAAAAACGGGTAATATGGATACAGACGAAACCTGCTGTAATCGTAAATGTGTGGCGTATGTAGTTTTGGAGGTACAGTGCGTATAGAAAAAAAATAGTGTAAAATTGTTAAACTATATATCAATTTGAAAACTTACATAAAATTTGTTCCAACTGTTTCTTTGTAAGACGCGATTAGACCTCGTTGACATTGCCGGAGGTGTCAGAGTATATGTCGGAATTCACAGGTCTATATAGGTATATGTACTCTGTTTGTATGTTCTATGCTGTGCGTGTATAAATCTGTACACAGTATAACGCTAAATATTTGCATAATCGATCGACGCTATATAGCCTGAATATACAGCTGGCTTCAAGGCGCATCGATCGTCGACATACATTGAAACAATTCCCAGCTACTAAACTTGTGCCAGAAGTGCCGGTTTAATCGCTAAAATTGTTCGGCATTCGGTAGGTTTGTCGCCAAACAATACGATCGTACTGACATCGACTATAGGTGTTTTTCTAAAGAAGATTAAGGAATTTTGCGATATTCGGAAATTTGAAATCGCCTGCATTGATATATATGTTTAATATATGGTTTTAAAGTTGCAATCGAAGTCTAAATGATGCTTGAAATTAAAGTTAGCAATAGGGCGCTCTAGTCAGTGATGCCTAACAAAATATAATAGCATCATGTTGGTGAATCATGTCGTAAATATACAATCATGCAGTATAGGAGAGTTTGGGCAATAATAACACAAGTTCTACTTCTAAAAGCGTTTAATTGCAAATTCTAGAGATTCTATGGTATTATTTGTCGCCCTCGCAAACAAGGCCATAGCTAGACGTGTAGACGCTTATTTCTCATTTGGGGGTTGCATGTTTAAACAGCGTGAGTAAAAAAATGACGCTAATCTATATGCAAATTGCCGCATAGCTGTTCTAATTTCACAAAGGTTACCTGAAGTGGTCATTAATCCAAAAATAGGAGTTATCTTTAGAGAGACGATGACATTGAACAGTCAACTGCGTTGTGTTTGACAAAGATTACCTGGATCGATGAGTTAGAAGTTCTTGAGTGACATGTTTTACTCAGATTATTATATTCTTTTGCACGGCTGATCTTCATTAAGAGCGATTGTTTTGCTATTAAATTTTGAACATTACTACAGGGTGTATATAAAAAAGTACACCCTATTGAAATAATAGCGATAACAGAAACTCTATAATTGTGGATAAATAAAATATAATTCAACAGCTTGTCATCAAGCTACAGTTATATTTTGATTTTGAGCGCTAGAATAGTAAGGGGCTGTTCACATGAGACCGGTTGCCTATGTTTAACAAAGCGTAAAACGCACTTTGAGGTATTGAAAAGAGTCTTTTTTAAACCAAACAATCACATGCTATTGTTTGGATGATAACAGTGACCTCTCTATATATATGGAGTAGTAACTTGGTTGCTAAAAGTAAGCCAAATATGGCGTAAATTAAAGGAGCTATTGTAGGAACACCCCAGTCTTCCTACGTGGGCGGTCAAGTATTTTTTTCATTGTTTTGATCGGGAGTGATGACTTTGAAACCTCAGATTTTTGTGGTTTTCTTCATTTTAAAAGAATAAGAATGGAAACAAAGTTGATTTTTTTATGGCAATCTGTTTCTCTGCATCTACCTTATCTGACTACTGTATTTTCCTACCATTTCCCACTCTTTCCCACTTTTCCCATTGAGTACAAGTACGCTTCAAACTTTTGCTTTACCTTGTAATTTTGACCCAGTATTACCCTCTAGTTTCACAACTGGATGTATAGGTCACTGCGACACTCCTTTTTTTCAACTATCGCTCTCCGAATCTTTATCCCCTCGTGTGCCTTATCTCAGCCACAATATTTTTTCTATATAACTTGCTTTTACATCATTTTTACTGTTTCATTCTAAGTTGCTGTGGAGCGATTTAAAGTAATTAATCTGCTATTACTTTTTTTCACGTTTGCATGGTATGCAAAGATGTTTTGTCTCCATGAGGTCCGGAATTTTCTTTGTCTCTAGTTTTCATTTGATTTGTAGCTATGATTACAATAGTGCATATGCCAATAGGCTCCTGACCGACGCATGGGCTGACTAAAGGAACGAAGTCTGAAAAACGGGTAATATGGATACAGACGAAACCTGCTGTAATCGTAAATGTGTGGCGTATGTAGTTTTGGAGGTACAGTGCGTATAGAAAAAAAATAGTGTAAAATTGTTAAACTATATATCAATTTGAAAACTTACATAAAATTTGTTCCAACTGTTTCTTTGTAAGACGCGATTAGACCTCGTTGACATTGCCGGAGGTGTCAGAGTATATGTCGGAATTCACAGGTCTATATAGGTATATGTACTCTGTTTGTATGTTCTATGCTGTGCGTGTATAAATCTGTACACAGTATAACGCTAAATATTTGCATAATCGATCGACGCTATATAGCCTGAATATACAGCTGGCTTCAAGGCGCATCGTCGACATACATTGAAACAATTCCCAGCTACTAAACTTGTGCCAGAAGTGCCGGTTTAATCGCTAAAATTGTTCGGCATTCGGTAGGTTTGTCGCCAAACAATACGATCGTACTGACATCGACTATAGGTGTTTTTCTAAAGAAGATTAAGGAATTTTGCGATATTCGGAAATTTGAAATCGCCTGCATTGATATATATGTTTAATATATGGTTTTAAAGTTGCAATCGAAGTCTAAATGATGCTTGAAATTAAAGTTAGCAATAGGGCGCTCTAGTCAGTGATGCCTAACAAAATATAATAGCATCATGTTGGTGAATCATGTCGTAAATATACAATCATGCAGTATAGGAGAGTTTGGGCAATAATAACACAAGTTCTACTTCTAAAAGCGTTTAATTGCAAATTCTAGAGATTCTATGGTATTATTTGTCGCCCTCGCAAACAAGGCCATACTCCATAGCTAGACGTGTAGACGCTTA